TCTGGCCAGTGCTCCGCCTAAAGTGAAGTTAATGGCCTACACAACGTATATTAGGCCTACCTTGGAGTACGCTGCATCGGTATGGGACCCCTATAGAAAAAATCAAATTGGTGAACTCGAAAAAGTTCAGAGGAAGGCGGCGCGATTTATTCTATCCAAATACAAGCGACTTGATTCTGTCACAGATATGCTGAACAGCCTCAACCTCCCCTTACTTTCTGTCCGTCGAAAAATTGCTCGACTAAAGTTTTTCTTTGTTTTCTCATCACCTGTATAACATTAACCCGGATTCTAGATTAACACATCGCGCATCGAGAGAACTCAGATACGTTAGCACTAATCAGTTTGAAGTGCCTAAATGTAATATTGACGCTTATAGGTTTTCTTTTTTCCCTAGAACTGTGAAAAACTGGAATGATCTCCCACAAAATATATTGTCATTGGACTGTTTAGATGATTTTGAGAGCGCCCTTTTGAATATGACTGGTTTGGAATGATAAATAGTAGTTAAATATTTTTTGGAAACTTCGTTAAAGATTTCGAGTGCTGAGAGTTCATTTTGTTGAGTGCTATATAATATATTGAATGTTTGTGCTATTTCAGCCCCTTTATTTTAAGTGAATGTCGCTGAATGTGTACTGTATTGTAGTCCTGATGTTGTATGTTTCAGTGCTCTTCTATACCCCACACCTGTTAAAGCCCCATACTTGGGGTGAACAGTATTCATAAATAAATAAATAAAAAAAAGACGGACAAGGGGAAGCGCCAGTGAACTCCGTTCTTTCTTTGGACCTAATCGGTAAAAAGTTATAATTAGATATTTTTCATAAAATAACAAAAACGATAAAATTAAAAAAAAAATTGTGTTCGTAAAAAATATTCAAATTAAACAAAACTGCACAAGCCCAACCACATTGCAAGTCGAAAGCCGTGCAGATTTAAGAAAAAATATTGTTGGTTGTTTCATGAAAGCGTTGACTTCTCATTAATTATAGAGTAACACCTAGTTTCACGCTATTTTTAAAAGTTAAAACCGCGCTCACGCCACCAAAAAAATTTTTTTCGTCAAAAATATTTTAGGGCACGGCTACGGACAATACGTCAAAAGGTCATGATTTTTTTTTTTTTTTTAGAAATCGAAGGTGGTCGAGCGCAACGCCTGGGACGTTTGACATGGAATGACCCTACAGCATTTAGTTGCAGCGTTCCTGTATGCCAATTACGTATAACCATGCAGCTATATCGCTTTGCACTGCAGTTATGCACCTGTATTTGTAACCACCATATTAAAATCCTCAACGTGTTCGTAGTATTGAAAATAAATAAATGAATGTTCAGGTTCAGTGCACTGTTCAATATAAGCTGCATGCAGATATCTTTGCCAAATCCCCAAAAACCTCTGTGCACATCCCCTTATTGCACCTCCTGCACTTCCCAAATATAATTAGGGTTCCCCGTTCTAGGGTTTTACATTTTTCAAAATTCGGGAGTAAAAATTGGGAGTTATTTTTCAGGCTGATAATGGGTCTTTCTGAAGCCATTGGGAAATCGGGTTTTCTCGGGTCTTATTTATGAAGGGCAAGTACCTGAAATCTGTTATTTGCACGAATAAAAACAACAAAGTGTATGATATAGCACTGGTGCTCGATCTCACAGTATATTTCCGCCTTCTGACTCGTTCTGAAGCGAATATGTGCAGAGTATAACGCATATCAAAGAAGCTTGTTACCATCAAACGAGTGACCGAGGAAGCAGTTCTGAAACAGATCCAGAATTGCTCTTATATTCCATAAATTCAGCTGATTTCAAGACCGGTATTCGGAGAGACATCGTGTTTAACCAGATTTTCATAACAAAAAATGTTCGGGGTGCAAAAATCGGGTTTTACCCGAAAACGAAGAAATAATTCATTCATAAGAGGGTTGCACCAGCCAGTTGGCATAGCCATTAACCAAAACCAGGATGGATATGTCATACCTTTTAACTTGTCAGAATACATTTGAGAAAGTTGGAACTTTTTGAAAAGCATCACAGAAGCATCATGGGCTTGTACAGTGGGAGTAGCTGCACTAGCAGAACCACGGCCGGAGCGGTAAAAATCCCGGACGCACTTGTCGCGATAACCTGGTGGGAGCGAGGCTAAAACGGAGTGCCACGATTCCATGAAAGGGGGAGGTTCACGATAAGCTGTGCATCAGTCTTAGGGTGATCCTCAAGGCCATGTATGAAGGTCCACATCCATGCAAAACTTCAGTTTATCGGCAACCTGCCCCAGGCATAAAATTGCGGCAGCCTGACAGAATGCCCGCTCTACCAGCATTTTGTTAGGCCAGTTCATATTGATGCCTGCTGTACATTACTGCCTCTTTCTCTAGCGGGGTCATCCGACCAGTGCAAGGTCTCTGTTGGTGTGGGCAAGCACTGCAAGCCTGCCACCAGTATACGTTCATGCACATGCTTGCATACATGCAGAGTGAGACAGGATGCCATGCTTGCAATCATCTATAAAATATAGAATTTCTATGTGCATTTTTTTGGACTCACTGAATATTTTTTAATTGGCAAGAAGGAAGACATTCTGCATGAAGCACTGATCAGTGGCAAGTATGAGCATTTAGTGATGTGATGCTAAGGACATTGGCATAAGAAAGTCACGATATGGGTATCCTGATATGGCACGGGCTGAAAATAGCATGCCACTCATTCCAATGCTTAAAGGCACACGATCCTCCCAGGAAGCACTCGCGAGTCCGCAGATCATCACAACTGGAAGGAAACTATGGTAAACACTGCTTGTGATGACTGTGCGTCAATTCTCCATCATTCAATTCCAACTGTGTCATTACCAGAGAAGTTATGCAAGTTTAAAAAAATAGGTCAAAACATAATACAGGGTTCCCTTAAAAGTCTTCTCCTTTTAGTGCGGCTCGAAGCACCGAGGGCTTTGCCGCCTCACCGACATACTCTTAGCATTCCAGAATGGTGCATAAGAGCTTTTGGGCCCCTGGTACACCTTCTGGTACACCTTCGCTTCCGTAACCAGAAGGCCCTGTAGTCTGTTGCGGGTTAAGAAATGCCCTCCACACTTCCTTTTTAGAAGAGCATATGCTGGAGAGATGAGACCCTCCTCGCCTCCTCTTGTGCTGCAGAGGAGCTCGACCTGTTTTCTTAACTTGCAACAGACTATAGACCTTTCCACCCTCCGTCGCAATGGCACTGCCATCTTGGAATTGCGTGTTGCAGCCAACATTAGGTGGCTTCAAATCGTTGCTCCTCTCTCCACTCCGTGCCCTGGAAGAGGCATTGTATTCGTGTTTTTCGGAGAGTTTTACAGCGCTTTGTGCCTTGCTTTGTGAAGTGTCATCCGATACCTATTTTTCTAACCTAACTGCATGCCATCATTACATGCACAACTTCAGCACTTCGTCTTTTAGCACGTTTTGACTATTTACAGTGTTGGCGTACCGGACACGTGCGAGGAAAGGAATCGGCGTTTGCACTGGCGCACATTCAGTATGTAGACGATTCTAATACGCAAGAGCGCTGAGAGGCCAATTATTTATAACAGTACAAATTTGCTTAAGCGATAGTTGCAAAGTAATAGTGGTGCAACAAGAAGTGCAAGGTATATTTATGATTTTAAAGAAAGCAAATATAGTCAATGTAGGGAGTTTCTTGAATCATATCCTGCCTTCATGACAAATCGAAAACAGTTGGTCTGGATTATACGGGGGAATCATTTATTTTTTGCAGTGTAAACATTTACTTGAACTGTTCATTTATGAATTTAAAGAAACTATACACTGTGCTCGGTCTCATGTCTGCAGTCATTAAAATTTCTTAAAATATCCAATTCAAATAACTTATTTAAACAAGTGAAAACCATGTCAAAAACAGCTTGAATGACTGGCAAAAGCACCTGAGACACGCAATGCATGACACCGAAAAGAAGCCGTTTGCATGGAAATAACTGGAATGCAAAGTTGTCAATGCCAGATTTACTCTCGACGCCGCTGAAAGTAAAAGGCATATCTGTCCAGACAAATAAAGATCCGTCTACACAAATCTGTGAAGTAATGCCTGACATCTGACTTGAGCCAAGTTTGCTGGAGGTCAATTCTCCTGCGCCATTTAATTTTATTTTGCAATTTATACGGGAGACAGACGACAAACTTCGATTGGTGGGTTTGTCCTTTATCTCATATTCTCAATACGTTATAAGGAAATGTCCATATAACAAAGCTTCCCAAGGTCAACATTGCGAAACTTCAGCAAGGCTGATATAGTTGAAAAAATTTTCTGCTCTGCCTAGAAAGCACCATCGAAACATCTCTCGAGTACTTAATTTCTTTAAAAAAAACGAGAGACAATATCGCTCCTTTTTTGCAATCTATGCGTCATTAGGGGGGTTCCCCAGTCAAAAAATTTCACAAGACGTTGGTGTCCTCGAAAACTGAACAGTGAGCACTAAACTTGTACCTGCTCTATGCAATTCAGCACAATGCAAGTCAGACCGTCAACCTGCTTTTCCACTGCCTCCATTCATTAGTCTCTTCATAAGTTTATTTTTATGGACACTAGTATCAGCGGGTATGTCCAGCACGGCCGTAGACTTTGCTAACCCTTTCCCAGCATCATTTCAGTTGTTTCGTTGCCGAATCTGGCCAAACAAGGAACATGATCAGACAAAGGTGTTCGTTAACACGTTCAGAATTTAGGTTCGTAACCATGTCGTAGTTCTCAAGGGGGTGCATTACCACTGTATCCTTTGTTCTGTACCACCCAAGGGATACATTCATATCATAAAATTAAGCGAAAATGACATAACACAGCAACACAGCCGCAAACCCTGCTGAAACCGAAGTCAACCAAATTGAAGCCACCATATGGCACCGCGTGTGTCGGCACCCCTGTCCACCGGTAGACTACTACCAAGCTGTTAAGGTCTATAGATGTGGCAGTGACTGCCTACACAGAGCCCCAGCAGAGGCCAACAAGAGTTAACAGTGGTAGACATCTTTTATTTCCCGAGGGAACAAGCGGCGCCTCTAAGACTTGGCGACCCGGCTCCTGATAGTGGTGTGACGGCGATAATTTACTTGATGGGGAGGTGCCGGGTCACCCTCCTGTGGCCTTGGCAGTGCGACAGATCTACTTGGTGGACTGCTCCAGGTAGGCAATCAGGTCTCCCCGGTCCTGCGTCTTTTTCAGGCCCGCAAACACCATCTTTGTGCCCGGAATGTACTTCTTGGGGTCTTCCAGGTAGATGAACAATGTGTCCCGGTTCCAGGTGATGCCTGCCAGGGAAAGAGACTTCTCTCAGCTACGGCCGCCTGCCTCTTTGTGCGGAGCAAAGCCTGTCCCACTACCCCTTTTCGGAAAGGATGGTTGAATGCTTGAACGCAATGGAGAAAGCTGCAACAGTTACAAGACAAAAGTTTAAATTCTACGTCTGTCTTCCAATACAAAACACTGTTACAGAGTCTCAGGCGACCAGAGAGGGCTCTGCTGGCGTCGTGTGGAACCATTTTTGAGAGCGTTCGTCAACGCTATCGCGGCGTAACAAAATTTTTATGATAAGCCGATGAACGGAATGCACAGAAACCTTTCACAAAGGTTTCTTTAGTGGGTGCATTTGTTATGGACAAATTTCACAAGTGTAGGTAAGAGAGGAGCGGGTAGCCCTGGCATTCGGCCAGTAATGATGTGACGAAGAGGGAATCTTCCTGTCGTCTGCCTGAAAGACTTGTCTTGAAAAATGACTCGTGTTATGCAAAATCCCATTTTGGCAGTATTCAGTTGCTACACCTAATGCTGGATGGTTTTAGAAACATCCACCACGCTTACCCACCGTAGTAATGTAAATTCACGCAAATGTGGGCCTTGCACGGTTCTACGACAGCCCTATTTCAGAGACTTCAACTACCTCGGAAAATGCACCAGCTGCAATGGCTTTTCTCAAGAGATGGTCTTGTGCGTGCCCTCCACCACGTAATTAATGTCACTTGAAAGTCTAAGGTCAATGATGAAAAGTGCCACTCAGCTGCACATCTTGTAATGCAAATGCGTTATCTTCAGGGTCTGAAGACTTTTCCAGACAACCAATCTGCAGCAACAAATAGTTTTCACAGGCATTAAATTGACAGAGGAAAAAAAGGAAATAAACAAGGTTCCAAGCGCTAAAGACATACTTCTCGACAAGGTAACCGAAAACTCATTTTCCCAGTGCCACATACGGCTTATTTCAAACTCCACCCCTTCACTAATCTACAAATCTACAAATGCACTGCCTATAGCGCTAGCTTTTTATCTTCAACAACGCTCCGACATCTCGCGAGCTTCTCACGTGCATGGCCAGCTAAAGCATGGCGCTACAGCAATGGGCATGAGCTGGAGGTCAGACATTCAAGACGCACCCCGTCATTCTCATTCTGTCAGCAACTATGGTCGATCAAATCGGTTGTGAAACTTTCCTTCAGGGGGAGGCTTCCGTGCGCCCGTTAAAGAGCCTACACTGAAGGCAGGGTCCATCACAGATCGTGGGGAGCGTTTACAAAATTTAGCGGCAGACGCCTTTTGAGACGATTGGTTGCAAGTGCACGTGCACTGTGTTTTCGTGTGGCAAGAAGGAAACAGGTGAAAGGTGGAAACGTTTGTAGACGATAGACGCGACGCTTTCGCACCTTGTGCTGCAAATGCAGTCATAAACCATGTGACCTCGATCGAGCAGTTGGAAACTTTCTGTAATACAGCCTCTCTTGTACCTGTTCCACCTCAAGATAGATTATCGATGTCATTGAATGCCCCGCAGTTCTGCTTCTGATGGGGATGAGGCTCCGAAATATTTTAGGCAGTTTTTTAGGATGATACACAAAAAGGACATGCTTTCCAAACTTGCACGAAGTTGCCACTGTGTCGTCGTAGGATTCAAAACACATCACAAGTGCTTGCCTGCTCTCTTTGCAAAATAACTTCCCTGCACATACTGGAAATAAAACAGATTGACAGAGTTAACTCCAGTCACAAAAAAAAAAAAAAAAAAGAAATTTGCATATGTCACCCTTCTTTGAAACACAGTAATTGTAGAGGAACCCCAGCTACCGAAGGAATCGTCCAAACCTGCCCAGAGTGCCACCCGGCGTAAAACTGGACATGCCTGTGGACGCCTCTCGCTGTACGGCATTTACTAGAGTTCCAATAATTACACAAGCTTAACCATGCTCACAAAGAACGGGGAGGGGAGAATGTGTTGAGTGCAGACTACCACCTCGCAGAAATTGGCGTCGCACGATGTAGTCCTATAATGTGGTCCATGCGGCGTCAATTTCCCCGCTAAATTCAGCGAGGGAGTTAATGTCATATTTAATTATGACGTCACGCGAGACCAGGACGTAACAGAGCTCAGTCGCATGACACCATGACACTGCAGTCACCCAACGTCCCGTGAGTCTGATGTTATGTCATGTGACCGAGCCCTGTGCCATCACGTGATGCCGTGACATGCAACAATGTTGAAAAATCACACAACGATTCTTTGCAATTGCTTTTTTGTAGAGTATGAATAATAGAACAGATTCTGTGCTTAGTGTGAATACCTCACAATGCTGTTACCGCATCACTCTCGGCCGTACTGGTGACCACGTCTATACTTGCCTACACCTTTTTTGGCTCCCATTTAACCGAGGCTTTATGTTCCAGTATCTCTCTCGGTGGAAACTTAACACCACGCAGGCATTTGCGCGTCGGGCAAAAACAACCGCCGAGATGTGGTGCAAGCGGTCTTACCTTTGCTCTTGTTGGCGTCTGTGTAGCTGAAGCCTGCCGCCTGTCCCGTCTTGCGTCCGATGAGCCCATGTAGATTGGGACCAGTCTTGTGCTTGCCTCCGGCTTCCACCGTGTGGCACTGGGCGCAGCGCTGCACGAAGATCTTCTTGCCCTTCTCTGGGTCGCCCTTGGGAATTTCGACCATGGCTGCTCTGAAGACCTGCGCAACAGAGGCCCACAACGTCACCCAAGGTTCGCCGACCCCCCTACAGCCACGTTGCTCGGCAAGTGTGACGCCCCTACGCTCCTTTGTCAAGGAAGCAAAAGAAATGGAAGTATGTCCACACCCCATGTGACACAACCTCATGCAGCAACAACAAATGTGCCAGGGAACAGGACAAGAAAAAAGACAAGGCGCTTGCGTGTGAAACAAGATTAAAACGGCCCGATTAGATCTTTCTCTATTTTAAGGCAAAAAAAGTAAGTTGACCCCAAAATAAATTTTTACGAGCGTACCATAATGCTTAAAGATTTCCCTATTCAGTGCACGGAATTCTACAATTCAGCAAACACATTCTTATAGCACTGAAAGAACAAACCAACAAAAAACTAATAAACAAAAAACTAACTGTAATAAAACTGACGTCTCAAACACAACTGTGTTTGAGATGCTGTGTGGCTATCCATTCTTTCTTTTTTTTATCTTTTATTATATTTGCTCGATTTCACCTGACGAGCCAAGCACTTGCTTCCTACTCCCAAAATTCTAGCTAGCAAAAAAAAAAATGTTTGTATGAAATTTTGTTGCATTTGGCACCTACAATTTTTCTCCATCTATAATATTTCGCTGGAACATTTTCAGCATCTTACATGATCTCTAAAGAGGAAATAGTTGAAAAAATATGCAGATTAATTAACCATATTGATCAAACAGAATTTAATTGTTACGAAGTCGCCGAAAAACAAAATCTTTGGCGGAATTTGAACTGCGGGTCTCCCAATGTGCACCACATCACCTCGTCGTTTTGGCACTTGCTATTAATTTTATTAATGCATCAAAATGTAATCTACCTAATCAGAGGCGTTCTGAAACAAGGTGCCTACCGAACAGAGTCTCGTAGACTTTTCCAGATTTTCTCCGAATATTAAATACCCCGACCATCACTACAAAGAAAACTCAGAGGATGGGTTTACAGCAGCTGTTCCCTTTTAATCCGGTGAATCAGGGCTTACGCTTCCCCAGCGATGACCAGCACGAAAGCCATCTAAGCAAACCGCACGCCACACCCTCCTACTTCACCATGTCACTGCGCCACCCACACTGGTCACTTTTGCTGACTTTAGCAATTTCCTGAAAAATCCCCGACATTCACTGACGCTTTGAGATTTCCTGACAATTCCAGGTTGGTAGACACCCTGTGAAAGCATTCACCGCTGTGTGCAACACAGTACGACGGCACATGATATGTGCCATGCACGTATGTACTACACCGACTGTTTATTGTTTGAGGTTTAGTCACCCCATTTGAAAATTCCCATAGATTCCAATTGGAATTTCCAATTGGTACCAGTTAGGTTTGTGGACAACCAATTGGTCACTGCAATGGGAACCATTTGGAACCCATTAAGCTTCCAACTGATTTTTTTTTTTAAAGTGTACTTCCAATTGGAAGCCACTAAAACCAATTGGTTCCAATAAAAACAAGATAGAATTCAAATTGGATCTATTTATAATTTTTAGCTGGGACGGCATCATCATCTGCGAGAGTAAAGAGTCATATTGAATGTACAATGGGGCATTCGCAGCATCTTACATGGTCTCCAAAGAGGAGATAATTGGAAAGATAAAATCCTTGTCGGCGCTGGGATTCGAGCCTCGGGTCTCCCAATACCGGTCAGCTATGCTAAACACTGCATTGCACCGAACTTTAAGCGCACCACGCCATGGGCGGATGCAGTGCGTCCGGAGTTCGAATCCCAGTTTCCCAAAACAGTTTGTCTTTCGGCGGTTCTGTAACAATTATTCTATTCAATCAGTACGGTTCAATATTTCTGCTTAGTTTCGAGGCGAAGAATCAGCAACCAAGTAACTAAAAAGACGGATCCCAACAGTCGTACGCTCTTTAACACATGAATCGATCAATTCGTACGCAGGCCGGCGCCCTTTGCGCGGGGGTCACAGCCAGGGTGAACAATCGGTCGAGCCTGCAGCGAGCGGCCGTGCCCAGGTTTCCACGTGTGCGCTGCGCGGCGATAAACGACGGCACCGTCTTTAACTCATAGTAATTAAGGCCACACACCTCGAAATCTCGAGTTTCGTAGACTCACTACGCTGAGCTAAAAGTAACTTAATCCTGAACCACGGACATCAAATAAAGTAGACACAAACAGGGGTGTCCTTCCGATGGCACTGGGTCAGTAGGTTCGTTGCGGTCACCTTGCTGCACAAAATTTTGCCGGAAGAGAAATCAATCGAAGATGGGCGAAAGTTTCGGACAAGGTAACCGTTTCGATCAATTGATCCCGTCGGATTTGTGCGCAATGAAAATGGCATGTTCAAGGTCGAGATATCAAATGAGGCGACGCAACGCTTGCGTCAGCCTGCATGCTCTTCCGTGACCGGAGATTTACTTTGGAACCCACCATACACGTCAGGATGATGGGACAAGAGCCGGCGGTTTGGGGCCCTAGGTTGGCCTTATCTTTCGCGGGGGTGGTCAGATCCGTTAGAAGCCGGCGAGATCGTCTCCAGCCTCTTCGCCCAGCAAGTTTTCATTCATTCCTTAGGCCTCGCACATCGCGCCGTTTTAAAGCCCCTTACTCGCACAAAGAGGTTTTTAAATGAGCAGAAGCTCGGCACTTTGTGCCCGCAGTTTACGGCAACACACCCCGTAAATTCCTAATTCGCTAAGCGAATGAATAAGGTATCTACGTGGCTTACCCTGTGGAAGTGCGAGCTTGACTTCTCCAGCCGCCGCCTGGCTCACGTGAAGAAGGTGACCGCCGCAAAACCTCCTCTTGGCAGCAGACACGCTGCGCAACGACCGCGCTGCGCATGCGCGGACCTCTCTCGCGCGTGCGCAGAGCGCGCGTATTGTGCGTCGTCGTCTGCTTTAATGCGATTAGTGATGACGCAGTTTTGACGTCATGGGATATATTACGATTACGTAAGGCAACGCTTGGCGTGATAACGACCTCGGGTACCTCACAACGGGCGGCGGAGAAAAGTTCTCCAAAGAATAGCTCACCGGCAGAACCGGCAGTGTGGAGAAAAGCTCACCAATCATTAAGAAAAAAAAAATATTCGACGATTTTTTTTTTTGCTTAGCGGATCGTGCGTCACACGTGACAATGTGACAGAATTCGACACTTCAAAATAGTAATCGCCTACTTGCTTATTAATGATGCTACAAGCTCATATGAATAGGGGTGTGTGAACAGTTTCAGCTCCGAAGATTGTGTGGTGCCTGATCGATGAGTAGGTGTTTGCCGATGTTATCAGTGTCGGTTACGCTGTTTCTTTCCGTCTTTTTACTAATAGAGCGTTAGATGCAAGAACAGCTTCATCGTCTTGTTCTTGTTGTCTTCACTCCGTCTTCGTTCTTTGAGCTGTTTCCATTATGCATAACGTTTACCAACTTGCCGAATTCGCTAATGGCGCTAGTTTGCAGCTCTGAAGGTCATGGGTGGTCCGCCGTAGAAGGGCACTATCACACAAAGGCAGCATGTGTCAAAACCAGCATGAATGGCTAGAAAACGTGCATGTCTATGGAAGGAAGAAACCTCAATATCTTACTAACTGTTCTATCCCGTTTTCAAACATTATCAAAAGCTTCGAAGAGAATTTCAGGCACCGCATTGTTGCGCACGCACTCTCGGATTTTAGGCATTTACAGTTTTGCTTTTTAGATTTTAGGCAGACTTTATTAAGTTTTCAAATTTTTCCGTTTTCAATTTCAAAATGTTTTCAGTTAGGCTTTCGTTGCCTAGAGAGTGAACCACAGAAAACACTCGCCCGCAATTATAAGCTTAACAAATATTGGAAAAAAGGACATTTTTTTTTACAAAACTGACAAATTTTAATGATAATAAATTGATGTATGTTACACATGATGTGACAGCCTCGTATGAAAAGAAGAAAAAAAATCTGTGAGCTTGTCTCCGCATCCACTGGTTTTACGGTGAGCTTTTCTCCGGGATTTTTCAGAACCGAGCCAAAATCTTGGGAGAAACCTGTTGCTAGCAGTACAATAAATAAAATTAAGGTAAATTTTGGACGCCATGACTGATCTGAATCCAGTCTGCTCCAGCAAAATCTATCAAATTCACACCAAGTTTAAGGTCAAGAAGGGATTAGTAAGGACTCAGCACCATATCCACTGTGTCCAAGGGTTTCCCCAGGAATTTATATTAGGGGAAGGGGGGAGGGGTCTAAATTTTTAGAGGGGGAGTTGGGGGGGGGGGGGGGGGGGTATGAGTCGTTGCAAACTAAGGGGGTGCCTTCAGAAAAACAAGAGGGGGAGTACACCCCCACAAGGGGGGTGTAGGGAAATCACTAACTGTGTCAGCAATTACAGGGTGTTCCAGAGCGCTCTTCATGGATGTAAAGAGAATAGCATAAATAAGCTAATGAACAGAGTGTGACTAAACTTTTCAGGAAAGTGTCTTTAGGTAGTGCATTTATCATTAAAAAAAAAAATCAATAGGACGGAAAAAATAAAAACAAACCAGATAGTTTGTTTCAATTTTCTGTGCTGTGCATAAGAATGATATGCTTTTCTATAATTGAAGTGTTTTCCTGAAACCTGCACTCACAAATTTTTAGCATTATAAATGCACCCCCTAAAGACACCCTTTTGAAAAGTTCAATTGGACATTGGCACATTTTTTTTTTTCTTTTACGACTGCATAGCATTTGGGAAGAACCTATAAGTATGACTATTTAAGCCACTGTTGATTAGTTGTCTGCTATTCACAAACTTTTTAATTAAAATCAAAAGATTCATTTCATCTGGAGGTTCATCTTCTAAAGAAATGTTCTATATAAAAAAAAACAAACAACATGTATAACACATAGCGATGAAATGCATCCCGCATAAAATGAATGTGTATTGTTGAGTCTGAAATCGCTTGGCCATTTGCCCTCTTGAGTTTCGGTTTTGTCGCACATCAGCTGGGCGATCGACGGTCTCTGTGTTTATGCTTCTTCTTGTGCTTTTCTTTCTTGTGCTTTTTAGATTTCTTCTCCTTCCTGGAAGAGCAGAAGATATGAAATCTGAGAAATCGAAAAGAAACCAACCCCAGTCCAAATCACCCTTTGAACTCTTAGCCAGGGGAAGATTTATGGGTCAGGTTTTCGAGGGGGGGGGGGGGGGGGGGGGGCAGTAGGCATTCAGCCGGCGGGTTGGGGGTGTCTACTGAGATATGATGTTACGGCCGAAAGGTTATCCAGACCTATTTTGTTGACCCAATATTTGCTATGTTACCAAAAACTGACATTTTGGCTGGTGCATATCAATTTTTTTCAATACAAAAAATTCTTTTGGGGGGCTTAAGATAGGGAAGGGGAGGGAAGTGGTTGTCCCCCCCCCTCCCCCCACTTGCCCCCTTTCTAAATTTGCCTCTGCTGCTAGCTGTACATTTTAATTTCTCATTAATCCTTACTTGCATCGGCATCATTCACCTCAAACGGTCAAAGTGGAATCCACCATTTTTAAAATCACTGTTCCAAAAGTATTTGGTAAAACGTGTGGTACCAGTCCCCCACTCTCTTCGCTTCAGCAGAGCGAACATTAGAGAGAAGGCGAGGAGGGACTCACCTCCTATCCAGTGTTCCCTCTGCTAAAGTGGAAAGGGTGGAGAACTTTGTGGGAGGCACTTGTCCTGGGCTCTTAAAGGGGTACTCCGCCGATTTCTTCATGATCCCCGATTTGCTTGAAATTTTGCTAAACTCGCCAGACAACATCGCCAAAATAGTATCCCAAATATTAGGTCAAAATAATTTTTTTTCACGAAGTTATTGAATTTACAATTTTAGTCCTCACCGTGTTTTTCAAACTGAAAGTCTCTACTGGCAACAATGAAAAAGTGACGTCATTGGAAGTGCAGGGGTTCATTCTTTGGACTGTGGAATTTGTTCCCAACTGATTCGAAGCAGTTTCATGGTGTCAAATGAATGCTTTGGAAGCTCGCTCCAGTCCCCGCGCTCCAGCACGGAACAAATGATTGGCATATTCTATTTTTTAGACTGCTCGCCCGACTGGCAAGCTAAACTTCCAGTGACGTCACGGCCCTGAAAAGGGCGGGTATATTTGAATGTTTGTTTTTGCATCATTTTCATTTGCCGATTTCGCAATAACTATTATGAGTTTCACGATACTAAATAGCATACCAGAAAGGGCAAAGGCCGGGGAGTCAGAAAATATAGTTAGTTGAGGTAGCTCAAAAATCGGCGGAGTACCCCTTTAAAGGGACACTGACAGGGTATTTATGCTCGCCGAGGTTGTTAGTTGTACGTGACATATGAGGGCTCAACTACCCAGAACAGAATTTGCGGCTCGAAATTCGGTTTCTTTCCGCCCGAAAACCGCCGATCAAGAATTGGCCGGTTCGAGTCTCGCTCACTCTCTTTTTCGCGGTCACGGGCCGTTTTCTAAGGTATCGATGCGACCACCAAATTTAATCAAAGTCGTGGGTCACTGAAGGCACACACTCAATATTAAAAATAGAAAAAAATATAAAACCCATTTTTTTTGGCTTCTAAAAAGCTGTAAATACGTTGATTGAAAAAAAAAAGTTCCACAGACAACCGGAAGCATTCTGTGCGTTCGTCGTTTCGCGTATCGTGGGACTCGCGGGGACGGCGATGGCAGCGGACGACGGGTGTGGGACCTCTATTTCAGAACTGTCGTTCGCGGTACCGGCGAATTCTGTCTACCGTTAAATGAGAAATTTGGGACTGATCAAAAGAATTGGTATTCATCCCGTACGACACGCCCGGCCACCAAGCCGATTTGCACGAAGACGTCGCCGAGCCGTCGCTCCCTTCTCGTGGCTGAAGACAACGCTCGCGCAAACGTCAAGCACGACGTGTCTACTTCGAGTTGAATATGCACGCGTACGATTTCTTTACTAGGTGCGAATGTCCCCAAAGCGTGGTGCTTCCCGACTTCGACCCGGGAGTGCTTTTGCTAGAGAAAAATCGACAGCAAACTTTCAAACTTACAGTTTACCGGCTGAAGTATTACTAAGGAATGTGATCCACCAGAAACGAGATGCCCCAGTAGCTCAGTGGGAAAGACGTCCGCTTCACACGCCGTAGGTCCAGGTTCGATCCCCCGTGAATTTTTTTTTTTTTTTTTTTGCAAACAATTTCCGATGTTTACATATCTTTTTTTTTACAATCATCACTGAAGAAACAAACAAAAAAATAACAAACAAATGTTGTGGACGATACTTCGCTGAATTAAACGGTATGGGATTTCCGTTTTGACACCTGCGAACTCAATGTAATCACTTTCCACAAAATGCAAGGAGCATATAAATCAGGTAGCGTCCGCTTTCCGAGGTGTCCGTAAATGTTCTACAGGAATTGCAGCCAGCCATTGGTCCCGATCCCGTTGATCTTTCGGCAATGCCACTTTTTTTCGGATGCAGGACATGTGAGCCAGCTCTTCACGCAACATCTTGGGTTTATTCTTTTCGGAGCCGATCATGGAAATTCACCACGGGCACTCACTACTCATCTCTAACTTCTCAATGTACAAAACAACTCATCTTGGAGTACATAACAACGAGCGGAACAAACATAACTGCAAAAGAATCGCACGGCAAGCAGTTCCCGCACGCCGCATGTCGTGTCGTCTGCTACCGGAGAGGAGAAAAAAAAAAAAAAAAAAAAACCGCACGGTCGGGTGTAGCTACGTGACTTCCGCCAGTCACTCTCTTCTCTCCACTTCTCCGACCTCCGTCGGGTTTCGGTTTCGGTTTCGAGCAGTTGCGTCTTTTGGCTTTATTAAAAAAATACGCTACTCTGTTGCAAAATATTAATTAGGTAGTCCTCCGACACCATAATAAAGCACCTGGCAAAAAATAAAAAAATTTTTTTGGGGGGTGTCAGTGTCCCTTTAATCTATCACCGACTAACAATCCTGTTAGCTAAAGGTCGCTTTTGGGCCCATTGCAGATCATCTTAGCTCCCCAAATCTGTACAAAGAAGCCTTCTGTCCTGTCCTTTTGACCAGCACACAAAGAGGAAGGGAAAAATGAACAAATGTACCCTCAAACTGCTATTTTGACAGGTGTTTCAAAAATCGTGAATTATAGTGGTAATTTAGCAGAGCTGGCTCATGACATTCAATAAGAACTAAAAGCAATAAAAAAGACAAGCAAATGGAGAAGCAGCACTTGTTTCATCAACTTATATACTGTCTGTTCTTTTTGTTCTGCTTTAGCTTTATTTGGGATACCACAATCCACCTCGGGTGGAAGTAATTTCTTTTTTTTTTTGTGTGTAATTCTTCTCTATATTGGAGACCACCTCTAGTCTTTTAATCATTCAAGGGCAATGCAACAAATTTTTAAGTGTTCATTTATTACGGAAATCAGCAGATCTTTTCGGTGTTTGTTTATTTTTCAAGTACTGGCGCGTTTTGGTGATCTGTTTAGGACAGATGCTAAAAATATTATGAAAGACTCGGAGCTCAAGTTTAAGGAAGAAGGGGGGGGGGGAGCGAGTTGACAAAAACAATCATAGTTGGAGTGAAATTTCCGAGAAATAGGATGTTTTTCAATCATGCTCACCCCTGGCCCGCCTTGCGCTTCTTGGAGGAGTCCCCGTCCTCTTGGGGGCGCGGAGGTGCGGGGGATACAAACTGGACGCCCTCGTGGGAACGCTTGCCCCTGGATGAGAAGTCGCCTCTGCACACAAAGAAAACGTCAACATGACGAGCTCAACTCGGCCGGAAAAACGGGAGAGAGATCTCGGAGGTCTCATTTCGGACTGAAATGGTGACAAGGACAACCGAAGGTGGTGGCATTGCCCCTTTCCCGCACCGCCGTAGGAAAAATCGAATCCAAACCAATCATGGGCACCTGGCACGCCCCGGCGGAGGACGGGTGAACAACTTCGACCACCCGGGGACCCTCCGACGAGGAACCGAAATCTCGGTACGTCTGCCACAAGCTTCCGTTGAATTGCGGACACTTTGGCTGAGATACGGACCCGCCGCCCGGGGATCCGTAGACCGGCGTTTTGCCCCGCTGAGGCAGCCGCACCGTCGGGGCAAAGACAGTGCTAACGCAGAACGTACGGCGATGTCTCGTTAATACAGACACCTCCGTTTCCCCAAAAATTGTCCACAACGCGAGTTGACCACGACGACGGGACGAAAATGCACGTAGTAAATGTAGTATTTAAATTTTTCCATTTTAGTAATTGCCACACTAACCAGATGGCGCCACTGACCGCCACACCATATCGCTGTAGCCAGGCGGCGCTACACTTCATCCATTGGGCCGTGCGCCCAGGTGGATCTCCCCCGGGGCGGTTGGCCCCCGGGCTGTTTCCCTCTGAATAAAGTAGTACGTGTTCTGACCTCGACCGATGTAGACGTCCCTTCCTTCCGGGTCGTTCCCGCCTCGGACCCGCCGGTGTTCGCCGCCCCACCTCGGCATGTGAGACAACATCTTTCAGCAGGCCGCCTCGGCGCTGCTTCTTTTCCTTTCTTTTTTTTATTTATTGGGCTCTCCGAATCACAACAGTAAACACATGCATTTTAGGCATCATAGATAATAAAGGACATAGATAATCAAGAACTTGCTTTTTCTGGAGAATATAACACCTTCCGCAAAGACAGACTTCATTCAAGAGGCGGCGGGATTGTGATTGCAATGAAAAATGTGCCCTCGTCCGACCTCTAATAAACTCTCAACTGCTTGCCATATCTTAGAAACCATTAGCAACAATATTGTTGTTCTTGACATTTGGGTTTGTGTGAAACTGGTGCGTTCCAACCTTATCCCTGGAGTGTGGTATTGTCCACAATCTTTCTCTGGGCAGTTCAGTGACAAACTGACGGACAACATAAACTGTGTAATCAGTAGTTGTCTCAAATGACCAATCATGTTGGCCGGAGACTTTAACTATCCGGTGATCAACAGGAGCGACTGTTCGCTTCTCGCAGGCTTTTGGGATCCACCTGAGTGCCGAGAGTCTTTGTCAGTCTCTCAGTTGTGCAACCTCACTCAAATTATTTTAAATCCTATACAGGGGGGGGATTCTGTCCTTGACCTGCTATTTTCATCTCACCCTAAAATGTATTTATGCTTTGCCCTATTTCAGAAACCATTAGCGACCATAACGCTCTTCTTATGAACTCTACATTCCTTCCGGCTAAGGAAAATATTGTTAGAAAAATGTTTCTAAACTTTTCCAAGGTGGATGCCAATAAACTGCTATGTTCTTCTGAACCTTTCTCAAACGATACCTGTAACTTTCCGACACTCATTCTGTATCTGAGAACTGGGAGCTATTTAGGGATAAAATAACAAACTGTCAAGGAGGTTGTTCTGGTGGTTTTCATTAATAAAAACTTATCGAGTCCTTCGTTTAATCCCTCAACCGTTTGGACAAGCCTAGCCTGTCCACCTAAAGCCATCCCCAAACCAACTTGCCCCTTGGCTGTTTTGGACGACCCATGCTCATTCAGAGCTTAGTATGTGGCACTGCTCAGAGATGGCAGCACGTGGTTTTATTGTATGTTTTTAAGGATGACGACCGATTGTGGAGACACGTGTGGCTGAGCCGCAAGTGCAATACGAAAGAAGAAAAAAAAACTCTAAAATCAAAAATTTTAAAAAGAGAACAAAAATCAGTTAAAGGGTTAATAACTATTACAAAAAAAGTTTGAACAGGAAGAAATGGCTATTCTCTTCAGCCAATTCAAGAAACACTCCTGTCTCGTCTAAACACAAAACTTACAAGCTAAAGAAGATTAAATTAAAATTTCTGAATCGCAATTGGACTAATCTGTTACTAATGCAAGAGAGTTCTTGCTAGTGGTCTCACTTAGTAAACGTAACCCCTCACCCATTCTCCATGACAGTGGCGGAATAATTGTCGTTTCATGACTTATCACCCACATTTAACTCATTCTTTAGCTCAGTATTCACGGATGGGTCATTCCCACTACCTCAGGCATTGTCCGTGCCAGCAGAAGCATGGATGATATAACATTTACACCATACGGAATAGCAAATGCCATGAAACGTTTGCATGCGAATTCGACTTGTGGGGAAGATAACATGACCTTGATTTTTCTTGAAATAACCAAAGACAAAATATCAATTCTTTCATGTCACCTTTTTCAAGCTTCATTTGATTTGTCAGATTTACCGCTCGATTAGAAAGTTGCAAAAGTCATCTCTGTGTGTAAACATGGCAACCGCAATGACCCTTCAAATTACGGACCCCTCTCTCCGACAAGTATTCCATGTAAAATATTCATAAAAATGTCAAGTCATGGACCACATTTCATAACTTCAGCGATCTTCTCCCTCACCAACATGGCTTTCACAAACATCCTTCTTGTGATAGTCAGTTATCTAAATTCGTAAGAGATCTACACAATAACTTTACCAACTCTTGTACTACGGACACAATTTTTATTAATTTTGCTAGAGCATTTGATACTGTTCTTCATCAATGCTTACTTCTAAAACTTCCTCAATTAAACATAAATGCTCAAATCATCAGTTGGATTTTATGATCTCTCTCAAACTGTAAGCAGTCTGTGTTTATAGATAACAGATCCTCAGAGTTCCACAGGGCAGCATCTTAGGTCCACTTATGTTTCTCATCTATATAGACGACTTACCTTCACTGATCTCATCATCAGTAAGGCTTTTTGCTAATGACTGTGTACTCTGCTGCCGAATTTTTCATCCTAGCAAATCAGAGTTCCTTCAATGTAACACTGACATTTTGGTTGAATGGTGCTTAACTTGGCAAATGAACATCAATGATATTAAAACTAAGCTCATTTACTTCAATTCCTCAAACCACCACACTCCTTTCGACTCAATTTTTTGCAATCCCATTTTATCCACTCACTCATACAAGTACCTAGGTATCACTTCTACCGAAGATCTAACCTGGAATGCTAACATCGAAAACATAGTTACCTCATCATTAAGAACTCTGGGATTTCTTAGAAGGTATTTATACCTTGCACAACAGGACGTTAAACTTACTGCATATAAAACCCGCGTTAGATCAAAACTTGAATTTGCTAGCTCTATATGGGCCCCTCATCAACCTTACTTCATTAATAGACTAGAATCAGTTCAGAATAAGGCCGTCTGTTTCATTTATCGAAACTACAGTACGAAAACCAGTGTCTCCCAACTAAAAAATCTCACTAACTTAGCTTCTCTTGAATCTCGCCAGACAGTCGTTTGCCTTACCCTCTTTCATCAGTTTTATTACAACATGCTCACTCACTGTAAGCCTGCCTCATACATTTCTTTACATCATGATCATTCCTTAAAAATTTAACCCATATTTGGTCACACAAATAGATACAAATACTCTCCTCTTGCTGTCTATGAAAAATTGGAATTCTCTCCCAAATGACATAGTCACTGACTACGATGAAATCATATTCCGGGAAAAATCTTGGGCTTCAGTACTTAGACATATTTTCAATGCCATGTCGGCTTGTGTTCGCTAAAAATTGCAGTTTGTGCTCCCAGTTCTCATGCTCAGTGGTATAAACTTTGTTCTGATTTCCATACAGTTTTTTTCTTTATTAATCTTTTTAACCCATGTTGTTTCTTTGATTGCCATTGCAATTGTGCCTTTGTTTCTATTCCCCCCCCCCTCTCATGTAATACATTCAAATGAGTGTGTCTGAGGCGAATAAAACTTGAACTTGAAGGTACTTTGATCCCAAAATATCAATCTACATACTGGGGTATCAATATTAATGGGGTCTGTATTAACAAGACACAACTGTATCGTACGCAGCTTTGCAGAGAAGTTACGGAGACGACATTTTATCGGCATTCTGAGCCTCAACGATGTCAACGTCGCCGTGCAAAGCATTGTGAAGAGACGTTATACACGAAGACTCGGAGGTGTCGAGCTCACTCACTCAACACATGGGTAATGAGGCCACGGTGTTAAGATTCTCAACATCGCCTACCGGAAGCCAGCACAGAGCACAGCTTAGACACGAGTTACGGTTAAATGCAGACGTAGCAACCACGGGTCGCTTTTCTGCTACGGGAGCGTATTACAAGAGGCGGCTAGGCGCAGCCATGGAGGGCGGTTTCACGAAACGTTTCGGGTAAGGCACGTCCTGCCACGTCGATGAATGGCGTCTGCCACTTTCCCTGCTAGTTTGCGCGCAAACGGTTAGTTATTGGCGTCGCATTTGGCGTCAGTGAAACGCACGAGCGTGGCGAGCGGCTCCGTCGAGGACATAACTCGGAGAGTATGACCGGGGATGTATTTGGGCTGCATAAACCTGCGCTTACTCCGCTTTTTTTTCTTTTGACGTCGCCCTGGCGGCATTTACCGCAACCGTTTGAGCTGCCAAAGGGGTCGACATCTCTATCGCCTGATCGCCTTAACGAATAAAGATTGGTTTATATAAAAATAGAGCGCTGGCCGACGCCCTTTTGCATTCCCGAATAATCTGGCTGGTGCGGTCGATTATGATGCGAAAAAACTCAAACAATATAACACTGCCTCCACGTATAAAGAGACACCGGGAAAAAGTTATTTACCGTGGCGTCTGGCAAGGTTTTAAACTGGAAGTATGTTACGTGAGACCGCTCTATAACACGTGCTGCAAAAAAAAGAGGACTCCCGTCATAACTGCCATTAAAATATGTCGAAATCGAAACACACAATGTTATAAAAATACTCAGTCTTGATAACGAAAATCGGGATGAGTGTCCAAAGAAACAAGGCATAGACCCTTCACCTAGCATTTGTGCCGACGCCGGAGACGCGGTCGGTCTCAAAATCGTCCCTCTTGCTGTCGGATCGACGAAGGGCTTCGGTCACCTCCTGAAAGAGTGGTAGAATGGGTCACAGTTACCTCCCAATACGAAGACAATGAGCATGTAGCCAATGTTTTCCAAATCAGTAATAGTATGATTTTTGAGTCTGCAAACTATACATATTTAGAAGTCATCATTTCATCCTGTCTGGAACATCTACAAGTGTGGACTATATGAACATTTTATATTTCGAGGCTCAGTTCTCACCACACATTTCCAGGGTGAATGTTGGGAACACAATGTTTGATGCCAAACATTAGTCAGCGTGTTGCCTACACTCTCAATACCCTCGCGGGCAATGTACACGGCAGCTTTCCCAAGTGGACAATGTAGATTGATTTTAAATCTTAAAGGGGGGTGCAATGTTTTCTGGACTTCGGTCAAATATTTCTTGAAGTTGCCCTCTGACACTTCTGAAGTAAAGAACAGAAAACCGATTTCACCTGCGTGTCCTAGTTGTTGTGTAAAAAAAAAAAGATAAATATTGGCATTTCTGGCACCCCTCAACTCACTCCCATCCATCAGGGTCACACCTAGTCCCCCTCTTAGTGACGTAACTTGGGGTGCCGTGTAGCTTCCCATGTGCTCCCTCGGAGGACGCTTCCTCTCCCTCTCTCTGCAAACATTAGCGGGCGTTATGCTGCAGCTTAGAGCCGAGCGCGGTCACGTAATTTTTTCGCCGTAGTTCCTTCGGCTGCCACTTGGGGCTGTAGGTGGGGGAAAAAGCTCGACTTTTGCTTTGCGATTATGCAGCGGAATTGCGACATTTTTAATGAAGGAGGTGTTTTTTCTATCCTCCGGGACACGATAAACAACATAAAAATGACGACATGCAAATTATTTTAATCATAAAATCGTTGCACCGCCCCTTTAAAAAAAAAAAAAAAAGAAGGAAAAAAATTGTTCAGCCTTTCCACTCTCGTGAAAAAGGAAGACCAGCGGAGCTGTACTCGATACACTGTGTGCTTCCTCTTCGTCGTCGTCTGTTTTTCGCGCTGTTTCCTACGATGAATTCCCACCAACGCGCCCAACTATCAATTCTTCTATTATAGCTGGAAAGGTTGCCGCCATCTACGAGCGACGGCGGAAACCATACTGGTTCTATGCTTGCCGCCGTCGCTTATAGATGGTGGTAGCTGTCCAGGTAGGTTTGTGTCGACATACACGGACAGAATCCTGGGGAACTTAGCCCTTAATAGCTCCGCTGTAAAAAAACTGAAACAGAAGAACATACAAGTAAAAAAACTGAAACAGAAGAACATACAAGTCATAAACACAAAATGCCTTCTGCAAAATGTTTGTTGTAACCCAATGAAATAAAAACCTCTTCCCTGGATATCAACTTAGTAAGTTAAAACTTATCCTTTCAAAAACACACAAACGAAGAAGGGCACCTATTTTTACTTAAAATCAACCACCTTTTCAAACACCTGTTCTTAGCGTCAACCATTCTGTGCTACGGTGTGAAGGCTAGCATGGCTTACACAGCACTCCAATACTGTTCAAACCACTTGCGCGAGCGTGTGCGAATGAGATGCAAGATGAAGCCACAAGCTCTTGCGGTAGCGCGAGATTACAGCACTGTGAAAGCTACTACAGTAGTACCTTGTTGATACATTTTTCAGGGGATCGCGAAAAAAAAAAGTGTAATCCGGGAAAACGTAAAAAAACAAGAAGGCCCCAAGGGCTGGGAGCTTGGTAGGAGCGGCGGTTTTTAACATAAAAGCCGGAAACATATCTAAGATGGTTCTACTGTATTGCCTTGACAGTGCAGCATGGAATAGTTTATGCCGAGTACAGTCTCCATTCCGAGAAAACCAATTCAGGCAGCCTGTTTATGGGCAACAACATCCATCAGGGCCATAAGAACGAATAAAAGGCCCCACTTCCAGTCAAATCCAGTGAACCCTGTGTATGTGGAAAAACGACTTACCTCCCTCGACAAAGGCTGGTGCGTTGGCTTAGCTGGCACCGAAAACCCCCTACAAAAAAAAAAAGCAAACAGAGCACACATGAGACACGTCCCAGCAAATAACCAGAGTCCGGCATGGAGAGAAATTTCGATATTCACATTCAAAGAATTTGTATCCACATTCAGACCGTACAATGTTTCCCATTACACCTCAGGTGTGGACAGCAATCTCGTCGAGCGAGTGTCTGTGTAAACTAAACCTTTCCAGTACCTCACATTTCCTGCCTCTAGTTTTCACAACATAGTGCAAAAACATCCATGCCACGTTACGAGAAAGCATCGCACAAATTACATCCACATGCGGACAGAAAGCTTCGCAGATGCCTGGAGTTTGGGATGTTCATCATTGAAGAGGGGGCAGCAGGACCACCAAAAGGTCACATCCTGTGACCAGAACAATCACACGTGCTAAAAGGCACAATCCACAAACCTCTGCAAACTTTGCATATGTTCCGGCAAGATATCCGAGCCAAGAAATGACTGTCTTTTTAGCATTCCCTAAAGGTGTTGAAGATACGTAGCATTCAGAACGCCTTGTCCGTGAACACTGTCCGTAAACTGGTGCTTGAACTGCCCGTCGACCGCCGTGTAGTGGCAATTGGCTTTCTGTCGTGGCTGGTCCCGGTATTCTCATTTTGCAGCCGCATTCCTCGCCCCTCCCTCTTCATCTTAGGTGGCACACAAAAAGTAAGAGAAGTCGCAATGATCATAATCTAACTGAAGCAACCAAAAAAGTAAGTCAGTTAAAAAAACAAGAAAGAAATTCAAGTAATTTTGGTTTAGAGCAACCTCGCAGAACACTTTTTCTGTGGAGCAAGGCTAATGCATCACATTCTTTGGATGCCACATATCCGAGGGATGCGTCTGGCGGTCTTTTCCCTCGATCGCCCCGTCAGAGGTCAACTCGATATCATTATTACTTTTGTGGGAGCACTCACAGCGCGCTCAGCATAGCCTCTTCCTCTGCCTTCTTGGCGGCCGCCAGCTCGCTTTCCCGTGCCGCGGCCCTTGCCTCCGCGCCCTGGGCCTTGGGGTCCTTGGCGTACCAGGTCAGGTCCTTGCCCTTCTGCCAGCGGCCCACGGGGGCCCTGAGGGAGTGCCCTGGCAGGGAAGGACAGACCCCAGGGTCCAGCTTCAACTGCTCTCGCCACACGCGGCTGCTATAGCCGCAGACCCAATTAGAATGGTTCGAACGGTCGCAGACACAATTCTTATTCTGTCAATGACTACAGATAGCGTCATTTCAAACTCGCACTCTACAAGAACACTTAGCTAGATCTATAGTTCAAACTCTCTCAAACAAAAACACAGTGAGGGTGCAGGCAAGCTGGTGTAAGTTTACCACTATGTTAAAACACCTGACCTCTTTCCCTATCTCTTCTACTTTTGGTTGTTTCAAGGTTCTTTTCACATCCAGTCGCAGGCGTTCTGACATAATGGTCTCTCAAAGTCTCTTGTTTCTTTTCAGCCCCCTTTAGCCCATTGCATACCCATGTCAAACGTTGGTTCAGTTAGCAACATGTCTTTAACGAGGCTCGAATGCAAGTCTGACCCGTGCATGGGTTTTGGTCCGTATGTCAACACTTTGTAATAATATAGTAATAATAATATTGTTGACAATATTCTTACTTGTACATCAAACTAGTACATGCATGGTGCACAGGGCTAAGAAGACAGTAAATCTCAATACTTAGAGATTGGATCCGGTGTTTCTGGTGCAAAAGCAGCTAGGCTATGGAGTGGGACAGATTCACAAAAGAGGTGTCTCTAATGTTGAGATGACTAGCGCCACCGCAAGTTGAAGCTAGTCATTCCCGTGTTCAGTGAAAAAAAAATACTTCTGTATTCAAAAAAAAAAATGTTGAGCTTGGACAGGGTTAAGAATATGCGAATCTCTACAAAAGGTCAAGGTGCCAAGTTTGTGCAGAAAGATTCTTTGCAAAAGGTCAAGGTGCTGAGTTTGTGCGGAGGTGAGAAATTTTCAGAAACACTTTAAATCCTAAGATAAAGAAATAGGCCAGTTGGTATATGTTAAGCACAATGAAAAACTTACGTTGCTCAGGAACAAAAATGTAGAAAAGGAACATGCACAACGTGACAGGAGTTGACTTTGAACTGAGGTTTTAAAACGTTACTAATACCGTATTACAACCTCAGTTACGAGTCAGTGACGGTTAGAGTGACCACCTTCCTGCCGGCGAAATGCGGGACACCCTGACCAAGGGGGGGGGGGGGGGGGGGGGAGTAGGAGAGGGCGGTATTTTTACGACTTAAGAAATAAGTAGTAAATGAAATTCTCCAACGCACACCCCGAAATCCTGTGCTGTCCCAAAGCCTATTATATACATGAAAATTGTACAAAATTGTACGCGGCAATTAAACTAAGAGAAGTTTCACTCACAGTGATATATTTTTGTTTAATCTAATAGTAAATATTATATTAAAAGTTTCGAAGTTGAAAATATAAAAATTGACTGCACCAGACCCCAATGCATCAAAAGGAATTAGGAAACAGTAAATATTTTTTGGCTTACTGTTTCATGTCGATACTTACACTTATACTAAAATGCTCGTACACAAAAATTGAACCTTATGTTGTTGTTTTTTGAACGTTGTGAGTTGCAGGTTTTTTGCCTTGTGTGGCCGTCTTCACTAAAAAAAAAAAAAAAAAAAAAAGAAGCTTTTCACAACAACCCTTTTACATAATACAATATGATGTGCAAATAATTACAATAGTTTATTTTTCAAAATCTGGGGACCAATTTTCGCTTGCAGTACTTTGCCATCAAGGGGAGAGGCGTTTTTTTTTTTTTTTTTTTTTCTCTTCTAGTTTTTTAGGTTAGACATATTCTTATGTACTTCCAGTGACACCGATTATTGTTAGATCAACTGCCACACTACAATACAATACTTAGATCGAACCCACAGTAGTTTGTGACTCCCCATCACGACTAAATCTGAAATGAAACCTGTCTGATGAACACACTAACACAAAAGACCTTTATTTATTATTAGCGTTATCCCTCGGAGGCCACGCAAACTACCGACCCTCCGCATCCTGCTTGAGGCTTCCCCACAGTCTCCGCTCTGCCTGCATAGCATTATCTGCGCTAGTCCTTAGGATGTTTGTTTAGAAACGAGGTGGTGGTGTTCGGTATTTCAAAGCGCATCATTTTAGCAAGCCTGGTTCAGACAATCGAGTTGTTTCCGTTCAAAATGACCGAAACGACACCAAGAACATAGTCACCGGAAAAACCGTTTGCTACAGTTATTTCAAGATTCGCCGTAAAAACTTGATATTGAGAAAAATAAATAACACAATCAGTACATTTACTCTGGCAGGTTCCTTACTTCTCCGTTGATTGCGCAGCGAGACAGAGCCGTAGAGTAGCATCACTTTCCCATAGCAGCGCTTTGCTCGTAACCTCAAACATGAGTCGCCATGTTTGAGGCTAGGGAGAGGTTGGTGCAACGTCCCACAGATGGCGCACAAATCTGAAAAAAGGTCTACTCAAAGTTTGTTTGAGATGTTTCCTATGGTAACCAAGGTGCTCAGACGAGCAGTCATCTCCTACGTGCGTAACATTTGAATTTCCAATTTATTAGGAACTAAGCTTCCAGAGCTGACCCTACTGCTCAAAGACAAAAAAATAATTATAATAATATGACTGAAGATTGTAGAGGCCTATTAGAATTCTAACGTTTTTCAAAGCCCCAGACCCCACACTACACTCCGAAAGGATGAGAACGGAAGGTGGTGCTTTTCGAACGCCCGGCCTCCATGCTTTCCGCAGCACTTTGGCTGCAATAGACCTATTGCTACATTACCCAAGCATCAAGGAAAATGCAGGGAAGGGTGATCCACGGGCCACACGGGTACGCCTTCCCCGTATAAAAGATTCGAAGTAAATAACCAAAATAAAACGTTGACGAACGCGCGTTCAAGATGCCATTTGGTTTAGGTATTTGCTTTGGAAAAGTTACTACTGCTGAGGCCAGCACGTGCGGCGCTTGAAACACCATTCCCTGCATTTCCCTTGATGCTTGGGTAATTTAGGAATAGGTCTATACCACCGCACACGCTACCCGAGGAGCACGAGACGCCCAAGCGGAGTCGAAGGTAAGAAGCTCGAGATGGGGGTGGGACAACTGAAGCGCCTCCCTGCCTTTCCCACCTTGTCGGCGATGGAGTGATGCGTCTGTTGGCATCACAGATAAGTGAAAGCCCAGGAAGGTCGCATACCCAGGTAGTTCTCTCGATACTTGTCGTCTTTGACGTCGTCCCAGTTGAATTGATCAGCGCCGCCTCTGGAACCGCCGCGCACGGGGTGATACATGGCCACGGAACCTACAGCGGAACACAAACCAACCATTTTAATGCGAAGCTATGGTTGAAGTCGATTTTTTTTCAGGCAGATAAGGCGGACGACATTTAAGAGCAGCGGCCTGATCGCGGTTTACCTTTGTGGAACCGTAATGAACGAGAGATCTCAGCAGACTGTAGCTCGTTGCATCGTTGCACCCCTGTTTAAGCACCTACTTCTTCTTCTGTAGTGTTATCGTACTACACAGAAAACGAAGAGTAAATGGCGGATATCTATCAGATATGCTGTACGAGACGGACAGAAGCAAAAAATATCAGCCACAGTCATGCAAGCGCCCGAGCAAGCGTCCCACACGAGTGGCTGGTATCGGCTTGGCTCTGTTTGGATCTCCAGACATTGTTGTTGGATTCACCAGCCGGTGTTTATCAACGAGTTTCGGTTAGTGAAAGATTATATTTTGTATAAAATAATATAATTTTATATTTTATGTTTTAATTACCGCTACAAAACTTTGGAGACTATACATTACATAAAATATATTTATAACTTTTTAATTACCGTCACCAAAAGTTGGTTTCGGTTTTGAATTCAGTGGATTAAAATAAACAAAATGCAAAATGCGAAGACGGTATAAAATATTTGCCACAGTCAAGCGACGCCGTGCCTAGCGTCACCACATCCTCCTTTCCTAGTTTTAGTACGAAAGCATTAACTGTCCCATGGAGCGAGCAGACGTCATCAGCGCCGAGCCAAACGGTAAATAAATTCTCCTCTCCGAGTGAAGCCGAAATCTAATAGATAGGGCTCCCATTGGCTGGCGCGCGTCACAGTCTCGAGGAACGAGGCTCCCAATGGCCGAGGCACGTCAGTTTCAAAGAGAGCCACCCCATGGCGCTACGTGCCCGCACCAGAGCGCACCGGGAAAAGGAAGCGTTTGGCTGAACGCACGCAAGAACGTCATTCATGCTTTCGCATTCACAACTCACAAGTGCTTCGGTGTACCTCGAGTCTTTTCTTTTCCCCTTATTGTTTTTCAAGCTTCTGCAATTTACAGCTGGTGAAATTAAGCCTCCTTAAAGGCCTCAAAGGTCTCAGAGTCTTCTCTCCTGCTGTTATTTTTTGTGGTAAATTTTTATATTGATATTATTTATTGGACTTTGAAGGTAGAAATGTACAGGCAAGCTGGGGGGAACGCTGATGCCCATGCAACTAGTGTGCCCACAACACCGACCCGTGACCTCTTACAACATATGTACAATTGCACAAAATAATGAGAAAAAGGAGTATAAATAAGCTAAAAGTATAGGGGGAAAAGTTTAAACACTGTTAGAGGGGTCTCTGAAGAGCGTTTGAGCTACTACCTTCACCTCTTGGGGATCAGAGGGACTAAAAGGTTAAAACAGTGCAAAAAACGACGGACAGGGTAAAGGAGGACACAGACAGAGGGAATATGTTTGGCAAGGTCTGGAGGGAGACCCCTCCTAAGTGTAGCTGCCCTCAGCAGGCAGGGCTCCCCTTCTTGTAATGTTCAGGACATCACAGGCTGGAGTCTACCTGTTCCTCTGTTCACTCTGGGGGCTTTATAAGTTCCCGTTGGTTTAGTCCCATAATCCTGCAAAACAGCCAGACAGATGCCACTTGCTGTCGCTGGTGCAGGCTCCTCCAGGCAGCAGTCTTTAGGAGGTCACTAGAGGCTAGGGGGCACTTCTCTGTAGGGGAGTGGAACTGACGGTGGGGAAACACTGCGGCGACAGTAAGTGTAGGCGGCATGCGTTGCACACCTTGTAGTGTAGTTTCGAGATATTTTTGCTGGGTGTACCACCACAGAGCAATACTCTAGGTGGGACAGCACCAGCGCAGTGTAAAGGTGGTGGAAGGTGTTGGGTTTCATCCCTTGTGTGACTCGAGTGACAAAGCCCAGCATGCGTCTTGCTTTCGATGTGGGGTTGTGGACCTGGGAGGCAAATTTGAGACGGCTATCAAGGACGACACCAAGGAGGGCTGTGGAGGGCACGTGCTTTAGTGGTGAGCCATCCAGAGTTAAAAGGGTACTCCGCCGATTTCTTCATGGTCCCCGATTTGCTTGAAATTTTGCTAAACTCGCCAAACAACATCGCCAAAATAGTATACCAAATATTAGGTCAAAATAATTTTTTTTCACAAAGTTATTGAATTAATTTTGCTCCTCACCGTGTTTTTCAAACTGAGTCTCTACTGGCAACAACGAAAAAGTGACGTCAGTGGGAGTGCAGGGGTTCACTCTTTGGACTGTAGAATTTGTTCCCAACTGATTCGAAGCAGTTTCATGGTGTCAAATGAATGCTTTGGAAGCTCGCTCCAGTCCCCGCGCTCCAGCACGGAACAAATGATTGGCATATTCTATTTTTTGGCTCCTTGCTCGACTTGCAAGCTTGCCTTCCACTGACGTCACGGCACTGAAAAGTGCGGGTATATTTGAATGTTGGTTTTTGCATCATTTTCGTTTGCCGATTTCGCAATAACTATTGTGAATTTCACGATAATAAATAGCATACCAGAAAGGGTAAAGGCCGGGGAGTCAGAAAATATTGTTAGTTGAGGTAGCTCACAAATCGCCGGAGTACCCCTTTAAGCTCGAGGCTTGGCTTGGAGTTTTGGAAAAGACAGTGAATGGCATTCAAACCCTTCCAGAGCAGTTAAGGGGTAGTTTGTTTTCAGCCAACCAGCGTTATGGGGACAGTGGAGCCCACTTCGCACAAGTTTGACAGCCAGCCCACCATCTCGACCGTGGCACGCTTCACTTCTCAAGGCTAAATCAGAATCAGCTTCAGGAAGAATGTAATTGTGCACTAAAACATTTTTAACACATTCCTCTTACATACAACTACTTTAGCCCACCACCCCAGCTGTTGCACCACGAAGAATCTGTCATTCTCCCTCAAACCGTGGCCAGTTGCTGAAAATGATACTGTCGAGACCGGTTGTAACGAAGTCAACGGGAATCAAAAAATCACTTCGCTATATCCGCTATTTCGTTATAACCAACTTCGGTGAACGAAGTGCAACCGAGAATGGGAAATCGTGATCGCTTCGCTGAAGCTGCTATTTCGTTATAACCGACTCCTTTATAACCAATCTCCACAGTATCCCCCAAAAGTGTGAAATAAGACAACAAGCTTGTAGAAGAATTTAAATATCTTTAATACGGATTTTGTGTTGTTAAGTCATGACAATGGGCATTAGTGAAGTGGTTAGGACTTTGTCGTCTCACTTAGCCAGGCAAAATGCTTTGCTTTTGCCAACTTTACTTTCTTCGTTGTGGCATGAGCCACAGGAGCTTCTGCTGAGGCCTCCTCCTCAGGCAGCTTCTGAGAAGGCTCGTGATCCACCTCCATGTCGGAGTCGGACCCCGCATCCTGATCAACTATGTCCTCGTCCTCGTCGCTCTCCGCACGAGGGCTGCAGAAAAAGGGTAGAATGCATGCAGCAATAGGTTATGTTGCTACAAAAAATATGACAGACGTTTACAACTCCCTGTAATGCCCAATTAGAGCGCAGCTCTTGAGGAGGGGACGGTATGCCCCTCCTCCTCATCTATACCCTCATCTACTCCTCCCGTGCTCCTCGCCTCCTCCTCCATCCTCATCTTCCTCCCTCTTCCCTCCTCCCAGTGCACTATGGGACGTTTCTCATAATGCACCGCGCGGTTACCTTAACGGCGACGTCGACACATTTTGGTTACGCTGATGGCGACGATGATGTTGCTCAAGCCGGAAACGGGCGCCTAAGAGCTGCACTCTAAAAAGCAAAGAATCCACTTAAACACAGTGTGTTTTAAAATCGGTTTCCAAGACTAGAGATTATGAAAAGTTGTTACAAAAACGCAGTGTTGGGTAAAGTAGTATCGCGGCCAATTTGAGTTGAAACGCTGCTCCGCGTGGAGCGCAGTACCGTCGAAGCCACTGGTCGGATTTTTCTGCACACTGTGATCCATGCTGAGGCCAAAACTCACTTGCGGTGCTTGTGGCACCACACTGCACCTCCATGCCGTCTGCTAGTGAGGAAGTGCAGGCAATATCTCTTTTTGAATTAAAACGAAAGAAACACACAAGAGGACGAAACAGACGACAAAGCTGTGTCGTCTGTTTCGTCCTCTTGTGTGTTTCTTTCGTTTTAATTCAATGTAGATTACCAACACGCTCAAGTCTATAGATATCTCTTTGTTTAATGAAACCGTAAAACCTCTGCATGACACAGCAAAATTTATTGCAAACTTTCTCCAAACAGTTTCTGCCGAGCCCTTACTGTTGATAATGCAATAATCAGTCCACAGTTTCTTTCCTTTTTGTTTTTCAGATTTACTGCATAGGCAGCAGAGATAAAGATGTGGTGCCTGACAATGCCTCTGCCCCCTAAAGTTCAGCAGCTCAAGATGTTCAGATAATAACAACCCTACAAAACATTACCCACCAATTCTACAAAATAATGACTTGCTCAAACACAGGTGTCTCTCTGTATTCGTCAGACAGATATTAAAAATATTTGAGAGGGCTGATAGAAGTGCATCGAACATCTGAGCATTCAAATGTACCGGCAAAGGGCAATAGGAAAAAGAAGGTTGTTAACGACTGTGAATTGTATAATTGACGCCTACAGGGATGAAGACCAACCTGGGAATGCACCTCACGAAAGGCGTTCTTGCGTCACAAGCAATGAGGAGAGCTGCTAGCTTGTCGCAGTGATATTGGTGAACCCTTTTCAATTAGAACGGGAGCTTTGAAAAAACCCGGCGATCCAGGCATCCATGTGGACAGTCCTGCCACAGTTACGAACTGCCGTCACAGTACCAGGTGACGAGGAAGTGCGGAGTGGCACAGTGGTCGCTGGAGGTGAGTTGCCTTGGCCTCAGCGTGCATTAAAGTTTGCATAAACATGTGATTAGCGGCTCTGATGGTGCCGCGTGCCACACTGAGCGGCGTTTCAGCTCATATTCGCCGTGATAGTACATCTAAAAAGTACTTGAAGTAAAGTGCAAAGTAAATGAGAGGTTACATACTTTAAGTAAGTATGCAGGCGAGCTGGTTAGGGATAGACATAATAACCCTGAAGCGAGGGACGGACAGAGTTTGTGTTTGTCCGTCCCTTTTTGTCCCTTCGCTTAAGGGTTACCATGTATATACTTCAAGTAAAGTTGTAAGTACACCAGGTGCAATGTATTTGAGATAAAATACTGTAAATACAATGCACTTACAAAGCAGATTACAAGTACTTTTTTAACACATCTTCCATGATGCCCTTTCGTTCCCCTCTACAATGTATTTTTTTAATCTCGTATTTATTGTTTTTAGAGTAATCAGGCTGCATCAGTTAGATAAAGCCAAGTGGTCAAAGACTAGTTGTACTCCACTCCACCATGCAAGTGCTGTAAACTCTGTGAGTATTCCCCGTCCTCACCCCTCTCCCTTTCCTGAATTTGGTGCTGCTTGCACTGGTTGGCATCCAAGGGGGTTAAATTACCACTAGGAGAGACCAGTACGTCAGCTCTGTAGGTTTCGCGAGCAATCCTCTCGTAGAGGATTGCCCTTTCCTAATAATTTTAGCCTCCTCGCTTGCGCTGAGCGAGCAAGAAGTAGCCAGAGTTCGATATGGTGTGGGAAGGCTGTCCTCGGTACAAATCAAGCGATGCGTCATCTGCTTGCGTTTCTGGAGAAAGTAGACTATCTCCCTCAGTATTTCTCTAGTGTTGACAAAGCATCATTTTGTCATACAAATTTAATAAGGTCCAATGTGGGAAATGTACTTTAAAATCAAAACTTGTACTCTGCTCAAAAAAAAAAAAAAATATTCTTTTTTTTACACATATTTACATATTTAACCAGACAACCGGCAAGCCGGTTTGTCTGGTTGCCGCTGTCGCTCACAGATGGGAGTTTTGTGTCCATGGACATGATACTAGGGAAACTAGCCCCTAACAGCTCCGCTGTAAAAAATATGCGTCCCATTTATGCCCCTAAAAAAAAAAAAAACACTTTTTTCCATATTAGTGTTTTTTTTAAGAGCAGCTGCGGCGGCTGGCCGTAAGTCAGTTCCAAAAGTGTCAACTTATCTCAACACATTGAGTAAAGTCAATCGATGCAGAGCGTGCTGTGTGTTTCTGTCAGCATCAATCAGTTTCTGTTAGAAAAAGATCAAAACACGCAACACGTTCTGTATCAACTGGCTTTATGCAAAGTATCGATGCAAAGTTCACATTTGTTTTAAAAGTGTTAAGGCAAGCTCAAATTTGTTTTCAAGACGCCTGGTTACACAGGTGAGGAGTGCCTTGCTCTATAAAGGATGGCAAAACTGTGTGTAAAGGTCTTCATGCATTCAATAAATAAAAATGTGCTATATATGCAATTGGATCTTCATGTGGATACAACATTATAACTCAACTTTACCTTGATATCACTTAAATTATAGATCCCGGCACGTAACAAAGGGTGATCAAACTTTCAGCTCTAATTTCTTTCAATTTCAATCTTGGGGAAAGGGCTCTTCCTGACATGCATGTCCTATCCAGGCAGTTAAAAAAAATTATTTAAAAAAAATGAAGTTGCTTTGTTTTCTTTCTTTGCTTTACAGCATTAATTGCTTGAAATGCAACGTGAGATGATGGATTCGGGATCCTGCATGAAGCCCAATGGCAAAGAGACAGAAAGGCGACCACCTACCTGCCCGGGGTGTCGGTCTTGCTCAGGAATGCCGACAGGAAGTTCTGGTAGAGGCTCGTCATGGACGGCAGGGTGTGGGAGGCCACTTCTAGGAGCTAAGACAAGATAAAAACAGCTCAACTGAAAAAAACAGACTAGACTTGTCTTGCATCTTTACAAAAAAAAGACCTAAAATAAACACTGCAACCTGCTTGCTTTGCACTATCTAGTTATTGACTTGTCACAGTGAGGGAAATGCCATTGCATTTTTTTTGGAGCAGGTTCTGAAGCAGACAAAATATTGATTTGGAGCAGCCACTGACGCTTTTGGAGCAGATGCCCACATGTTAGAACATCAATCAAAAATAAAAAAAAAGCAATTGCATCGCTTTTTTGAAAGTTTTTCTTTCAAGGTTCCTTTAGGAAGGTTCCTCTTTAAAACTGGAACATATTACTTACTGTAATACGAATAGAAAGGATGCAAAAAGAACACAGGGCATTCTTTTAGAAAATAAGGGGCTGGAGAGTAGCTTCCATTTAAAAAAATGGTTGAAAAATGAATCATAGCACAACAGTTAAGTTGAAATAAAACCTCACTCCCCTCCCCCTTTTACACTTCACAACTGATTTAGCCTGTAAATATAATTTCGGTAAAATGCCAGCAAAAGACAGCATTTCCGCTAAAATGTCTAGCAATAAAAACGCATACCCCAAGTTTTATGAACCTATTAACCTTGAGACTTTAATATCATAAAGTGGAAAAGCAACCAGCCACAAATATCATGAGAGCCTACACTTGTCCTTTAAATGTGACACCGCTCTTTGGCGGAGTTAGAACCGGAGTCGAGTCAAAGTTTGCTGCTTTTGCAATCGACAGCAGCACGGTAACTACCTTGACTACCGCATTTTTTCAAAAATAAACCCACAAACCGTATTTATTTGAATATAAGGCGAGGTTTTTTTCCAAAATCCATAGTCTCAAAGCCATACCCCGCCTTATATTCGAAGCTCAGTATAGCAATATGACAATTTTTTTTTCTTTTTCTTGGGTCCTTCAATTGCCCCCTCGCCTTATAATCGTGACCGCCTTATAATCAAATAAATACGGTATTTTTTTTGTTGTTGTTTTCTTTCTTGGCAGTTTTTTTTTTTTTTAAATTAGAGGTCAACCTACAATCAAGATCAAAAAAGGTGGCCCCAGAATAGTGCTGAGCATAATTTCCGAGCCTATCGTGCAAACCCAGGCGCCCTCCCATGTCAGCCGCTGCTCCAGCACTCCAAAGCAAAGTGGTGAAGCTCGACGCGCGCCCTCTAGTGAAAGCCGGTGGAGGATGGCGAGAGCGAGTGGTACAAGAACCACGGCACCCTGTAGCCATGGCACGGGTGCATGTGGAAGACACGATAATCAATTGATCTGATAAGCGGTACAAGACCCTGGTACTTTCTTACAACTTATCGAGGTTGTATGTGTTCGAGCCTTCGACTGTGCTCTGACCTAGGATAAGAAACTATACGGTAAAAGAGACGCTGTAAGATATATACCATTTTTCTTTCCATCTATACTTCTCTAAATATTAGAAAAGACCAATAATTTTTTTTTTGTTTTCTTTTTGCTGAGCTGTGCCACACCTGCACATTGTGCAGGTGTGGCACAATTTTTAGCAAAAATACTAGCATTTTGGCACAAAATAAAGCAGACTTTCATTACTGGCAGAATTCGGCATAAATGGCACGGCACTTTCATCACTGTCATCAACAGAGATCACAAGGAAAACATACAGTATTTATCCCCCCAAAAATGCCAAACAACTTCTGGAAAAAAAAAAAAAAGAAAGAAATTGTTACCATATTTTTTGGTGTATAGAGTCGCGGTTTCTCTTTAAACATCTTTGTCGGTACAGTTTACACTACAGTGTGACTTACATGCATTGTTTTCCATAAGTAGGAACATTAACTGCACAAATTTGCCATGGGGGGTCATATTTCTCGTTCGATTATTAATTGGCGAAAATATTGAAAAAGGCTCCCGCTTCTGCATACATTGCAATCACAATACACATATGCAAGCTTATCAATGCAGTTTCAAACAGTGTTGCGGAATGGGCACCCCCATTCCATTCCCATTCCATTCCGGGAATTAGAGTTTTCGATAATTCAATTCCTTCCAACTCCTAGGAATAGGGACACTGGGCCCGTTCGCACTCCTGGAATGGCTGAATCGTCCCATTCCATTCCTCTAATTCCTAAATGTAAAAATTGGCACTTGACAGCTACATTGTGAATGTTGCTGGCATAAGTAGCATAAAGCTGACATTATCAAACACATAGACAATTGCAAAAAATGCTAAATGCCACAAAAAAGCACTGATTTTACTAAGGTCACAATGCTGGATTGCCTGGGGTGACTCACAGCATCCACAGCGGTCCATCGCAAGATGAAACAAGCTATACATAAAGTCAAAGGAAATGACTGGGCATCCGCTAGCTTGCTTGTAACCCTAACCCACTTGAATGTAAAACATATAACACAAAAAACAAGCACCAGAACAAAGACCAAGGAAAAGGCAAACTTACACCTAAAATTGATGTATAAAAAAAACAAGCACCGGAGCTAAGCGCAAGAGGAGAAGAAAGAAGTGAACCCAGATTTCGCACTTCAAAGGAGTGCGCGCGAATGAACGTGAAAGGCACCCCCTGCTAAACAACGCTCCTCAAACTATAAGAAAGCAATAACTGATCATCTTTCGGCGGCGTGCAAGTCAATGAGTTGTCAGAGCTCTGCGGTTATGAGCCGCCCCCCGCGCGTGCATTGTCCAAGCCATTGCAAAAAAGAAAAAAAGCAAGACGAGAAGGATGATGAGGAGCCGTGCATGGCAGTTTCTTTCTTTGCCGCTCCCTTCGTTTCTTTTGCTTGGTGCTTGGTTTCTTGTTTCGCTTTCATGTAACACCAGTGAAGCCCGTCGCCTGCGCTTCCGTGAACGCTTCCGCTGCCACCACCGCCGCCGCCGCCGCCCCCCCCCCCCCCTTTCTGGTCTTTTCTTTCACGCTTGTTTTTTGCATTGCATTTTTTGCGTACAAGTCTGTTATGACTCCATGCGGGCTAGCAGTTTCCCACTCATTTTATATCTGAGCAACTGAATCGCTGACTGGCTCAGTTTAATTGAACGTAACCCCCCTCGCCCCCCCCCCCTTAAAAAAAAAAAAGTAAATAAAAATCTATAAATACCGTAAGTAAATAAAAAATAAAGAACCGGGACCGTTCCATTCCGGGCAAAAGGCATCTAATTCCACTCCTATTCCATTCCCCTCAATGTTGCCGCCCATTCCATTCCGGGGTCGCGAAAATGCGGAATCATTCCGGAATCATTCCAACTCCGGAGTGGCAACTCCGCAACACTGACTTATACCAAGGTGTGACTTATTTACTAACCTTCTTGCAAATACAGCCATTTAAAGGAGGGTGGGACTCTTAGAATGGAAAATGTGGTTTTTAGTTTCAAACTTAACTCAGATAGGACAAACAAATATATACAGAGAGCACAGGAATGCAGAAAGGACATTTGAAATTAGTTCATCCTGTCCCATGTTAGCATGCTCTTTTTGTATCCGAGTTGCATTCAGCAATGGGATCAGGTTGATCTGATCATGAAGTCAAATGCTACAGTCAAATGCCTTTATAACGAATGTGTCAACTATGAAAATGTCCTTTTAACAAAGTAAAATGATGTCCCGGCCAATCTCAGATGTGTTCAATGTGTTTCTCTGACTACAACAACAAATTCCTGTTCAACAAATATCTATCGAAACAATTGTGCAGCCCCACAAAGTAGAAATGACCAGTATTATGAATTTTCAAGGTGAAAAGTAATAAATTTTACGTAAATTGTTGCTCTCAGGTAATGCGCACAATGAGCAGAAATATGGTGTCAGCAGTGGCGATTGTTGCCACCGCCACAGTGCCACACATTCTCAGGCTCAAGTGACTTGTTAGTGTGCAACCTTGTGTCTAGATGGTTACATCACTATGTGGCTGCATAGGAAGCCTGTAGACAGAAATGTAGTCACCTAGCCATCTAGACACAAGATTGCACCACCCCCTCCCCATCTCCCCCCTCCCCCCCCCCCCCCCTGCGATCACTGATTCATCCACCCGTCTATACGTCCTTACCTGGTGCACCTCTTTGAAGCCAACCGCCCCCACTCTCGAATGGAGTTGCCCCGCAGCCCCCGCTGCTGCCTGCATGGCGGTCTTCGTTTGCTGGGCCACCAGCACGCCAAATGGGGTGGCAGGCACCAGCTCCTCCAGCCTGACCTGGAACACACAGAAACAAAGAGATTTTAAGGGCATAGCACTGACGGGAACAACTCTTAGCAATCTCATGTCCGCGTCTGGGTAGTAACCTCGACAGATTGCGCAGTCGCCGATTGGTGAAGGATGTCCGGGGCTTGGCAAATCTTCGACCCCAGCTTCGTCAAGTGTGCGCGACGCTCGGTTTCACGGTTGATCACTTCCGCAACTACCGCAACTATGCACTTACGGCCATTACGAGAGTAGCTTCGCTTGGCATGACTTGGCCTGACCGCTTGGAGGCAATAGAAAATTGGCTTGGTGGCTAGATAAATTGGACACAATTCAAGACTCGCTGATTCGAAAATTGGAGGTGCACTAACTATGCAAGGGAAAAAAAATGCCCAAATATTGATGCCCGCTGTGGAGGGTGCGTTCATTATGCGAGTAAATACAGTATTGTTTTATTGCTTGGTTGCCATACATTGAGCACTGAACTTCAATGTGTTGTAATGTCACTAATAATGGTTCAATCTAAAAAGTACTTCCAACATTGTATTCTTCATAATTTGTAGTATCTGACCATATGTTAAAACATCCTTACAAAAAAAAAAAAAAACTTTCAGCCTTATTACTTTGGTGAAGAAGAAGAGCAGCGGAGCTGTAGCTTCTGTTCTCGGCGAAGGTTTTGCAGGCGAGCGATTTCTGCTCTTCTTTCGCAAGGGAATCTGAAGCACTCGACGCACGCAGCGGTTGTGGACCCATTCTCGCTGCTGCGTACATCGCCGCTCCTTCTGCACCCGGTCTTCTTTCCCCGAAGAAAGGGCACGCGGCCGACCCATCGTGAGTCCAAATCGAAACTGATAAAAGCGTAGGAAACAGTGTGCAAAACAGATGAGGACAAAGAAGAAACACATGTGACGTGCGCTGCGCTCGTCACGTGCGTTTCTTCGTCCACGTCTGTTTTTTGCGCCGTTTCCTACGATGAGTCCCCCACCAACTCGCCCAACTTTCCATTCTTCTATGATAGCTGAAAAGGTTGCCGCCATCTATGAGCGACGGTGGCAACCAGACTGGTTGCCTGGTTGCTGCCGTCAGTTATAGATGGCAGTAGCTGGCCAGAGGTTCATGTAGGTTTGTGTGGACACCTCTTTGGTACCGGACACAATCCTGGGGAACCTAGCCCTTAACACCTCCGCTATAAAAGATGTTTTTTCACTATTGTTTTTGGAAACAAAATCTGGTCAATTATAAGTATTTCTGAGAACTAACTTAATAATTAAAAAAAAAAAAACAGATAATTGAAATTGGCGTGAAAGTCTGAACAAGCCTGTGCTGTTTCATTGAACTTGGACAAAAAATAAGGAAAAAAGCCCCAAGACCAGTGCTCTTTTTTAAGCGAAGAGGCATGTGAAAATTAACAGAGCTTAGCAGGCCAGCATCAATGTGACCGTGAAAAGCAAGAATAGTTTGCTACTGACCGTTGCGTCTTGTCCCTCTTCTTCATTGTTCTCCTCGTCCCATGTAAAAAGTTCCTGTGTCGGAGAAAGAAAAAAAAAAACTTGTTAGAAACTGTATAAAACTGCGGTCAAAGAAACGGGCATGCGTTCCTAAACTTCTAATTCGGATGTGACTAGCCCTTCAGGACAGAAGAGAATGGAACATTGACTTATAAATGAATTGCTGGATACTAAAACAGTGCACAGGTTTCAGCTTGCCCAAAGAGATTCTGACACCCCAATTATTTTACAGCGACACCCGTCATTGGCAAAACGTCGCAGCGAATCCCAAGGTCCGTTTCGTGTAGGGTAGCAGCCTGCTAAGTTTAGAAGCGAATGCCTCTTCCTAACTTTACTGGGCGATCGCATTACCGCGTGATAAAATGACATCACAAAGACATCACAATTTCCTTGTTAAATCTAGCAGAGAAATCGTCCCGCTAGATTAAGCTGGAACATCTATATGCTAAATTCAGTGGGAAGCATTTCACAGCGAGGAAATTGTAACGTCATATGACATGACATCATGTGATATCACGACACTCTGATTTTCAACTAAATTTAGCAGGAAGTGCTTCGTGCTAAATTTAGTGGGGAAATTGTGACTTGACCTAAGAGTGCAATATATACATGGCTGCCAATGACTGTGTGTGGTCCGTGCACAGCAGATGCGTGCAGCACCTCGGCCGTGGCCAAAGGCCACTCCCAGGACGCGGTGAGGAACCGGCCGCGTTTTCTGGCCGCAGATTCGCCCATCGGTCGCGGGACTTTTGGCACCCAGTGCAAAGATGAGTGACACCACAAGGGCTATCGGATGTCGCAATGCCGGCAGCTGGCGCAAGAAGTCCCAACAAAAAGTATGAGTGAATGCGAGTGTCACCATCGTCGCTGCGTCTCGACTCCCGGCCAGCGACAGCATCAAACTTATACGACGTCCTCGGGAGGAAGTCGAGGGACCACCTTTTAGGACCGCGGTAAACGCACCAGTCGGAGACGGGTTCCAGACACCGTAATTAAGCCGGTCCCACTCACCTGAGCGGCGCTGACGAAGCAAAGTCGAGACAAGGGTCTCTGGTGGCCTCCGGCTGCCACGGGACTTTTGGTCTCCGGAACAAAGATAGCCGACACCACGGGCTGGCAGGACGGGGGCACGTCGCACTCTACCGTCGCAGCCCGCCTCTGGGGCTCAAACACTAGCACTGCATCACCGGAGGTGCAAAGACACTGTCAGCAAAAATGGGGCTGCATTTCTGCGAAGCTTTGCTGCAGACTACTTCATCTACGAAGGCCTGTTATGCCTATTAAATTGAGATGAGCCTCGTTCCCTCGCTCGCACCTCCGTCGTACCGGAACGAGCCTTCTTAGCATCTCTGTCCCTAGTTGACTCAGTTGTGCCGAATCCGGTTGTTGCATTCAATGTAGTCGTGTTAACGGCATAATGTACTAGGGAAGCACATTGCATTTGAGTCATGAACTGGACAACCTGAAATAAAAATGTCAAGTTGTATAGTCCTGTACAACTTGACATCGGGGGTACCCAACCAGCACCTATCAACGCTGACCAGTTGATCTTCACTTTCTAGGAGAATCTTAATCCACATTAGGACATTTTTAGTTTCACCTAATCACATTTTTATGAGGCTGCAAATCACACATTAAAACAAAGCTAAGCCACCTCGCTCAGCTTGTGACTGCCACAAAAATATGCATGGTGTCGCTTTTTATGGAATGATATGTCTAAAAAGAAGCAGTGAAAGCTACACAAATGTGGTCTCTGCAAGTGAGTTATAAGTAGGGTTTTGTGTTTTCGGTGTCTACCGATAAATACCGATAATTAACCCCCGAGGCGTTATTTTCTGAATCGGTAAAAACCGAAAAAAAAACCGAATCCAAGCTGCGGAAATAATGGCAGCTCTAATGAAAGAATCTTCTAGCCCGCTTTCTTTTCTTGTTGACCCAGAACACAGCCCAACTAAACTGTTCTTGGGGTCGTCTCTTTTTTTTTTTTTTTTGAACCCATGTTTACTGCCTTGTTCTCTTCCCTTATCTTTTTTAGCACAACGGTTTTCAAGTCTTTTGTTCAGGCATAGGTTTCCTATTATATGGGAGAAAGGAGGAAAGGCGAAGAGGGGCAGCGGGAAGGGGGGAGGGCAATAGGGTCCACGGATTGGTGTCCTATTTTCCTGGGCGTGCAAAAGGCCAACGCCAGCCCACTTCGTAGTCACTGCTCGACGAGTTTCGTGTAAACGTTAGGATGCGAAGAAGCTCCTTGTTTTAAAGTGCAGCCGGCTGAGCATATGTGATGACCCTCATCATATCAGCAGTCGTCTGAACGAGCATTTGAAATCTTCTCGGCATCTACAGTTGAAGAATCTCCAGACAGATCCAGGTATGTGCTACCCATGTCAAATATCTCCACTCGTCATCTCTTAATCCAGTTGCATGAACGCCTAACTGGTCACAAGTGTGACCTAAAGTTTTAAAGATAGTAATGTATCTTCAGCTAATAGATTTTTGTGCTCTTATTCAATTGATCCAGGATCGCCAGCTCAGATGACACTTGCCCAGTCAATCACCAGGTGATGTGTTTGGTGTGTGTACAATAAACGTGTGTAATGTGAGGTATGCCATGGTTCGAGCGAATGCAACTAAAGATGGCTAGTTAACGAAAATTCACTAATTCATTTTTTAATTAGATGTTTTAGGGCACATGTTCAAATTGAAGAAATGAGAAATGGAGGCAATCAATGTTGAAGTACAGTCCAGTTTTTAAAAATTACTGATCAAGCACGCAGTTCAAGTTATTCATTGTCAACTTCTGTTCTGGAAATCTGTCGATAGTCAAACCAAATGTGCGAAGCCCATGGAGCCTTGGAACGGACCGAGGCTCCATTCCAGCGGGCGACGTGCAACCTTTTTCAACGATTTGGCAACATTGACAACGAATGCCCTACGTCGCCAACCATATCAACAACGGCAGCTACTACAACTACAACTACTACTACAACATCCACAACTACAATATCAAGAATGGACGTCATTTCCAGAGGCGGGAAGAGCCCATAACACATATTGCTGTGAAAAAGCACCCTGTAGAATGCTCAAATGTCACAGCACAATGAAAGGATATTCTAGCGTGAACAAAGCAAAGGACTCACACTTAGCGCCCTCACAGAAGGCAGCCACAAATTCGGAGGAGGGGTCTGTCACCAGGCAGGTCACAGCCTTCTCCAGCTCCCACAACACTGGGAATAAAGAACATGGGCATGGTGGCAACCGTCAGAGACCCTAAGGCTGCCTCCTCGCTCGGTGGAAGAAAAGAAGCACTAGAGATTGAACCACAGAGGAGATAGAAACAACAAAAGCTATGTTCACTTCTTTGCCATTTTTAGTACCATATGACACAAAATGTAGGTTGACTTTTGCACAAACGAAGTCCACGTGTCTGCCTTCCCCTAGAGCTAGTGCTGATGAATACTTGATAGTATAATCAAAGGACATTTTGAGTGCTTACATTATATCCTGACTACATTTTACGAGATGATATTTGCTGCTCAACTGGAGTTTATTGTTCAGTCATTAACTTCTGCTTCATTAAATACATGTATGATGAATACTAAAAGTGAATTAAAAAATAATCAGATATTGCTGTAAAAGTATGTAGCCTATGTTGTGCAGATTACTTATATTTCACTCAAGGTACTTTGAACATAGCTCGATGCACAAAAGCCATAATTGATTTCGAGCTTCGATTGCTTTTAGGCATACCTTGCAATTTGTAATTTAGCCAATTAGTGATATAGGGCAGTACATGATGAGACTGTAAGGGACAGGGCTGGCCCGACTAAGGCGCCTCTAGCGGCAGCCCGCGGAAGCAGCTGAGGGTGAGAGAACTTTCGCGGAGTCGTGGGGGGTGCGAGAGCGTCGTGGTGAGCCAGGACTCCGACAGGGGTTTAGGATGTGTGTTTGGGTTGTTTAGGGGAGATTAAAGAAGAGTGTTTCGAACCGGGTTCGCTACAAGAGTCCAGTTCACCTGCAGAAAATCCCCACATTCGTCCATGCAAATGCACCACCTAGGGGCACCCCTGGACTAAATTATATCGCAGTCCGTTAAGAAATCGACTCATACGGCCCCTCCAAAGCTCTGTCACGCCCAACATTCCCCCGGGAGAATTGGACAGGGCCGGGGCACTTACCTGAGAGAGAAACCACATCCCAGGCAATGAGCCTCGCCTCGGTGCAGCTCAGGAGCAGACAGCAGGAGGAGCCACGCCCAAAGGCCAAGGACCTGGCACGGTACAAGGACGAAGCAACGGACACGACAAGGTCACCTTACGGCCGTCGATGGGACGAGTACGGCGGGGAGGAGCTTCGGTTGTCCTGCCTCTGGCGCGAGCTTCCCACCTTCAACGACTGTTCGGCATCTCGCGCACCTCGAGGGGGTGCGTGCGGCCAAAGCGTGGCAGAAGGCACGAAGCGCGTGCTGGAGGCCGGGCGTTCGAAAGACGTGCCCCACCGTTCTCGTTTTGTCTGTGACTAGAGCGGTGTGGCTAGGGCGGGGGAACAATGGATCACGAAATAGAAAAAGAGGAGAGAAGCCCAAACTTCAACGACCAAATTGTCCGATTTACGGGTGGCTCTTTTCAGACACAAGAACGTTTCTGTTGGTGGAAATCATCGAATTTTCAACTGTCTATATCTGATTCTTTTTTCATTAGTAAAACCGCACTTTGATCTTGAAATCAGCGACTAAACAATGCAAAGAGGCAGCATAGACGTTGGCGAAGGATACAGTAGTGGGTAACCATTGGCTCGTTGCCGGACATGCAATTGCTGTGGAAATCAAATGAAAAAATGCAACTCGAAGCGGCTCACATTCTACATGGGCCGCATTGAGGTTCATTTTTTGGACGTAACAACCGGGAACATAAACGCGACGAATGGGAAATCAATACGCTACCATTACACCCTGAGAGATAGCTTGCCTTTGACTGAGAGTAAATCGGATGAAAATAAGGAATGGGAAAACATTTAACGTGTGACCAAAAGCAAAGTGTGAAAAAAAAAAGAAAAGAAAAGGCTTAAGGTACACCTCAGCACTTCTTACGAGTTGTGAATGCGAAAGCATGCACGCCGCTCTTCCACTCTCTTCTTTCCTGTGCAGCATACTTGCGTCGACAATCAAGCGCGCGCGCGCGCGCTGACCTTGGGCGTGGAGCGTTGGAGCTGCTGCCCCCGTGGACACGAAGCGCCATGGGGTGGCGGTTGTTGAAACTGATGCGCATCGGCCAATGGGAGCCCTGTCAACGCGCGCCAGTCGATGGGACTGAAGCTGAAATCCATCAGCTTTACTCCACTCCTTTGGGATAGGGGAAACTAGGTGTCGTTTGGCTAGGCTTTTCGAGTAGTTTCATAGCTGGCAGCTGGCTTCACTTGGAGAAAGGACTTAAGGTGCCGTTTGGCGCGGCTTCAAAGTTGGTGACGTCGACTCGCTCCATGGGACACTTAATGCTTTCGCATTAGACTGCTATTTTTTGTATTCTGCAACTTGCCAAACTTGCTATCACATTAGAATGGTAAACAGCTTTATTGGCCTATGGCGTATACACCTCTTCTGTAGATGAAACCTGCTGCAGCTGCACGATTCAGTTGCCCAGAGAGTGCCAGGGGCTAATCAAAAGGCGTGTTAAGACTGTTCTTCCCAGTCAGACAGCAATGTTTGCTTATCTTCCACTGTAGCTACCTAACCCCATGCCAGCCAAGGTTGCGATTGGCCTGATCACTGCAATTACTTGAAGTGGGCCGTCTTTCTGCATTTTAGAATAAATAGCAAATCATGCCTTAAAGGGGCACTGACACCCCAAAGGTCGTATTATTTTTTATTGTCTGAAACGATGCAAGTTGTAGTCATAGACACAAAAAAAAAAAAAACCGCATCGCAAAAAAAAAAAATTTTCCCACGCGCGCGCGCGCCTTTTTATTTTTGGCGTTTATATTTCCCGTGATTACCTCCTTGCTTCTTTTGATCGGTGACGTCAAAAATCAGGAAATTTAGAAGCTTTGTAGGCGACATTTCTATAACATTTAACAACGGCAATCGTAAAACATGTTTTTTAACGCAACTGCGAACGCACTACGGCCTTTCTTTTTGAAATATCAAAAATCAGATTTCGGTGTGATGTCACTTCCTGGATTTGTGTTCTCCCTCGGAAAACTTGGCGGCGCTCGAGCAGAGGCATAGCTATGGCAGAGGCTTATTGCCGAGTCGGGGAAGAAACCGGTTTTTCCCCGCGCCGGGCTCCCTTCCATCCCGCCTGCTCACCTCCTCCTCTCTTCGGGTCGCGGTAGCAACGGCGCTTTGCTTCACAGCGTGGTGCGGAGGTCCGAAAGAAAGTCGAGTCGCAGGAGACCGCAAAATTTGACTCGCTGCACTGGCGCGGATTGGGCGGGAACTTCGAATTCGGAATTTGGAAATTGTTTTTTTTAATTCACAAATACTGAATTCCCAAGCAATCGTTTCGGATAATAAAATAAATTACGATTTTGATGTGTCAGTGCCCCTTTAAATAGGGGTGGGGCAACTCTCGGTATATATCTCTATGGTAGTTGAATAGGACCAGCAGGCTCGACCTTAAAGCGGGACACTACCCAGAAAAAAAACAATTTCTGCAAAAAAAGTTGATTTTGAAAAATGCCATATTTACATCCACTAACATCTAGACAAATTTCCCGAAAAGTTTCATTAGTTTACACTGCATGGTTATTTTTTTTATAAATTATATTCAGTACACCAATGCTAAAGAAAAGGTAGAGGTTAGAGCACGTTGAACACATTTTTCTCCGTTTCACTTTTTGGTATAAATTTCACTTTAGGAAAAATATTATCTGTTAATGAGACAAGAGGAAAGACTCAACGTTTTTCCTAACTGGAATTTTATGGGCAATGAAACTGTGGAATTGTTTTTTGACTTTGCGGATGTCTTTTATAAAATATGTTAGATTTTGTCGGCAACATAAAAGGCAAACAAATTATCTGATTTTTCACTGCAATGTTAGCATAAAAATTAATTACTTTTTGGAAATTTTGTTTTCACAGCTGCACTTTCCAGGCATCCTGCTGCATATCTAACGAAGAAAAATATTGGGCATTACATTAGTTTTCTAAAGATAGCTTTCCTAAACAAAGTCAGTGTGTTCCTGATAAAAATTACTATAATTTATTTTACAATTCATGTACGCAGATGAAACTTTGCACTGCATTCTGCCTTGCAGTATATACAGTAGATTTCGTTCATATTAAGCCATTGGTTCAAAAGTTGACCCTTTTGGGTAGTGTTCCCCCTTAACGGCCGGAAAAACGTATCAACCGAATCTCGGAGTTTTAAAGCCGAATCAACGAAGGACATCAGGCGCGCCCCGGCGGAGGACCGAGGATCGATTTCGACAACCCGGGGATCTTTTGATGCACAACTAAAATCTCAGCTGCACGGAGCCTTCTACACGATAAGCCTCCACCAGATTGGGGGCTTATTCGAACCCGCCACCCGCAGATCCGCAGGCCGGCGCCTTGTCTCGGAGCCACCGATGCGACTACAACGTACAAACCGAAAACGCGTCAACAAGGTCCTATGGTGTTTTCATATCCCTGCGACATTAAAACTCCACCCTACACAGAGGCCCAAATTATAGTGAGGATCAAATTGAGGTTTCCCAGCCACTCCCCCTCTGCATACCTGCCAAGTTCAGAGAAACCATATCCGGGAGAATTTCTAAGTGGAAAAGGGGTGGGAGGGTTGCAGTTTCTTAAAAAAAAATATTGACAACAAATGTACATGAAGGCAACTTCACTAGATTTATATGGCACTGCTCATGCTAGCGGGAAGAAGCTGGGCCTCACTATCAATTGCGGCCATTTATTGCGGCAGCAAAAACTCCTTATTTCAGTGCGGGAAAGGAGGGGGAGGGGGTAGAATTTGCGTTTTCCGGGATATTGTTTTGTCAATCGTACAACACTACAAACTGGTGAAAATTTGGGAGTCTCCCAAATAATACGGGAGACTTTGCAGGTATGCCTTTGCAGCTTGTGGCAGACGCCCACACAGACCGGCGTGCTCACCCCAGCTGCGAGGGGCAGTGCGGGTGCGCCAGGGACCCGACGAGGCGGCACTCCTCGGACCAGAGGGTGGCCGACCGGCCGAAGGCCACGGCCAGCAGGGACCCGTCCTCGGAGAAGGCACAGCGTCCGGGCTGCAGGTCCCGGTATCGGCCACTGGCCACGCAGTTCCACGACCGGGACGGGGCACCGCCTGGTGTTGTGGGGGGGGGGATGCTTGTTGAGACTCGACACACTTTTACAGACTTCTGACCAAATTTTCAAAGCAGCAACGAGCTGTCAGAGCATTAACGTTAGCATCAATGTTTTCCACAGTCACAGACTACGACAGTATGCACTAATCCGGGTAATAATCCTTATTTCGACCCCGGGCTGTTGAGGTGTGCCAGAAAGGTCGGCAGCCTATTCGCGACTCCAGCAAAACGGACGCCACCAAGCGGGAAAACCGGGAACCAGCCGGTCCAGGTCGCTCCGCGCCCCTCCGCGTCTCTTGTGGCTTTCGCGGACACGTGTTGTCGGCGTGCTGGCGAACAACGTAATTTGACGAAGGTCCGAAAATTTCTCAAGTTTGCCTAAGTGTTCATTAGTGTGGTGAAGCCTCAGTACATTGTTTTTTTTTATCAAGTGTTTGCAAGCCCGTTCACTCCACAACACACGGTCGCGTGCTTTCGATTTCTTGGATGGGGAAGAATCGCGGAAAAACGTTTTGATTTCTTGTCTGTCTCGAATCACATTCAAAATGACGACTACTTGGTAACTGATAAGGGGCTTCTTTGTAAGGATGTAGAACAGTGGGAGGACGACAGACGAGGCCTTTCACTGGAGGGAACACCAATGTTGCAGTCAAGTGAATGGGAAGGCTCGATAGCTGCTTTTCTTGAGTTTGGTTGTGTTCGATTAGCTTCAAGTTTGAGCCACCCACGCCGGTCGGTGCGTTGGCCATTCATCTTGGCTGCTTTTAGTCGAAAAAGCCTCTGGACCACTCTGAAGGAGTTGGGCTGATTTCGTCATTACTTGATTCAGGAAAACCTTCTCGGTGCAAATGATGAATGACGGAAATTTTCTGTTTTCAAAAGGTGGGGGACGCGTCTCTCAACGTTAGAAGCTGTTACGGCATTTTGATCTACCAAGCCTCCAATATAAATATTATATCCCCCGTCGAAGCCAGCAGCAATATATGTCTACATTGCTCAGGTTAACCGGCCACAAAAGATACTTATTTTCTCCGTTCAGGATCCGAAGCAAAGTTCAATGCGGAGAGGTTCTGCGTGAACTCCAGTGAAGACTCTCTTCAGTTTGTCTCCGTGCTGCCGGTTAGAACTATTTGGCTAAGTTTAAGTAGTATCTCTCTGCCTGTCAAATATATATTTATTCAGCAGTTCACCTAATAGCTAGACTAAGCTCATAATTCAACCCGAAGAATATACTAATACCGCTTCAGTGGTACCCCCATAGTACGTAATATAATACATACCCGCTCGTCAAAATGACTTCTCGATTGCGACAAAACCTGAATTGAAATACGAGTATCAGCGGCTTAATGGAGTGCCGACGGGTTAACATGATCCTTGGCTCAAGAAGCGCTTGCTTAATTTTCGTAATTTTCGTGCAGCCTGAGTTGTTGACCGAGCAGACGACTGGGAGCTGTTTCTTAAACGCAAATACGCACAAAAGCTCGATTTCGCGGACAGATTAGTCGGATGGTCGAGGCATGCGAATTGGCTGAAAATTACTGTCGGCGGAAGAATTCTGCGGTCATTGCCGCTTTTCTTAGATGATCAAAACTGATTAGTATATTACCGACTCTCCAGAGCCCATATAGTTTCGGTTTTGAACGAAATCTCTGAAACGACAGTTTGACATGAAAAGAACAAAAAACACCGGGAAAACAAAACTATGGTCTGCGAGTTTATGTGCACCGGCTACACTTAGCCGTCTCAGTTCAAATAGCTATAAAATTGGGCATTAAACAAAAGAAAATCTGTTAAATTGAACGCGCCACCTGTTCTGGTGGCCCGGCCGAGCTGACGCGACCTGGACTCAGCCGCCATGTTTGTTCGGTGGTGGCGCCCCCTATAGGTCGCTGGAGTCGCGAATACCAGTTGGTCTAGTACTTCAAAATAAAAAAAAAAAAGAAAGCGAAAAATCAGCAAGTAAAAATTATAAGGCTATTTACAAGCTCGCCGTAACGCTTGGTGACTATAAACAAAGACGAGTTTGCTGGTGAGGTTTCCCCGCTAAATCTAGCTGTCGAGTCTTGATGGATGAACGCACACAATCCCTCACATCTCGCGCACAAACAGGGATTACTTCGAGGAGTGTCGGGTGTGTCAGCAGCCCGGTCTTCCTCCGGGTGCTGAGGGGCCCAGAGCCTGAACCTGCGATCCCGCCCCGCGGTGACGGCCAGTGGCGCCTGGCCGGGGCTGGCCGGGTGGCGCAGCTGCAGGTCCACCACCTCCACACCGTGGGGCTGGTACACGCTCGTGTCCAGCACAAAGCTGCGGGGAACAAACGCCATTTGAGACGAGCTCGCCTCGGTGAAATGGTAATAGTATGCAGAGCGAGTGAAGTGATGGAATTTCATTGCAGGGATTCTCAACATGTGACTCAAATGGCAACCGGAGAACCCGTCCCGGTCTCGGCACCGATGCAGTACAAAAATGCAGAACGCTACGGACCTTGCAAAAAATAATGGGCATACTATAGTCAGTGACAGGTTAAGAATGCGGTAGATGTTCTGCCTTCAGCATCTGCCCTTCCACGGGGCTTTGGCTCCATGTGCGACGATGTGCTATTGAAGGCAAGAAGCTGGCGCTGGAGGCAGAGTGTCTACTGGGCTTCTAACCTACCACTGCCTATAAAGTGCTTGGCTCATAACTAGAGTGTGTATTTTCCGGTTTTAACCGAAAAACACCGATAAACATCCGTCGGTGACGAAAATATAAAATCGGTTAAAACCGAAAAACACCGGTGGTTGGATATTTTCACCCTGGTTAAAACCGAAAAACACCGGTCGTTGCTAGTTTCCGACCTAGCGAAACCCTTTCCCCGTAGAAGTTCGTCAAACGTGTTATCTCGTGGATCCTGCATTCTTCCAGTGTTTATACATGGCTTGCAGGTAGCGTCAGTCCGCCCTCCTTTCTGGGGGTCAAAAGCGTCTAGTGAACGCAGTGGAAGCTAAGCTCTCATACGCCTTTCCCCTATTGTGTCTCCCATGGCCCCCTTTTGTGGAAAAATTAACACATTGGAGGGTAGGCTCTCACGTGCCTTTTCCTCATTGTGTCTGGCCAAATGATGTCAGTGAAAGCCATGTATTCAGAGGTTGCTGTGGTTCCTGGAAGACATTGCCAACGTCCGTGTCGTACAGGAGAGTGCGCTTTCATAATTGCGGGTTGTGAACCGCAAGGAACGTGCTGCCATGACGCCAGCACGTTCCTTGCGTGTAGATGCAAGCATGAAAGTATGCTTGCATCTACTATAATAACCAAGTGTGAGAAATAGTTGCTTCCTAGAGAAGAAGTGTATGAACTATGTGAATAAAACTGGAACTCTCTGCCTGTGATCAATCGCTTTTTTTCACCGATATTCACCGATTTTAGCCTCGTCGTGAGACATTCCACCGAAATACACCGGTGTTTTGAAAATAAATAAACACCGAAAAACATCTGCCGATTTTTCTCATAAATAAACACCGGAAAGTACACACCCTACTCATAACTAGGAGTCAGTGAATGGCTCATAGCTGCTAAAATAGCGCTTAATCTGGAAGAACACTTCACTTAGGCCTGCGATGGCCGAGGATGTTTGTGAGTTTGGGAAACCCACAAGGTTCTTGACCCCCGCCCCGCCCCGCCCCGCCCCGCCCCGCCCCCCCCGCCCCGCCCCGCCCCGCCCCGCCCTGCCCCGCCCCGCCCCGCCCCCCCCCCGCCCCCCCCCTTTCCCGCCCAGTTTGACAAACCATACCCCAAAATCTTAATTCCCTCTGCTCTGCATTGGCTCTCAACCTTTCGAGAAATTGGCTGCTGTAAATAAGTTCTTTTTTGCGAGGACCCAATTTTCGCAAATTTCGTGAATCGCCCGCATCTTGCGAAAAATAGGTTTTCTAAACACTTAGCCTCGCAAACAATTCGGGCAAAACGTCGACACTTCGGAAGCTGCGTCGACATGCTGGGCCTCCTTGAGCAATGATCTAACAAGGGGAAAACAGGCATGCAGAGGTTCTTGCGTGAGCATTACTTATGTTTTATTAATAACATAAGTATGTAAAGTATTTGAAAGAAAATAATGCAGTAGGCCGGAACATTTTCAGCTCTGGCTGGATTCACAAAAATTTGTCAGCGAAAATAAATAGCTTACGGTATTTGGCTCCTACACTCAAACGAGTTCGAGAATTCGACGAAGGGCTCTCGAACTCTAAACATGCAGGACGAGGCGCACAAGACGTCGAGCAAACGGCGAGTGGCATCACGAGCAAGTCGGGGTGGCGGCAAACGAAAAAAGGGTGGGTGGCACCTACTTCTGGAGGGGATGGTCAAAACGCCAGAACTTGAGGCGCGTCTCGGGGCCCAGGTCGGCGTCTGCCCAGTGCTGGACACTGGCCAGCCAGTCCCCTGCCAGGGACGCCAGCGCCACCTCCGTGTTTACCACAGCCCCGTCCCTCTCCTGGGTCACGTAGTTCAGGCCCACCACATCCAGCTGCATGGAGGGAAAGCGGTCAGAGAGGTGATGCGAACACTGCCGGTACGTCGCCTGGAACATGCCTTCAACTAACCCGTTAACCGCGTCCTAAAAACTGGAGCCAGATGGGTTGTGTTCCATATCTTACCTAAATGCATCCGAGGTTGCTCCCACGGGTCGTGTCACATGACAACATAGATTGAAAAACGGTGGAGGCGGGTATGTTTAAGGACGCCACGGTACAAAACCCTTACCCCAGAGTAAGATAAGAGAGTAAATTTTGGAACACAGCCATGGTGTCTCTGAAGTGTAATGTCGTCGCCACCCATGATCCTGGTGGTGGAACTGGCCGATGCCTGTCCTGCTGCAGGCCGTCCTCCAGCTTGACAGTTCACAGAAGCTTAAGCAGCCAAGAGCTCGGATGCCGCGACGACGGTGACACTCGCGTTCCCTCATACATTTTGCCCCGAGATCTAGCAACAGCTGCCAGGATCACGACATCCGACAGCATGGCACTCCGACTTTTGTGGCGTCATCTGTTGCCACTTTGGGATCGCTTTTGATATGAGAAGGACAGAAGGCTGGAACACACCAGTCGAAGAGGCCTTCTAGGCACCATAACTACCGGGTATGAATGGAACGCAAATAGCGGCAGCGCACGGCCTCCAACCCCGTGCTACACTACCTGGAGGCGCCTCGGAAGTGCTAAAACTGTAGAGTGGAGAGGGGTACTGCAAGAGTGTGCCATCTACGTGGGTCACCCACCTTCGCAACCCCCCCCTCCCCCCCCCCCCCCCCCCCCCCCCCCATTCACTCTCCGCCACACAGTTTAATCAGTTCCTAGGAGCCTCCAGGTAGCGTCAAACGTGTAAATGGTCATGCGCTCCGCTGTTCGCGTCTCAGTCGCATTGTTTGCGTCACATCATTGGTGCAAACAGGACGTTGAAGCTCTTACGCATTTTACGAAAATATTGGCACGCACCAGATGTTCCCACTTAGGTTAGCGTACGAAATTAGCGATTTAAAAAGAATTTTGAATGAAAGCCTTTCAATTCCAGAACAGAAGAGCCGGCTATCACTCGCTCGTATCAACAGTGCAGCGTAATGTACACAGTCAATTTTTAGCCTTTTTATTATTACTATAGTAAACTTTCGTTAATTCGACCTCGACAGAACCTTGAAATTTGGTTGAATTATCCGAATGATTCGAATTAAAAAAAATGACAGGAAAACGGTTAAAATTCCACTTCCTTTTATTGTCCAAAGTTCTCACGGATAGTCTGCTGCCATCTGCGCTTAAAACGCGTGTCCAAAAGCAGGCTTCGGAGAGCAGCGTAACTAAACATCACGTCCCCCAAAAATCGCGCACTGCAAGAAAAGAAAAAAGAAAGCAACGAAAAAAGTAAGTTTTACGAGCTGACTTTTGCACCAATACAAAGTCGACTCAAAGACAAAAAAAAGGAAAAGACAGTTTTCCGACGCACAGATGGCGCAGATGGACCGCACACGATGCTATAGAGAAGCACTTTGAGAGCGCTCGCTGGGAAAGCTTCAAGCCGACTTTGGCGCCAAACAACCAAACCCTCGGCGACAAAAAAAAAAAAAAAATAAATAAATACATAAATAACAACAAAAAGAAAGGAAAAAGAGTATTTACGCTTTCTGTAGAACTTATGCTACAGAAAAAACGCTTCGCGAGCGCACGCTGGCTCGTGTGCGCCTGACCATGTGCTATGTTCCAGCGCTACTCCACACCAAATCGGCTGCACTGGCTCGTGTCATTCGCTACGGTCCATCTTAACGGCGTAGAGGAGCAGGCGCATATTTGTGCACGTTCGGCTTTGCAGCATAGGGACCAAGTTTCACCGTATGTTGGTGGTTTTTCTGTCGTGGTGCCCTGCAATGTGAGCCCGCGCACATTTGCTCGGGACGAATTATCCGATGCGATGCAGTCTTCCACAGTTCGAACTATCAAACTTTTCTTCCCATAGAAATGTATGGGCACTCGCCGGGACTTTTGAACCCGATCGAATTAAAGGAAAAGTCGAATTAACCGAGGTCGAACAAACGAAAGTTTACTGTTCGAGCTTACCAGAATTTTCATTTACAGCTCCAGCGAGCTAGTAACGAAGGCAAAAGAAATTCTAGGAACCGGTGCATAAAATAGATGGATGTAGTCAAATTTTCGCGCAATTTATACATCATCTCTACCAAAGACAGGTTTTTAAATTTTCAAGCAAGTATCACGCAGTCGCCTCAGATTAATTTCTACATATCTCAAAACCAGACATATCCGTCAGACACATTAAATAAAGCACTACCTTTAGCCTCCTTAAATCACCTTCACATCATCCTCTTGGTTCAGTGAAATTAGTATAGCTCCTACGAATGCGAGTCTTGTTGTTTATTTTTTGTTTAGTAGCATTTTCACCTAGGTTTTTAATAACCCGTGTTGCTCACTCTATGCCTTGGACACCTTATTTTAATGCGAAAGCATTAACTGTCCCATGAAGCAAAGCCAGCGTTGTTTATAGCAGCGAAAAATGGCACCTAAATTTTTATTGGCTGAGCAAAACGGCACCTAAATTCTCATTGGCTGCGACGCGTCGTGTGGCTCCATAGGAATGGTGTCATCGTTGCTGAGGAACCAGCCGAACTGCTGGCAGTGCATGGGAGGGGGGGGATGCGGGTATGCGCTGGCCAACGTTACTAAAACACTCAGTTGGGAAACTCCCATAGAGACAGCTTTGAAAAAGTGGCCCCAATCTGTCTCCGAGCACCGAGCTAATGACGAACACGAAGCCACCATTTCTCCCGCAGCGGCCTCTCGAAGAACTGCACGTCACATCTACTTTGGCTTTGAGAACAGATACAGCGGTAGAGGTTACAGGGTGCCACCCCCGTCTCCCCGGCGGACGCGCCGCGTTCAACTACCGACGTAAAAATGCACCTAGGTCAGGACGTGCTACCTGAAAGGCCCGCTGAGGCATGGTTGTATGAAAACAATATTAATTGTTCCGCAAAACCTTGCGAACTAAAGATGATAAAAACATCACGCGCCCATCATTTGGTACTAAACTCCAATAAATTTCATACAAAAAGAGTCTTTTCCGTTTGTTTTTACGCAAAAACAGGCTTTCAAAAAGCTCGAGGTGACCACAGTACAGACAAACGAAAAAGAGTGGCGCTGTTGTCGCATTTAGCTCGGTCTCGGTGGACGCCAGCGGCCCGGGTTTCGGTGGCGAGTTTCCCAACTGAGTGTTTTAGCAACGTTGGCGCTGGCCTTATTATTAGGCCTAACATTAGGCCTATCGTTATGCTTTGAGGTCTGACATCGTCAACCAGTACCCACAGCTAGAGCGATGATGACGAGAGGACACATGATTTCAGCACGCACCGCGCCAAGCTTCGCACTAATGGCGCCGCATTGAGCTTCACACTCCCGCTGCTGCCTCACCCAGCAATGCAGCAGTCACCAGCGAGCCAGGGCGGCCTGCACGGCGCACCGCTGCACTCCCTGCCGGCACTGCGGCCGCTTTTGCTCCTTTTGGCACCAAGAATGCTTTTCCATTCCCAATTCTTAAGAAGTGCTTAGGTGTCCTCAAAATTTTTTAATGAACCCAAACTAGCCAATGGGCTATGGGTTCATCAGCTTTTTCAGTAATATGCGTATGCCTTACTGATAATAAAACAAATCCAATTAAACTGACTCGTCAAAACCCCCCAAGCAACATCGGTGGTCGCTCTTTCTCGGCCACAAAGCATGTGGTTCATTAGAGTCACGACTGATCGCCGACACAGCACTCGTTTTTGATACGGGCCGAGCCAAGCTCATGCCGAATCCTGAAGCAGCCCTCGAGTCCAATACATGCTCAGATTACGTGCCCAAGCTCGGCTAATTGGTGCAGCTGCTACTAGATGGCGCAACTTTTGAAAAGGATATTGAACCATCCAGAAACATGCTACGGTAAGGTCTTTGTCAGAAGACTATGCGGAGCGCAGGTTCGTCTGCTTTTTGCGCAATGATTGCAATGACGTCCGAACGCCAAGCTCCGATTGGCTCAGACTGGAAGGCTGTGGAAAGACCTCGATGCTGGCTGCCTCGAGGTCTATCCACTACCTTTTCAATTGGAGTGAAGTGGGCGACCTTGAGCTTCGCATGGCTTATGGCTGCAGCCTTTAATCTGACTGAGGCAGGGGTTGAAGGGAGCAATTAGAAGGTGAAAGGGGGATTGCACTAACGCTGAAGAGCTGCTTGTCGTGCTGTAGCTGGTAAAACTGGAGGTGCCCCGGGCGTCCCCCGAGCACCAGGGAGTCCCACCGGGGGTCGTGAAGGAGGAACGGGCAGGGCCTCGCTCTGCAAGGGCTCCGGGCCAGCCCCTGGACCACACGCTCCACCCGCAGCTGAGAGCTCAGCAGCTGCAGGCCTGCAACAGGGGCAACACGGCACCGTTTTACCGTACGCCATCCCGAAAACGCCCCGTGCAGCATAGAGTTTAATACAACAATCTGGAGGAGAAGGTCCCGTGCATTCCAGCCACTTCGAAATGGCAAGGCATAAATGCAAGCGTGCGTGGTCTCAGTGGGTGGTCCTGACGGGCCCATTTTGTTGGCAACGCCTTAATATGCACGAAGAAGCGGCAAAACATCACCTGTAAGGTCTGCACCTCGTTCTTTTCTAGCTTACATTGCACAAAAACACCGGCATCGCGCATTGTAAAAAAATACATGATGTTGAGGAGCACTCCAGATACTTCCAACTCGTTGCAACAGAACAAACCCGCTTAATTTATCATCTGCTTTCTTCCTCCACTCTCCTGCTGCTCTGTTTCTCCTGGGACCACCAATGTCAGCACTCCGGATTCGCCGCACCGTGCTCCTGTCTTAACTCTTACGCCAAACGGTGAGCCAATATATAGGGACGTTCTGCCTCGTGTGGGTGTAGGGAGCATGATGGCATGACAGAAGGGTAGGGAACACTCCAGGGAGAATAAGGATAGGGAAACGGGGGAAAAGGAACCAGGAAGAGAGTGGGGTGTGAGAGTGTGTCAATTTGTGGGACGTGCGCGGGGGCGACAGTTGGGACCTGGACAATAAAGAGTGGAGTGAAGGGGAGACCCTAGTCTTGAAACAAAAAAATAACAAAAAAGTTTTTAACACATTTTTTTTTGATTATTAAGTTACAAACAACATGCATTGTAAGTAACACACTCAGGAAGGGCACATTTATATTAGTTACATCAACTCAAAGTTTCATATACATTGAATTGAATATTGACAGCTGAACAATTATACATGAAAACACCATGAGAGGAAAATAAACACACACTGCTGACTATCAACTTCCTTTCTATTCAATTATGTACCAACCAGCTCAAGTAAAACCTGTAGTACAGTTTATTTCAAATACAGGCTGTTCATAAGCATGTTTTGAAAAACTTCTTCTGTTTTTTGAAAATTAACTTTTCTTCAAAACACAAAGTGTTGCCCACGGTTATCTTCTTGAACTTGGACCTGAATGGTTTTTCAGAGTTTACTACTTATAAACCAGAGAGTGCAATAAGACTACTATTTATAAAAAATGTTAACTACAAAATTTTCTAATTGGCAAAGACTTAAACGAGTCATTTCTAAACATCAGCAAAACATTTGAACACGTGATAACTTTTTCTACAATGATGCTGAAACCAAATGGTTTTGTTGCATCCTCTGCTGTTTGTAGAATGGGCTGACATACTTTGAGCCAATTTGTATTAAAAAACTAATCAAAGTTCCTGTCACCTAACGTCGGTGCAGAGCGACAGATGGCGCTACCAAACCTTGCTGAATATGGTCGAACGACAGACAGCGCGTGTCAGCCACTTGCGAACGATGGTTTCCCGCGTAGACGAGTGGCCGACCAGTCCCGCTCGTCCATGCAGGAACCCATCGCTCTTAGGTGGCTGACAGGTGCCGTCCGTCGTTCGACCATATTCAGTAAGGTTCGGTAGTGCCATCTGTCGTTCTGAGCCGATAGTAAGTGTCGGGAACTTTGATCACTTTTTGATATACAAGTTGGCTGTGCATGATTGTAATTTCAGGTTTCTTAGGATGATTAGAGCTCGTAGATTGAGTTATGACAATAAAACGAGAATCTCAAAAGGCACTACATTGCCCCTTTAAGAGTAGAGGCGAAAGTTTAAGGCAGTGATTATTTCAATGCCCACCACCAATAGACTTAAAATATTATTTCAACGTCGCCACTTCCACAAAACATTAAAATAGCAGCTTTCTTATTTTGACGTCCTCCCTCAATGCAGCGATCGCAGTGGTAGCCATTTCGTGGCTCCGTTCTGTTTAGTTTCTGATGCTGTTGTCGGTGCTCTGTTGGCATATTGACGGAGTCATGTTGCTTCCTTAAGAAGTTTCGATTCTATACCCATTTTCACCTCAAGAAAAAGGCAAGTTTTGCGCATTTTTCATATGCGGCCCATAGTTCTTACGAGATTTGGTTGTCGGAAGAAAAAGCTATGCTTTTGGTGTTTGGAATGTGTACATATTGATAACTCTAATCTAAAATTCCCCTACATATATCTTAATTATCCACATAAAAGGGGAAATTAGTAGTGTTCCACGAGGAGCCAGAGTTGTTTTACTACGGTTCTTTAGGTAAAAACAGGTATAGTTGGCAGTGGAAATGTCTTATTCAGCATGTGTGTGGGACTGGCTCGACAGTCGATTCTTTCAGACGTAACACGAGTGAGTGCTATTCCCGTCTTTGTGTCCTTGTCTGTTCTTTGTGCTATTTCTGTTCAACATCACAGAACACAAATAGCACAAAGACTGTACAACGTCACCAACTAAACTGTATGACGTTGCCAACTAAACTGTATGACGTCGGCTGTCAATCGAGTAAAATAAATGTTTTTCAAGAATGAAAAGCCAGCAATCGGATGCGAGTGCGTCCAAAGGGCCTTCTACCAATGGGCGCTCACTCACAGTTGTCCTCGTGGGCCGTGAGTATGTGGGCAGAGTCGGGGGAGGTGGTCAGGCGGCAGAGGGGCATCCCCATGCGGGGCAGGAACTGCTTGTCCCCTGAGGCCAGGCCCCACTTCACAAGGACGCACTCGCCGCCCCCACTTAGCAGGAAGCCGCCTGCAGATGGAAAGTGCATGCGATGAGCCCGGGAGAAAAGGTCTGCCATCTTACCTTGCGTTTCAGCCATATCGAAACAGCAGTATATACAGGCAGACGTCAGTGGTCCCGGTGGGTCCCGATTGCTGACGATCACCTCAATAAACGCAAAGCGGAGGCAAAATATAATTTTGCGATAAAGAACCGGCGTTGTGAGTCGGAAAAAAAGAACTTGAGTTGACTACAACTCAAACAGCCTTAAGGGGGAACACTGGTCTTGGAGCTTTTTTTCTCTTTTTATGACTGAACCCAATGAAACTGCACAAGCTTGTTCAGCTTTTTGGGCTGATTTCATATATCTGGTCATTTTCTTAGGCAGTAGAATTCTCCTCAAGAGAATTAAAACTTGCCTGCCCTTGTTTGGAGCAACGATAGGAAAAAAACTGCTCGACAAAATATCCTTTTTAACAGATGGCTTTATGCTATGAAGTGTAGAGAATACAATGTTGGAAGTACTTTTAAGATAAACCCATTATTAGTGATTTTACCACACGTTGAAGTTCAGTGCTCAGTGTAGGGCTAACAAGTAATAAAACAAAAGATCAAATAAAAAAGTTTCTAGGCTTATATTAAAAAATCTACTCTCAACATTGTATGCATCACACATTTAGCTACACATTTCAGGAAAAGTTATATTTGTATCTGCACTAGATGCTGAGATATCCCTCCTGCAAATTTTCAATGAGTCCAAAAAGTGTGTTTTGTGAAAATAATGTTTTACATTCAACTTCAATACCCATTCAGCCCGTATAGACATTATGAATTGGTATATGGCTCATATATTCATCCTTGAAATTAGAAGCCTGGTAGATTCGGAAGAACAACAGTCATCGCCATTTTCAAAAGAATGCAGTTTTAGAAAGTTTTTGGCTCCAAAGACCCATGTCCCCCCTTAACACATCCTGGCAACACAAATGCACCAAACCTTTCGCCTACTTTCTTTTCCAATTCCCTGTAGCTCTCTTTCTCATTCTTTTACTCAGGACCACCCATATTGGTTCTTACAATGTGCTCCACTCCACCCCCTGCCAGCAGCAGAAAGCCAGCCTGAGCATTCCGACTGTTGGTTGGAACACGGGTCCCAAAGCTGGGTATCCCAAGAGGCCAAATTACGTTGGCAATATTCCACTTTCCCAATAAAGCGGGTTATTGTAATTCAAACACGTTTACGGGGTGAAACCACCTTCAAGTGTCGACTTTTAAACCAGATTCTCAATATTGAAGAAATTTGGGGGGTCTATTCATCTCGTCTAAATGCACTGTATGAAATTTCATCTCTGTAGGACTATATTCGGATAAGCTAAGGGGGGAGGTACACAGCTACAGTATAGACCACTTACAACGTAACCGCTTATAGTGCAGGACCGGGTATAACGCGGTTTTTTTAAACCACCGGTTCGCCTCCCATAGAACTCCATGTATTTACATACCGCTTAAAATGCAGGCGCGCGAAGGGAAATACCGGCTATAGTGCGGTTTTTGGCACAGCGCGCCGACCGCGCCGACGACCGGAGCAGCGGGCACGCTTCCCTGTGCGACACTAGATAACGGCGCTGACGGCGCGGGGCGAGGATGTTGCTCGAAGAAGTGGGGAGAAGCGAAGAGAGAGGCTTCAGTCGCCATAGCGACAGAGGGACGCACGCACGTGTCGTTCACGTGCGTGCGTCCCTCCGCTGCGTTGGAAACAAAGAAACAAACAACCGCACCGACAGACCAATCGCAGATCGAGGAGAAGTGTTCGCGCGCGTTGCGTACCGGTCGCGGGCCGGCTGCTTCTCCGCAAACATGGTGTCGGTTGTGATCGTCGTCGTAGACGGAGTTCATCTCATCGTTCTGCGTAAAAGCGCTATCCTTGACTGTGAATTTTCGTTGTGTGTCGCTATGATAACCCAGCACGTACTAGAAGGGAAGATCCACCTACTCGTGCGGCGATGTCGTGGCGGCGCTCTCAAGACGGCAGAAACGCCCGTGTCGTCGTGTTTGTTTACTTCGACTACAGTGGTGATTTCTAAGCATTTGTGACCTCAAACATCGCCCGGATTTCTTATTTGGCGCATTTCATGCGTGTGCTAAAGTTCAAGGTATTACTGGCGCGTACCGTATGAAGGATGCGAATTTTCACGCGTTTTCATCTCCGGAGAAAAGTGATTAGGGTTAGCAATCCTGAACGCTCGCAACGTCCATCCGCAACCCGCGACGCCGTTAAAAGGCTGCGCCAAGCAAAAGCCGCTAATTTCTTTCAAAATGTGTGACACACTTGAGACATAACTGTACTAGTCTGGTGAAATAAAGACTTTCCTCAAACTAAGCTTTATTTTTCATCTAACATAAAATAAATTCTTTTACAAAGGTAAGTTGTCTCATGGCATGTATTTTGGCCTGAAAAATTGATGTTTTGGTTATAACGCGGTACCGCTTATAGTGCGGATTTTCGCGACTCCCGCGACATACGTTATATGCGGTCTACACTGTATTGATGTAAGTCGCCTCACTTGGCAAGGAAATTTATCGTATAAGATTGCTGGAGAATATTGAGCGTTTCTAATCTTTAGCCTTAACTAGAACATGTAAGGGGGGGGGGGGAGGGGGGCTATCTATTTTTTACCTTAAAATCCGTGTTTTTTCTATGCAAAATGTCAATTTGAAAAGCATTGCACACATTGTGGCATTTTGTCCTCATCAAAACTCTACTTTTTGGCAATAAGAACTTTATTTAAATAGAAAAATAAATATCTAGCCCCATTCCTCATTAAATTTTAGTTCAGAAACATCCACAGCAAAGAATACATTCAGCGATTCATTGAAATTATAGATTTCTTAAAACGAAAGTTGCTGCCAAAAAGTGAAACTGAGAAAAACCTGTTTAAAGTTTTCACACCACTACATTTGCTTTTACTGGTGATGGTGGCAACTAAAAGGCACCGAGAGCGTAGATGGTGCCTTCTGCTTACACCCAATCTCCAGCATGGCTTTGCTGAGTCAGTCCGAGCTTAAAGCGCTTTCTTTGAGTGTCATTTTGTTGTCGGCATCTGGACATCGATTGTGAAATGAGTGAGGAATTGGGTATGCTTGCAATACACAAACCAACATTAGCAAGTATGGGCCGGCCAAGCATCATCGAAATACAAAGAAGACAAACCCACTTGATGTTCTATAAATGAATGCTGGTTTTAGTCAGTTTTGTGTTCAATCAGGATGGGCTTTCTGATTGTTGGCCATATGTATAGCCTCTCCTACGTGAAAGCTGGACTTCTACGGTGTTCTTGCCCGAAAGAGTGTACTTTCGAGCAAAGATATTTCATGTACTGAAACTGTGAAGAACTTCTCTTTCAACGAGAGTATGATCATCATTCTAGGGCATACCGGTGGAAAGCTGCAGTAGTTTGAAAAGAGGAAACAGAAATTTAATGTTTCAAAAACACGTGATTTTGCATCGTTGGCTGACCGAAAATGTTTTATTTCTCTGTAAATACTTCAGATATCGCAATACAAATTTGCAGGAGTATACATTATTAGTAGTGAAACCACAATACACAAAAATAGGGAAATTAGATTTTTTTTTTCTTTTTTCAAAAATTGCAATTTTAAGGTGGTGTCCCCCCTTAAAAAGCTGGACAAAGACGAGTCAACAATGATGCAGGAAGATCATAGGAGCAATCTTGAGCATTAATCTGATCAAAATAGTAGCATATCCTCATATGTCCCTACACTTAACTCGACGAGAAGCCTGTGTGGGCTTTTTTTCATCTTCCTCAAATTGCAGAAAGAAAGGGCACGAAAGTGGACGAAGTCCTATGGGGCTCTCCACAACCATTGGGCATCAACTGATACCGTTCAACTGGTCTACTAGTGAAGCCCAAGGCAAAGAGAGTGTCCACATGCTTCCCCCAACTGTTTTCAAAGAGAAAGTACTAAGCCCCCTTTCCCCAGAGTTTGAAGAAGAAAGGTCCTCATTGCCAGTTTGTCTATTCTCCAAGTCCTCATTGCCAGTAGATGGTTTGACTATTTTTCAATTTTAATGTCAACTAAATGCATTCTTTATTCAGGGAAGACACTACCCAAAAGGGTCAACAGCATATACTGGCAGTAGCGAGGCAGAATGCAGTGCAAAGTTTTAACTGTGTACATGAATTGTGAAAGAAATTATAATTGTTTCTATTGGGAACACACTGACATTGTTTAAAAAAAAAGCTATCTTTAGAAAACTAATGTACTACCCAATATTCTTTTTTCATTCGATATGCAGCAGAATGCCCGGAGGGTGCAACTGTGAAAAAATATTTCCAAAAAGTAATTTATTTTATATGCTAACATTGCGGTCAAAAATCAAAATGCTTTGGCCTTTTATGTTGTCCAGATTTTTGCATTGCACATTAAAGTCCAGTTATGAGAAACAATGAGCGAGCCTTTCCTTTTGAGCCGTTACAAAACAATAGTTTCCTTTAAAGTGAAATTTATGCCAAAAAGTGGAACGGAGAAAAAAGCGTTCGAAGGGCTCTAACCTCTATCTTTTCTTTAACTTCAGTGGACCGAAAATAATTTATAAAAAAATCACCATGCAGTGTAAACAAATCAACTTTTTAGGAATACTCTCTCGATGTTGATGGTGTAAATATTTCATTTTTCAAAATCAACATTTTTTTCATAAATTTTTTTTCTGGGTAGTGTTTTTTTCTGGGTGGTATTTTATTCTGGCTATCGAAACACGCTCCTTTAAAATTTACCCTACGAAGTACCGTGATGGATGTTACGAGCCACCGGAGCCAATCCATAGCTCAGAGCGTGTCCCGCGACCTTCCTTCCGGCTTGAAGCAATGCACGAAGCGTGAAATCTTGTGGCCCACGTCGCACGCCGAATCGGCTATGTGGCTCGTAGCGTCTGTTGCGGTACGTTCATTAATTTTAAGTTATGTTTTAAGTTAAGAACGTTGGCATGGTGAGCGTAATAAAATGAAACAAGTATACGTAGTGCCCGCGAAGTTACTGCCAGCACAAATCAGACCCGATTCTACTCCCAGGTGTTCCAGAGTTTACAGGAAGATCTCTGAGCGAGTGGTTTAGGAGGTACTAGTACAGTGGAATTTCATTCATTTGAGCCCCAGGGGGACGAAAACTTTGTTTGAATAATGCAAAGCTTAAATTGCTGGGAGTTTCCTTCCTAAATACACGTGGGACGGGACGTGCATGTTAGTTTGAATTATCCGCGAGTTTGGATTAAGAGAGTTTGAATTAACGAGATTCTACTGTAGCTGCAACCGAGCAGTGGAAACCTCTCAATGGCCGTCACCTTTATGCCATTGTCCCGCGTACAGCCACGTACAGCTAACTGGATATTGCACGCGGTGTAAAGTCTGCAGGCCGAAGAAGCGATCGCGCCCACCTGTGGAGGAGAAGACGAGATCCGCAACGGGAAGGGTGTGCCAGTGGTACACGGATCTGGTTGGAGCACCCTCTTCTAGGCCCTGCCTGCACGATGGAAAAAGAAAAAGATTAGTAAGTTCGAATAAGAAACGCAATTGCATCAAAAGGACAGAGACGATATCTAAGAAGTGGACTAAAGCAGCGCCGGCCATAGACTGAGCATTTATAGAAGAAGCTATGCTCAACATTTTACCAGTGCCCTTGCACCTGCATCATACCGTTATCAAAGCGCAGAGACAATCTTGTAAAACTGCCTGTTAAGAAGACGGCACCCTCTAAAGAATTATTCAACAAACGCCCAATTGGGAAAGCGAAGAGGACCATTGCGTGTGAACCAAGTGGACTTCATTATCACGCAAAAAGTCATTCGTAACTTTCTTTTTGATGACACAATTATTCTTGCCCTCCCTCTGGACGGCATATGCCCTTTTTAGATGCTTACCCCTTTAGCACGGATGGCAGAAATAATTGTCAGCGTGATGTACACTTCTTTGCATGACAAAAAGGTCCGCTTACGGTTTCACGTTTACAGGTAAAGGCAAAGCAACAAGAAAAAACTTGTCAGTAAGATTTTCGTTCTATCTGATTTATACCAAAAACTCATAAATTCAAAATTTAAAAAATAAACAATTTATAAAAATTGAAGAGACGAGACACTTTAGATTAATTTTAACCGACCAGCAGGTCAGCTGTCGTGAGACGCCAGCCTCGTCTCCTTTCTAACCTCTAACATGAACGAACAAGGGTTTATGGTCAATGTTCGTTCAGGACAAGAGGTGCAGTATGTTAGCATATTTCTCAAACATAAATAAACCTAATCAAAGTATGAAATGGAACACTGTTCCATATCATACTTTGATCCAGTTTCAGTTTTCCAGTTCTGGTAAACTGAGAACTCGAACACTGTTTCAGTTCTGAGCTCAGACTACACTAGTCTAAACTCAAAACTGGAAAAGTGGCTAGGGTAATTGCTCGCTGCAAGATATATCTTAAAAGGTGGAGGAGCCAGTATAAGTATCTTACACACAGGAGTTAGTGTTTTTGTACCAGCCATCCTGCAAAATTTGCACGAATGCTACATGTAATAAAAAGGGCCTTGTGACTTTGACTTATCTGTGATCTCCTTTTCTTCATTCGCAAGTGTGGAGAATTGGGGATATTACAAAAATTAAACTCTCGTAAACGCCAAATTTCAGAAAATGGAAATATTTGAATGAAAGTGAACTCTGGTAGCAGTTAAATTTCTGACACAAAAGCAACTAAAAAAGAAAAGAGAATTTACTCAGAATAGAAATTCCAAAGGCCTGGAGCCTCCTTCGTAACACTTGCAGCACAAGTCTGCACGCACAAGGTGGGCAGACAGGTGCGCACCGAGGTGCCAGGAGCGCACGGCATACCAGATCGTGATGCAGCCCAGACTGTCTCCCGTCGCAAGTGTCCTCATGGTGGGATGGCAGGTCACACAGGTGAAGTGGACCCCATTCTGTTTCCCTTTTGACCAGAACCTGAAAAGGTAGACAGGTAACACAAAACCGTTTATGCCGTTTCTCCACCGATCCTTCGCCAGCTCCCCCGAAGCCCCACATCGTCATCTTTGTGCCGCAATTGCTTCAGAGCCCCTTTGAAGGCCGGTTCCCACATATATCGCTACGTTAAAACAAGACTATGAGCAGTGCCAATGCAGCGCTGACTTGAATGTAACTTAGCACTGAAGTCAGCGCTGTATCGGCAAGGTCATCACTATTTCCAACACGCCCCAATCTCGCATCAGCTATTTACGTTCATTTCTAAAGACGACTTCTGTGAGTTTCTCTGGCTTTTTTTTTGCTAATTCGATCGTCCCAATTAGTCCCATAACCCTCATACGACACTTGTATAACGACCTCTGTGCAGCAGGTATTGACATTTTAACTGAAATTGTGTAGCATAGACACTGTTTAACAAATTTCTAAACACCCTGTTCTGCACCATTACCAAGGCATCAACTGTTCATGAAAAAACTGCTTAATGCTTAACAATCTTCTCCAGATACTTGTCAACAGCTTGTTACATGTATAATTTTAGAAAAGAAACAAAATTACATGCACAGTTTTTCATCTGGGCCTCATCTGCCAGACTTTAGTGAGGGCTTATTGAGACAGACAGCAAAGGCGCTGTTCCCAGCACAGCACATGCACATAGGCTTTCTCTCGCAAAGCTGGTTTGTGTGCGCATGCAGTGCGTATCGGTTTCTTTTTTTTGTCCACGGCCACGCGGTGCCTCGTTATAACCAGGGACCAGTAGCCGAAAGGGCGAGGAACAACTGCGCCGCGCTCACTTTTTCAGCGGAGACGCCGGTGCTGTGCAGTCACCGACAAACAGCCTGGCCTTGCGGATGGCGGCGTACAGACCGCACGAGGGACCGCCAAAGGCCACAGGGGAGGCGCCGCCGAGCGACACCTTGTCGACGAGGACCCTGGACTCCTCGTCGTCTCCCGCGGGACACGTCTCCAGCCTGCACCACCCAGCACCTTGGAGAGAAAAGCCGGCGGAGTCAGCACCAAGACGCCGCAAGGCCGGGCAGAATCGGGATCGAGGTTTTACGTCGAGAGGTGCACTATTGCAATCTTCGGCAAGGTGTACCATATTTTCCGGTCTATAGGGTTAAATACCACTTGGATAAACTCGGATAAACAAACTTTTGAAAAATTTAAACCAATTGAATTGAAGTTTATTTCTTTCGGAGCAACCCAAAGGTTGTTCCCCAGCAAAATCCCATATTGGCCAACGCATTCAGCTGAGTAAACTTTTACTTGCTTTTTCTTAAAGGGGCACTTACAAAAACACTAACCCTATAAAAAAGAAAAAGAAAATATTATTTTTGATTAGGACAGGCATGTTTCAAAATACAAAAATATGTCAAAAAAAAAAAAAAAAACTTTTTTCTGTTTAATAATTATGTTACAATCCAAATTGTTTTACTTGCAGGTGAAACCGAAATCGTACCCCAGTGGGATGATGAGAATAGCATTTGTCCCCATCTAGTGGGCACACTGAGTTCGCTGGACCCCAGAGCGCACAGTGTACTCCGTTCATCCTTAAGCTGAGACTTGAAGTTCCGCCCTCAGCATGAGCTCACTGGCTTCCGCAGTGCTCTAGTTGTGTGTCCCTGCACAATCACACTTGTGTTAGCAAAGGCAGAAGACTCGCACTGAAGGCAGAGCTTCTAGTCTCAGCCTATTAAGGGTGAACGGAGTATAGATGGGTACAAAAACTATCATCATCATCCCACAGGGGTACCATTTTGGTTTTGCTCGCAAATTGAAAAATTTGTATAGTAACATATAAATAAAGCAATTTTTTTTTTTTAGCTTACATTTGAATAAAGAGTTGTTGTTTGACAATGCCTTTTGACGGCACCCCCTGGTGTCCGCTCCGAGGCGCGAAAAGGGGGGCGTGTCACAATGTTTAATTAGATTTTTAATAAGAAATTGGCCGCTCACGAGTGTAATTTCGGCCTTTTCAGGACGCTCAGAGCCCGTAGATTAAGTTATTGCCAAAAATAGACAGTCTCAGGATTCACTCTGGTGACCCTTTAAGGTCCCTCGAAGTTTGTTCAAGTGGTATTTCCCTGCAAGTCAAATTTGCCTTGAACTTCACTGTAAGTGCACAAACCTCCCTATAAAGGGGTATTTGCACAAAAAAGGCGGTACATAAATCATTCTTTTGTATAAGTCTAGGCATAAGGCAAAGCCTACGGATTCCCGGGTGGCAAATTCGAATCTTGACCGAGATGCCCGCAATCTGACAGGGGCTCATTCCAAGGAAGCCACTGTGCAATTGAGATTTCGATTGCTTGTCAAAAAAATACCGAGGCAGTCCTAATTAATTTTCGGTACTCCGCTGGCACGTGCCAGATGCCCTTAGTTGGTTTGGCACGCAAAACCTCCAAAATTTGACATTTTTTATTTTTTATGGTTGACACAGCAAAACTGCCCTGATAAGCCTGCACGTGTATTTTGATTTTTCATCAATGAATCAAACAAGAGATATAACCCCTGAAGCAAATTTGCACAATAAAGGTTTATACTGAAAGGAAAAAAAAATGCATATAAGTCAAATCGTTATATAACGCGCTCAAAAAAAAAAAAAAAGTTTATACATTGGAAAATATGATGCATATCATTTCATTTCGGGGTAATGACCTTAAAATGGCCGCTTATCTGAATGTGTCTACAGAAGTTAGGTTGTTTCATTGGGATTCTGACATGCACCATCACTAGCATTCAGGTGATTTACGATCTGGGTGCTTAGCGAATTCCCGTACGAATGCCCACCCCCGAGAGAAGACCCATCCAATTTTTTGGGCTGAAAAACCCATAATACTAACTCCAAAACATTTATGGGTTTTGTGAACCTATTCTAAAATCACCAGCTCTAGCGATATTATGTAAAATTTTGACTGATTTTGTCATTTTTGTGCTGGAAATAATGTGAAAGCAATTATTAATCTAAATGCCCAAAACCCCGCTAAAGGGCCCACAGTTTATTAATTTCACATGACAATTACCCGAGTGAAAAAAAGCAGCCAAGAACACAAAAAACGGTATTAACACCAGAGCTGATATTTTCAACAGATACAATATTCTATGTTGCCTCTAAGGCGCATTAACGGAACACTCTACTCTCAAAAAATATTTTGAAGTGCCTGAATAGCACACGTATGTTGCGGAATAAATTTGCCGCAAACAACTGCAGTGATGTGATTGGCCTAAGCCGTTTTGGAGCACCTTCTGGAGCAGCCAAAACAGAGTTTTGGAGCAGCAAAACTGGCTTTTGGAGCAGCTAAAACAGAGCTTCGGAGCAGCGAATGTGGCTTTTGGAGCAGATAATCTTAGAAAAAAAAAAGAGATATTAATTTTAGGTGGTGGACAAACGAAGGACACATTTTTCGCCACAATCAACCAATTATTGTCAAGATAGACAACCTGGGAGTCTTTCAACATGTAACTGAAATGCCAATGACATAACACATTTTCCAATGCTTCAGTTAAATGATACGAATATATAAGACGAAACTGCACATATTAAAATTTATTTGAAAATGACCACCTTAGTAGTAAATAGAGAATTTTAGTAGATCGTTTTCAAAGGCCTGCTACAGCTACAGGCGCTCGCTTCAGAGCATGCATCGAGGGGGTAGCGCGAGCTCCCGCTACAAATAGCGTGACCCGAAAACACGATGTACCAAAACTCTATTATCACATCATTAGGTTGACTAGTAATATAATAAATGGAGGCAGTCTCTAACTGATGAAACACCTAACTACTGCCGTGCAATGCGAAATTCTCGCGCGAGCGGAGATGGCTGTTCGATCGAAACCATGCCACTCCGCTCTGTCTCTAACTAATTCCCAAAATTGTATGCAAAATGTAACTGTCCAACATACGACAAAAAAAAAAAAAAAACAGTCCAGCGGCACGTGCTTGCCAGTCCGGCAGGCGAGGTACAAGCTAAACAAAGAAAAAAAAAAAAAAAAAAAAAAAGAACCTGGGCACATTGATGAAAGACATCGCGAGTCAGGGTCAACAAGTTCTTGGAGGGCTTTGTGCAATGACTGAACTCGAGACAAATAAGCACGCTGCGCGGGTTCAGCGTGCAGACATTACCTTCTTTGCTTTAGCTCACTTCTCTTCAACTTTCTTTCGCAGCAGATTTTTCATGTACCGGGGTCCCATTCAAAAGAAGGCCTTTTGAGAGAAACCTAGGTAATCATTACTTCGGCACAGCAGTCTTTGAATTAAAGAGGAATTTTTGTAGTAGCGTATGATTTAAACAAAAACAAGAATGTTGATAACCTTGCGGCGGTCCTTACGTTTCAGTTTGGAAAGTGCCATAACTGCAGTGACGTGGGGATGGCAACACCCGACGCCGCGCGACCATGGTGACTGACAGGCGGGGACCAAATATAGTTTGGCCACGGCCGTTGCTTTCAGGGCGAGTGCTTCAGCCCATAAAGTAACCCCCGCCGCGCAAAAACATGGTTTCGTTTCACTGCATGACGGCATGGCTGGTACCCAGCACGCTAGCGTCGGAGCGTCCGCACACGCCCACGTCTATCATTGAATTTTTTTTTTAAAAAGACGCGAGACGAGAGACGGCGGGAAAAATCATGCAAGACCGGATGAACGATTGATGCAGGGTACTTTGTGTCGGATGGCTGCTTGCACCACCTAGCTCATGAGTGCTCAATTACGGTACTCAGTTTAGTTTCGGTTTTAAAAGGCGACCAAAATTGGTCCTTTGGCGCAGGCTTGGCGCAGATTACCCATATTTTGGCAAAATGTAGCAGCATGTAGCAGGGTTAGCCCCTTGGCGCAGTTTGGCGCAGTTTGGTGCAGCAATCACATCACTGTAATTGTTTTAGCTCAGTAATTATGCTGCGAAACACGTCTTGAGTTAGGAGTGAAACCGAAATTAACATTTATATTGAGAAATTTACTCCAAAATAGAAGTCAATTTCGGTTTCGTTCCTGAATTAGAATGTGCCTCCCGGTGTAAATATTACGCTAAACACCCTTTTTGTTCTCAGGATAAAGAGGTGACCCACACTAAACACCCCAGCTTCCTTGTACAGTCTAATCTCGTTAATTCAAACTTACATGCAGGTCCCATGCTATGCGTCTCTATGGGAAGAAACTCCTGGTAATTCAAACAAATTTTTGGTCCCCATCTAGCTCGAATTAATGAGATTCGACTATAAGCAGGAATAATTTCTGTCACTCAATGAAGCCAGCACACCAGACAGGCTCAGCAACTGGTATACCGGCACGCAATCTCCGACCCTCACTGTACCCGGCACTTTGAAAAAGGAGTGGTGCCACCTATAGGCAGTGGAAGTAGCAAATACTGTTAAGTTATTTTTACATGAAACCAAGTATGTATAGAGTGCATATGAAAGAAACTGTTCACAGTAGGTCCTGCAAAACTTGGTCTTTGCTATGCGAGGACTTTGCTCTTTCACAATTTCTCCGATTGCATGTCAATCAATAAAGTTCTCTTGCCTAGTTCACAATGCTTCTCTTTTCTCTTCCTCCTCCTCCCTGCCCCCCCCCCCCCCCCCAAAAAAAAAAAAGAAACACCAACAACAACAAAGCTATTGTCTTTAAAAAAGCACGGTTTTGCTTTCTGCCACCTTCACATTTTCTTTGGACTTCACCATAGAAGGAGGTTCAGCCTGAATATTGAGGCTTTTCTTAAAAAGGTTAGTGCTGAAAAATCATATTTGCTGTCTTTCATAAAGAGTTACAAAAGAAGTCATGAATTAATGCAGTAGCACCCGACAAACAACTGAAAACTTTAAAAAAGTCACCTGGTGTCCCTCGAAGGCAAAACCAGGCAGAGCCGGATGGTGGTGCATAAAAGCCGGCCAGCACATCCCTGTTCCCTCCACTGGATGCAGGCGCCGTAACTTCATATTTCTGCAAACAGTCAAGACACAGTTGTCACTAGACCTTTTCACAAAATTTTGTGCCACCTGCCACCAGCGTTTTGAAGCACACATGGATGCCACAAAGGGCTGCCATTCGCCGCCACCAATATGCCAAGTGTGCTTTAAACACCGGCGTTCCTGCCACTATGGTGCCTGGAACGCGTATCCAACTGGTGTATTTCAAACATGGTTTCTCAATTTCTACCCAATGATGTCACAGAAGTGTCACGCTGTAGCTTATTTCGGTCTTGGCAGGGGTGCAGCAGCGAAGCTGGATGCAGCAGATGCAGGTTGCTCTCCAGCTTGACAGTCTATAAAAGCCTCTGCAGCCAGGAGTTTGAACGTCGAGAAGACGGCAACACCCGCATTCACTCACGCTTTTTGTTGGAACTCCCATGACTAGCGGCCAGGGTCATGACGTTTGACGGCACAATACGGTAGTGCATGTGACATCATTGGTTACCCCCTCGATGCCGCTTTCGATGCAGGATGGGATGGGATGCTAAACACACCAGTCGAAGAGGTTTTCCAAACACTGCATTGCCACCGTTCCTACGCTATCTGGAAAGCGCCTTTCCGTTGCTGCGTGTTGCGTCATTTCTTCTGGAAACAGATCCCCGAGATTTTTAAAACGTCACCTATGCCATGCGCCGCAACACGTGAAATTACTTGCCTATAAATCGTTTATCAGACCCAAACTTGAACACACACCCACAATCTGGAACCCACACCAAGTATAGCTTATCAATGCACTCGAAGCACTTCAAAATCGAGCCACCAGATTCATTCATGCTTCGTACTCGTACGATGTCAGTGCATTGTCCCTAAAACCTGAATCATGTCTGCTAACTCTTTCTTGCCGTCGCCGCATTTCCGGCCTCTCTCTATTTCACAAGTTCTTCTACTGTCCGCTTCGTATCGCACCTTACATCACACCCCCAGCACGCAGGTCCCACTGCACCGGTCATCTGCTCCAAGTCGCCCGCCCACAGTCCCGCGCTGTCACTTTTTCTGCCTCACTTTTTCTCCGAGCAGCCAAAGACTGAAAAGACCTTTCCTACAACATCGCTGCCATCAACTGCCCATCAAGTTTCATAGAAAATGTTACCATTCATTTATCTCAGTGAATCCATGTTGCACTTTTTCTAATGTTTATTTTGTACACCACACCCCTTATGCAATACCCCCTAGGGGCGGTCTGGCAATAAAGTGAAGTGATGTCTCTTATTAGGTGTGAGTTGATTCCTTTTGGAATTTTGTAAACCAGTCAACAAACATTTTCTCAAAATACCTGGCAGGAAGAAGCGGTGGCTGGCTTCCTGAGTCGTTTCAACTAAATCCATGCTTATTCAACTGAATGACGCGAAACCACCTCGCCATCGAAGTCTTAAATGTAGTAATTCGGTGACACTTCAGTGTCCCCAAAATTACTATTGTCTGTATGATTAATATTTGTGGACCGAAATGCGCATAATGCGTAATGCGCACCTCAGCAATAGATTTTAAATTTGCTAACAATTCTTAGTAAAAATAGGATAGAACAAATTAATCAAACGCATGAATTTGCCGGGCCACGGCCGACAATTTAAGACTTTGTGAAAATTTCCGCTTTTCTTTCGAACAGAAGTTTCGAGGTGACAAACTTCTTTGCAATGTATTCAATTCGGGAGGAATCAAGCCTCAGTTGCTAAGGAGCATTTGCTCGGCAGAAACTGTCGAGTCACACTTGGATAAAAGCATCAGTATCGGCAAGCTCAACGTAGCTAAAGCAAGTGTGCGGTGCTTTGCAACACAACTGTGCGTGCGTGCAAAGCTAAGAAGGCAACCTGTCACTTAGTCTGGTTAATGCAAAACATTTTTCTACAGCAGCCTCCACAGATCCGGAAAAACAAGAATCAGAAAGGCTGTGAATAGCCCCGACTCACACCGCGCAAGCTGTATTATAAAGCTCCAGGCTTGTTTTTGAACATTTTGAATATTTTTTACAATAAAAAGCAACCTTGAGGTGCTATTATTCATTAAAAAGTTTACTCACAAAAATGTTATAAGCATTTTTATAATAAATCGAGGTGCTATTATTCATTAGAAAGATTACTCACAAAAACGTTATATGCATTTTTATAATAAATAAACCATTTTTAAGCGGCAAAGATGCACTTACACAGCCACCTGGTGCTTCGACATAGCACATTGTCTGCTCGCGTCCTATTAGCTGCGTCACAGGAGGGCGTACGCGAAATGGCGCCACCAGAGCCGTATAGAGTGGTCAGTCTATGATCTCGCCGCCGTAACGCTCTCCTCCCAAGTGAGCCAATCAGCTCGCAGCTTAGAGCGAGAGGCATGAGCGCATGTGCATGAACTCCCGGCTGCTCCCACCTGAGTGGGGAGGGGCGCCATCTTCGATCATTCTCCCGGCGGAATGCGTGGGATCGGCATCTAAATCTCGATTATTGCCTTTTATATCGCTGGCTCTGGCAAGAAAATGACATTCTGTTATTCCTCAGTGGGTTAAAAAGCTAAGAAATGAATATTTTTCGGCGTATGGCCACAAACTTTTATTCAGGCGAAAAAGAAGTCGGCCCGTAGCAGACGACGCGTAGCCTCAGGAGTGCTCTTCTCCGACCAGTCTCCGACAACGTTGCTAAAAAATGGCGGTCGTCTCCTCTCTGCTCCCTTCTTTCTCTCTCGCTCCTTCGGCGCTCTCCTCCCTTTCATTTACTTTTCTCCTCTCCGGCGCCTTCGTCGCCACACCCACTGGCCAAAGTCTCCCAATATATGGCTCTAGGCGCCACCAAAACATCTCGTCGCCACTAGAGCTTCTAGTCTCACTCGTTTTGGAGAAACTGACCAGGTTTGAAACTGCCTGGCCAATCTGTGTAGTCAGGGCCACATAACAGAAGCACCCTGAAACGGTGCAGACAACCAGTGTGGCAGAAAGAGCTATTTATTTTAGGTATACATTTCTTAAGAAACTTTTGCAAACATTAAAGCTATCTACGGTGGTGACAGTGCACTAGAAAGGCCCATTGGCAAGCGCTGCATACAAAACCCACACACACACACACACACACACACACACACACACACACACACACACACACACACACACACACACACACACACACACACACACACACACACACACACACACACACACACACACACACACACACACACACACACACACACACACACACACACACACACACACACACACACACACACACAAAAAAAAGGGTGAAACGGGCGATTGACATGCACCGAAAGCATCTAAATACCTTAAGGACAGATCCGTCCGAAGGATCCCACTTGATGATCACGCCATCCTCCGAGCAACTCAAAACCTAGGAAGAAAAAAAAAAATTTAATCGGTTTTGTGCGGAGTTTTTACGGCTTCGCTCTGCAAGGCTAGCGGAGATTTCGCTTACCTGGACGTGGTTTTCGGGGTTCCTGACGACGGCGACGACTTCAGCAGCGTGCTTGCCGAAGGTCCGAACGCACTCCCCGCTAGAGCAGCTGAATACCTTCACCGAGCGACCGCTGGGGACGAGGAAGAACCTAAAACGAAAGAAGGGTCCATGTGCGAGCGACCGGCCGGTGGGGCACATGTGCCGATGAGATCGAAGCGGACGCGTCACGCGCCGCTGGACTTACTTGGAGTCGTACGAAAACACCGGCTTGTATTTGATCAAGCTCGCCCCCGCTTTGCAGCGGGGTAATCTTTGCTCTTTAAACGTCATATTTTGGGCATTGTTGTTACACGCGACAGGCACGCGACAAGCCACTGCAAGTTGCCATGACAGTTTACAACGTTGCTAGAGGTAGGCAGCGGAAGTTGAATAAAAGAACAGGTGGAGGTTACTTTAAGTAACTGTCAACGGTTAGGCGGCGAGTAGCGTCATCATACGGCTGTAAAGACTGCAGTGGTGGAAGGAACAGAAAATAAGCGAATAATCTAACTCAAATACAAATGACATTAAGTTATTTCGCGTTGTTTTGTCGCTTCAAAGCGTCTACGTGGCATGCATGCATATATGTGTCACCACCATCCGCGTAGCGGTCAGTTCTTGGAGTAGTTCTGGTAGTTGGTAGTTTGGTCAGTGGGGTGAAGCTCTCGGCTACTTCCGTCCCGCCGCGTATACTTATGACGTTTGTCCGGTCCGGCGAACTGCTTCCGATTGCCGCGCTCCCAGCGGCTGTTGGCACTTGTTATTTCATTTTAAATAAAATTGATTCATATATCTAATGATGCGAAATAAAAGTGAAGTTGTTTTGAAAGTGTGAATGGCTTTGAAGCTTGTTATTGTAACTTTCTCTTTCACTCTTTCAACGTGTCTGGGCGCGCTTTCTCTCTCTCCGAACCCGCGCCTCTCGCCTCGAGATGCGCTGGCTGGCCGCTGGCGCCGGGAAGTCGGTGGACCGTTAGAACGCGCGAGTGACGCGAGCCGGCGAGTTGTTTCGCTTCTGGGAGTGCGTCGCGGCGCGAGATTCGTCCCGCGTTCGTGCGCGCGCGGCTATCTTTTCTTTTTCGTGGGAACTTGTTGGTGTAATGTGGTCAAGCATGGATTTTCGTCATCAACACACCACCTGATATGCCAAGTGGGGAAAGAATGACTGCCGAAAGCCGGGATATCAATGGTTTCGAGTTCGAATGGACGTGCGGTACGCTCTTTTGGTCTTCTCTTGCATAAGTTTCTGATTAGATGTTTGCAACAAAACCTAACTATCCCAGTGGTAGTGAGTATTAATCGTTTGATTTTGGCAATAGCTACAATGGTTTCCAATCACAAAACCAAATCCTATCATTGTTCAGGATTGCTCATCACTCGCCGCGAGAAATATGTCATTGTCAAATTACTGGAGACTTCTGTGTAGACGTTTTCATATCAAGATCGAGCACATATGCTCACTTTAAAAGATGGCAAACTTTTTGCTGTGAGCTGTTTATTTGGCACTGTTGTCAGCGATTCACGCGTCTGTTCGCGAGGAGTAAAAATATGAGCGTAAATATTTTTCGATTAACTGAGGATGAGCGATAGAGCGATCCGCTCTGGTTTTCCGTTTCGTTTAGCAGTAACTCACTCCTAAATTTAAGTGATAATATTAAAAACGAATGGGCAGGTTCTCGATGAAGACTCAATACCAAAGAGCTGAGCTGTTTTTCTTGGTACTCATTGCTTAGTTTCCTTTAGTTGCAATTAAGACACCGTCGTCGGTCTTTACTTATATGCTTACTTATATAATCAAATTTGCAAGGACGCATATCATCACCTTCGTCGCACGTAACCTTAGCGTTTTATCCCGTTTTGTTGTTCATTTCTTTGTTTCTCGTGTGGAAAACAGAAATTTTGTCTGTATTTTCTACTGTCTGTTGAATAAAAATGAACGCAAAAGGACAAGCAATGCATATTTTTTGTGTATGTGTCACTTTCGTTGCTTTGCTAGGTTTCTGCTGCTTTGCTGCTGGTCACGCTTTTCAGTGCTGGCTTGTGTGCGTTTCAACGCACATTAACCAGCATTGAAATGCGAAAACCAGCCGCAAAGCAGCAGAAGCCTGGCAAAGCAACGCGCAAACCCGCAAACCGGACAAAAAAAAAAAAAAAAAAAAAAAAAGCTACAATATATATATTTTTAACTCTAGGGGGCGCAAGCTACCATCCATCCAAACACAATGGCGCTGCCGTGCAGTTTCGGTTTTGGTTTCGCTGTGCCGCCATGTTGATTTTAGTACAGCCACCAGATACCAGGGGATTCAAATGGCGCTGCTGCCTCCCAGGGTTTTCCAATTTGCGTTCCATGGGCGGTATAGGAAGTTGCACTCCTCTGGTTTGGTTGGTTCGGCGGCCGTGCAAGAAAAAAAAGTTTCTCACCGCTTCCAAACTACACAAACTACGTGAAATCAGTGCTCTCTTTTGATCTGGTGCCATAGAAAAGACTCGGAACCATCGTTTATCTCTTCCTGCAAACAACGGTCAGCAAAATTCTTTTTTTCTTTTTTTTTTTTTCTTTTTTGTTATTGATAAGTGTGGTTTGCGATCTACGGCCGACAGCTCGTCTTGCCCCGTAGGTCGTGGTTTTGCCCCAGACCGGCTTTGGCGGGTTTGCCGGCTTATCATAGGCCTGCGCACTATAAAGCGCCTCACGAGTGCGCCCGGCTGACTCATTCCGTACTCGTGTGCGCGGAGCTCACTGCTCGGCCGTACCTCCCGCGCGACCGCAGAAAAAAAAGAATAACAAGGTAAGCTTTTCTATTTGCTTTTTGCCCTCCCCTATTCGTGCTCGTTATTTTTACTCGTCTGCAGTGAAAGCGACGTCATGACCTCCAGCCAATCCCGCGCTTCTGGTTCGGCCTGTTACGTGACGTCACAGCGTTGGGCACTGGGATATCGTTAGCCCTGGTTTGGCTGTTGAACTAATGTCACTTTAACTGTAAACTTCCCTCCATCGTATTGGGACAGACTTGCAGGGCCGGATGAAAGACTGGCTAGCACATCGATAAAATTCAATAATAATGTTAGGTTGAGTGCGATAGGGATGTGCTATTCTTATCTAGCACATTCGAAGACACAACCAAACTCTACATTTAATTAAGTCATCATGCACTATTCAGAAAAAAAAAAAGTGCTATTTTCTTAATATTGCTTTTGGGGATGCGCCGAAACCAGAGGCATCCATTTTACCGAAGCACATTTTAATGATCATTGGTTATTGATCCCACCAAAATTGTGATTAATTGCCCTAGCAGAATTTGGGCCCGCTTTGTTTTGTTGTATTTGTATCGAATGGAATCATGGATGCTGATTTTTCATAGATGTAGTCAGTATGGTGGTGTGAGCGGTGGCGAGGGGCTCAGAAGTATAGTTACTGCCTGAAAAGCTTGCCAGGATAGCTGTTGACATTGTCAAGTGCAGTGTGAAAGATGTGTGAACAGCATCTATCCAGAGCAGTGCTTGGATCCTTGCTTTTCGGTGGCAGCTCTAGGTATACATTCCTCTGAAACTGACAACATCTTCGCATTCTCCATTCCTACATTCTGTAGTTGAAAGTGCAATATGCCACAAGCAGCATCTTGGGGTTCTTCGTTAGAAAGATCTGCCGCCTGTTGCAATGGACCTTTTCCACACACCGACGGCACCAGCGGTGGCTGCACGAACTAAAAATCGAGGAAGTGACCTACCTGCGCTACCAATCGATAATGGGAGCTACGCTACCAGTTTCTTCGCTCTCTGAGCAGCGGCGCCTGCCCAACGCGACTTTAAAGAGGGGCATCCGTGGCGTCCACCCAAACGTCGTGTTTTCCTTTCCGTCGACGTTCTTTTTTTGTGTACCACAATTATATATATGCTGCAGTTACATGTTCTACTCACTGATATACAGCCTCCTTCCGAATTTCCTCGATTTTTCGTTCCGACTTCCGCCGCTTAACATCGGGCGCTCGCGCGTGCGCAGAACGCTTCTCGGAAAAGGTCCATTGGGAGACAAAGAAAATGGTAGTCTTTCAAATCATGCAGCTGGTGTGTCAATTGTTTTATATATATATAGCCCTATTAAAAGATTTCAATGGCATATTCTGAAATAGTCGCAATTCATATTCCCCCATCTTTTAGAACTTCTTGCAAAAGTAGTTATTGTGCCCTTTAGCTCTTTACGTGTGCTTGCACCACTGTTTTGACTCTCGTAAAATTGCTTTTCTAGCCACTACCAAGCTGTATGTTGCACTAATCATCTTATATAAGGCTCAACAGGACCCTATGCGGAGAGCAAGTCATCTGCTTCTAGCGCAGGAGTTGCGGTGATGTCAGAATCATGCCGAGCTCTGATTGGCTTTGCTCGAAAGTATAGTGGGTAGACCTCAATGCTAGATGCCTCGAGGTCTACCCACTATTTTTTTCCATCAGCCAATAAGACCTCGGTGTTCTGACATCATTGCAACCCCTGAGCAAGAAGCAGACAAGCTCTGAGGCATGCGGTTTGGAGAAGCTCGTTTTAGCAAACACCGTTTTATCGACCCCAGTTTATCAAATTGCTTTATACAGAAACCCAGTTTAGAGAAAATGGCGATGAGCCTCCTTTTAGCGAATTCAGTCACTGCGAAGCGGCGTGCACAGATGGGTCAAATGAGTTAAAATTTTTGTAATAAGCTGCTGCAAAACGGCACGAATGCAACAAGGGGAATGGGTTAATGCGCCCCCAGTGATCCCCATGCGAAGTAGAAAAACCTTTTTTAAACAGCATCTCTCTAAACTGAGGCTCCGCTCTCCCTAAACCATGCTTCGATAAAATGCACCCGTTCCCTAAAGCAGGGAACGGGTGCATTTTATCTGATCAACCGTAGTAAACCCAGGCAAACTTGCGCTTCACGTTTCCTAATGAGGTAATAGAAAAAAACAGCCAAACTTCCTCATAAACAACAATTGGTTTATTTTTCCTAGTATGCTTTTTCTTGTAAAAGATTTTCCATTAGTATTGTACATTGGCCAAATGAAGTGTTGCTCCGAGGAAAGTTTTTTTAATAAAATATTTGATGTTAGATTTCCAGCATAATTAGTTTCAGCTAGAAACTTGCCATAGCACATCTCGGTACCTCAGCGAAAGCCAACGACAAATTTAGGCACTATTTTGGGGCACTTTCTTCTATCTTTTCTTGCACATAGAAGTGTACACTAGCATAGAAGTGTACACTAGCATCAGCATAACGTAACGAGTTGAACACAATCATTTGGTTAGTTATCATATCTACCCTATTCTAACGTGCAACCAGTTTTCATACTCTGGGGTAGCGATTCCAGCATGTCCCTCGATTTCGGTTTCGTGCCCGACTCTAAGGTGCAACAAGTTTCTAGGTGTGTTTTTTTTTTTTTTTTTCTAAAAAAAAAAGTGTGTGCATTAGAATTGGGTAAGTATGGTGCAGTAATAAAAATGTAACATTCATTTCATTATTTTGGGGCAGCGTATGTGGTCTTTTGCAGCATTAAGAAAAGCGAGACAAGCCTCTTCCACGAGTCTCTTTGCTCATCATAATTGGCACAGTTTTCTCCTCTCCACTCACCTCCTCTCCCCCATTCGCTGTACTAAAGTCGAACGGGTCGATGATTTTTTGTGAGACGAGCTTGTCCTGCTTTTCTTAACCTTGCACAGACTACAGTGCTTGTCCCCTTTTTTTTTTGTTCTCTCATCTGCCAGGTTTCTAGTATTACTGATGCACATGACTGGTTCTCAAATGCTAGGGAAACATAGAAATTTCCTATAGTACTGCGGTGGGTTCCCCAAGCTCCCGAATTTCCCCGAGCGTCCCTAGACCCTGAGTAAAGTGTCCCCCCATTGATTCCTAACTGTGAGCCGAACGCTTTCTTGTATGTGCATTACTGTTTACAAGGTCCGTAGGCGATGTTGGTGACCGACCTTGACAACCCTCAACGCTCCCCGTTCCAGCACGATGCAGCAAGTATTCTTGAGCCAGCTGGTGATCTGCGTCCTCGCAAGTGGGGCGTGGGCCTTCAGGGCTGCTGTCTTCGAGCACGTCCAGCTGGGGAGCCCGGCGACCGAGGCACGGAGTGAGGTGGTTGCCAAGAACCTCGCCGCCTACGAAGAGGCTGCAAAACAGGCTGCTGTCGAGGTAGGTGCGGTCTTACGTTCTTCGTTTTAAGGCGTTAGCTTTATATGCGAACCCTGCACATATCTCGCCTGCTCGCGTTGGTTGCACCGTAGCAAGGCCATGGGAAAGATTGTTGGTGACGGTGTGTAGCTGTTGGTCTAATGCCATGGCACTCATGACCAATGGTGCTACTCCGCATGGAGTGGGTGGTTTATGCTAACACTCCCCCCCTCTTCTCTGCTGCATTATAGTGCAGGAACTGCATATTAGTTTTGATTACATTTGGCTTCTAGAATGTTTGAGCCAGGTGCTTTTTACTTCACTTTGCTCGTGTGCTACCTCCGAACTGTTCCGGTAATCAAGCTGCAAATTCCTCGCAGAAAATCTCTCTTTCTCTCTTCGTGCTGCCTGCAAAGGGGGAAGGGGACCTTTTTGTTTGTACTTTGAGAAGGGTGAGGACAAGGTAGTTCTGAGTATGCTTCGGGCATACCTGTTTAAGTTCCTGAAGCCGTGATTTTCTATCAAGATCCCTTTGGGTTTTTTTGTATATTGATAAAAAATTGCAGAAAGCCAGTATCAGAAATGGTGACTTGTCTGAAAATTTCTGAGAATGTTCTTAGTGGAATTATAAGCAGCAACTGCAAGTCTTTTTGCAACTCGTTATCACATTTTGCTCTTCTTATCATTTCGCAGAAAAGAGCCTTTGTGTAGAGTGTTGAAACATAAGCAATCTCTCCCGACTGATTATGATTTCTGCTATCTTATCAGAATTCTGTGAAAGCCACCTTGTGCTTTGTTCTGCTCCTCTTGGATTGGGCGAGATAAAAATAACCATGCACAGAGTAATATCGACTCATATGCTGGACCTTTCATTTTCAGAAGTAATGTTGAAACATAAGCAAGCTCCGCTGATTATGATTTCCGATATCTTATCAGAATTCTCAGATTGGGTGAGATAAAAAATGACCATGCACAGCACAAAGAGACTCATATATTGGATCTTCCAGTTTCATAATTTATCTTTTGCCCAAGACTGAGTCAGATAAAGCCTTCATTTGCTCATTTTTCTTCAAGCTGTTGTTTGGTTGTCTCACTTTTTTTTTTCACAGAGTGTTCCATTCACCGTATTTTCCGGTTTATAAGTCGTACCTTTGTGTAGGTTGCTCCCCCTTATAAACGTGTTTTCAGAAAAAAGTTTGTAAGTCGCACTTATATATTTGTACGGTAGACATGGCGAAACTGCATTGAAAAGCCTGCACATGTGTATTATGATTGCAGTACATGTGCAAGCGAGAGCAAGTTTTCATATTCTTGCCAATGAACACGAACGAGAAATCGCAGCAAATTTAAGGCCTACAAGTATAGAAAAAAAAAGCATATAAATTGCACTAAAAGAACTTAAAAAAAAAAAAAAATTGTGACTTGTAAGTTGGAAAATATGGCATTTATTTACTTGTCCAAGTACCTCTAATGCACCGGTGGGTCATAACACGGAGGGGCATACTATAAGAAACATTTAAAGAAAATATATAAAAAAAAATAGGAAAGAAAAAACAAATATGATCCCATAGGATAATCATCAAAAGATAAATTTACGCTACATAGTCGCAAACACCAATTTTGGAAAGAAAAAAAATTGCAAGTGTTGCTGCGAGACGACCGATAAACATGCTTACGAGTAGCAAGTCATTGTAAGTCGCGCATAGCGACACAAAGTCACAAACACCAATTTTGGAGAGAAAAAAAATTGCAAATGTTGCTGCGAGACGACCGATAAACATGCTTACGAGTGGCAAGTCATTGTAAGTCGCGCATAGCGACACAAAGTTGTGATTTTTGGTTAGACTTATTTCACTTCTACTCATTGTAGTCAGTCAATTGTGTTCAGAACAAATAGGGAAAGTTTTAACAAGTTAAAACAAATGTTAACGACGTGCGAATGAAGTAAATTTATAAAAAAACGGGCACTGAAAGTAAGGAAATTATCCTTTCGGTATAACGTTATCAACCACGGCGAGTATGAATATCAAGTAATAATTAACGAGATGATTACTTAAAAACTACTATAATTAATTTTTTTAAACATCGACATTGCCGGGCACTTACCAATTAGTGTTTGCTTATTATCCCTTTACACTGAAACCCTGCCGTCTGTCACAATCAGTAATGTTGTCCCGAAGAAATACTTGATTAAACTGACGACGTGGGCGAGTCGGTACATGGCGAAAAGGAACTAAACAGTGAACAGAAACACAAAGACAAGTGAAAGGAACTCATTAGATGCACACTGGCAGGCAACTGAAATATTTTGGGAAAAAAAAAACCAAGCAACAGCCAACACACAAAAAAAAAATTAGAACAAGTAAAAGCAGCAAGCAAAAAAGACCGCAGGCCACATGAATCCCGACTCAACAAGTACTAGGGAACTCTATCGTAATGTTGTGTAGATTGACGGAAGTTTAACTAATGCAGCTATCAATGACCTCTGCAAGGCTACAAGCGCATGCTGGACGCCCGGCGCTCGAAAGAGCTTCCCCACTGTTCTTACCCCGTCGGCGACTGTGGTAGAATACCTTTAACATTTTATATTTTCCTCGGCCAATAATCTGAAGGCTATCAAAGTCAAAGGTGTCGTGCATCACAGAGCACGAGCTGTCCTTACATTCCACAAGATGAGGGCATAGTATGCCCTTGCGATGTCGTCCCGACTAAAGATGCGTAAGAGACGCGGAAATAGACTGAAGGGGAGGGGGAGTATCTTGGTCAGATGTTGGCTGCTGCTCCAAGAAGAATCAAGTAATATTACAGTGCATTGCAGTGTCGTGCATCATATCTCGAATTGGCCGTATTCTGAAAGATGGCCAGTCTCGCAGAAATGTGCCAAATTGCATTTCTTTTAAAATTGCGTCCTGCTACGAAGAGGGGTACATGCAAAAGATTTTCGATCAAAATCAACTGTGGTAACGTAGGAAGACTGCCTTGTGAGATGTAGCTGCCATAGTTAAAAAGGAGCAATTTATGACCACTGCATGACATTGTCTCTCACTGTGCGGCAGTGTTGATGCAAAAGTACGACAGTACGGCACCAGTCGAAATCGAAGCTGACACGAGTTGGGGATGCAACCGTGATCTTCGAGTCCATGGTGCAAGTTTTTACTTCATGTGCTGAAAGGTTTGACTCTTACGATTAGCCATAGAGAATTTCAGGAAAGTAGTAGAGAAAAGTTTGAACAGCAGTAGAAGCTTTATTAGACAAATTTTTGGGGAAAAGCCTTCCCTACAAGCCAGGTCACTTGAAGGAGGAAAAACTTCCACAAACCTTTGTTCGGCAAGGCTGCTGTTCAAACTTTTCCTTACATTTAGGACATTCTCGGCGAAGGATATTTGGCGATACGTTTAGGAAATTTAGTATGTAATCGTTATTCATTCCTCGTATTTCTGACCAGAGCTTGTAGAATTGAGGCTGCAATTATTAATGAAGTAGTGCCAACAATTGCCTAGATTCGATTATGGCACTTATCTTGCCTTTGTTCTCCTTATCTTTGCTGATGAGAACTCAGTCCCAGCCGGACTGGCTTTTTTTTCTTTGGTATCGAGTAAATGCTGCGATCAGCAATGTCTGTGCAGGCAACTAAAGTGTGAGGGATTCCGAAGATAGTCGACGCACATATAAAAGTCGGCAACAACAATCAACTCTTTAATATACCGATAACAGCATAAATATGGAATAGCCCCAAAGCTAAAAGAATTGTTTGCTTTTTGGCTGGCTATCTTGACGATGGCTGCCTCTGTGTTCCATACTTCTAGGCAATTCATTAATTTGGTTTGCAAGAATGAATTGGTGGGTGGCTCTTTTAACGGGAGGAGACAATAAACCAAGTTGTTCCACATGAATCAAAGTATTAATTTTGATATATACCCAAAAGGAGCATAAAATTGTGCTCCTTTTGGAATGAATGAAACATAAACGTGCACTTGACAATGACTCCAAAAAACGTTTCAAGATGTCTTATGTCGCGTGTCACGCGACATCCTTACGAATTTCGCGTGACGGTTGCCATAGCAATCGTCACCACGGCACGTCAGCGTAGCATAGGGCCACGTCAAGCGATGGTTGCTACGGTAACAGTCAGGCAACTCCCGTTTTTGTCGCTCGTGTGTTTGGCGCTTAACCTTGCATTTGAGCATTTCGTCAACAACACTCCACAAGAGCTTGGGAAGCCAACCCGCGCATAGTCGGCGTGCTTCTGAAGGAACGGGCTCAACGTCACGGTTCGCTGTCGCGCGACCACAGAGTCCTACCCGCACACTGCACCAGGGCGTACTCCCCTGTGACCATCCAGTCTGGCGACCGGTGTGCCACCTCCCTTGCCAGGTCAGCGTCCACACCGGCAACTGTGTCCGCCTTGATGGTGCGCAGGGCACACAAGAAGGTTGGGAGGAAGCCGCGCAGCGCCACCTCGAACGGCGTGGAGGGTTCCCAGCGTAGGTCGCCCACCAGCTTGCGGTAGTTAAGGTCGCCCTTGAAAAGCACCAGGTCAGCCTCTTGCAGGGAGCAATACAGCTCGGGCGCGAGGGCGGCCATGCGGGCGTAGTCGTGCGGCAGTGTCCAAAAGGGGTCCTCGGACGCGGCCCAGGCGCCGCTCTCGAGCCGGGACAAGCAGCGCTGGGCCAGGGCAGACGTCGGCTCGTGGTTCAGGTCACGTAGCTGGCGCAAAGTCTTGTAAAGGTCGCGCCGCATGACGTCCGAGACGTACCACGGCATGGCCTTGACGTGTAGGCAGGCCCGGGAGATGAAGCCGCACTCCTGGAGCCGCCAAGGCGGTGTGGAAACGGTCGAGGGTGGGGCGTACCGTTTAGTGATTTGTCGAGAGTCATTTTGGTCTTTTATTCAAGTTCTCTACACAAATGTTCCAAATATGTGGATGAATTGAGCATACCAACCAAATAAGAATGGAAGATAGAAAGCCGCCAAAAAAACAAGCGTTAGCAGGGTCGTGGTCCAAACCCAAGTCTCCTTATTCATTATTGATGGAGTATGCAGTGGTTTGTATACCTCACCCAACAGAAAAAATTGTCACATTTTATGAAGCTTTAGTTCACCACATGCAGTTTAATTAGACAAATCGATTGCTGCTGTAGAATTGGCCAGCAAATAGCAAAGTAATGGGCACGTGACGAAAATGGGGCAAGGATCTGCTCCTGCCTCCCCCCCATGAAATCAATTTTAATGCACGGTAGAATTCTTCAAGCCCCAAGACTAACACCCCCTAAAACTTTTTTTAGTTTTTTGGCCAGGCAGTTTTATATGGTCTAAGAAGACTACCCAATCAATATTTTTTAACAGAGTCACATATATTTAATAGAGCCAAAACACTACCGTTCGAAACCAAAACATGTGCATGGAGGCTTATGGCCTTGACATGTGGACGATGTGTACCGAGGAGGAGGGAGAAATGTAGAGGAGGAAAGAGCTGCCAGAAGTCGTGTGGCTATCGCTCCCTACCCAGATTTTTTACGTTCCTCCGTTTCTGAGCCGTGTGAAGCAGACGAGGACGAGGACGTTGTGTGAACCCTTTGTCGTGTGATTGTTTCACACTTATATCTCTTCCCCTCACTGTTCTGCACTTGAAGATCGATTGGCTGGTACCACGAACCGCAGTTACGAAGTACATGTGTACATGTATTTCCTGTGATCTCTGCAATAATCTTTTTCATTCAATGTATTTTCAGCTTCTTGAAAGCCACAAAAAATGGGGTTCATATTCTTTTCTATTTTTAATACTAAATGTGTGCCTTAAGCGCGAGACACATGCGCGAAAAATCCATCCGATCCGACGTCCGATCCGGCAATGCGACTGCCTGATCCGAAAAATTTGGTCGCTTCAGACGCCGGATCGGCGATCCGACGTGCATCCAACGCGCCAGATAGTTTCGCACGGCAGACGGATTGTCGGATGCGTCCAGCCAATGACAGCACAGCTAGCGCGAACGTCATGATGATGCACTGAGTCTGGCGGGACGAAGCGAACGGCGAGGGGAAGCCGGAAGCGTGGATCCCGCTGACCCATTCGAGAAATATGGCTTTGGCATAGAATGCACGCGCTAACGAGAACGAGCTTCTAACTTCGCTCGTGTGAGCGAAACCGTTAATCTAGGACCAAAGATCTGTGAACGCGGACCTCCGCTGGAGTGCTTGGATCTCCTGGGCGGAGCCGAACGGATAGTCGTGACGCATGCAAGTTCGGAAGCGTGTGTCTCAAACTGTTGCGTGCGGCGTTCGTACTGTCGGATCGGACGATTCTGCCGTCCATGTGTCTCGCGCTTGTTGACCCACGACTTTGAACATATTTGGTACGCATCAGTCTGAACGGCACGTGAACACAAAAAAGAGAGTGAGCACGCCTGAAATTGGCCAATTCTCGACCGGTGGTTTTCGGGTGCAAAGAATACAAATTTTGAACCGCATATTGTGTTCTGGGTAGTTGGGCCCTCATAAGTTATGTCAAAATAAAAACATCTGCATGCATAAGTACCCTGTCCCTTTAAAGGGGCGGTGCAATGATTTTAACACTGAAAGAATGTGCAGCTTGTATTTTTTATATTGTTTACTTCAGCATAAGTGAAAGAAAAAGTGCCACCATACCCCAATATACCTCTATTTCGCTGCATAATCGCAAAATAAAGAACACTTTTTTTCCCAACCTGCGGCCACATGGTGGCCGCAAATGGAACCTGTGGTCTGACGTCATTCGGAGTGGTTTTTGTAAGTGATAGTGTTAGGAAATTGTAAGCTTGATTTAAAGTTAAGTTAAAAAAAATCTTGTTGTTTAGGCATGCAGAAACGCTTCAAAAGCCTAATATTGCCGCTAAAAGATTTGTAGCGCCATCTACCGCAAGTCAACCAAACCTACCATTGCCGTCATCCGTCGACGCCCGAGGCGCCTACGGCGGCTACACGAGCAACCCGGACGTTTTGTCTTTCCCTCGCTCGACGGAGTGCGTTGGTCGTGGTCCATAGTATCGTTATTGTTCCTGTGGTGTCTCGACCTCAACTTCGACTGCCCCCCGCGTCGACTGCCCGCCGCACAAGTCCAACTGGCTTACTATACGCAAGCATCTTGTGCTCGACGTCGCTCAGGCCGTCCGCCCATGCCGCCATGTTGGTCGGGAATCGATGGGAGAGCGGCGAGCCTGGCGAGCCAGCGAGCGCTGGGGAAACGGAAGCCAGAAGCACCCAACCGGAAACCAACGCCACTCCGAATGAGGTCACAGGCGAGCTGGTGCCGCTTCAATGTTGAGTTGAGGGGTGCCAGAGATACCAATTTCTTTTATTTTTTTAATGAAAACTAGGGCAAGCAGGAAAGAATAGTTTTCGGTCCTTCGTTTTATATGTGGCTGGGATCAATTCCCGCAATTAATTAGCCGAAGTTCGCAAATTGTTGCACCGCCCCTTTAGCCCCCCCCCCGAATTAGAGATCGCAGCCCTTCCCCAACACCATTCATGGCTACTCGTGCTTGCAGCTCGAGACGTAGGACTTGCATTTTACATTTTCATCACATCAGTTTCATGAATTTACTCTCATGCCCCGGTCCAAGATGTTTTTACATAAAAACACACTTCCAACGCGCAGTTTCGCGTTTCATGACACCGATCTGGCGATTTGACGAAGTGCGGTTTGCCGTTGAGTTCTCTGGCAGGGTCACGTTTCTTTATCATAGTATTTACATTTTGAAAGTAACTCCGAAATAGACGCACCAAATAGAAAGCCTTGCGATACACGAATTGCGTCTCACAACCTAAATATATTGGGCAAATCCTGGACAGCCTAAATTCGAGGAAAGTGCTTCTTGTGGCACACATTTTTGTCCAGGTACAGGTGCCGACAAGGAAGAGAATGGCAAGGTGGAGGCTTTAGTTGTTCCACCTTTCAGTTCAAGCCTCCCACCTCCCAACAATACTTTGGCATCTCGTGCAGCCGGAGCACACGTGCGCGTGCAGGGCAGGAAGGCGCAGAGCACGTCCTCCACAGTCTAGTTTTCTTTCGAGCTCGACAAGGCCCGTCCCACCTGGAGGTAGTCCAGCAGGCAGAGGTCCGTGACCATCTCATAGCCCGCGTTGTCCATGACCAGGTGCAGCTGGGTAGGGATGCCGCCGCTCGCCCGGTTACGCATGCGGCCCAGGTGTGCCCACAAGCGCGTCAGCTGGTTGCAGAGGATCTTGGCGCGCAGGGACTGTGTCTCCTGCAGAGCCCCGCCCGAGGGGTTGGACGCGGCCCCGCCTGAGAGGGACAGGTCGCAGCGGTTGCCCCACAGGGACACCTCGATGAGCCTGCAGGGGCGGCGGGAAGGGAGGGTCGGACGACAAATTCTGCATGCAGTCTCGTCGCAACTATGCGTCGAAAGCGGTCTAAAAGGGCAACAGATTACGTCGCAGGAGCCGGTGTGCCCTGCTGTCACGATTGCGGCGGTCGGTTGTGAAAATGCCGATGAAAAAAGCTCGAGGTACACCTAACCATGTCTTATAAGTTGTGAATGCAAAAGCATGTAAGCCGCTCGTCCGCTCCCTTTGTCGTCTGCTGCGTACTAGCTGCGAGCGCTTCGGGATCTCGGAGGCCATGGGCCAGCGGCCAATGGGAGCCCCGTTGGCGCGCGGAAACTATCTGCCGTTTTTGCGCTTGCAACTGATGACGTCAGCTCGCTCCATGAGACCAGTTAATGCTTTCGCATTAAAAGGAGAGCAGACGATAGGGTCGCCATTGTTGCAGAGTACCATCTCGTGTCTGCTTCAGTTTCCTTTGACCCCCTGGCTGCAGAACAGGCTGCAGCATAAAAAAGACTGCGTGGGACAAACTGCAGCAGAACTGCAGTACTTAAATTGTGAGAGCAGTTTGCAGCAGCAGGAACTGCAGCAGAGCAGTACAGGGACGGTTAAGAAAATGTTGCAGCTTGGGAAACCGATGAGTGGAGTGAACGTAATCCTCACAGTAGAAGATGGAGAGAGGGAGGGGGGGGCTTTCTGTTCCATTTTCTTGAGGCAGAAAGAAAAGCTCCAGTGCTATTCAGTTGAGCTTAAAAACTCATAATTTTCTGGAGCTCTTCGCTCTCGCTTTTCGTCCCCACTGTATAAAAATCCCCACTGTATAAAAATGAAAAAGCGTCTCGCTTTTTCATTTTTATACAGTGGGGTAGAATTTTCGCCAACCGACGCATATAGAATATAGAAAACATCTCTCGCAAGCACATTTATGCAAACTAAATGTATTGGCAGATGCCATAGAAAGAGCTCAAAAGTGTATTCCATGGGAGGTAACATTTTTGTAGTATGTCTACTTCTATAAAATTATGTCCATAACAGGGAAAACACTCAGTTTTTTTCTAGCACTCTTTGGCTCCGATTTCTATAACTATGAGACAACTGGATGCGCGGCTCCAACGCTAGAAAACGATGTGACAGCAGTAGTGAACCTTTCGAACGGGACCCTACGCCCAAGGGAACTCGGGGAAGCTCTTGGGGTGTTTAGAACTCAGTCTGAGAACCTATGGCTTCTATAGTCACTGACAAAGTGAGAACGGCAGGGTGTGTCTCTTGAACATCCGGCCTCCAGCACACGCTCCACGCCTTTTGCCGTGCTCTGACTGCGCTGCGCACGTGCGCTCAAGGTGCACGAGACGGCGAAGCGTCCTCAAAGGTAGGCAGCTCGTGCTAGAGGCGGAACAACTGAAGTTTCTCCCCGCCATTCACACCTTGTCAGTTCTTACGGAACCAGCAGCAGGCAGACCTCAATGCCACGGGCCTGATGGTCTCCAGGCTGGCCCTGGAATGGGCGTTCTTGCGCGCGAAGTCGGTGAGGCTGCGGATGGCACTCAGGGACTCGAACAGGGCCTCCCGTTTCTGCTGGGCGAAGGGGTCGTAGTCTCGCAGCAGGGTGGTCAACTGGAAGGCCTCAAAGATGCGCCGGTACAGGTAGCACTCCACGTACAGCCAGGGGGCCTGGAACCAGCGTGGCGGCTCCAATTCGCTCCACTCCTCGAACGCCCGGTTCCAAAGCGCCGCGTCGGCATAATCATCTGTGATGCGGGCCAGGGGCTTGTTGGTCATCATGTCGCTGCGCAACTTGGACAGGCGTCCCACCACCTGCCTGGAATGCGCGGAGGTGCGAGAGACGGGGAGATGTTTGAAAAGAATGCAGAGAGTGCAGTCGGTCCATCGCTATGCGGAGAGCAAGTCGTCTGCTTCTTGCACAGGAGTTCTGGCGATATCAGAATGACACCGAGCTCCGATTGGCTTGGATTGAAAGGATAGTGGGTAGACCTCAGCGCTAGATGCCTTGAAGTCTGCCCACTATTTTTTTCAATCAGCCAATAAGAACTCTGCATTCAGACATCATTGCAACCCCTGTGCAAGAAGCAGACAAACTTGCACTCCGCGTAGGCAATATTTACTGGCGGCCATATGTGGGGATGTTGCTACTGAGTGCGAGCTTACAATGAGCTTCCATGACGTTTATGCAAACATGCATTGCACACAATTGAGATTGTAGTTTATCCCGGAAGATAAGTGGGGGCTTGCTCTGTACGCTGCAAGCACCATACTCAAATATGGCGTCCAGCGAATACCACCTATAGGGGTTATTCATCGTGTGCCGTTCACGGCCCATGCCCGAAACGAGCTTGCACTTATGGGCTGCTAAGACCGGCAGTCTCGATGGTGTTGGTAATGCATGCTGCGGATGCACCAAAGAAGCTTGTTGTCGGCTTGCGCTCGGCAGCCTTGGACTCGACAATGGCCTGCCGGTTAATATCACCTGTATTATGTTTCACCTTACGACGGATTGCAGCAAACTATACGAGCCATCTTTGCTAACCCAATGCTGTGAACATATCACGTGACTAGGCGTCCCGCCTTTGCCTCCGTCGAAGATCATGTGACGCTTGCACGGCATTGGGTGGGCTTCATTGGTTCTTAGCATTCTCTGCGGTACATGAAAAATTAAGTGTGGCTACTTTGTTGAGTAGGGGACAATACTTGCAATCGCCCCGAGTATGATGTGGTCGAGTCCTGCTTTTGTAAGGTTGATACTAAGAGAAGAAAGTTCCGGAGGAACGGCAACAATGGACAAGCTTGGCAAAAAGGTTACCACACCTTGTTATTTTTGTGTGTGGAAATTTACAAATTTTTCCAAATGCTGGAGGCAATATAGTAAGGTGTGTGTGTAGTTCACTACACTACAGTCGTTATATTTATACATTACTACATTGCACAAGCTCACACTTATACATGCTTTGCATTGACGTCACATCTTTCATTTCCCACCACCACGGAATAGGAATAGGGGGCAGCTGCTTTTGTACGAATTTTGAGTTGCGGGTTAATCCTCTACAATCTTCTGAAGGGAGAATAGTGACGTCTGGGACACACAAAAGAGTGTCCCGGTGAGAGGGGAGTTCCTCCTTGCCCTCTTGTCTGGTGGTGGCCGGAAAGCTGATGGGATGATGTCAGGTGCAAAACATGTATGTTTCCCAAAACCGGCAATCTTGGTAGTGTGGAATCACGTTGCAAAAGCACTGTGGGCATTGCAAATGTTCATACAGTCTGAACTAAGCCTGCCTCGACGGGCAACTGGTCTCTCAGCTCTGGATGAGCAATTTAGCCAGTGCAGTACAACCACTAGCCTGGCACCCTTAAAGGGATGCTACAACGAAATGTCGGCACTTATTGCTTGGTCTATTCATGTTCGAGGGAGCAGTATCAGATCAAACACACCAATCTCTTGTTGAAGAAGACACAAAGAGGAGTTTTAAAACGATTAGCAAAGAGCACCTGGTGGATGTCGCTAAAGCTTCATTTGTACTGCCAGTCTAGGAACCTTGACAGGTAGCAACGATGCCTGTCTGGCCTAGAACTATACATGCCTTGAACGTGAAGTCATCCCGCCAGGTCTGGGGCCAACAGATAAGAAGAGGGGAAGGAGGAACTCCCCTCTCACCGGGACTGTCTTTTGTGTGTCCCAGACGTTGCTATAGTCCCGCTACAAGATTATAGAAGATTACCTCGTCACTCCAAATTTATACAAAAGCAGCTTTGGGGTTAGTTGCGGTGGATGGCCAGATCGCTGGCGTGCTTCGGCCGCTGGAGCCTGGAACAGCTAGGACACCCTGTCGACGTCAGCCTCGCCCGCAGCTTTGCTCGTCCCGAGACAATTTACGTCACAATTGCGCCGTGACGTGCTCTCCGCTGCCTGCTCTCCAAGCGCTTGCCACAGTGGGCCGTTTATAACGAAAAATACAGTCATCGGGCTCGAAATACAAACGTGCGACTGTCATTTACGGATATTGTGGATTATATTCAGCTTATTTCTGAACACGACGGGTATATTTCAAATTTCGTTAAAGTCTCTCTTTAACGTGCACCATGCATTAGTGATACACAACCGCACGCCGGTACGGTGCTTAATCAGATCGAATCGGGTAGGGGTGGGGATTAAACCCAGGATCACTGGATTCTGCAGCGCGAGTTTTCGCTCCACGTGCTCCGAGCTGGTGTGCGGCGCTAGCCCACTCGGCCACCGACTGGAAACGTTAGCGGTGCTTTTTCGATGTTTTGCTCGGGGCCCGTGCACTTGCCTGGACTGCTCGCGGGCTTCGCTGCCCTGGCGACGCTCGATCGCCATGCGGTCCCGGAACAGCGCGTCTATCACCCGGGTCAGGATGACCGGCAGCCTCTCTCGGACGGTCTTGTACGCGAAGCTGTCTTCGTACTTGGCGCACAGCGGAGGCGGCAGCACCGAGGGCCCGGGCGTTCCGGGCGTCGAGACATCGGTCGACTCTCCGTCCGGCGTGTCTGCCGAGGCTGCTTGGATAGGCGATTTCGGGGTATTCTGTTCCAAAGCGCTGGTAGATCCCGAGTCGGCGGATTTGAGTCGAGATGTCGGCTTTTCCGGAGCGGGGTTTCGGGACGCAGGATCCGAATCAGCTGCGGCGGTGGACGCCATGTTCAAGGTCGACGCGATGTCGCTGATTGTTGGGCTGTCGATAGCTGAGCGAGGACAAGCCGACGGTGGCCAGCCAACAACGAGTTGTAGCCAACGGGATGTGGCATTTTGCTGAGTGCCGCATTTTGCTGAGTGCCGCCTCCGGTTTTCAGGAGGCGTTTCGGTTTCTGTTTTGGCGCGGCTGCCGCTTGCTGTTGCGTTTTCTAGTTTGCGGAGGTTTATTCGTCCTAAAGCTACGAAAATAAAAGGGTGGTGTATTCAGCGCCTAGCAGGTAATTTAAAGTAGGGCAAGGATTCGTTCAAATTGGTTCTAGAGACTTGCCGACTAAATGTGAATGCTGAGTATTGGGGGATGCATGCATTTGGAAGCAGACTGATTACTCGACAGCACATTGGACAATTAAAAGCCAGGTGAGTAGCCAATTAACCAACAAAAACTTTCATGCAATAAAGCATGGGCTCGTGATAAACTGTATAAGGTGCGAAGTCATTAGCGTGAAAGTTTAAATTCCTCACCATCCTTTCGGTTTCATTACTTGGTTGCGTCGTGACGCACAACCTCAGATTTGTCTTTTTATCCCAGAAGTTTCTACATGCCTGCTCAAAACGAAATTTAAAAAGAGATATTTATTTATCTATTCACAATACCTTACAGGCTCTTTTCCAGAGCATAAGTAAGGGGGGTATTATACACATAAATTCAGAAAAGAAAATAGAACAAACGCACATACAGTCTCACACAAAGTTGTCATGTAGGCACAGCATACAGTGAAAACCCAGCTAAGCACAAATTTAGAGAAAAAAAACAATAACAAAAAACACTGGACTGATATAAAAAGTTATCAAGTTACACAGAAACAAAATTAAGCGGAAGCGCATTGGTTAGAAAATAAGATTCAAGTTTAGCACGGAGCAGTGTAGTCTCGGCAATGGTGACTATGGATTCGGGAAGGTCATTCCATGCGCGGATGCCACGTGGTACAACTGAGTTAATAAACGTGTTGGTTGACCCAGTGAGGTGTAGAAAACTTTTTCTGTTAGTGGTTCGATGAGATGATCTATTAGGGGGTTTAAGGAAAGTAACGCTTGAAAAACGATTGTTATAATAGAACTTGTGAATTAGGCACAGAGTAAAAATGTTTCGACGCACTTCGAGCAATGGCAGGGAACATTGATGTTTTAGGATGTTATAAAGCGTGCTGCTCGAGTCTGGACTTTTTCAATGTGCATGGTTAGGTATTTCTGTTGAGGGCTCCAAATCGCGGCATCATATTCAAGTTTAGGACGGACATATGTTTCGTAAACGAGTTTGCGGAGATGGTTTGGGGCCGCCTTTAAGTTACGTTTATTATAACCGAGCGTTCTAGATGCGTCAGCGGTCACAGAGTTAATATGGGTGACCCATGAAAGGTTAGATGTAAAATGGACACCAAGATACTTGTAGGATGAACATACGCTAAGAGACGAAGTGCCTAATGTGTATGGGAACTGTGAAAGAGATTGTTTGTGAGTGAAATTCATTATTTGGCATTTGGATTTATTTAGTGTCATTAGCCATTCTTCGCACCAGTTGTTAACGCAATCAAGATCATGCTGAAGCAGTATGTGGTCATCTGGAGTGTTTATTTTTCTGTACAAGACACAGTCATCCACAAACAAACGCACATTAGAAAACAATGCATTTGGGAGGTCGTTTATGTAGATAAGAAATAACAAAAGACCCAAGACGCTGCCTTGCGGAACGCCAGAGGTTACATTAGTAGTGTCAGACTGAAAATCACCACAGACAGTATACTGAGAGCGAAACAACAGAAAGTTGCGAATCCATGAGAGGGTTAAAGAATCAAGATTAAGTGACGAAAGCTTAGACAAAAGGCGACAGTGGGAGATGCGGTTGAATGCTTTAGAAAAGTCCAGAAATATTGCATCGGTTTGAGAGTTAGAGTTCATGTTAAGATGTAGGTCATGGGTGAATTCAAGCAGTTGTGCTTCGCAGGAAAGGCCTTTACGAAAACCATACTGATGTTTATAAAAAAAAATTGTTAGACTCAAGATACAATGCAACATGTGAAAGAATTATATGTTCAAGTACTTTGCACACAAGACTAGTTAAAGAGATGGGGCGGTAGTTCTCTGCGAGGTGGCGATCTCCGTTTTTGAAAACAGGAACGACCTTCCCTATATTACAGTCGTCTGGAAGTATACCGGTGGACAATGATTGTTGAAATAGTAGACCGCAAATTTCCCTGCATACGCGTTTTGTATTTTATGCTATTTAAGTATGGTCCTGTTTTGTTAGTATGAGCACAAGTCCCCTTCAAAGCAAGTACACTGGAAATAAAAACATTATTCATTTTATTTTTCTTCAATTGGAGGTTTAAAACCCATTGCTCATATAGGCCAAATAAATATTGTTCAATACTAGAAGAGAAGAAAAATATTCTTGGAGTTATGACGTGGCGAATATCGGTAGCTGCACGGCAGTACAAAAGCTGGACTCGGGTGGCAAAGAGCGGAAAACACCCAAAAAACGTCATTCCCGAAGTCAAAGCAGTGTGAAACACTGCTCCAGCCTCAGGGGCAGCACCAAAAAGGCACAGGAAGGGCAAGGGTGGGTGTAGCAGGGTTAAGAGAGAGGGGCGTTGGATGCGACTGCAAAACTATAGAGAGTGCCGGGAAAGACGGCGACAGGAAGTCGGTTGCCGCTATATAGCGGCTGAACCGGTGCTTAAATAGAGTTGTAACACCTTTTCATGGATCCGTCCGGTGCGGTGTGTAATGCCTTCGACAGACTAGTGGTTTCGGGCGAACACAAGCAAAGGCGTTCTAAATGCCGAACCCCTTTAGTAAATGCTAAAGAGACAGTTTACTCTTTTCACATTAAACAAGCTTACTGGCACTAGTGTGACTCATGTATGCTTGCACGCAACGCCGCTGATCAAGAAATTTCTTTGTGGTGGTGCAAGTTCAAAGATAAAAGTGGATTTCTCTTAGTCTCTTCTTTGCGAAACTTGGCGACAGAAATGGCAGTGTTGACATAGTCGTGAAGATTGCCTGGTGACGATATTCAAAAGTGACTTGTAGATTAGACACAAGCTCTGTGTGAACACTTGATTTGAGCTCGTGACAATCGGTGCTTTGACATTCGGGTTGTGACTCATGTCCAACCGCTGCAGTGAGAATAGACAAACCTTATAAGCATTGTTTTGAACTCAGCGCGTGCCCCCTACTTTGCCAATTTGAGTGTGTTGCCATGATTAACGTTGGCAACATACAAACGACAGCACCACATCATATGGCCACTTGTTCTGACTTCAAGTTGAGGGGATTGGTGATCACTGCTGCTCGTTTTAATGCAGAATGTGTTTCATGGATTGTTTTCTTTGAGAAAATTGTCGTGACCGAGTGACACGCTGGGAGCGTTACACACATTAAGGTTATAAAGTCCTGTCTAGTTAATACGGACACGTCAGTTCCCCCCAAAAAGGCGTCCATAGTGCGAGTTGTCCATTATAATGAGACAAAGATGCATGTATTTACTTAGTTTTTCCCCGAAAATGGTGTTTATATAGCGAGGTACCTTCATCAGCGGGGTCTGTATTAACAAGGTGTGACTTCATATAAAGTTCATTTATAAACTTTGAACCTCGGCGGGGCTCGAACCTGGGTCAGTGTGCTGGTGGTTGGATACTATTCCCATTGAGCTACTAGCACAGCTTGTCTGGAAGGTAAATTCTTTTTCTCTCATTCTTTCTGCAACTATTGTTGCATGGATATGTTTTGTAGGTTGTGAACATCATGATTAATTCTAAGCTGTATTCACTGAAGTTACAAAAACCATTGTACCGTCCCTTAAGTCACCTTATAAAGGGAAGCTAGTAATGCTCTGTGAGGATCTAAGTTTGTTGGTTCTTGATGTGAAAATGAGTACAGCTTGCCTGCTGACATTACCCTTGTCACTTCCAACCGTCTCATTCTTTGTGCAGAAAGCGGACATGATCGTGTTTCCGGAAGACGGCATCATGTTCAGCTTCTCCAAGTGGGCTGACGTGAACACCACAGCCGAGGACGTGCCTGACGCCGGAGCAGTGCCCTGCGTCGACAGGAAGGACCACCTTCCGGTGTTGACCAATCTCAGCTGCATGGCAAAGGAGAACCAGATGTATGTGGTGGCCAACCTGATAGACAAGAAGCCCTGCACTCGCCAACCCTGCCCTGAGAAGACCATCTTCTACAACACCAATGTGGCCTTTGACCGCAACGGGACCCTGGTATCGAGGTAGGCATTCCCACGAAGGACTAAAGATGTGAAACATCAGGGGTTTGTCTTGATCTTGTTTTAACTTAAATACAGGGTGTGTGCGAGGTGTTTGAAAACATAACGGTGGATTCAGCAAAACAAAAAAATATGTTTCAAAGAAATATTAATATATTTGCAGAGAATTCGGTATGTCGATACTGTTTTCTATTCATGTTCTTATATTTCATTTGATAAAACTACCTTCAGCAGCAATAACAGACTCAGTGCGGTTTCGAAAATGGCTACATGCCCCGACCAAATAGTCTTCTTTGATGTTGGCCAAAGCATCCAATATGGCAGCCCTCAATGACATTCTTGGTGTTGTAAGGCTGCTTGTTGATCTCTCTCTCTCTCTCTCTTTCGACAACGCCCCAGACGTAGTCCAGGGGGCTTACATCTGGAGAGTTAGGCGTCTGCATGTTGGGCGTGATGTAGTCATGGAGGTTGTCAGTCAGCTAATCTTGGGTTGCATGGGCTGTGTGGTATTGAGCAGAGTTTTGTTGAAAAATGTGTGGCCTCCTCTGGCCACCTCTTCTATCCAAGGTTTTACTACAGTACCCAGGGTCTCTATGTAGGCCTTCGGGTTGATCATAAGGCCCTGTTGGAGGAAATGCAGCGGCATGACATGACCCTTGATGCTCGCAACAGCTAGGACCATCACAGATGACAGGAACTTTGTCCGCATGACTGTAGGAACCTCATCAGGGCTCGCACAGAGCCACCTTTCATTCCTATGGTTGACCTTTTGATCTTGGTCAAAGTTGTTTTTGTCATAAAAAAACCAAAGCACGTCCGGTTTGTAGGGGTGCTTGAGATTTTTCAACAAGCGCTTGAACAGGATAATATGGTTTTCTTGGTTTCTTCGGAGCATAGACCGCCCTCTCCTTATCATGACTGGTATCTAAGGCTCTCATGCACCACGAGCCTGATAGTAAACTTCGCCACCTAGAGCTGATTAGCAAAGGCCCTCATTGACTTGCTGGGGTCGTCGTTCATAATATCCTGCACTTGCTGGATGGACTCTGCCGTCCTGATGACGTCCGACTGCTGAAAATGCTTTTCCCCTAAGCCAAAGGTGCAATGTTCCCGTCAGAATCTGAAAGTAATTTTCTGACCTTGAAAACGAAGGACCTTGACAGGTACAAGAAAGTGGCAATATCTAAACCATTGTGGTCAGCGGCCAATGCAATCAGGACGGCATGCCTTTTCATTTCTTGTGCAAGACCGGTTTAGCAATTTTGAAATTGATACACCAGATAGATGACATAGATGTAGTCAAAGACGAAGTCAAGCATCTAGACAGTTGTAGTAAGAGTGGGAGAAGTTACGCACCCTGAAGCTGTTCCCCAATACCTCGCACACCCTCTAAATAATTTTTGGAAAAGTGTCGACGAGAAAATGTGACCCTTTACCTGTATATATGACAACACTAATCTCTGTACTAGTGTTGTGCAAATATTCAAATAATACGTTATTAAATATTTGCTTTAAGATGAACGAAGTTGCTCTGTAAGAAGCGCGATCAATGGGACTAACCCGCCGAAATCAACATTTTAAAAGGTACAAATGTTGCAGTTTCATACATGGGAAAAAAGCACACTTTCAAAGCAGGATGGTGCACGCGCTTGCCTGGTGTATTTAAAAAGAAACGGAAACTTTGTAAATGTTTATACCTGTATTGCAGTAAAATTTTTAAAAAAAATTTAACTTTGGCTATTTTGCAAGAGTGTATGTTAGGCAAAGGACAACTTGCGCTCGTCATTTGAGATTTTTTTTCTCCTTCTTACTTTGAGATTGAAGAGAAGATATTTGCATTTAGCAAGGTTTATAAGTCCCCTCGATTAGGTATAGCTGGGCATCTCTGTAGGTTTCGTTTTACGTCAAATTCGTCGTTTTTGGCCATCACAATGTAGGCATTAAACTTTCTAAAGCCACAGTTCATATAAATATAGATAGATTAATTAAAATTAACTTGGCTTAAAAATGGACGATGGGAAGCTTGGGAACAACCTTCATGAGTAAGCTGGGTTTCCATTTAGGCATGGTGCCAACAGTAGCGAAGGGCTTGGAGAAACTATTTGATACTTGATTAGAAAATATTCGGCCAAACCCACTATTTAGTTTTAATTTGCTTTGAACTAAAAATCCACTATTTGCACATTACTACCGTGATATACCGGGGGAGCGCTCAGCCCACTTTGACTGAAAATTGGGTTAATCTTCACATGGGCACTTATCCGGTCATATCGGGCACTTAATGTATATTTTGTATAACTCTCAAGTTTGGGAAATGTTAATAGTGGGCGCTGTTGCGGCATCTTACGGTATGCGTGGTAAATGACTTAATTTTCACAAGGACCCAGTCATGCGCAGCAGTAACACGGCTAGCGATTCGAAAACAAAAAAGATATTCTTGTCACTCGCATTTTCGCATTGTCAGCTTTGCGCCTGCTGCTCAACTGGATATTTTGGCACACTCCCATGCTTCACACTTTAAGTTTTCCTGAAATTGACTTATTTAGCGATTTTCTAATTGCAGTCATTTTTATTATTTATAATTAAAAAGTTGGTGAGTAAACTTGACGCCTTTCTGCATGCACCGTATCGTTATCGGAGGTATCGGAACGATCTAAAGAAACTCTCTATTGATGGGTATCTATATTCACGGGTAAGGCTATATCGCCCCTGGTTCAAGAACGTCGCGGCGACGTGCGCCATCCTTGCCGCAGGTACCACAAGAACCACCTGTTCGTGGAGCCCTTCATGAGCAGCCCTGACCCCCCGGAGTTCGCCGTGTTCGAGACAGACTTCGGCGTGCGCGCCGGCATGTTCATATGCTTCGACGTGTTGTTCCGGGAGGCCTCGGAGCTGGTGACTCACCACAATGTGACCCTGGCCATCGCGAGCACCTGGTGGTTCGACGAGCTGCCCAGCCTGTACGCGGTTGCTGAGCAGCAGGCCTGGTCCCTGCGCCATGGGGTGCCGCTGCTCGCAGCCAACATCCAGAAAAAGGCGGTGGGCTCCCTGGGCAGCGGCATCTACGCGGGCATCCGGGGCCCACTCAACTACACATACAGCCCCGACGGGAAGGCCAAGCTGCTCGTAGCGAGCCTCGACGAGACGCCCGTGAACCCCAGGTGGGCCGGACCAGGCACCGCTTTTAGCATGTGTCATGTTGTCATGTGTTATGTTGTCGCTGGGTGCGATCCTGGCGGTGCACAACAGCGATGGCAGACGTGGCTAATGCCCGTTCTGCTGCGGGTCACTCTCCAGCTTGACGGCGTACGGGAGCCACCTTGGTGGCACCGTGACAAAGCGCCGGCCTACGGATCCCTGGGCAGCGGGTTCGAACCTGGCTGAGGTACCCGCATTCCGACGGAGGCCCGTTGCAGAGAGGACGCCGTTTAGTTGAGATTTCGGTTGCACGTCGAGAGATCCCCAGGCGGTCGAAATTAATTCTTGGTCCTCCGCCAGGGCGCGCCAGATGTGCCCCTCGCTGTTCCATCTATGAAGCTTCGGCAGCCGGGCGTTGGGACTCCGCGACGACGGCGACACTCGCATTCGCTTGTACTTTTTGCCGGGTCTTCTATAGCCAACAGCCAGGGTAGTAATGTCTAACAATGTGAAACTGCTGGCTTCTGCGACATCATTTGTTGCCACTTTGGGACCGCTACAAACGTATGGGTGGGACACAGGGTGAGATAGGACCCTAAACACGCTGGTCAAAGACGCGTTCCAGGCGTGGTTGGCAAACTTCACAGCGACCGGACGCCGACTGTCGTGCAGGTACCACGGTGACGAGATTGCTCCCCCCAAGCGAGTGCACTTGAACCTCAAGAACCGGCCCTACATCAGCCTGGCCCTGTGGAACCCCAGCGGAAAGTACCGGGTGTGCCACGGGAACTTCTGCTGCAGGGCACGCTTCGAGACAGACATGATCCGCGACCAGTTCTACCTGTTCGCTTACGACGGCTACGACCACATCCAGAACCGCTGGGCCCTCAGAGTGCAGGTGGGTCTGGCTCGTAACGGGGCTTTCCGGTTTTCGAAGTTGGTCTTTCTTCAAATTTGAGGTTGTCTTTTGGTGTCGAATTTTGCTGTTGGATAAAGCGGCGACGTCTGTCGGTGCCCACACTGAAAAAAACGGGATACGAGCATGCGATTCCTCAACCTTCGTGGGATGTGCGAGGGACCCAAACGTTTGAAAAACATCCCTCTACCAATAAAAGGAAACGACACAAGGTGCGCGTTGCCTGAATTGAGGTGCAGCGTCATGAGGAGTTTTGCGGGAGCTGTTCCTAGTGAACGCAAACTTGTACAAGGACGGCCACAATTCGTGGATTTCCGGTCTTCCCGGATTTTGATAAAACCAGCTCGCGGTGTACTTACTGGTGCTTACCTGGGTCTCCCGAAAATGCAGAACCCTATTCGCGACTGTATATTTCGTACCTTAAGTTGTGATACAGTCCAGCTAAGTCCAATCAAGCAGCGTCAAATCTGCAAATCGCTGAACCTTTTCTGTGTATGATTGGTTCAGACGATGGCTAGTACTCGTATTGAAACGCGACAAACACCACGATGGTGCGCTTTGGACGCCGCTCAATCGTTCCCACCAGCTTGTAGCATTGGCTGCACCTGGACTTAAGGTGAAAGAAAGTAATAGGGTTCCGCGTTTTCGCTACGCACCGACAAACACCGAATGGGAGTTCTTGAATGGGAAGAACCCAAGCTTTGCAGGCAAGTAACTACCGCTTGTGCTGTGCTGGCCGAGACAACACCAGAGTGTCTGCAAGGCTGCTTCTATTTTACAGCGATGGCTGTTATGGGCTCTTCCCATCACAGGAAACGACGCCCGTTGTTGTAGGTGTCATTGGTGATGTAGGGTGTCCGTCATCAATGTTGCCAAATCCTCGAGAAAGATAGCCCAAGGGCCTGGCAAGGGCGAACCTGGGTTTGCTGCGTGCAAAGCGAAGGCATTACCCCGAGGGTACGCCACAGTATTAACAGCCCGCTTTAAACTTGGGGTTTTTGTAGCACTTGATGCAGACTGCTTGCAACCTGTGGAAAAAATAAAGCCAATAACATGTACTGTTGTAGCACTGTCAATGTCAAGAGCTCATGCCGGGAGTCACACTCTCACGTGCTCCGGAACAGAAAAGGAAAAAAAAAAAAGCGGTTAGAACAATATGGTTAGGTGTTCATTTTGCTTCGAACGCTTTTGTTCATAATGCGTGAATGCGACGCCGATGCCCAACGACTTCACCGTCACGTCTCGCAGCTAACACTGCGACTATACCGTGGATTAACGCAGGACTGCTCAATTTTTTTACAAGAACCAGTCCCCTCGTTTTATTTCCTTCTCTTATTGGTGGAGGGATGCTTTCCGAGCATTCAGATCGTGCGTGTGTTCCTCGGGAGTCGGGAAATCCCGCCCCCATGTCCAGTCTTCTTTGACAAAGCCCAGACTGACGCCAATTTTTCTTCTCCGACGTCGAAGATGGCCATTAAGAAGCGGCAAATTTATGAAAAGAAATACCCCCCCCCTTCCCCCTTAAAAACCCCAAATACAAAGTAAAGGCAAAACATTGGCCGTCTCTTTAATGCTTTCCAAAGGCATTCGAAGGGCTGCTTCACGAAGCACCTTTTTCTTGCGTTATGGAGCTTGCATACACATACGTCGTGAAATGACCACCAGTCACAGGCACATGCTTGCTTCGTACAAAGCACGGATGTGCCAGCGAAGTATCTCGACATAATCGTCCATAAGCTTCACAACGCAAGAAAACGGTGCCGCGTTAACCAGCCTTAAACGCCGCACATGTCGCAAACCATACACTCCGTGTGCAGCTCACGCCCGTGCATTCCACGTTTCCTCTGCGTTTGCGAGATCGATTGAGCCTTTTACGAAACTGTCCCACAGTTGTGCGTCTCTGCCCCCTTCTCCTTGCAGAAGTGCATCGTGGCCGTCTGCAAGAAGCCCGAACTCAAGGAGTGCCTCGAGTTCGGCACCAGGTCGAGCACCGTGTTCACCAAGTTCTCTCTGGAGGCCCAGTTCCAGACGGCCGAGGTGTTCCCGCTGCTTGCTTCCACCGAGCTCGAGTTGACGCCCAAGCGGCACTGGAAGGTCGAGACCACCACCGGGAACTATACCACGCTCACCATGGACGAAGGGAACCCGTCCAGGAAGCCCCTGCTCTATGCCACACTCACCGCCCGCCTCTACGACGAGGACCGCACTCTGTGACCGGGCGTCAAACTTTTTACCGACTGTACTGGTCTGCTCAGCAGTTTCCGCTCTAGTGAATTTTGACACCTCAAGCGGAACTCACGTATATAGGAGTAAAAAATTGTGAAAATGAATTAGAAGTTACTTGAAAAAGAGTGCGAAAGATTGGTCTTGCCAGATTTTGTGCCCACAAAACATTTCCAAAACCCATGCTTTCTGAAACTTCTGAAATATCGAGCCCACGAAAATAAAGGAAGTTGCAGTGGATGGCATTTCCAATTGTCTGCCTCTTTGATGCATCCATGGCATTTTATAAAACAGTATATGCATTCAGTCATTTTTTCCACAATGTCTTCGAAGAATTCTCCGTACGAACCAACAGGTTGAATGCCGACGTCGGCAGTGCGCCTCTAGCGCTTCCATTTGTTCCAAGAAAAAAAGTGAGGCCGAATTAGAGCGCAGCTCTTGAGGAGGAGGAGGAGAGAAGGGTACTGAGGGGAGGGTAGACCCCTCCTCCTCCTCCTCTCCCCATTCTTTAATATGCTCCGGGGGGGTCACCTGACCTCGGGGGGGAGGGGGGTCACGTGACCTCGGGGGGGGGGGGGGGGGGGGGTGTCACGTAACTTCGGGGGGGGAGGGGGGGTCACGTGACCTTGGGAGGGATCGCGTGAGCTTGGGGGTCACATGACCTTGGGAGGGGTCACGTGACCTTGGTTACGCCGACGGCAATGGCGACGCCGCTCAAGCCGGAAACGGGCGCCGAAGAGCTGCGCTCTAAAAGCTTCCACACGGCGCAACGAAAAGATTCAAGACCAGGTCACCAAGGAGCATGGAGTCATCGCTGTTCTCGATTCACCCGTAAGCCGACAGTGAAGTGGGAGGTACATGCTTGCCTGACCAATCGATTACCTTCCTTTCATTATCCGACCCTGCTCCCTGCATATGGGTATGGCAGGACGCATGATCGTGTGGCAGAAGACAGACTGGTTGAACGGGCGCATAGCTTCCACCTCGTCGTCAGCTTAGGGGAACGGATTATAGAAAGGCATGTCTCGAAGCAAGAGGTGTGGGCCAGCTCGCGCTTGTAGCCCTGGCTGTAGTCTCAGCTTGAAGGTGAACAGAGTATGTAGTATATATGCCTCGTATAGTACTTTGTTTGACACAAAACTTGGAAAACGGCGGGGAAAAAAATTAAAGCCGTTTACAACTCCCTGTAACGCCGAATTAGAGCACAGCTCTTGAGGAGGGGAGGGTATACCCCTCCTTCTCCTCGTGATCCTGGGGGTCACGTGACCTGGGGGTGGGGGGGGGGGTGGGGGGGGGGTCACGTGACCTCACGGTTATGTCGACGCCGCTCAAGCCGGAAACGGGCGCCTAAGAGCTGCGCTCTAAAAAACAAACAAAGAGACATCTGTGGCTACATGCTAGTGCAAGGTCAGTCTGCATTTGGGGTATAGCAACAATGATTTATGCTGTAAATGAAAAATTCAGTCAGTGCTGTAGAACTGCTGTCTTGGAGTGCTTGATGTGCACCATGCGGTGGTTACATGTAAGCACACCAGCACGATGCTCATCCTGACCTATGCAAATGGGGCAAAGAAAGACCTAGAGAGAGACCAGGAACTCTCCATATTAAAATGGCTCTTTTCAGCTTTTTTTTAAGAATTAGGGTTTTTGGTGTCAAAGCATGCTCCTTTAGGTTCTCAACAATAAAAGTTTATTACATGGTTCCAGCTGCTGCTGCTAGTTTTTTTTTGAGGTTGAATGTCAGATTCGTGTGCATATTGTTCCCCTAGGTCACTGTCACCATCTGTTTGTGGCTTCTAATTCTGACTATTTGTTATTGAGGGCTATGCAGTGAAGGGCAACTTAAACCGTATTCTCTAGCAGAATTTCAAAAGTAGAAAGTTACAATCGGAGAGGTCATTTCGACAGTGTTAACTTGTCAAACCTGCCGTTTTAGAGCTCGTGAAGGTCTTATCGAAATAAAGTTTATTTTTTGCAAGGGGCCACTGTCTCCTGGGATATATCCCCTGCAGCTATTCAAACTCTAAATATAAAAAAAAAAATGTGGCATAAGTGGGAACATTTTTGGGGCTCATCTTCTTGCACAGGGGTTGCGATGATGTCAGAATGCCGAACTCTTATTGGCTAATTGGAAAGGAAAATATAGTGAGTAGGCCTTGAGGCATCTAGCATTAAGGTCTACCCACTATCCTTTCAATCTAAGCCAATCGGAGCTCGGCGTCGTGCTGACGCCTATAGCGCAAGGAGCAGACGACTTGCTCCCCGCATACATGCAGTCTAACCCGGTTGTATGACACCCGGATATTTCAAATTATTGTTTATACCAAACAGCCCAAACATCACTTTGAAAATCATATGTAATAGTATAGGAGCGTTGTTTTTCTGTATTAAACTCCCATGGCAGGGACACTTGATACAGCGAATTAGCAAAGGAAGCACTAAGCACAGCCGGCCGTCCGCACAGGTGCCCGTCGTCGCTTCTCCTGCGGTCGGATTGCGCGGGCAGCGAGCACATAGCTCGCGTTGCTGGGCTGGCATACCGTGAAACCAGCATACGCAGCAAAATAAATTGTAAAAAAAAAAGTGAAGGATGGCAAAAGCGAGGGGAAGGGCACGCACACTCGTAGGGAGGGCAGGGAATGTCCGCTGTTGAAACAGTAGCGTGCGCTCTTTCCCTGGACACCACTGTCGCTGCAGGACTCCTTAGCCCCAAAATAAAAAAAAATTAGCTAAAAAAAAAATTTATTTTTTGTCCTGTTGAGTGTGTTGACAACAACGGTTGAGCAATCACACTTTGAACGCCTAATCTTTGCTCACCTTTTGCTTTACCGTTTTTTTTTTCTTCTTTTTTTGCCTCTTTTCTTTTTTTGCTGTTTGAATTTAGTGAGGTTTCTTTTTTGTTGCTTGCCTAACTTTATTCTATAGATCAAGGGTTTTTTATGCGGCTCGCTTTTTCCGTTTCTTATTTTTTAAAATTATTTTTGCGTTTCTTGCCGGCGCTGTGTGGAGGTCGTGTCCAGGCGTAAAGGATCGCAAACACCATTGTGTCAACGCGGAGGCGTTTGTGATCTTCACCAACTAAGCTCTACTGCACTTAGCGGCTTTTAGAGGCTCTATTTGGTAAGGTCCCGTTTGTCGCGGCCTTCGGTATAAGCAGAAACGGGCGTAAATTTCAACTGGAGCTTAAGTTAGCATATTTTTGTATTTCAAATTATAGATATAATGAACTATTTTACGATCCCCTTTGAATTCAATATATCCGGGTTCGACTGTATCTTGCATACTGCACTTCATAGTGGAAGCATACATAACTTTGAACGAAACACCAGTGCTATTTCATCAGTATCCTGTGTGTAATGCATTAGAAATGCTAATTCATTCCATGAAATATTCACAATTTTCCAGTGAAGAGAAATACAAACCGACAGAGTGATGGACCTGGCAAAGCAACCTGCACTGCAGCAACAGGTCCATTGTTCTGTCGGTCGGTGAACTGCTCCAGCAGTCCATTGAAAAGAAACGTGGAATGCTCTCGTACCATACCCTCCAGTCACCGATAGCGGCAGGGAGGTCCTTCAGTCGTCCTGCCTCCAGTACGAGCTTCCTACCTTCTATGAGGCTTCAACATGCCAAGAGTCTCAAGTGCATGCGTGCAGCCAAAGCATGGCAGCAAGCGCATACTGGAGGTTGGGCTGGTTGGCCGTTCGAAAGAAATGCCCTGCCACCCTGGTTCTGTCGGCGACCAGAGCTGCATATGATGATGTCACGAATAAAGAGCATAAAACAGAAAATGTTCAATGAGGCAAGTAGAAAACAAGAAAGCCGTCGTATGTACTGCGACGATGAGTAAAGCATAACCGACTCGATGCTGCCAGCCACGACCTGTGTCATAGGGGTCATGTTGTCAACAACATTATGGGCACGAACATGCAATAAGTTCAGAGGTTCTATCTACTGAAACGTTTCAGAAGTGTGGTGAAAGGTGAAATGAAACTCTAGGCCCGGCTTTCAAACCCTGTACCTCTGCGTGGCTTTCTGGACGGATATGCACCCGAGAAATCAATGTTAGGGTACAGTGCCTTCGGACAGAATTTGGCAACGGGGTTTTGGGCATTTACTGTTGCGCTGCTCGTGTGGGCTTGTTTGCTTGACCCTGGAGCTTTGCTAAACGGCTTTCTACAAATAGCCTAAAAACAAAATTTGCGTTTTTTTTATTGTTTTTTTTTGCAAAAAAGATGTTCTGTGATATTAATTGTAACACCTAAACCTTTATAGTTTAGGTGTATAACATGTCTAACAAAAAAAAACAACCTAAACTTCATGATTTAGGTGTCTAAACATGATTTGGGTGTCATAGTTTTGATATTTGTAGAAGCATTCTAACCTGCTGCACATTTAAAGTATGGGTATGCCTAGTGCGTTGATTTCATTGGTTCAATGGAGGGACGTAGTCGGTGCAATGCCAGGCTCGAGTCCTCAGAAGCCCTCAAGGTGGCAGCACCTCCCAGAGGTTGGCGAGGGTGAATCCGTCGGGGAGCTTCTCGACAGCCAGTCCCAACTCCGGGCTCAGCACCACTTCCCGATCGCGATCGTGAGTGCCGTCCGCCAGGTAGGCCTGCAGCAGAGTTTGGACGGCCTCGCTCAAGCACGGTTCATTGACTGCTCTTGTTTTTAATTACGTCAGTTTGCTACGCGGGATATCATCAAAGGTAAAAGTGAATTACCATTTCCTGGAACAAGTCCAGAAGGAAGCGATGGTGAGGGCCATGTTACCAAGTTTATTAAACCAACATGGTTGAGGTCATGATCAAAGAACTTTTCAGTTAAAAATAACTGTCGAGCACAATGGGACAATTTTAAATTGGTACCAATTAGAAACTATTGAGTCCAGCTAATACTGACCTCATCAACTGGTCATTCCAATTGGGTCTGTTTTTTAATTGGTTATTCCAGTTGAAATGATTGAAATCTAATTATCACTGAGTAAACTAATTGGTTGTTCCATCTGTGTTACACTTATTCAATTGGCAATTCAATTGGAATCTGTGAACTATAACTATACTGTGTTTTGCATTTTTACAATTGGTGACCCTGACTGAAGGTGAATTGCTATGAACACTTCCCATTTGGTACCATGATCTCTTCTAAACAACCGAAGAGTCCAAAAGCTGTATGTTTGTTTTACAATTTTGTGCAGGTTAGTAATTAAATCTGTTTTATTCCATGCATGTTCTGTTCTGCTGGCACTGATACTACCTAACTAGCATTCTCTGTTTCATGATAGCTTGGCAAACTGTGGAGGCCAGGGTCCCACGACCCGATTCGCGTCTCCAGCTCGCCGTCTCGCGGCAGAAACGGGAAGCACTCCAGTAAGAGTCCCCCGGTTCTGCTCAGCAGGCAAGGCATAACTGCTTGCAATCATGGTTCGTGAAACATCATTTCCGAACGCAAGCAACACTATTCACTGTCCCAATGTAGTGCTGCAGCCGGTATGGGATTGTAGAGTGTTTCAGTATTGCGTGAAAAAGCAAACGCAAACGCTATGCATTTCCCTTAGAGGCGTTCTCCACGCTGTGTGTGCGCGTCATTGCAAAGCTCCAGTCAAAACCACAATTTTGGACTCGGCGCATGCGCGGTGTAGAACACGCTATGCTAATGCAAACACACAGTGCTTTCGTTCGCTCGTATACACAATACTATAACTCACTACTGTTTCACCGGTTTCCAACGCCAACGAAACGTGCTGCAGTGAGCAGACGTGCAAGCGGGCAGGCGTTCCTCTGAACTGGAGAGGTTCAAATTGGCAAAACAACGGCGCATAAAAATTAAAGAAACAAAATGTTCTGGGAAGATTGGTGATTAATAAAAACACAAACGGAATCCATCTTTTGTGTGTGTATGTATGGGGGAAAGGGAGGCGGGGGGCATTTGGTTTGGAAGGATTGGCGGTAACTTTTTAAGTTTTGCCGATTTCCAAAAGTCGCAACTTTCATAGCACCATATGCTTTACCAACAGTTTATTTATTTATTTATTTATTTATTTATTACAATACCCTCAGGGCCAAAAGGCATTACAGAGGGGGTGGGGCAACCAAAAAATGAAAAAAAAAAGGGTACAAAAAGAGAGCAAACACAGCCGAGAATAAACATCAACAGCTCGAAACACAGCACTCTGGTCAAAAAATAAACAAAAGGACAATCACGACAAAAGGTGAGCAGATAAGGTTTTTTTAAATAAATCAATTGAAGGTATATTAACAAACGAAGCGGGAAGGTGGTTCCACTCAAGAGATGTTTTTGGAATAAACGCGTTCAAAAAGGCTGATGTGTTACAATGAGGGACACCAACTTTGAATGGATGATCAAAACGCGGAGAAATGAATGGGGGCTCAAGGAACAGTTTATCTTTCAATGACGTGTTAGAATGATAGATCTTGTAAAAGAGGCACAAGCGCGATATTTTGCGACGTAAAGAGAGAGAGGCTAGGGATAGACTGAGTTTCATGGAGGAAACGCTTGCTGTACGATGATAGTTAGAAAGTATGAAACGAACTCCGCGATTTTGCATGGCTTCCAGGTTAGTTATAAGTGTCGAGTGACCGGGATCCCAGATTGCAGCAGCGTATTCTAATTTTGACCGGACCATGGAGTTATAAAGCAGTAATTTCAAAGAAACGGGGGCCAGTGTAAAATTTCTTTTTAGAAAACCGAGCATAGAGTTAGCGTTAGCAATAATGTGGTCAATGTGGGTTTTCCATGACATGTTATAGGTAATATAGACACCCAGGTATTTGTAACAGGTCACAGACTGAAGTTGAGTGTTACAAATTGAGAGAGGTGGAAGAACCGTGTGACGACGAGAAACTCTCATAGACTTGCACTTGTTAATGTTAAGGGACATCTGCCACAATTCACACCATTGGGATACAGCACACAAATCATTTTGGAGGAGGAGTGAATCGGATTCATTAGTAACTTCACGATATATCACACAGTCGTCGGCAAATAAGCTAATAGAAGAGGATACACACGTAGGTAAGTCGTTAATGTAAATAAGAAACAATAAGGGCCCCAGAACGGACCCTTGGGGGACACCGGAAGTGACTGGACTTAGAGAAGAGTTAGCATCATTAGTATACACAAACTGAGAACGATTAGTAAGAAAACATTCAATCCAAGACAAAATATTAGGATCAATATGCAAGTGACTGAGCTTGAAAAGTAAAAGTTTGTGAGAGACTTTATCGAATGCCTTACAGAAATCTAGAAAGACGCAATCAACCTGGGAACCACGGTCGAGGATGGAAAGTAGGTCATTAGTGAAAGTGATAAGCTGGGTTTCGCAGGACAGTGATTTGCGAAAACCGTGTTGTGATGCAGTAAAAAAAGAATTTGAATCAAGAAAGTTAGCAAGATGTGAGTAAATTACGTGCTCTAAAATTTTGCAGGGAGTACTGATAAGGGAAATGGGTCGATAATTGGAAGGGTTATGTTTACTGCCTGATTTGTGAAGCGGAATCACCTTCCCAATTTTCCAGTCGTCTGGTAAAACGCCAAGGTTAACAGATTGTTGAAATATTTTGCAAAGAAAAATGGAAATGTAATTTTTAGTTCTCTTAAGAAATTTCGGTGTGATATTGTCAACGCCACAGGAGGAAGATGGTTTTAGATCATCAATAAGTTTTATAATTCCGTCATAGTCAAAAGCAAGTGGATCCATTTGAAAAAAACCATATCTCGGGAAAGTACCAGGGTAAACAGGAACAACATCACTAGCAAATTCTTTGACAAAATATTCATTAAAAACGGAAGCACAACTTTGACTAGGAACTATCACGCCATCATCACATGTCAGCGAAAGCACTGTATTTTTAGACCCGCTATACATATTCCAAAATTGTTTAGGACTGTTAGTTAGCATAGAGGGGAGGGTTACAGAAAAAAATGTTCGCTTGGCCTCCGCGATAGCGGTCTTATAGGAACAAGCTGCTGCGCTATAAGCTTCCCATCGTTCAGAAAGTCCAGTAAGCTTGGCAGTCCGGAAAAGACGTTTCTTTTTATTAGAAAGACGCTTAACAGATCTGTTGAACCAGGGCGATAAGTGGTTAGAAATGATAGGCCTACATGGGATAAAAGAGGTAATTAAAGAGCTTACTTTGGTTTTAAACATATTCCAATTGGCATCAACTGTGCGGTGTGAGAAATTAAAAAGGAACTCATCGAGAAAAGCAGCTAGTTCGCTATTAATGGTATCGAAGTTAGCTTTATCATAATCGAGAAAATGTTTCGTGGTTTTCTTTTCAAAATAAGCTGGAAGTTGCAAATAAAAGTGCAAAATCGAGTGATCGCTAATTCCCGGTAAGTAAGTTATGGATGAGACAAGGTCTGGGTCAGTAGATAGAATAAGGTCTAATATATTGGCCGTTGTACTGGTAACTCGGGTGGGTTCAGTGACAGATTGGGAAAAGGAAAAATCGGCACAAAGGTTCAAGAACTCGGTGTAGTCAGGAGAGCCCCCAGATGCAATCGGGAACGCTCCGGACCAATCAATTAGCGGAAGGTTAAAATCGCCTAGTAATAACAAAGGGGCACGAGGAAATCTAGAAGAGATAACGTTCAGCGCGTCATACAGATCAGAAGTAAAATTTGCAGGAGCATTAGTTAATGTAATTTTAAATAGATTTCTCAGATTAGCTAGAATGTTTTCATTGATTTTAGACTATTTTTATTTTATAACTTGGCAATTAAAAATGCTACAATTGATTGCCATACTTGTTTGTGTGTTTAAATTTAATCATAAGCAACAAATTATATTAGAGCTTAAAAAAAAACTATGCATTAAAATATCTTAATTTCATTGTTATTAATACAAATTGTGGCAATGTAGGCAGGTCTCATTTTGTTTTCTTTTAGCACAAAAAAAACTCTGATTTCGCTGTCAAAATAGACAAACAGTTGAACACTGGATGTAATACAAAGTCCAATATGTCACGCATTGCTTTAAAAAACACACACACTTCTGCTCTTTGACTCGGATTCAGTCTTTAGTTTTTTGTAGTGAGAACAGCGTTTCTTAGTTTACACATTTTGTGAACATATTCTAAACCCATCACCCTTGGCGATATTCTCTAGAGGTTTGAATGATTCTGTTATTCCTGTGCATGGACAGGCACATAGCCAGGATTTTGTTTTGGGGGGGGGGGGGGACCATGACAAAATATTGTATGAGGGGGAGGGGGGAAAGGAGGCCCCAGCAAAATGGAAGATTTGAGGGGGCCCTGGACCCATGGGCCTCCCCCCCTGGCTACGCGCCTGTGCATGGAAATAATGTTAAAGCAATTAATCATCTGAATATTGAAAGGCCCGCAGTTCATTATTTCACATGGCAATTATCTGAGCGAGAAAATGCAGCAAGAACATAAATATCATGCTGATTTTTTCAATAAATACCATATGCTATGTTACCTCTAAGGTGTATGGAAGACCCTCTCTCTAAAGGGACTTCGAACTCTACAAAATATTTTGGAGTTCCTGGATTGGATTTGTATGTCACAAATAAAGTTTCTCCAAACAACTTCTTTGGCTCAATAATTACTGCGCGAGACACACCTTGAGTTATGAAAGAATCCGAAATTAACACCTGTATCGAGAAATTAAATTCAAAATAGAAGTTAGTTTCGGTTTCATTCCTGAATTAAAATGTGCCTGCTGGCATAAATATTACAACAAACACCTTTTTTTTTTTTTTACAGTATAAAGAGGATTTGCACTCATAACACCCAAGCTTCCTCGTATAACCAGAAATAATTTGTGTCGCTCAGTGAAGCCAGCACAGTAGACAGGCTCAGCAACCAGTATACTGGCACGCATCTCCTACCCTCATTAAAATCGCCATTTTGGAAAACGAAAATCTATAGTGAACTGGAAACGCAAATAAGAGCGTCGCAGTGAGGCACGTGACCCCAGAGTCGTATATGTAGAGAATTTGGCCATTCATTGGCAAGTATAGGAGACAAATCAGGAAAAGCCATTGGCCGAAAGTAAGCTGGGCGTATTGCAGGGCGCCTTCACAAATTTGAATGTGGCCAACCAGGCGGTGGTCGCGAGAAACAAACTTAATAAGTGCATCGGAGTAACTCTCGGTGATTGAAAATATGGTGTACGTGATGTTTCAGTCACGGCCGTCATCCAAAATCATAGTGGAAGAGTGCGACTAGCAGAACGATCGACATAATTCGTACGCTAGGCGTCAAGGGCCGGGAATCTGGCACCCGAGCAGTCACACTCTGTCCGAGCAAACCAGAGCTGAGCGACACATTCGTTTCTTACATCTTTCTGCATGATCATAATCGAAACATCAGGTGCACACGATTTTCAACCATGAAGGGTTACTACATTTAATTCTTGCACGCTTATTAAAACCATATACCTATATGATTAAAACTGTTTCTTGCTACCACCACTAGGGGATTGTTTTTGGCTTCTGGTTGGCCAAAAGGGCATGACAAGCCCTCTTTCTGCATCTGGTGCATGCTCTGGCTCTGCCCGCACCTCCCAATGACCAAATTCTCTCTATAGACCATTCTATCTAGTGCTCTCAGGGCGGCGCCATTTTGTCAGAGCCGTATATTGGGAGAGTTTGGCCAGTGGGTGTGGCGACAAAGGCGCCGGAGAGGAGAAAAGTAAATGAAAGGGAGGAGAGCGCCGAAGGAGCAAGAGAGAAAGAAGGGAATAGAGAGGAGATGACCGCCATTTTTTAGCAACACTGTCGGAGAAGAGCACTGCTGAGGTTACGCGTCGTCTGCTACGGGCCGACTTCTTTTTCGCCTGAATAAAAGTTTGTGGCCATACGTCGAAAAATCTTCATTTATTAGCTTTTTAACCCACCGAGGAATAACAGAATGTCATTTTCTTGCCAGAGCCAGTGATATAAAAGGCAATAATCGAGATTTAGATGCCGATCCCACGCATTCCGCCAGGAGAATGATCGAAGATGGCGGCCCTTCCCGCTCAGGTGGGAGCAGCCGGGAGTTCACGCGCATGCGCTCATGCCTCTCGCTCTGCGCTGCGTGCTGATTGGCTCACTCGGGAGGAGAGCGTAACGGCGGCGAGATCATAGACTGACCAAACTCTCCCCATATACGGCTCTGCATTTTGTTAGACCGCAGCGCCCTCTCTACACATCCCGGAAGTTCAGCAGGTTCGGCAGAGTAAAACGAGAGAGAGGGCACGCACCCGACTCCGCTAGCAGATGAAAGACCCGGAGCTTGCCGTTCTCCATCTTTGAGTTGTACCGGCGGGCTTTACCAAACATCGAACTCTCGCTCGTGGCTGCCATTGTCAAGTGTTTTGCATTCTTAGAATATTCATAGCTATTCCAAAATCAGCTTATAGCGCTCTGTTGTTTTATTTCAGTCAATGATCAACTAGAGTATCCTTGTTCCATTACTTCAACAGCAGTGGAGTCAGCCAGCAATACTACCCTCAACCGCTGCGTCTATTGCGTCAGGAGAGCATGTTTTTATTTATTATTTCAGACTTTCACTCACTGTCGCTAAAGGCCTACACCAGTACAAACTTTTTATAGTAGGGTGTGTTCAGATAAGGACGGTCATGGTGGTGTCATGCCTATTTTTTGTTTTCAATAAAATTTTTATATGAAGTAGCGAAACCTGTCCACACAACGGGACAGACCTTAGTTCTGCAAGATACTTCATAGTATTCGTGAAAAAAATCGCATTCGAAAGGAGGTTGAAAAAATGATTTTCCCGGAGAGACCAGCCACTCTGACACACCTTTCCCATTTCTTTTTTTGCACACAAGTAACAGCGCAATTGAATTCAGTTCGTCTTTTTTGCGAGCACAGCTTTACACAATAACTTGCATATAAAAATCTGTGCATCTGCGCTTGAAGTTTCCAAGATGACGCGATTTTAAACCGAGTTGGAACGTCAGCCGGATGTTGGGTACAGCCCACTCAACGGAGCAGACGACGCACTGGGTGAGAGGGGGAGGGTGTTTTTTCGCTCTCTGCTCTTCCTAGTGGAACAGTCTATACACGGCTCTGCGTGACCCGATGTCACGGGAGCATTTGTGTCACTACGCCAAATGCGAGGCGTGAGGCTTGGAGCAATTGGCTGTCGTCTGCTAGCTAAGAGCCGTCTGCTCCAAAACCAACTTCGGATGAATGTCCACCACAGCAACATTTTTCCGTCTGCTACAATAGCGAGTACTTTGGGAACAGTTCATGAGACAATTCCCCCTCTGCCAAAATAGATCCACAAAACAAATAAAAAAAAAAAAATTATACGCCCAATTTTGCCGCGAATCTGTGACTAGTGCTAATGCCAAGGCACAGTGCAATGTTTTGGGTGGAAACAGCCAGTTACATGGCTGCGATCGCCAACGGCCACGGCACTACAAGGAAAAAAAAATCGGAAGCGGATACAGATGTGGCGTCGCTTTTTAGAGTGCAGCTCTTAAACTCCCGTATCCGGCTTGAGCGGTGTCGTCGTCGGCGCAACCGCACATTGCATTATGGGACGTTTTCCATAATGACGTCATGTGTGACGTCACATGGCGTCTAAATTCAGTAGAGAAATTCCCCGCTAAATTTAGCGGAAAAATTTCCTCGCTAAATTTAGCGGGGAATTGGTTCCGCCATATTTAGCAAGAAATTTGGCGAAAATTACCTGCGAAATGGGAGGGGAGCGAGAGAGGAGGTGAGAGTATGCTCCCTTCCTCCTCCGCCATACCCTCTCCTCCTCCTCTTCAAGAGCTGCGCTCTAATTCGGCATTACAGAGCATTGTAAACGTCTTTCATTTTTTTTTTAATATAATTGAAACTCATAAGTTTGTGATTTTTTATTCCTCATATTTTCTCGTTAGAGATGGAATTGCACGAGTTCAACTGCCACTAAAAGAGAAAGAAGCCTAGAACTACTTTTTGTCGCAGACGGCACTGTTGCTGTGGCAGTAACGAGGCCCCCGTGGCCTCGACCATGGACTGTTATCACGTGCCTTGCTCCGGCGCTCTTATTGGGTCGCTAAGACCGCAGCCTATACAGTTCACCAAGTTATCCTGAAACGGAGTACAGGCCAAGATCCTGTCACGCTGTCTTGAACAGCTTTTGTTGCGACTTGCACCTTTCTTATGTCTAAATTAAGATAGCGTTACCCTTAATAATATTAAGATGGAATAGGCAAATCTGGCAGTGACCCCGTGCTCAGTTACAAACTGTAATGAGAAAATCCCAACTATATTTTCGCAGCACAGAATAGCACACCTTGCAACAGCTGCGCACACACGCTCATGCTTTCCTGCAGTTTGCCGCTGTATTGTGGAAAAGCGCACTCAACAAAACGCGAGGCAAGGCGCCGATTATATAAGTCCCCTAGATTACTGTTCACGGTTTGTGGGGCATCCACAGCATGTTTTCTAGCAGTGGCCGGACGTAATTAAGCCTTTACTTCACACACACTCTGCAACTATGGTGCCTGGAACGCATCTCTGACCGGTGTGTTTACTGCGTGCTCAAGAGTGGTCCCTCGATTTTCGCCTCAGGACGTCGCAGAAGTGTCATGCTGTCGCCAGCTGCGATCCTGGCGGTGTCGCAGCTTTGGTGCTGGGTGTAGCAGACGTCTGTTTCGCTGCAGGTCATTCTCCAGCTTGACAAGCCACGGAAGCTCCAGCGGCCAAGAGTTGGCGCCGCGACGACAGCAACACTCGCATTCTCTTGTGCTTTTATCGAGAACTTGTTTGCCCAACTGTCAGGATCGCGACATCTGACAGCATGACACTCCAGCTTTTGTGATGCTATTTGTTGCCACTTGTTGCCACTTCGGGACCACTTTCGATGCATGGGAGGAGCAGGACGCTAAACATGCCAGTCAGAGACATGTTCCAGGCACTGTGGTGTAACGGTGCAACTACCCGATTCCTGATGGCGGGGAAACGTACGGCAAAGGCGTCATAATGGCTGCCCTCCACGTCGCTCAGTTCTGCGTCTTCCGAGTGCAGAGCTGGACCGGACTCTGGAAGTCCCGGTTCCACCTCGTCCTGCAGGAAACGGCGAGGGCATTTTTGTGGTATACGATCCGGAGGAATCTCAAAAGGAACGATAATTAGAAAGCCAAATTATCATTCCAGCCAAAGACGACGAGGATGGCGCGAGAATGAGGAGTGTGCCCACGATCGCATTACGACACTTTCGTTTTGAGGCAGCAACACGCCAGTTCGCCATACACATAAACGACTTGGGCGGGAACTTCGAAGTTGGGTTTTCTAAATTATTTTGTTAAATTTATAGCATTTAAAGGGCCAGCCTTAGAGATTCTGTGTCCGTGGCACGTAGCCTCACTGACGGGAGGGAAGCGTTAGCGCGCCGCTTACCCCTCACCCCCTTAGCTCCGCACGGCACTGAGCATATCGTTTGTTTGCCATGATCTTGAGCCAACAGCCGTGCTCCCTTGCCAATGCCCTATCTTACGGCCACGCTACGGTTTGACCGACGCGAGCAAGCGAGGCCTGAGCGCACGAATCACATGTAAAGCCGCCAGTTTAAAAGTCTGCCATGTGCCCCCTGGCTAGTGCTTTGTCCATAAGGCAGTTTCCCACCTGCCTCTGCAGGAGCGCGTCCACTCCCAGCAGGGGCTTGGCCCTGTGCACTTTCAGGAGGCTGGCCAGCTCTTTGTGCACCTGCTGCAGCTTCTCCAAGGGGTCCACCTTGAAGCCCAGCACGTAACCCCCGCTCTGCGGGAGTTGGAGAAGCAGCGTTAAGAGGAAACAAGATCCCCCGTGTAAGCGAAAGCGGCGATGCTACGGTTAGGGAAGTCCCGGATGTCCCATCTCCAGCCATAAGCTCCCTACCTTCGACAACCTTTTGGCGTCTCGTGACCTCCGAGCGTGCAGGCGCAGCCGAAGCACAGCGCTAGGCAACAAGCATGTGCCAAAGGCCGAACGTTCCAAAGACGCACCCTGCCATTCTTACCATGTCGTTAACTACAGAGTGTCCCACGAGTCTGGAGCCGTAGCGAATTCGTATGTTCCTCTTTCCAGGCAGTCGAAGATGGCTCCGACTAAGGAAGAATACGTCAAAGTCTTTTGATTGGTTGGCGGCTAAAGGTGGCCAGGGTGTTTGATCGTGGTTTACGCCAAGAGGGTCATTGATCTGCGGTACCTGGCATCCAGAATCGGGCACGCTTGTTGGCAGACTGATCATACCGTTATTGGCTGAGTAATTAATGGAATGGCAGCATCATCTATCTAGGCGTGTGCATTATGAACGTGTTCTACGACTCACCATGATTCCAAACCTAAGACGTGAAGGGTGCGGCACTTTCTACCCTACAAGGCCACGGTCGACTTTTGCCAAGCAACGTGCGACGGCAGCTAAGAGCCGCTTCAGGACACGAGGAGTGATGCCGGTGCGTCGGGTTTTGAAGCAGTTATTGTCTCTGGAGGTTTTATTCTTTTTCTTGTTTTGCTACTTTGGCTGTTTAGTGCCCCTTAGTGTTGAATCTCCTGCGAGCATAATTAAGCAGATTATCCGTCGCCAACAGACGATTAATTTTTTTTTTTTTTTTGTTCTGGCCCGGGGGATTAAAACTGGGAGTTGATAGGAGGGAGCGGAATGTGCTTGCAAAAAGACTAGCATATGCATAATAAATGTACACTTCTGTTCCATGCTTTATGAAGGTGAAGTGTTTATTCTGTGCATAGTCTTAGCCTAAGTGAAAAAATTATTTCCCTGTCTCTCTAAAACACCCCTTGAGCTGGAGACCGTCTTTGAGACACATGTGGAAAAACTGGATGGATGAATGCATTAACACGAGGGGCCACAACGCCGCACGTGTTTCTGCATTTCCCAATTCTGCAACACCTGTTGTGGCCTACTCACGCTCTCGCTTGTTTCGATGACGAGTGCCTTGCCAAACTTGGACTCCCTCGTTCTGATGGCAGCCTGCGACGGAAAAACAAACAACCATGCACGTGTCTCCGCGATGCAAATAACCCGAATTCTAGGACATTGAGGCTAATCCTGACAACTGCGGCTGGTGAATGCTGGCTGCTATTTTCATCAAGCCTGGTTTCAGTGACAACATGATGCCAAACAGCGCACCTGGACAATATACGCAGAGACGTGCTTTCGGTAATCTACAAGGCCATGTACCTATCGCGTAAACTAGGGACGAGAGAAACATCCACAAGGGTACTCACAACCGAGCTCAATAACGGAACATAGATTTCATTAGAAAGAAATCGAAAGTTACATCAGGGTGTTCCCAAACTCTTTAAGTTTCTCAAACCGTCTCCTCCCCTGTAAAGTGTTTCTCTTCTTTAAGCATTATTTTAGTGGGTGGAAACCACCCACTGATGCATAATTATAAGTCAATCAGTATGTGAATCACTGCATCGAGGGCCCATAGGCTCCTGCGGCGCATTAACGCATTAATGCAAAGACCACGGCGGGCTCCTCGGCCGTCGGTCGAGGGAGATGGGGGTTTCTCGAGATCAAAAAGTTTGAGAACTTGCACATTTGCCATATCTGGCAGTGAGACGATAATGGAAGGGGCGCGTCACGCACCACTTGCACATAGGGGAGGCTGATGTTGAAGGACTCGTTCATGTTGGCGTGCCACACGACGCGGACGTTGGTGATATGGAAGGTGCCCAGGTTCCCCTGGTCGCTCGACAGGTTCCACACCCCGTTCACCTGGCTGCACACCTCCTCCCGGGGAAGCAGCCGCAGCTGGCGGTTGTGTAGCAGCGCGGCGCGCAGGTGCAGGTCACGGTACAGCTTGCTGGCACTGTATGCCCTGGGACCCGGAAGAAAGGAGGGCGTTGCCAGTCCCCGAGGCCGAAGAAACGCCACCGTCAAACACACACCAATCAAGTGTCCAGTCACTGTGAGGGATAGCGCGGCACCGAACGGGCCTGTCCCGCGAATGTGCGGGGGAACGAGAGTAAAGAGGAAGAAGCGGAAGTGAAGGGCGAGCGAACGCGGGACTGGCCGCAGGTGACAAGAACGGTTTCGGAAGTGGAGTAGTGCGGATTGATACATAACAAGTGGGGGCTCCGCTGCCCTTGGGAACAAAACCCCGGCCAACTCCCTTTACCAATCAGTGGCACGCCGGGCTTCGTGGCAGATTCGACGTCTAGACTGCAGGACGCGCATGAGTTTGCTCTGGAGAACCAAAGAAAAGCGCAAAAGCAACAGCGGCGTTACTACAATCGAACTCGACAGCAGTCAGAGTTCCAAATAGGTGACACAGTACTACGCGACCTGCACACATCCAGTGATGCCAGCAAAGGAGTGGCAGCAAAACTGGCTCCAAGACGCTCGGGACCTTTCGTGGTGGTGGGGAAAGTGGGGGCCAATGACTATCGTCTGAGGGACCAAAGTACTGGAAGACTGGCGGGACTGGCACATGTGGATCAGCTGTTGAAGTTCTGCGAAGACCGACTGGACTTCACTTTCTAAAGGGGGAGGATTGTGAGGGATAGCGCGGCACCGAACGGGCCCGTCCCGCGGATGCGCGGGGGAACGAGAGTAAAGAGGAAGAAGCGGAAGTGAAGGGCGAGCGAGGTGACGAGAACGGTTTCGGAAGTGGCGAAGTGCGGATTGATACATAACACCACAAGTTGGAGATAATGGCGACAAAATATGGGTGGGCGCACGTTAAGTTCAGGAGCGGAAAAGCAGAAGGAGCACATGGTAGGACAGGCCCTTGTTTGGTCCAGCAGAACGGTATGGAAGCAGTGTATGTATGGTGCCTGGAACAGTTTTCATCTGGTGCGGTTACCGCATACTCAAAAGTGGTTCCTCCATCCACCTGACGAAGTCTTGAAAGTGGATATGCTGTTGCTTGCCACAATTCTGGCAATGGCAGAGCAGGGGAGGTGGATGCAGCAAACACCTGTTTTGCTGTCTATCGCTCAGCAGCCAGAGAGTCGACAGAAACAAAAGCAGACACGAGATGCGACGCAATTTGTTGCCACTTCGGGATCACTTTCAATGCACGAGCGAATGGTAAACACACCAGTCAAAGCCACGTTCAAGGCGCCGTAGTATAGAAGTCTGGAAGAACACCTAATACTTGTAAAGCATGCCACGTTGTTCTCATTGAGCCTGCTGCGAGCCAGCGCTCTCGCATCAAGCCTCACCGCTTTACACCGGTGCATGCGCATAAAGCTTCACCCCCTTGCACTGGCTTGTTGGGGCAGCAGCCGACGCAGAGGAAGGCATCAGGTAGCACAATGGGCTCAGAAGTTTTCCGGGGTAGGTGCTTGATATGTCCTTTGCTTATATTTCAAAAGCAAGGTGTGGGCACCTTGCTTTTGTTGCTACATACGCACATCCTTGGTATTTTATGGCAACCGACGCGACGCATAGCAATGTCCAACCCCACCGAGAAGTTTCTTTTTTGCACATGTTTCTTACGGTCGACCTCCTGCCGACCTTGCATTCCGAAGTCAGCACATCGCACCAAGCTCTAACTACAGCCGCAGGCCATGGTCTCCCCAAGCCTTCAAATATGGTATGCCACACATCCTCACCCCAAAAACACAACTAACAGCAACACCTGGTGTTGAGAAGGTCTGAACAAACATTAAAAACCTTTAAAGGGCAACTCCGTTTCATTTTTGGCTTTGAAAAAACAATGCAGTCCTCTTCAGTATCACATAGGAAGACCCCACATCAAATATTACGATGCAGTTCTGTCTAGATGTTTCTTAAACGGTCGGATAAACTTTGCAACTTGCCAAGTTGCTGAAATTAGCTAACTCAAGCAGGCGAATTCAGGCACAACTAACAGCGCACTCAAGGCTACGGTATGGCCGTAGCCAACATTAAGCTAAACGTCACCCCCATTGCCCCCTTTTGCTTGTTTTTACTTCTCCGGGCAAGCGTAGTAGACGACGTCAGCGGACGACGTCAGCGCCTTATGTGGTTGGCGTAAGGCGCCAGCGAATTGGGCCACCCCGCCATGGACTCGCCGTTACCGCCGTCTTCTGCGTCACAACCGCCGTTGTCATCTCACTGTTCGTGATTATTGTCTCTGAGTTTCATCCACACTACGGGCAGTATGTGCGCAAACCTATGCCGCAGTTGTGCAGACGTCGAATGTCGTAGACGCCGAAACGTGGCGAAGAGTGCGGTCCAGACGACACTTGCGCCTGGCACACGCCCGCCCCAATCCTGCCCGTTGTTGCATAGAGGATCACGTGACATCTCATACCATGTGATGGCCATGTTGTCTCTGAGTTTCATCCACACTACGGGCAGTATGTGCGCAAACCTATGCCGCAGTTGTGCAGACGTCGAATGTCGTAGACGCCGAAACGTGGCGAAGAGTGCGGTGCAGACGACACTTGCGCCTGGCACACGCCTGCCCCAATCCTGCCCGTTGTTGAATAGAGGATCACGTGACATCTCATACCATGTGATGGCCATGTTTTTGGCGGCCCGAGGCCAATGTTGCTGGATGGAGCCGAAGTTTTGGTTTCAATTTCCGCTCGTGTTTAAAATTAGATTTAAAAATAACTATCCCATTTTTTGCGAAGCAAACGACATACAGTCTTTTACTAGGGCTTTTTAATGTGAATCATTCATTATTCCGAAATCTTCGGAACTGAGCGGAGTTGCCCTTTAAAGGGACACTGACACCGCCCAAAACATTTTTTTCATTTTTTGCCAGACGATTCATAATGGTGTCACAAGACTATACCCAATCAATATTTTGGTACAGCGTAACATATATTAAAAAAAAAAAAAAAGTAAAACAATGCAACTGCTTGAAACCAAAACTGGACTGGGGGGGAAGAAATATAAAGCAGGAGAGCATTGCCGAAAGTCAGGTGGTTGCGTTAATACCCTAAAAAAACATCTCATGACCACAGAGAAGAGAGTGAGCGCAACTGAAACCGGCCAGTTCTCGATCGGCGGTTTTCAGGCAAAAAGGAAACGAATTTAGAGCCGCAAATTGTGCTCTGGGTGGTTGGGCTCTCATTTGTCATGTGCAAACAAAAACCTTGGCAAGCATAAATACCTTGTCAGTGTCCCTTTAAGGACTATGATGGCAGAAGTTCTAGTACCATATTCTTCAGTCTATAAGCCGCACCCCCTATAAATGGCCGTTTTCAAAAATACGTCGGTATATATGGCGCAATTATATATTTGTATGGTCAGCGCAGTGAGATTGCATTCAAAAGCCCACATGATCAAAATACATGCGCAAGCAAGAGCAAGTTTCATTATTCTCATTAACAAATCGAACGAGAGGTATAACCCCTGTGGTAAATTGCTGCAGTTAAGGTCCGAACAGAAAAAAGAGTGCACATAAGTCGCACTGCCGTACAAAACACACAGACTGAAATTTTTGAGAGAAAGAAACGTGACTCAAGCACCAGAAGATATGGTACTACTATGCTGTTTTTGCTCACTTCTTAGCCTCTATTATTTATTGGATATTGGACACATTTCTTAGTAATTTTAGTACTTTGCCATAGCTTAACACGGCAACAAAGTGTTGTTTCACAACACTAAACAAAAAAATTAATGTTTTTTTACAACTGAAACAAGCTGGAAACATTTCCTAAAAAATTAGGTAATAAGAAACACAGGTAAGTTTGTTTTTTTTTGTTTTGTTTTTTTAACTGACTTACTTGAATGTTTTCAGAACGGACGTTATCAGTCGTGGCTGTTCCATTGCTGAACTCTATTGTGTGGGGATTAAAGAAAACAACTGTGACCGATCTGCTCTTTAAATCAATATTTTGTGGTCGACATCAATTTCAACGTACCACATTGGTAAAGATGAACTCGAACCTGCTGTTGTTTGCCTTTGTCATGAGGTACAGGGCTTCGGCGATTCCACACAACTTCTGCAAAACATTCGCACAAACCATGAGTAGTGCACGCAACAATTTGGAACGGCCGGCGTGAACTTACGGAATTAACCGTTCGCGTCGACACGCCCGTGACGCAGTTGAAACCGACAGCTGTGCAAGTGGATGGAAAAGACACGGTAAAAGTGAAATGAACGAGAGATGTATAGTCGTTAGCTTCGTTCTATTTACCTGCACCGGTGCAGAAACGTTTAGGGCAGTGTACTTCCGGCATGTGTGTTGAGGTTTGACCGGGAATACATGTGCCCTACGCTTTTCTGCACCGGTGTAGACAAATCAGACAAAGCTACTCATTGAACGGCAGAGCGCACCTTTCGAATGCCCGGATTCCAGCACGCGTTGGCACTTCGTAATTGCTGTCTGAACGGTGTGCGTATTGAGTGGGCGTGCAAAAGTAGCGCATCATGCTTTATCACGCGTGTGCTCAAGATGTCCTTGATGCCGAAGCGTTGCTGGAAAATATGAAGCTCGTGCTAGAGGCGGGACATCCGAAACTCCTCCTCCTTGCCGTTCTTACCTTGTCAGTGACTAGCTATAAAAGAGTGACTCACACAAGTTGACCCGGGACCGTGCATTTGATTGCCAGATGATTCGCAGGTTTGTGACGTATAAGGTTCCTGTGCAGGTGTGTAACGAAAGAACTGTCATGACCTCATTTGTATGTGCACGTAGAATATAGCGTCTTGCATCCGACTTGCCTTTATCGCCGCTGTTCCCTTTCGTGTCCTCAACTGCACAGAGTTTGTCCAGTTGCTCTTCTCCACAGCCATACTGGAGCTCGCTGTGTAAGCGGAATGTGATCACTTCTTTCGCAGGCATCAAAAAATACAGTGTGTTAGATAAATTGTATTAAAAAGGGCACTTGGAATAAAAATTCGGCAGGGACTGCTTATGTGTGAGAACAAGAAGGCATTGTACTTTTTGGTGCAATGTTTTTGATTGATGTTTTCGACATGCATTAAAGTTTTTTCTGCTGATTCGGTGTGTGTGGAAAGCAGTGCGCTCATTTTATACACCCATGACATGGCGTCGAGAGCCCATCGCAGTAGACACAGCACCGATGAAATCCGAAGAGCAAGTGAAGCACGGGAGGCAACATGCTCGCTTTACGTACTCATGACGTGGCGCCACCTCTTCCCCATTGGCTGCGCCGTTACGTGCCCAAGGACGCACGCACTAGGCCACACTTTTAGTCAGCCAGATGGCTGCGACGTGACGTGTGCAATGACGCATGGACTAGGCACAGCTTTAGTCAACCAGAACTGTGGAGCCGCCGTGGCATCAGGGAAACGTGCTCGTGTCGCACCCCGGAGGCCCGAGTTCGATTCCCACACAGACTGCAATGTACCAAATTTTATTTTCAAAGCCATTAATTTACTTTATTTACAGGAACTTCCCCGAGATATTTGACGTCAATCCAAGCATTTTCGTCGTGTTTTTCCTGTTTGCGCCGTTGGCCATTTTTTGTACCATTGCTAGGTCACGCCGCCACCAGATTTTCGCATTAAAAAGAATTAATTTTTTTAGAAGGTAAAGCTGTCATGAGTGTGATATGAAAATTAGCAAACTAATATATGTGACTCAAATGTGCTGCTGCTACGGGGATTATATCAACTAACAACAAAAAGAAAGTTAACTAGTTAACGCATAAATTGCATCTGTATATCACGTGTCCCAGGTGACGTGCGCTGCAATCGATAACGTCAACATGAAGAAAAAAAATATATGTGTGTATATATATATATATATATAAGGTGTCCCAAGTCACCAGGCTCAATCTAAAATGGGCCGTAAAAACCTACGCCTGCACGTAGCAATCTCTTTTCGACAAAGGCGTATTTCACAGGTCAGTTTTAGAGCGCAGCTCTTAGGCACCCATTTCCGGCTTGAGCAACGTTGCCGTCGCCGTCGACGTAACCGCGCTGTGTATTATGGGACGCGTGAGGTCACTGATGACGTCATCGGCATCCGCATCGTCATCGACGACGTCACTGATGACGTCATCAGCATCCGCCTCGTCACTGATGACGTCATCAGTGACATCACTGATGATGTCATCGGCATTCGCATCGTCCCTGATGACGTCATCAGTGACATCACTGATGATGGCATCCGCATCATAATCGTCCCTAATGACGTCATCAGTGGCGTCACTGATGACGTCATCAGCATCTGCATCGTCATCGTCACTGATGACGTCATCGGCATCCGCATCGTCGCTGATGACGTCATCGGCATCCGCATCGTCGCTGATGACGTCACTAGTGATGATGACGTCATCAGTGACGTCACTGATGTCATCGCCACGTGACCCTCGTAAGGCGATGGCGACGCCGCTAGGAGGGAGGAGTAGCAGACAGGATGAGGAGGTGAGGAGGAGGGAGGAAGGATATACCTTCCCCTCGGTACCCTTCCCTCCTCCCCCTCAAGAGCTGCGCTCTAATTCGGCGTTACAGGGAGTTGTAAACGTGTTTCATTTTTTTTCTTATAAAATTATAAAGCGAAGAACTCTTTCTGTAAAAAAAAATAGGGTCTAAAAACTTGCCAGGGTCGCTGCGTATGAGACAGACATCTTACCACTAAGCTACACTACAGCTTCGAAAAACAGATTTTGACAATTCGCTTTATACCAGACTTTCGGACGACACTTGAAGGCGTGAGTGGAATGCCGTTGGACGGCACTCGAACGCTCTGCAAGAGTGCCGTCAGACGGTACACTAGACACTACGTATTTTAATTGGACATAGGAGTTTAGGATACTCTCCGGGCCGTTCGGTGATATCCTGACATTTCTAAGTGCACCCCGTACACTTAGAAATCGTTTATATAAAGGCAGAAAATGATGAGAGTGCCACACTTGTGGTGAAAGTGGATTAGATGACACTTACTGGCATATCAAAGCTGTATGTTGGGCTAGTTGGTATTGGTCTTGGGTTGCCAAAGGCATGGTAGCGCTTTTTTGGACGAGGACAAAAGAAAGAAAGACAAGACAGACACGAGCGGTCGTGTCTGTCTTGTCTTTCTTTCTTTTGTCCTCGTCCAAAAAAGCGCTACCATGCCTTTGGCAACCCAAGACTTACTGGCACTTCGTAATCGCTATCTGAAAGGTGCGTGCATTGAGTTGCGCGCGAAACTAGTGCCGAGTCAGAGGTTGAGAGCTCTATGAACGCGCGTAATGAGACAGGTGATAATGAAAGCGACGCACTGATTGGAGACGTCGAACCTCACATCTCGGTCCTGCCAAAGACCGTCGTAGTAGTGGGCTTCTGAGGACATCCCGTAATGACCGACCGTCGCCGCTGTTTGTTTTGAATTGGGGGTTGCTATGGTGATCTTGAGCGTTTTCGAAAATTCCGACTAAAAATTCCTATGATGTCATATCTGAATTTTTCTTATCAGTGATTTCTAAAATATAAAAATAAATGCGTAAAACAATAATTATTAAAATACAAGTATTTTATTAGCTCAAATGTTTGTAATTTTTGTCTTTTTTTTCTTCCGAATGAGAAAAGTAGCACGTTCCGGCAAGTTCAACGCATCGATAATCTGGTTCCGGTAGCTTTATTTACATCCGGTTAAAAGCCTGGCTCATCGCTGATCGTTTGTTGAACGTACGCTCTCTGGGCGATGTGAATTTATTACAGCAAATAAACTTCCTTTATAACACCAGCCTTCTACAAGCAGCGTCCGCAGGACAGCTGCAAAACGTGAGTTTACAAAAAAAAGTAGCGTTTCCTCGGGACGCAGTTCACTGTCGCGGCATTTACGAATCGAGTTCGGTGTTTTAGCTCGCGTCAAGGCTCTTAGGAGAAAGCTCCCAAGTGTGACAAAGCCGCTTTATTCTTTCCCGCAGACCGAATGGCTTCGGATGACGACAGCCGCGTGCAGCCCAAATCGGCCGTGAATTCGGCGGAGCCCAAAAGACCCTCGGATCGCGGCCGGGAACGCGAGAAGCGCCACAGGTAAGCGGGAAGCGACGCCGGGACGCGCCGGTGTGCGTCGCCCAAACAAGAGCCCGAACCGCTTACTAAATGTGATGCATTCGAAATCCAGGTCTCGGAGCAAAGAACGCAGGAAGCGCTCCAGAAGCAGAGAGAAACGGTACGTACCAATAATATGCGAAGCGCAAGTTCGTCTGCTTCTTTTCAGGGGTTTTGGTGGCGTCAGAACGCCGAGCTCTGATTGGCTCTGATTGAGGAATAGTGGGTAGCCCTCAATGCTAACTACCTTGAGGTCTACCCACTATCCTTCAATCAGAGCCAATTAGAGCGTGGCGTACTGACGCCACCACGACCCCTGCGAAAAAGCACGTAAACTTGCGCCCTTCATTGTCCTGGATGCCTTCCTTTCGGTTTTGCATTCTAGTCACCAACATGCTCAATTTTCCACACCGATTGAGAGAGAGAGAAAATAAATGAAGGCTCTGAAGAGAGTAATGTGTCTGGTTACATGTCAATGTAAATTGATTTTCATCCCTCTCTGGCACTGCTTTACCTCTGTGCTGCCAAATCAGACTTCCACTCTGTCCTCCATCTTATGCAGTCTTGTGTGCAGCAAGGACGAGGAAAAAAGGGGGCAACAGGACACGACAAGGCGCAACTTTCAAGTGATTTTTATTGAATACGTGTTCCGGTATTTATAGTCTAAACCATTGTCACAATGACAACAAACAAAACGACATACACAAAGGAAACAACCATCACAGAGCATAATCGGGAAAAAAAACTATCTCGTTCTAAGGAAAACCAGCTTTTTTTTCGATAACTATTGATGGCATAGCAACACACGTGTCTCCTAAATAATCAATGTGTTTGCTTCTACAATTTTGCGTATTAACGTTGACTTGCATTTCCCAAATTTTACGCATTTGTCCAACAGTGGGGTACAACCGCAAGTCCTGCAATGCAAGTCAAGATAGCCACCATTCTGTTCTTACACGTTGTTATTGTGCTTGTGAAGCCAGTCATTTAGGCAGCACCCCTCCACTTGTCCCTGTGTCATTTTTATGCTGTTATATTTATTCTTACCCTGCACCGACTCGCCCAACTACACCTTGCTTTTTTCTCTTCAACAAGTTCTTAATCTCTCTGATCAAGTCTCGGACAACCTTCCTACATGTCAGTCTCACCAATCAACTTTCTCGCAAATTAGGAATTTCTAATCAGTTTTCACCTTATTTCGGATCACCGCTCTGCATCTTCATCTCTGGTAATTAAATTTTTATTTCCAACTCCGGTCTCCCTCTCCCTGGGCGTCTGTGTCTTGCGGGTATACGCTGTTTTTCTGTTTCCAATGAATTCTCCCATTTTATGGTCACTTCTATCAACACCACCTAGGAGACAAGGCCTGCACATAAAGTTGTTGTTAGTGGATCCCCGATCTTCTGATAAATTCTTGGTGTCCATCTGTCTGCGATCAACTCTTTTCCTAACTGACTATGGAGTTTTACCAACTGCTTGATCAAGTTAACGTGGTTTATGGGCTGCGTTTGCGATGCGAGGTGCCAGGAGGAGTAGAGGGCATTAACCGCCTGGCAAGTGCCCCCGCCTCTCTGCCCGTTTTCCTACTCGCCCCGCGACAACACTGTGCATGTGCACTTGCAACTGATCTGTGCAGGAGGCATCCACCATTAAATTTCAAATGCTCTCCATGGTCTGAATTGCTCCTTCTCTTAAATCTAGACTCTCTACACCTCCTGTCTCTCCTATCCATTCTGTGTCCGTGTCCTTTATCTCTTTCCCATCAACTTTCTTTCTCTCTCTGCTCATCTGATGAAATGTCCGCTCGTCTTCCCCAGGTCCCGGTCCCGCAGCAGGGAGAAGAAGAAGGACCGAGAGAAGGGGCGCGACAAGGACAGGCGTAAGGACAGAGACCGTCCCAAGGACAAGGAGAACAAGGACAGGTCTAAGTAAGTCACCGACCTGTGCAGGTGGTCGTCAGGACCGAGTGCGTTCACCGGACATACCAAAACCCGCGAGTTTGGTGTTGCAAAGCGGGGCACCGTGGACGCAGCCTTGAACGCAGCAAACGGCATCGTCTCTTGACGTTCAGAGGATGACAGAAAGTTAGCACTACCAGAACCAGCCTTTTTGGGTTGGCACAAAAAGGGGAAAGCACAAAATTGTCCACAAGGTCTTGACTAGCCCTTGCAGCAGATGCCGATGGCCACTGCCTTACTTTTGGGTTTTGCGGTGCTTGGTGTGTACTGTTTTACTCGTTCTCAAATCATTTCTTCCTTGTTGTTTGTACTGACCCCTTAAGAACCCTTTATTGCTCCCAGCATTCCGTGGTATTTGTTATTTAAATAATAACCATTAAAAGGAATAGTTCCCCTCAATTGCGAAACAGGGCTATTTTGTTGAATTTGTTTGCCAAACTCATTTTCCTGTTCCACTTCAGAACCGGGTGCTGCGGCTTCACAGTTTGCTGCGAGCTTGAAGGAGCAAAATATTAGTAATAACGATAGCAATGATAATGATACAAATTATATTATTATTAGTTGCACTCAAAAATAAGAAAGAGTGGAAAATGTCGACACGGGATGTGGCAGGCTAAGCGAAAAAGTGAATATCGACACGATGCGTAGTTGGTACCCAGCTTCGTATAAATGTTAGAGGTTGTAAAGAAGAATAACGAATTACCAAAAAAATACCGATCACAATGTTGTTGGCATAACAACATCAAAAAGTCTGTGCAAAAAAAAAAAAAAATTTAGGGACGAAAAAAAAAAGGGTTAATAAAGTTCACACAAAAAAATGTGAAGAAATAAGCCATATACAGTAGGCGCGCAATAAATCAAACTTGGATATTTTATGCTTCTGGTTAATTCAAACAAATGCAGGAATTTTGGTTGTCCTGCTATGTTTTTAATATATTTATAAGCCACCTAATTTGAATGGCGTTGCTGCATAGCTCGCTTTCACGGGTATTGCTTCCCCGCAGTGCACCGGTGCTCGATAAGAAGCACACTCGACGTGCCTAATGTTTCACAATAGACAACTTTTTGCAAGATTAACAAATTTAATTTTTGTTTTGAGGTGTCATGGGCTGTTTAAATAGTTCACGATGGACAACATTTTCGAGCAACGAATATAAACTTACCTCATACATTTCACCACTGTTTCATGTGTGGCATACCTGCTTATGGTTGGTAGGCCTGTGTAGAGGAAATCATTGTGTGTCTGCTTTGTGTCTTTAGCCATCCCTATAATGAATCATAATTTTATTTTAGTATATGCCCAAGCGATGGCGTACCCGGATAACAGGCACCGCAGCCACTATATGGCATGCACTTTTGAAAAGGGTCTGTTGGCATTTGAGGAGCTCAGGTGCCGGCAAGAGGCCAATCGGAGCATGATGTGTCCTCTCTTCTTCTCTCCAGGGATGGGGAGGAGGATGAGGAGGAGTCTGGGAAGGTGAAGAAGGAGCCACTCTCCCTGGAGGAACTCATGGCCAAGAAGAAGGCCGAGGAGGAGGCCCGCAGCAAGGTGAGCCCCCACTAGGGAGCGCTGTAGGCACACTGGAACTTGGTTACTTCTAAGAGATCGTGACGAAGAAACACTTTTTAGTGCACAATTATTTTCGTACTGAAGTCGACCAAAACAGTGTGCCCTTTGAAGTGTCTCGACTCTTCTTTCTCGAAGACCGAGTTCTCGTCCGCGAGAATTGGCGATTTCCAGACAGCCGCAGAAAAGGTGAGGCAGCCGGGGCTACGACTAGCAAACGACGACGCGTTTTTGTGCCTGTTGCTTCCTCTTATCAGAACTCGGTGTCGTGATTTACTGTTTACCGTCCGTGTGAGAAGCAAGCTTGCCGCGTAAACCAGTTTGTGGAGTGTGAAGCAAAGCGTCAACGAATCCCTTGTAGCTTGCCATCTGGGATTTACCGTTTGCTATCTGTGTGAGAAGCTAGCTTGCCGCATAAACCAGTTTGTTGAGTGTCTGATCCAAAGCATCAAAAACGAATTCCTCGTAGCTTGCCATCTGGGGGTACTATACTCTTGAAGAGCGGTTCTTAAACTCTTCAATCTCGCGGAATATGAGCACCTCTCTCTACCTTGACTGATAGCCGAGGGACCCTTCCCGGTGTCGGCTTTGTCGAGGTAGAGCAGTTCAGGAGCCTACAGACCTTGTAAAAAGTGATGCACATACTATGGAGTGTTTGACTCATAACTATGCATCAGTGAGTGGCTCGAATCAACTAAAATAGTGCTGAAATGGGGAAACACTACTTAGGGACAGGAACAGTGGAGGAAATTCGGGATTGTGAGGAACCCCCCCCCCCCCGCCCGTGTTTTTAGGAATTCAATTCGAGAACCTCACGTCAAGGGCTCCACCTTACGATTTGTTCCGACCATGTTTTTTCAGCCCGTGTTCCTGACGAAAGAGCAGAGGGAGGCCGAGGCAATCAAGAGACGCCAGGAAGAGATTCAGGGGCAGAGACAGAGGCAGGAGGAGGAGAGGAAGAAGCGGCAGCAGTTCTTTGAGCAGGCCAAGCATAGCACAGGCAAGTCGATGTGGGGATCAAGTCCACGCGCTGTCGCGGTTTTTCTTGGGGGACAAATTAAAGCATTGGAGGCATGCTGCCGATGTTGGGAGCCAACCGAGCGGGTTGCTCGGAGAATCCAAAGAATGGGCATGGGTTTGGAGAAGCCACCACCGCAGTTAGCAGACGAGAGTGCATCATCTGCTCACTGCGCCTGTCAGGAGTTGGCGCCACAAGTCACATTCATCGCTAGCTCGGTCGTGCAGTCATCTTCCTTTACAGAAAGATAACTGAAATTTCCCAAGGCCAAATCCGCCACCTCGATGCAGATTTGACAAAAACTTCAGCTTTCTATGTGCAAGTGCTGATTTCTTGGACTTGTTTTGCAGCGTAAGATCCACTGTGACCGTCCTCTAGTTGCGAATGCTCCTTGCGAGAGTCGTGTCCACTGGATTGCTTGCAGACGACATTCCCGACCGGATGCTGGACAGGCGGGCAATCCGAGAGAAGCGGGAGCGAGAGAGGGAGAGGGAGCGCTTCCGGGAGGATGAGGATGAGGACGACAGGGACAAGGTGCGGGAGCACAAAGACAAGGAGAAGGAGTTTGAGGCCATCAAGGTTTGTCTGTCGACTCTTCCCTCGGACGTGGGACGGCTGTAGAAAACCGGCTGGCCTGTATTACTTACATCTCTGAAGGCACCGTATCTTTCAGATTATAGTCTTCAAACTATATACATGTTTAAAAGTTTAAATTTTATGTGGTGTGGACTACCTACAAGTGCAAATTACACACAAATTATTTGTTTTTCAAAATTGTTCATTATGCAAAGGCGTCATGATATTTTGAATAAGACGTTATGTTAATTATGAATTTCGTATAGTACAAGCTCCCTTGTGCACCAATAAAGAGTGTTTCTCAGGGTGGGCAGTGTGTGAGAATTTTACAATCAAACTATGCACCAGAAGCAGTTTTTACGGGAAACTTTTTTTTTTTTTAATCCAAATGGGCCCTAACGAATTATGTCCTGGGTGTGAACTATAGTCTGGAAAATAGATTCTGCTGTGTGTGTAGAGGAAGCATGTTATGTAGGGGTGTGCAAATGCTGCTTCAAATAGAATAGCTCAGTGTCATTGAATGACACAGCGCCATATGATTCAAACCATGTCTAGTGGAATCGAGGCTATAAGCATGCACTCATAGCTCTGACAGGTTTTCTTGCTTGCATGTTCTCTGACATGTTCCAAAAGAAGACACTGACACAATAACCTTCGCTCGTCTACAGCTCCTACAAGGTGAAGCATAGCAAAGTTTAGAAGGCTGTGACCTCATGTTCGTAGCTTTCTTAAAATTGCTGTCAAAGTATACATTGTTCGGTAGGTTTTAGAAAAAACATTTTGTACGGTCTTCCTTTTCTCAATTCAGAAATTGTCGCTGATCCACTTGGCTTATCCAGAAAAGCTTTGTGAAGGTGTTTATAAAGCGGAGGCCCTCAATACTTGGAGTCCTGATTCATACCGCATGCAAAAGCATGGGGTATTGGAATAGAACTGCAAATTTCCCATTCTTAAGACTATTCAGTGACACTCTTCCAAAGCTGTCCAGCACCGTGTTTGTTTTGTATTGAGACTTCAATGACAGAGACTCAAGCTTTAAACTTGTAATCATTGGTGAGGGTTGGGCATTTCTAGATACAGCACATGTGCAATGGGCATTGGCCTTGCAGGAGCGCTACCTGGGGATCATCAAGAAAAAGCGGCGGGTGCGGCGCCTCAACGACCGCAAGTTTGTCTTCGACTGGGATGCGTCGGAGGACACAGCTGTGGACTACAACCCCATCTACAAGGACAAGCACACAGTTCAGTTCTATGGCAGGGGGCACATCGGGGGCATCGACCTCAAGGTAGGGATACGGCTTCCTTTTAAGTTTTCATTTCAATGCGATAGCATTATTAGCCTACTACTATATTTACTCAAATATAATTCAACCACGAATCTAGGTCAATGCCTTTATATTAAATTTGTCAAGAAGAAAAAAATAATTTAAATATAGGTCAACCTTTTTTCTTTTTGTAAAGAACAGGGAAAAGTTTGCGGCAAAAGAAAAAAAAAAAAAACCTTTATTTACAGCGCTCTCAGCTAAATCACAGTGTGATGCCAAAAACTTAATCATCGTCAAAACTTCCGGACATGTCATCGTTGTCGGAAGCTTCGTCAGCTTCGTGGACATCCTCACAAATTCGCAAAAATACATCACTGACACCGTTGCAAAATGACGACAACAAGAAACAGAAGAAGGTGAAGACGGGTGAAACAATGAAAGACCAAATACAAAAACGCTTTGCAATGCTGCGAGTCGCCGTGAGTAACAAATGAGGAGGGACGCGCGCCAGCGGTGGCCACGACGGCCAGGCTGCCGGCTGCTGCTGTTTCGGTTGTTTTCGTGCACCAAAAGCTTTCTGAATCAAGAAGTGTTGCGGCTTTAGGGCGACACCGACTCTGTGACTCAATAGCACCACGCCCTTGGTAGGGTCGCGAAATTTGGTCACGAATGTAGGTCGAAATTCTTTGGTCATGATTATAGGCCGACGCTTAATTTTTGACAAACATTACGGGAAAAAAAAAAGGTAGACTTATATTCGAATGAATGCCGTACTCGAGATTTTTACCTATATGAATATACTGTTTCCTAGCCACGGCAACACTTTCTCCACTAACTTTAGCTTAAATACTGACGCAATGAAAACAGTTTCCTCGCTCAATTTAGCGAAAAAATTGACGTCACAACCTATGCACCAATTTAGTTTCCCCGTTAAATTTAGTGAAAAAATTGACGTCACAAAAAATTGTATGGACATTGTGTAAAAAAAGAAAAACAATAAACCGTAAAAAAAAAGTGGAGGATGGCAAAAGCAGACGGAAGGGCACGCGCACTCACGTGCCTTCCCCCTTTGCTTCTGCCATCCTCTACTTTTTTCGAAAAATAAAATAAATATGCCTCGGTTCTTGGTTGTTGAGACCAAACACCTGCAGTTGCATTCATAGATAGATAGAGAGAGGGTGAGCAGGCCTGAAATGTAAGTGAAATGAATCACATTTGTGTACTTTAGGAGTGGCATGTAAATTTATTTCTGGGAAAGGTCGTTTTGAGCGAGACTTAAAGAAAACTATGGGCGACGCTTACGTCTGCTTAGCAGAATAGGCTGGAACGCTAGATACTTTCTCCCCACGGAGCCAGTCATGTGACCTCAGAAACCATCTTGCAGCTCTTTTAGCCACTGGGAGAGATACTCCGCATTCACCAGCAAACTGGCCCGGGACCTCTTTCAGAATTAATTGCAGGGGTGATTTAAGCTACGAGGGAGTTTTGCGTGCTTGCTTCCGACTTTAACCATTTAAATTGAGCAAACGGTTTAATAAATATTTGCCAACATCCCGCTCACATTAGTACTCCCGCGTTTGCGTCCCCCTGTCTATTCGCTGTTTTTGTTTTTGTCTTTTTGTCTGCCTCAGATTTTCTTCATCGTGTGAGTGCATGCGACTAGCTGGAGAAGCCGTTTTTGTTCCCTCTAGGAGAAAATGTTGACTGTGGCACATTATAAACATTTAGTGACGCCGGTGCCAATCTTTAATGGCAAAAAATTGATAGTCACTGGTTTCCCTTGAGATTGAGGACTATTGAATTCGCCTCAGAACGTACTGATGTTGTGCTCCTTCGGGAGCGCAACATCAGTGCATTTTAAGACGAACGTGCGGTCACGCAAAGCGCACGATCGCATGTTCGCACACAATGCAGATGAGTCCACCTTTGAATGGTCAGGCCCCTGACAAAGCACTTGGCTTACCATCTCAAGGTAGCGAGTTCAAATCTTGCCTGGGCTGTGAAGTCTTTTAGAGCATCCTTATGCGTCCGTCTCCGGCTTGAGCTGTGTTGCGGTCGGCGTAACCGCGCATTGCACTATGGGTAAAAAACTTTCCCCGCTAAGTTTAGCGGAAGATTTATCGAAAATTTCCCGCTAAATGGGAGGGGAACAGAAGAGGAGGAGGGGGAGAAGGGGCTTACCCTTCTCTCCGTACCCTCCCCTCCTTTTCCTCCTCCTCCTCAAGAGCTGCACTCTAATTCAGCATTACACAAAATTGTAAACGTCTTTCCTTTTCTATATGATTTTCTATGGGTGCATTGTTTTTTGGTGTCATCACAGCCGGTCCCTACAGCCAAACGTTACAGAATTCCGTGGAAATAGGTTGATGAAACACATTCTGCATTAAAACGCTCAAAATTCTGTTTTTTTAGATTGCTAGCTCAAGTTGCAGGTTATACCTACATCATGTGACGTCGCCCCCCGTTGGTTCTGGCATGACCTTCATTTGCCGTTTTCTCAATAGCCACATTAAATTTAGAGATTAAAAATAGCACGCCGGGAAGAGTAAAGCATTGCAAAAATCTGTTTAGTTCAGGTAGCTCAAAGAACTGCTGTAGCTCCCCTTTGCCCTCTTCTTTATATTAAATCTTCCGATCTGCCAAGCGCCCATTGAGCCCCCTACGGATAATTCCAACTGCGGACAATTGGCACGTGTTCCGCACATACTTTGCAGGCCCAAAAGAAGGAGCAATCCAAGTTCTACGGCGAACTGCTCGAGCGCAGAAGGACGCAGGCCGAGAAGGACCAGGAAGTGTAAGTCCAGACTTGGCAATTTGACCCAGCACAGTCCGTGTCAAACTAGCAAGTGCCTGGGAAGCACATCTGCACCCCGAAATCAACTTCATAGGACGACGCCTCAGACTGTGTCAAAGGTGTTTTTAGGAGCTTGCATGGTCTGTTCCGCTCCGAGTCCGACCGCATTGGACGCTACAATCAAACAGAGCCACTTGAGCGACGCCAAAAGTGTGTAGTCATATCGCTCGCTTTCTTTGTGGATATGTAATCACTCTGCATGATTGGTTTAGTCAGTGAAGGCAGATGCACAAAGACGATGAACGCCGTAACGATACGCTTTTGGCGTTGCTTGATTGAGTCCATCAGAGTCTAGCATAAACTACGGTTTTGTTTTGTTTTCTTTTTTTTTTAATGCGAAAGCATTAACTGTTTTATGGAGCAAGCCAACATTATCAGTTTGGAGTGCGAAAACGGCACCTTAAATCCTTTCTCCAAGTGGAGTCTGCTCCCAGCTATAAAACCACACGGAAAGCCTAGACACGGCACCTAGTTTCCCCGATCCCAAAGGAGCGAAGTAAAGCTGATGTTTTTTCGGCTTCGGTCCCATTGGCTGGCATGCGTCGACGAGGCTCTACTGGCCGCTGTGCGTCGGTTTCAACGATCGCTCATCGATGGCGCTGCGTGCCCGCAAAGCTTCACTCCCAAGGTCAGCGCGCCGTACGCCGCAGACGAAAGGGAGCAAAGAGCGGTGTGCGTGCTTTCGCATTCACAACTCATAAGAAGCGCTTAGGTGCACCTTAAGCCTTTTTTTGTGCGTGACCACTTTGATGAGGCTCTAATTATTAGTGGCGAACACTGACCAGCGGAGTACGGAGTACCTACAGAAATAGCAAACTCTGCTTCTCGTCGCTCACCAAGTCTGCGACACATCATTTTCCAGTGTTTGAGACTCACTAAGCGGAAAACCGGGATGAAAAAAAATCGGGCGGGCAGTAGTGTGGGGGGCAGAGCCGCAATGGGGTATGTGAGATGTCTTGCACGTGCTGCGGAGAGTGTGTGTGCACTAGGGTAGAGAAACGAAGTAGCCAAATATGCAACTTACATTTATTCGCACATTACGAAGCTTACATGCTTAACTTATGTTACAGCTAACCGTGCTTGCTCTCAATTCACTCCCCATGGAGACGTGTCATTCTGCCGTGGTCAAAGGGGCGGGCGAGGATTGGGCCTCCCTCTGTCTTACTGCCAAAGACTCTTTGCGCCATTTTTAGACCCTATGTGTCGAACGCGGGAGGCACCATAGCCAAGCAACTGTCAAATTTCTGCAGCAAATCACGCACTCGTGAGCCTTTAAACTCCCGATGAGGACTGGTTTGAGTTTGATGGATTACACATACCATGGCAGAGTGAGCTGTCTCAAATGCGACCACTCCCGTTCGGATCGACAAACATGCTGCCTTGCTAAGCCCCTGTGAACGCTGCACACAAGGCTAAATTTAGCTCATATTGTGTAATGCGTGGCGCAATAACTGCGTTATCTGCGCACGTGTTTGTGCGTAATTGAGTAATGGGTTCTTTTCTTCACACAACAATACCAAATCAAGGCACGTAGGTAGTGTGGTTGCAAAGTTATACGTGATATTAGTGTTGCATGCTTTCGTTATGTGCAGTTTTAGCGAGTGACCCCTTCCTCCCTGCCCGAAATGAAAGATGTGATCATGTCGAAAATAGATTTCAACTTAAAAATGATGCATCGTCTGCGCATAAAGAAAGGTCCCATGGCAAATTGCCATGGGACCATTCTTCACGTGCAACGTTTTATGCAGCAAAGTTTTCGCTTATTGGGCCGGTTGGCAGACGCGAGCGCTCGTGATTACCGTGGTCGAAGACAAGGGAAAAATGGAAGTTAAATGACACCTCCTGTTTGCAGTCATCCAAAAAGGCAAGGAATGCTCCATTTCGCCATCTCCGGCATAGATTTGGACGAAAGTTTTTAAATCGGGCTTTTTATAACTATTTCTTTTTTTCTGCAAATACAATTCTCAATCTTAAAATATTTAGGATGATCCCTAGGAATCGTTTTCAGTTATTTTAACAATCAAAAAGATACTATTGCTGGGTATGTAACTTTATCAGAAAGGTACCATAATTAGATGGTGCATCTTTTTGTAAAAAATTGAATAAGTTTATTTCATTTATTTTCTTAATGACACAATGCAAGGTTTTTTTTGTTTTTTTTATGGGGCTACACTTTAAGATCATGTGAAACCGTCAAATGATGTGGTGGACCACTGTAGAGTTCAAGTTTGCAAAATGAAAGAGATAAAATTTAAGCCTATTGTATTTTTTTTTCCTTCTTCCATTTTTAAGTCGTAATAAACACCACAATGGCCCGCAATGCTATATAGGAAGTATTCACTGGACGCCATATTTGTGAGTGCTGTTTAAAGCGCATTCTCAGAACGAGCTAATATTAATAGGCTGCTAAGACCGGCATGCTTGTTGGTGCGGAATGCATGTTGCAAAAGAACTGTGGAAGCTCGCCATCAGCACGCACTCAGAATTCGTGCACACAGATATGGCCGCCTGTGAATACTCCCTATAGAAACTTTGCAAAAAAAAAAACATCTTAGATAAACATTTATTTGTAGAAGAAAAAGGATGGGGTGTTATGTTTTCTTTTGGTTGAGGTGAGCTCATATTCTCTAACCTTCAAATTATAAATGCACAATCTATCCTCTGAAGGAAATCTTAGCGCAATGCGTTGAGAAACCGATTAATGCGGGTCCGTTCAAAGGACCGGCATGCCGTCGAGTCCACGCTTCGTGGCATGGAGACCCCTCTGCTGCTTCTCCGTGCAGCTAAAAAGGTGGAGCAACTGGTGTCTCCACTCTAGATGGGGAAACTTCCCCACTGCGGTACCACCGCCATACTTTGTTTTACCGTAACGCGACAAAGAGGGAGTGCTACGTCCTCCTCGAGCCTATCATTGTGATGGAGGCGAAGCGCGTGACGGCTCTTACCAAAGCTACAGGGAGCGTAGCTTAAGTTCAAGCAGAGAGGAAGGAGCAAGTCCCTCTTACCCGACCTCTTTTGTGTGTGTCCCCGACATCACTTTGTCCCCCCTAGAAGATTAGCCTGTCACTTGAAATTTTCATGAGAGCGACTTTTCCCTCTCTCCCGTCCATGGCTTCAACTGTACCGTGCACAACTGGTGAGATAGAGTCACGCGTGTCTCTCCTTCTGATGTGCTGATTGGCTCACTGGGACCGTAGCCCTCGCTGTTTGCCGAGTTAAGGTGAAACGAAGTACAGGCCATGGGGTCTTTAATGTGCATTACACGGTACTGACACATGACCGCATGCCAGTACAATGCCCATCCAGATTAAAACAGGTAAGGGGGGAGGGAATTAACCCGAGACCTTTGGGCTCTGTGGCATGAGCTGTCGCTTTACGTGCTCCTAGCCGCGTTGCACTAACGCGCTCGGTGGCCGACGCTTCGTGCAGGCTGCGGCTGAAGAAGGTGAAGCGCAAGGAGGAGAAGCAGAAGTGGGACGACCGGCACTGGTCCCACAAGTCCCTGGAGGAGATGCAGGAGCGAGACTGGCGCATCTTCCGGGAAGACTTCAACATCACCATCAAGGGAGGCCGCATCCCCAACCCGCTTCGCAAGTGGAACGAGTCCCCCTTGCCCTCCTCCATCCTGGACATCATCAAGGAGCTGGGCTACAAGGTGACAATTTGTCTATGTCTTTCGCAAAATGCGGCATCGCGCACCAGCCTGACACAGTTTATTTTGAGCGACTGACGATGCACGATAGGCAGCTGGAAATGGTTTTCTCAGTCTTCCCATTAAAAGAAACCTGAAGCAGTTTTCGGATTAAAAAGAGCTGCGAGTTTGGGTGCAGGCACCTTTAAAAAAATGTGCCTAAAGATTTGTTTTTTCGGTGTTACGAGTTGCAGCACCGAAAGGCGGAAATTCAAATATCCCATAGCTCTCCCCACTTCCCCCCCGCCCCGCTGCCCACCGAGCGTGGAACAGGAAGAAAGGACAAGGGAAACTAGCAAAAGTGGAGTGATCGGAGCTGTCGGGTAAGCCTTACCCGCCTTTATCCGGCTGAGAGGTATGAAAGCAGTGACGTTGCGATGCCTTTGACAGATTACCGGGGGCAGATAAGTTTTTATCGGGTATTTTTTAGCACGAACAGCGTTATATGGCCGGCTCTTAGGGCATCATGTTACGCAGTCTTGAAACGGAAAAGCATAACCCTAGTGCTGCATCACCGTTCAGCTGGAACTCCTAATCTCACTGATTGAATGAAAGTCCCAATTCAATGCTGATAGCACTTCAATCTTTGTCTCTCACTGAGCTTTGGTAGGCAACGCAGAAAATCTGGCACTATGGCATCATTCCCTAAAAGGTGTTGAGTGAGCGCCCTCGCACACATGACGGGGGAGGGTGCAGGAGGCAAGGGGGAAGAAACATTGTTTGGAGAGAGCGGGGAGACACAGACTGGCAGGGTCAAAGCCGGGGAGCGCAACAGCAGGGGTCGCAAACTTCGTGCTCCGCGATAGCGCCTGCCTTGGCGAGGCTTTCTTTCAGTGACGCTGTGCGCAATGAGTTTAGTGCCATCAAAGCACAACATGCATACCAAGATTATCGATGCAGCATGACTGCAAAGCACCACAGCATGCATTTTGTGTTCCCTCTGCTTTTCCAGAATAGTGCAGGAAAGGGGCAAATTTTAGTTTTTTTGAAGCAGTAGATTAATAGGTTCTACTCTGCTCAAGGTAATGTTCTCGTCCTCAAGGTCACGTCCTCAAGGTTGCATAATCAAAGCACGTAATGCCCGCGGCTGTAGTGCAAGATCGCGTAATCAGGGTCACGCAAGTGCCGGTTTCGTAGGATCTGTTCGCGTAAGCCCCGTTCAAGTAAGCATCGGTAGCCAAGGTTGACATTACCTGATGTCCTTGATGTAGTCCTCAATGTCGTCCTTGAAATCCTCCTGGAGGTCTTTCTTCACGCAGTCCTTTAGGACTTCATCCTTGGCATCGTCCTAAACGCCATCCTTCACGTCGTCTTAGATGGCGTCCTTGAGGTCGTCCTTCATGTCGTCCTGGATGCTGTCCTTGACGTTGTCCTAGACGTCGTCCTTGAGGTCATCCTAGAGGTCACTCTTGAGGTTGTCCTAGATGCCGTCCTTGACGTCGTCCTTAAAGGGACCATGAAATGACTTTTTTACTTTTTCCAGATAACGTTTACATTAAACCGTCAATGTTCACTGAATGCCGAACAGGCATCCGTTTTCGTCTCGGTTTTTAACTTGTACACAAAAAATTAATGAAATATCGACTTTTTCTTGACCGCAAAACAAGCCGTGACGTACGCTGCTTCCGGAACCGGAAGTTCTCTCGGCAGTTGGAGATGGGAGCGTTAGCGGTGACGAGTTGGGGTGTGCCGGTAGGTTTTACTGCGCCGATGTCACCGACGTATTTTCTGAATCGGCGCCTCTCATCGCCGCATCACAGCTGAGCGAAATTCAATGATACGTTGCGCTACAGCGACAGCATGGGACTAGTCCCATACGCCGTTATGCCTGTTGGGAAGTGCAGCGAGTCTTCCGGTGAAGACTCCAGAAGTTAACCCAACTGTCATTGTTGGTAAAAGGCGGCCAGTGTCAGTCATTTGCGAAGCGACGTAGATGGAAACAAATTGCCGCGGCGTTTTTCGCGGTCTCGGAGATGCAGGAGCGAGCCGACGTTAAAAAAGATACGTTTAAACTACGAGTGTCAGCAAGAGCCACGTAAATACCTGTTCACACTCGGAGCGGACGCGCGCGTTTGATGGAAGTGCTGTATTCGCGCTGTTGGTAAGCGCTTCGGGACCGATCTTTTACGATTGCAACTCGATACTGACGCGACACTCGGCAAAGAAAGGTTGGACCGGTATTGCGCGTATACCTCCCACGAACTGTTACAGCTCGACAGTGACGTGCAGTCTGTCAGAATAAAAATGGCATACCAATAACAAAGTGTACATACCGTGTTACGAAGGTAATCCATACAGCGTTTATTTCAGCTCTATATCACACAAAACAAGAAGAGAGAATTGACGAGGGTCCCTTTTCGACGAGTGTTCGTCAACCCTGCCTCGGAAAACAAGGGGAAGAGATTGACCTCACCTCTTCACCTAAAATTGAGGTCAGCGATCAAACTATAATACGGGAAGGTAGCGCGGGCATATTCCATTCAGCACGCCAGCCGGTCGTAGGCAGGCAGACGGTCTTGCGACGAAGCAACGCTGCGCCGAGTCGGAGTGCCTGTGAGGCCTATATCCTGAGAGCTTCGTAGGAGCGGGATTCGCGGCTGTTGTCGCTCTTCTCGGGTGTTTGTGGATCCAGCGTTCTTGTTCGTCGTGGTCTGTTTTAAGTACATTTTTTTCTTGCTGCTTGAAGTCGGCACGCGCGAGATGAAGACGTAGAAAAACAAACGTTCAGTCAGTCAAGGAAACCAAAAAAAATAACCGTTCTGAACTCGGCCCTGCCCTACTGCGCACGCGCAGTGGTTGCTTCGTTTACCACACGATAGATGGCGCTTGGCTCTCAGCATTATCAAATTTTGCAATTTTCGCCACACATCTCTAATTATGCTACAAAATGTGGATCTGAATATTATTTAACAAACCTTTTAGGAAACATTCGCCGGCTATTTATTGTTTACGATCGTGGTGCTGGTGAGGTAGGCTCTTACCCAATAGGCGACCTGGATTTGGCTGACGTGCTCCATTTCCGCGGATGCATCGTAGTGAACAGGCGAAGGAAGGAAGGCGCAAAAGAGTCCAGTTTTCTTTTAAAAGTTCTATAGCAAATAATTTTTTTTGGCTCCCTAGTTTTGTGTTTTTGTGTTTCTTTTCACACCTTTTACGACGTGCGGTGGATGAAATTCGATTTTAAAATCATTTCATGGTCCCTTTAAGGTCATCCTAAAGGTCGTCCTCAGTGCCGTCCTTGACGTCATCCTAGAGGTCGTCCTTGACGTTTTATTAACAATGTTTCTGTTAAGCTATCACATTTCATAGCGTTTGGTCGAATGAACATTCCTGTAATTTTTTAAATGGTTCATCTTGTTTTAAACATAGTTTGTGAAATAAATGTTATGGAATACTCATAAAAATAATCTCATGTTGTGCTTCTTCAGGCCTTCTTCTGGGGTTAGTACTTACGACCGCTACAGTGCCTGAACATGTCTTCGACAGGTCTGTTTGGCCTTCTATTCCGCCCATGTATCGAAAGTGGTCCGGAAGTGGCAGCAAGTGGCATCACATAAGTTGGGGTGTCATGTTGTTGGACGTTGCAACCTGGCGGTCGGTACTAGAAGTCCGGGCAAAAAGTAGGAGCGAACACGAGTGTCGCTGTGGTCGCTGAGTCCCAACTGCAGGCTGCTGAATTTTTCTTGATCTGTCAAGCTATGAGGCGACCTGCAGCAGAATAGTCGTCTGCCACATCCGCGACCACTACTGTGACACCGCCAGAGTCGCGACCGGCAACGACGCGGCACTTTGTGACATCGTCGGATGGAAATCGAGGGACCGCTTCTATGGATGCAGTAAAAACAATGATCAAAGACCCGTTTCGGTCACCGTACGACCGCCATTTGGAATTCACCTTCCCGGGACATCGGTGGGTTTTCTTCCGTGGAAACAATGTCTCGTTTTGTTTTAGGACCCGACGCCCATCCAGCGGCAGGCCATCCCGATCGGGCTCCAAAACCGGGACATCATTGGGGTGGCCGAGACCGGCAGTGGCAAGACGCTGGCCTTCCTGCTGCCCCTGCTCGTCTGGATCACCTCTCTGCCCAAGATCGTGAGGTGGGCCTCCTCACCCTCTCGCTTACAGCCACACGTGCACGGCAAGGTGCTGTCCGGAAACACGGGGCTCCGATTCATAGGCTTGCAAGTTCGAGGAACTCCCAAGGGCTCTTGGGGGGGACCCCCGGGTTCCTAGGAACCTAGTTTGAGAGCCCGAGCGTCAAGTTGGAGGGCTGGGTTTCTTCGGAAGGGTGACGCGTGATGTTCGAGCACTACGCTCGAGTGACACGCGTGTCGGGGTCATATAAGCAATGTAGCCCCACAAGGACTGTATCGCTTTTACGACCTTGACGTCAGGGTCTCACGTGAAGTAACATAGCCTGTGCCCAGCTTGTTCGCAAATTATTTTGTTTGTCTCTGAGCTTGTCAGATACGATCAAGATAAGCTCATATCTTTCTGGTGAAATTCCTAGGGTCCTTTCGCACTTCGGTTTTTATTGCGAGTTTGGCAAGTATCCACAGTTCTAATTATCAAGAATCTTGTGTTTATTGAGGTTTACTTCGGTTGAATTTATGGTTTATTTGGCAGTATAGCTTTTGAATATTTCCCATTCTCGAAGTTGGAACCAAAAATAAATAATATCCAGATACAAATGCCTCAAAGGCGCGAAAGGCAATTTTATTTATAGACAATATTTACGAGAAATGCACTCTCTACCATTATATAAACATTGTCTTCTACCATTAGTGCTACATGGTATCTCCACCATTATATAAACATTGTCTCTTTTTCTCTTAAGGAAACCCAAGTTGTATCGTCTAGAGGTAGAATCAAATTAACTGCTAGCATGATTACATTCTTAGATTGGCTTTTGTTGTGACTCAGAAACAGACCAGCATTCACCCACTGTCCCAAACGGATGCGGACGATAAGCTTTTCTTCGTTTATCGCCCAAGGTTAGAAAGGAGACAAAAGAGGTCTTTTGCCAGGACTAGTCACCTGGTGCTCTGTCGTTTATGTCAAATCTCACAATTTGTTTGTTAAATTGTGGTAATAATTCTTTTTAAACCAACTCAACGAAAATTTTGTTGGCGGGTGTATCCCATTTTTTTAGGGGCGAAGCTCCTTAGGGTCTAGCCCTGTCCGTTCGGCATTCGTGCTCACATCGATTGCCATCTTATCTGTCTTCTTAAAAAAAGAAAAAAATGTTTGCGCAGTCGACAGGATTCGAACTTGTGCGGGGAGACCCCAGTGGATTTCTGGTCCATCGCCTTAACCACTTGGCCACGACTGCGGGACGAGTAGGGGGCTCTGAGATGTGGTAGTAACTCAAGAGCTGGGGGTGTCATGGATGAAGCGTTGCATGTAGCCGCTCAGCATCTATACAGGAGAAGGCGCTGCGGTCAAATGCAGATATAATCGCATTAAACTTTGCATGCATTGGCTCAACTTTTATAGACGAGAGGGCACTGCGGTCAAATGCTCAAATGCGTATATAACCACATTCCATACCCCACATTCTCTTTCTGACATGGATGAAAACGAATGAAAAGCTCGGCATGGTCCTTAAAGCAGTAATAATGAAGTCGAAACGCAACCCGGAATTCAGCACTACCTATGAGCAATAAAAAAAATCAGCACTACCTATGAACAAAAAAATCAGTATCATCAGCACCACCAGAGCTTCGCCCTAATCAACATCATTCACCACGTGGAGATGCGGTCATTTTTTTTCAAAAGCCATAATATCCAGCTATAATCGTTGACAAATTCCAAACGATGCGCAGTCTAGCGGCCTTCAACGATGAGCCAGGGTTCTCCGTTTGGCTTGTCAGTAGGCTCCTTCGATTTACCTACACATCCTGCATCAGCTACACTCTGCGCACACTGCCATACTCGATTTACGGGTACAGCCTGTTTTAACACAAATACCTGAATACACTGCCCTGCCCATGTGTGCACTGCTCTGCACTCCTCTACACTTTTCTGCTCAAACATGAACTGGTGGAGTTAAATCAAACGAGCCCAGTGTCTTTTGGACAAACTACTCCTCACCATGGTGCCTGAAACGCATCTGTGACCGGTGTGCTGAGCTTCCTATTCCTCCCACGCTTCAAAACTGGTCCCGCGGCAGCAACAAACGACGTCGTAAATGGCGAAATGTCAATTTGTCGAATGCTGCGATTCTAGCGATCGGTCGTAGAAGTTCCGTCGAGAAGCACGAGCGAAAACGAGTGTTGCCGTCATCCCAATTCTTGGCTGCCGATACTTCCGTAGACTGTCTCGTCGCGGAGCAAACCGCGGCAAAACGGGCATCCACCGCATCCACCTCTGCCGCCGTGCCACTGCCAGGATCCTGGCAGACGACGGCGTGACGCTTTTACGACGTCGTCGGGCAGAAATCGAGGAACTGCTTTTGAGGACATAGTAAACGCATCGGTCGGAGACGTGTTTCAGGCGCCTTACTTTAGGTGTTCGGTCGCCCCGCTGCTTTGTGCCGGGGAAGCGACTGACTCAGGGACGGCCGGTTGCAGGCAGGAGGACGCGGACCAGGGCCCATACGCCATCATCATGGCGCCCACCCGCGAGCTGGCCCAGCAGATCGAGGAGGAGACCATCAAGTTCGCCAAGATGCTCGAGATACGCACCGTGGCCGTCATCGGAGGGCTCTCCCGAGAGGAGCAGGGCTTCCGACTGCGCCTCGGCTGCGAGGTCGGCTACCCTTTCTGGTTTCACGGGCTTAGAGGTCGAGTGTTGTGTACGGAAGCTGCCCCGCATTAAGGGCGGTTCAAATCGGGGATAAGGACGAGAGCAGAACACGGTGAATCGTGGGTGCTGGCGTCAATAGTCCTGAGAGAAAGAATGAGAAAGTGACAGAAGAGAGGGGAAAGGAAGCAGACTTTAGGTTAGGCCTGTTCGTTGTGCTGCGACGAGTTAAAGTTCTTTGAGTGCTTATCAACTTTATTCATTTTTATACAGCGCTCGATGCCAGTGTTTTGATGCAAAGTAAGCTAAAAAGAGCTAGGTACAGACCTTGCACATGTCTTGCTGCTTCTTTGTGTATATATTAAGGTGTTGCCAGCGATATTGGCCCATCAGGACTGCTCATTTAAACCACCGATGTGTATGTCTATGCACCACCGTTCCGGAGCGGCCGGAATGCATAGGACCTTTTCTTCTAGATTGTTATATTAACTCTATGGTTCAAACCTAGACATAATACTATGCCTATTTGCGTAGGAAAACCAAAAAATAAAACGTGTTCCTGTCCACAAATACTGACCAAACTTATTTACTTTTGGTTTGAACAGCTACCTACTTGGAATATGCAAATGCTCATGGAAGACGGGGAAAGAGCAAAAGGGTCTGTGGCACGTGGTGATGCATGTTTAGCAAGGAGGATGGAAAAGCACCCTTGACATTGCTTATTGGCTGCACCCTCAATGCAGGAGCCTATGTCACAATACGGACACCCGAAAAGTTGAAAATATTCAATTCTGAATTTGCTTACCCTTGAACCGCCCTTTAGAATGGCATCTGCCGTCTCCACTGTAGATGAGCAGTTTGGCAGATGCAGTAGAACTGCTAGGCTGGGGTTTTTCGCGTGCGCCACTCAGTGGCAACCACCCGACGACGCAGATGGTACAACTGTACCAGGGCCGTAACCAGAAAAAAATTTCGCGGGGGGGGGGGGGGGGGGGGGGGGGGGGGGTTTTGGGGACAACGGTGGCCATTTTGAAAGTGTCTATTGTCTCATTTTCGCCTATGAATCATCTCCATCAGTGGCATATAGTGGAGAGTTACAGCAAACCGGAGAACCGGTCCCGGTTTGGTACCCGGTAGCCGACCGGCGCCGCTGCGCGTGCGCAGAGGTGGAGATTAAAATCGGCTGGCTGCCAGTGCACCGACCAGGGCCGTACCCAGAAAAAAATTTCGGGGGGGGGGGGGGGGGGGGGGGGTCAGAACCCCCTATCCCCCCCCTGGTTACGGCCCTGAACTGTACCAACCTGTCGGTCATTGTTTTTGTGTGGCAAGTGAGCCAGTATTTCTTCCCATTCATTTTCTCCTCGTTAAGCCTTTTGTGTGGGGAGGTTGGGTGTCCAGAGAATTCAAATTTTATAATACGAATTGAATGTGACTTGTTCATTTAAAAGTTGCTTATTCAGCATTGGTATATGATCTCAAGCACACACGCCGCTTGATGTATAGAGATAATCCAGAAAAGTTGGTACGGGGCCCTTTGTCGGATTGAGACCAAAATTCAAGATGACATTCACAGTCAATGCCTCGAAACAAGTCCTTGGAATGCAATCTCAAACAAGCTACAAGCATTTTGTCCTCACCTCGTCGCAGTATTCGGGCTGAAGTCTGTCGATAATAGACTCCGAGTTATTGGTTGGCAGAATTGACCAAATCAGCGGTGTGCGGAAATGTGGCGGTCAAGCTGTTCATGATGTACAATTTTTGGCAGTTCAATAGTCCTTCATTTTGTGTGCAAAACTACTAATTGTGTATTCTTTTATTGTAGACGACAGGCTGCATAAAAAAAATCAAGTGAATTAAAAACCTTCACCAATTACATTTCTCGTGATCTTGCGATCTGAAATTATTGAGTGATGTGCAATCAGGTGTCATTTTCTTATTCAAGCTCTCCGTTTAGCACGCCATACTTTCGAGCACCACCACGTCAAACTGTCTCAGTGGTGTGCTATGGCAACAGTGGGCGGTTATTGATACCTCATTCAAAAGTGTTTGGCAACGATGGGCTAACATACGTTTCACGTTGGTCCATGACCCACAGATTGTGATTGCCACCCCCGGTCGTCTGATCGACGTGTTGGAGAACAGGTACCTCGTGCTGAGTCGCTGCACCTACATAGTCTTGGACGAGGTAAGGTTCCTCCGTGCCGTAAGCAGAGGGCATAAGGTGCGACGGCGTCTGTGTCTCTCTTCCACGATCGCAGGCCGACCGGATGATTGACATGGGTTTCGAGGGGGAGGTCCAGAAAATCCTGGACTTTATGCCAGTCACCAACCAGAAGCCGGACACGGAGGAAGCGGAGGACGAGGAGAAACTGCTCGCTAACTTCGCCTCCAAGCACAAGTACCGCCAGGTGCGGGACGTTTCATTATGGTGCCCGTAACGCATATCCGACTGGTGTGTTTTGCGTCCCGTACCGCTTGCGGATCGAGAGTGATCCGCAAATGGCGACAAATGACGTCTCGCGAGCCGGTACGTTATACTGTCAGATGTCACGGTCTGCATGGTTGGTCTTAGAATTTTTTAAAAAAAGGCGAGCGAACGCTAGTGTTGCGGTTTTCACGGCGTCCCTGCTCGCTTCATTCATCGATCTTTTTACAAGGTCTCTAAGCCTCTGCACTGTTTCATTGCAACGGTGAAACCGGATAGAGTTCCTTGACTGACAGTCAAATGAAATTGGTGCTCCTTGAGACTGAAAAAGTTTGAAAACTCCTTGTTTCGGGTTACCGGTTAATCAACGTAGAAAGCCCCAGCGAAAAACAATTGCGCCTACTACCTTCCACTTTTGCTGTAGTTCTCAAGCTGTACAGAGCTCTGGCGTAAATATTTTCGTTTTGTTCTGACTTTAAAACGACCAACATCCTTGAGTCGGAATGCTCGATTAGCTCAGTTTTCAAAATCCAGCAAATGCTCTATAGAATGTGGAACTTCGGAAACGATCATCGGTGACTCTCGTTGAAACCTTACTTGAGTTTGGTGCAGCCTGTGCTGATTCTGCTCGTTGCCCGTGGCAGACGGTGATGTTCACAGCCACCATGCCTCCAGCCGTGGAGCGTCTGGCGCGGTCGTATCTCCGCCGTCCGGCCATCGTCTATATCGGCTCCATCGGCAAGCCCGTGGAGAGAACCGAACAGGTGGTCCACCTGGTCACCGAGAGCGAGAAGAGGTGGGTACTCAGCCGGGTGACCACAATATTTAGGTTATCTGGCCTGTCATCTTTGCTCGCAGTATGGGGAAGTTTTCTCTAGGGACAAATTGAATTACCAAAGGCATGCTGCTGAGTTTAAAGGGACACTGACACCCCCCAAAAATATTTTTTCCTTTGTTGCCAGGCGATTTATTATGGTGTTGAAATACTACCCAATTTATATTTTGCTACAGAGTCACATATTTTTTTAATAAAGCCAAAAAACGCAACTGCTCGAAACTGAAACCGATACCCACGCACCACATGGAGATGTGGAGAGGAGAGAGTGAGTGGTGGAAGTAACGTGGCTACACCCGACTGTGCGATTGTTTTTCTTTTTTTTTTTTTCTTACGGGTGCAGCAGACAAAATGCGTTCGGGATTCGTTTGCCGTGCAATTCCTTTGCAGTTATGTTTGTTCCGCTCGCTGTTCTGTACTTCAAGACGAGTTGTTTTGTACATTTAAGTGTTGGCAATTAGTAGTGAGTGCCCGTGGAGGATTCTTGTGATCGGCTCCGAAAAGAATACTCCGAAGATGTTGCGTGAAGAGCTGCGTCACATCTGAAAGTGGCATTGTGTGGCAGAGTGTCAAAAATGGAATCCCATACCATTTAGTTCAGCAACGTATCGTCCTCCACAATTGTTTTCTTTTTTTTTTCAGTAATAATTGTAAAAAAAAAAAAAAAATGTAAACATCGCAAAATGCTTGAAAAAAAATAAAAAATGTTACGCTTACTTTGGGGATTGAATCCGTGCCCACTGCGTGTGAAGCGGACGTCCTCCCACTGAGCCACTGAAGGAACTCTTTCGTTTGTAGTAACGCATCCAGTGGTCTGTATGTCGGAAAGTTTGCTGCCGATTTCCCTCCAGTACATGTACTCCAAGCTTGAAGTCGGGAGTACACCACGCATTGGCCACATTCGCACCGAGTAAAGAAACCGTACGCGTGCGTATTCAACTCGAAGTACGCTCTCCGTGCTTGACGTTTGAGCGAGTGATGTCTTCAGCCACGAGAAGAGACGACGACTCAGCAACGTTTTCGTGCAATCGGCTTGCTGGTCGGGTGTGCCGTTCGGGATGAATATCAATTCTTTTGATCGATCCAAAATTTCTCTTTTGAAGGAACACAAAATTCGCCGGTACTGTGAACAACAGTTCTGAAGTAGAGGTCCCACGCACGTCGTCCGCTGCCACCCGCGAGTCCCACGAAACGCGAAACGACGCCATGTTGAGAATTATGCAGTGAACGCACAGAATGCTTCCGGTTGTTTGTGCAACCTTTTTTTTTCAATCAACAGATCTGCAGCTTTTTGGAAGCCACAAAAAATGGGTTTCATATTTTTTTTTATTTTTAGTATTGAATGTGTGTCTTAATGACCCACGACTTTGTTTAAATGTGGTGGTCGCGTCGAAACCTTAGAAAACGTCCCGTGACCCCAGAAAAGAGAGTGAGCGCGACTCACACCGGCCAGTTCTCGATCGGCGGTTTTTGGGTGGAAAGAAACCGAATTTCGAGTCACAAATTCTGTTCTGGGTAGTTGGGCTCTCAAATGTCACGTACAACTAAAAACCTCGGCGAGCATAAATACCCTGTCAGTGTCCCTTTAAGAGTCAACCAGTAGACCTTTTGCCAAATTACCCAAGCATCAAAAAGAATGCTGGGAACATAGGTACATGCGCTGCGCTTGCTGGTGTCTTCAGCTCCAACTGTTCAAAAGCTAAAATTCTAAACCTATCGGCAGTTCGCACGCGCCTTCCACGGACACTTTGTTTTGGTTTTTTACTTCACATTTTTTCTATAGTGAAGGCAAGTGCATGCAGCGCGTGTACCTACATTCCCAACATTCTCTTTGATGCTCGGGTAATTTAGCGAGAGGTCTGTCGGATCACTCGGAGAACTCAACGGAAGGACGTGGGTTTAGAGAAGCCACCGTGGAGAAAGTCGCTCAAAGCATCTACTCTTTCATAAAACCCCACCATGGATCTGTTGAGAAGATAGACGATTGGAAACGCCATTTACACTTAAGACCTAGAAGTCATATTTACTTGGAATCATTGAAATGCTGATGAAAGGTGCTACATCTGCTTTCTGAAAGAATATTTTTTTCTAATTCGTTAATAATTTATTTATTTTTTACTTCATTTTACCTCTACATGGATCAGTGCTGCTTGTGTTGACAAAGTAGGGCGGAAACCGCCGAATGTTCCAGACTTGTAAGTGGTTCATCCGAGGGCCGTGGCAGTGACGACCATGATGTCTTGCGCAGGAGGAAGCTGGTGGAGCTGCTCAACCGTGGGGTGGAGCCTCCGGTCATCATCTTCGTCAACCAGAAGAAGGGGGCCGATGTCCTGGCCAAGGGTCTAGAGAAGATGGGCGTAAGTGCTCTCTCCGCCACCGCACCCCGCTCGGTCCGCGTTTGTCTGGCCTCTCCCTTTAACTGCGGTGCCTGCAACGTGTCTGCGACCGGTGTGTCTAGCGTCCCATATCACACGTGCATTTAAAAGAATCCTGAAGTGGCGACAAACGACGTCCCATGAGCCGGTGTGTCGTGTTGTGAGGTGTTGCGATCTCGGAGGAAATAAGCTCAGACGCAAGCTTTGCGGTCGTTGCGGCGTCCCAACTTTTGGCCACCAAAGCTTCTGTGTACTGTCAAGCCGGAGTGCGACCTCTAGCGGGACGGGCGTCTGCCTCACGCACGGGCGCCGCTGCGACACCGCTAGCGTTGCGCCCAGCAAGAACGCAACACTTCTACAAAGTTGTCGAGCAGAAATCAAGGAATCACTTTTTGGGACGCGGTGAACGCACCAGTCTAAAACACGTTCCAGGCACCATATTTGTACTAGCTTTCTCTCGTTATCCGAACATCGAGAAACGAGGCCATTAGCTGCGTCCAAGGTTGTACCTGCACCACCTGCGCTCTGCTTCGCCAAACTTATGGGTCGCGGAACCTCCAACTAACGCGCTCAGTCCCGACGTCCGCTCGGAAGGGGTTGGCAACTTACTTTGGCTTGTCCTTTTTCTCCCTGTCTTTCGGGCGCGCAGTTCAACGCCTGCACCTTGCACGGAGGCAAGGGCCAGGAGCAGCGAGAGTACGCCCTGGCCAGCCTCAAGAACGGCGCCAAGGACATCTTGGTGGCCACCGACGTGGCCGGACGTGGTATCGACATCCGCAACGTTTCCATGGTCATCAACTACGACATGGCCAAGTCCATCGAAGGTGGGTGTTGCCGCTACGTTTGCCCAGTTAGACGTCGTTGCATAATGTCGTAGTCCCTGACAAGACGAGAACAACGGGGCAGGATTTCAGTCTTCCCGCCTCCAACGCGAGCTTCCTGCCTTTGACAACGCTCCGCCGTCTTGTTAGTCTTCAACGTGCATGCGCAGCCAAGGTGCGGCGAAAGGCAACAAGCACTTGCTGGAGGCCAAGCATTCTCACATTGTCACTGACACTAGCACACGACATGACTGTCCGTAGTGAGTCGGACCGACATCTTTTGTCTGCCCTTTCACGTTAACTCTCCCAGTCGGGGAAAGGTTAGCGAGCGGAGTTGCATTAGGGTCGGTGGATGAGTGAGGGGGCAAGCGAGGCTTAGTTACACATGTACGAGCCGCTACGAGCTCGTCTGGATGTGTGGATAAGAAGGGTGCACAAGCTTTGGTTTTGCATCAGCTAGTCACTAGTGGGGCTCCTCTTGAGAGTAGTTTGTCTTTTTGCTTTAGGGTGCCAAGCCAATCGTGAGGATCAGCGAGATTGTTAAGGACATGAATGTAGCGAGTGAAAAGCCACGAAGTGCTAGGAAGGCAAAGAAGACAATTAGATTGTGTGAGAGGGGACAGCTAGAGTGGTACCTGGCAGCACACCAGAGAGCTTTGGAGCTGTATCTGAAACCGAGTTGCACCACTCTCTCCATGCTACATAGTAGACGGTTCCAAAATGTTAACGTAACAACCTGAGATGGGGAACTTTGACAAATAAGAGAGGATGTGTTGCGCTCTCTCGTAGTGACACTGGTGCCATCTGTCTGTTAGCCAAGAAACTGTGTATAAATACGATGAAGGTTTTTCAGTACTGAACAGATCAGATTTACACACTATATATATGAGAAACGGTCGCTTATAGCTTCAACAGAATTATTTCGAACCCCGATAACAGTGGCGCATAAATAATATAAAAATATATATGCCGATCGAAACGGTTCCAGGGCTAGCATTAGATTTCATCCAGTGTGTTCTCACCTCGTAAGTTGTCGCAAGAAAATGCGCTCTAGCCAGTGTCATTTTGTTGCAGACTACACGCACAGGATTGGGCGTACGGGCCGAGCGGGGCTGACGGGAAAGGCAGTGTCTTTCGTGACCAAGGAGGACTCCCACCTGTTCTACGACCTGAAGCAGCTGATCATGAGCAGCCCCGTGTCCACCTGCCCCCCGGAGCTGGCCAATCACCCAGACGCGCAGCACAAGCCGGGCACCGTGGTCACCAAGAAGCGCAGGGAGGAGAAGATCTTCGCCTGAACTCCCCACGGTGGCACCGCCGTGTGGGCTTATGATGCGACAATAAAACCAAATGCCGTTTTTTATGTACCCTTTTTAAATGAACAGCGTCAATAGGGCCAGCTCTTGGTGCTTTCGTGCTCGAGTCTGGGACGTAGCCTTGACAGAGTGTACAATCATCGACCGCTCTTGGCTCAGAGACTCTTCGCGGTGTGCTCGGCGGCAAAGTGGACTGCACATACCATGAGGGCACACACTCAATACCAAAAGTCTCATCCTTGTGGGCTTTGTGTACCTCCAAAGCGGTGCGGGAGCAACAACAGCAGGCACAACAGGGCAGAGGGGGGGAAGCGAGGGACGTGGCTGCAAAACGAAAACGTCAGGCCCAGCAACGACACAAAACCAGTTGCCATTACACGGTGGCCGACCGGCAGTTTAAAGGACCCCTGAAAATAAAAGAAAGATATGTATTTTTTTTAAGTGTAATTGGGACACGCGTGTAAAAAAATTAATTTTACGCAAAAAAAAACACAATATTTTTGGAACATATTGACGGCACCTCCTTTCCACTTTTTTCTCTGGGCATTACGGGCGCATGGAGGAGAGGTGGATCGGCTTGGCCATCGCATTGAGGTGGAGAGATTGTATCACCATCTCGATGAGGTGGAAAGAGTGTATGCCCATTCCGTGACATCGTGGACTTTGTGCGCAGAATTTAAAATGAACCTCACCTGTCAATATTGCTCCAATTTTTTTTTTTTTTTTACGTAAAAGGTGTTTTTGACACTTGCATCCCAACCAGACTGTCTAAAAAACATATTTTTTTAGACAGTCTGGTTGGGACGATTTTTTCAGTGTAGTGTGTGACGTGCAATACACGGTGGTTTTGAGTGGACATGACTAAAAGTGTTCTAAGTGCTTTGCTTTTGGGCACTAAATACTATGCATTTAAAATGCCTTGAGCCCAGAAATGCTTTGCGCATTTCTGGGCTTAAGGCCCAGAAATGCACAAAGAAATACAGAAATACACCGCCCTGATAAAGTTCTGGCACACATTGCCAGGGACCGCACTAATGTGATGCACAGTCCTTGCAACCAGTGGGTTCACAAACGTTTGGCAAGCTGCTTTGATGTTCAGTGGAGGGTGACCAGAAACCTAGGTTACAGTTTCGAAACTAATTGCTATACATCGAGCAAGTGCCCCAGAAGGCGTCTTTGGCGCATCGGAACGTGAAGAAAAGCAACATAGGGAACGCGTGCTGACAAGGCAGCCCAGCGTGTGCTGTCATTGGTTGATGTCTGTGGGAAACAAAAGCATGTGGGCTCTAATGAAGGGTAAACAAACGCACAAGGTGTGCAAAGAGCAGACAAACTTGCGCGCATGCAGAACTTCAGAAATGTCTGCATCGCTAAGGTCAGTTCAAGTATGCTTGTAAATCTTGTGCAAAAAGTTTGAGCAGTCAACTGTGATTAAACATTGTTCAGTTATATAATATTAAGGTTAGGTTTGGCACTTGTGAGCATAGGCGTACCAATCGGGGGCCAAAGGGAGCGCTTGCCCCCTCCCCCCAGTGCTCATGCCTTGCCTGGCGAGGCATGTGTTTTGCCCCCCCCCCCCCCCCCCCCCCCCCCCCCCTGAAACAGTGGCCACTGGGGAGGCCAAATACTGGCTGGCGGCGCTCAAGGAATACCAAGGGCACCCCCCCACTCAAAAACAAGTTGGTACGCCGCTGCTTGTGAGGGCATAAACAAGGTTATGTTTCTGCGCCAAGAAAAAAAGACACGTCAATTCACCTGACATTTTCATACGAGTTTATGGAAATCAGAAATTAGCAACTGCGAGTACGGACAACACCACAGATGGCCTCCACACGCGTCATCATAGTCAGATCGATCAAGGCGAGAGATTGGGCACGAGTGCTGCGTCAGTGTTCAGCTGCGGCTCGTGGCCAATCAGCGCGTCGAAGGTCGGACTCGGGTCCAATAGCCGACCGAGCGCGATCCGACTGTGATGACGTTTCATAGAGGAAGAGGAAAACATACGGAGGCCTTCTGTCTAGGTGTTGGTACGGATCACTATTTCGCGCGCTTGCTGATTTAAACTTCAGGGGGTGGGGGGGGGTGGGGGGGGGGGGGGGGGGGGGGCATGGGGGGTATTTGGCGGGCGCTTGGCTTGGCTGTAATAAGTCTCATATAATTTAGTCTTGACTCAATAAAAAATGAGAATTGTAAAATAATATAAGTAAAATTAAAAACTATGAACAATTTTAAGATGGACTAGCATTTTCGGCTCAAGGTTAAGAGTAAACGTAAAATCAATCCCAGCCCTGACGCCCTGACAGTCAAGCCAAGACAAGTCAAGCAAGCGCTACCAGATTCGAAAAAGTCGTCAGCGCATCCACCAGCATCCACAGTGAGCGCATCAGCAGCATCAGCAGCATCAGTTCAAGATCTCATTTCGAATCGTCCGGTACCTCAGCTGGTCGTTCGTGCCTTCTTCAGTTTCCGGTCGGTAAGCCAGCGTTTCTCGCAGCGCTGCATTTGCCATTCCCGCCTCTCCGTCGAGTACACCTTTGTCATTCCGCATGCCGTGTCTACTCTGCTCACTGCTCCTCTTTCTGACCTTAGCCTTCGTTACACCTTCGTTACCGGCGTCTTCTTCGAGCCGACGAACCTGACTCACGTCTGAAAATGTTGACCGGCAGAGGAACGATGTCGAACAAGGCGTCGCCCGGACCGTGTCCGCCTCCAACGATAGACAGGAGAGATAACGGCCCTCGGCATTAACCTGGAAAGTTTGAATTCCACGGCATTTAAAACGGACGCTCGTTCTAAGGCTGGTTTATTTTGATAAAAGCGACTGCACTCCACATTTTTTTTTTTTTTTTTTAGTTGTTGGAGTTGGTTAATTTGTTCTGGGTGAGTGCTGCGCTGATAGTACCAAGTTGTATTCAAATCAGCCCTGCATCAGCGCTGGTGTTTATTTAGCGCTGCGATGTATGTGTGAGCCGGCCTTACAATGGCCTTTTCGAGGTATCTTCGGCCGATAGTCTGGCAAGGGGGCTACGACAAAACAGGCACTTGCCTTTTGTGCGGCCGTTGTGCTTAACTTGATGCCAGTTTCCGTTGGCAGTGATTGGAGGCACTTCTTTGAGAAGCCTAAGAAGCCTTTTAATAGGATCTTTTTTTTTTTGCTCCGCAACTTCGATGGGAAAAATTGGTGACTGTCATTGACTGTCCTTGGCAAGCCGTGGTTTCTTTTCAGTCCCCCCATTCTTTAAGCTTCAAGAAAATAGTGTTTCTAAGCTTTGATGAAGTATAAGAGGCTGTCATTTTAGTAATATGATATAAGGCCCTTTACAAGGTCCTTCTCTTCATTTTGTCAAAGGCAGGCACGACATTCCAAAGGTTGCTTAGGACTGGAGCTTCGTACCCACAGAACTGAACCTTGTCGGGAAATATAAAACGCCACCCACTGCCCTTTGCCGCTTGGAGACAAATACCCTCCCCTCCCCCTCTCTTCTTAATATTTATACTGCAGTGGGGTGTTTGAACTGAAGTTTGGACACCCTGGCATTTAGAAATAAATAATAAAAAGAATGTTGCTATTGTGGTGAAAAACCCCAGGGCCTGTGCGATTGCTCACTTCTTATTTCAAGACTAACTTGCTTAATGCCTGCTTTCTTCAACAGTGCACCTTCATGGACAGCGACAGCAGGGTGAGTTTTTTCAGCACCACAGGGACATTGCGCAAAGTGTTTGAATGCCAGCAAGCTGATGATTGCTGTACAGATTAAAAGAACCCAATACGTCAGGCAATTTGGATGGCCAAAAAAATTATAGAGGACCTTGATAGCTGTAATTACTTTCCCTGTGGAGTTAGCCTCGGGCTTTATCCACCCTTGCTCTTGCATCCTAGTCGCAATCCAATCCAAATGCTTTTGGTGCCTCTTTGCTGCACCACAAACCCTCCTTAATGCCACACATCTTTGCCAATGCTCTTTTAACGCAAAGGAGGAGCTTGAAAAAAGCCGCCTCGGTGGCTCGGAGGCGAGAGCGTCGGCCTACGGATCCCCATGTGGCGGGTTCGAATCCCGGCCGAGGTGCCCACAATCTGACGGAGGCTTATTGCGGAGAAGACGCCGTGTAACCGAGCTTTCGGTTGCACGTCAAAAGATCCCCAGGTGGTCGAAATCAATCCTCAGGCCTCCGCGGGGGCGTGCCAGATGCCCGTCGTTGGTTTGGCACGTAAAACTCCCAAATTTGAGCTTGAAAAGAGTGTACAGGGTGTTCCACGAAATGGCGACCAAATTGTCCCTGCAACAACTATGCATTACACAGACTAAAGGTGGATGTCGTATTGGTTACTATTATTTTTTTATGGTGAACTTTTTAATTAAATTTACAGCTATGGTTTCAATATGGAATTTTCTGGGCATTGTCAGATATCTCTAAATCAACCCATTTTACATCCGATTGGGACGTGTTTTTAAGTTTCGGTTTCCTATCGGATTGCAACTTTGCGCCCGCCCCGTAGCCAAAACACGAAACCAGCGTGCGCCACGGTGCATTCTTCACATGAGCGAGGGTAATTCTAGAATCAATACTTACCCTCAGAGGGTGCACTGGACGGAATGGAACAGCAGTGTTTCATTCTGCCGGTGAGTGCCACACTTTATTCTCTCCTACAAGAAAGGCAAGGTGGTGGTTATGTGCCTTCACCCGGTGGTTGTGTGCTTTTACCATGGAGAGCAGGACCACCGGTGTAGAAGTGCATTTTGATAGGAAACGAAGGCTCGTCCGGATTGAGTATATTGCATCAAAACCTGTTTAGAAATAAAATAAAATTATTTGAAAGCAGTTAATAGCTTAGTTATACGCAGGGTGGAGAATAAAAATCAATATTTGATAAGTCGGGATTTAAACCAAACCTTTCTTGCAAAAATAATCCCCAAAACATATTTTATTTACCGCTTGTCTATGATTTGACGCTCTTTCTGTGCATGTGTTGTGTATTTAAATCAAAGAATCATCAGGCAAGAAATGTTTATGGCAGGCTGATCAAGAACAAAGAGCGGTGCTCTTCTCAGCAAATCGGAGCAAGCTTTCTTTTTACCTTCCACTTCGCTGGTCGGTTATGTTATGTTCTACTATTACAAGCAAATCGAAATGCCAAAGAAAACGAGAATCCTATTGCAAACAATTGAACGCAAAAAGAAATTTGGCTAATAGGTTTTTTTGAACTACCGTAATATCCCGAGTCATCGCCCACCCCCCTACCGCCTGAAATTCGTTAAAAAAGGGGTGGGCCATGTCTCGGTGGGTGAGCACAAACACTTGAAAAAAAGCGGAAAAAACCGCCTATTTTTCTCTGCGTATCTAGCGCTGTTGCACAAGAGATACATCAAACTAAAAACTCGATTTAGTTTCATTGGTTTATAGAAAAAAATGCTCACGAAAGAATATTTTACTATAGCGAAGTCCGTTGCTTGCATACGCGCTAGAAACACCGCCGATCTGCATATAGCGCGAACGTTTGTTCTGTGAAAGAATGTCACCACTATGTTCTCCTATTTAGTAAAAAAGAAAAAGAAAGAAAAGTCTACAAGAAAATAGAAAAACCGACCAGGCGCAACGAGCGAGCGAGCGAGCGGACCAAAGAAGCGACCGAGAGCAATGCTGGGAAAGCGGGAAAGCCGGCGGTCGCGTTGGCAAATACTTTGGCGTCGGGCCAAGTCGGGCGCCTTGTCAATTGCAAGCTCTTGCGCAACTTTCTTGTTTGGTGCGTACATACGTGCGTCCGTGCACGGCGGGCTATCACTGCACGGTTGGGGCGCTCTGCAAACGTCTGTGTAGGACGTTCCAGCAAAGCTTTATTTACGCTTTGGCTTTGCCTAAAATATTGCACAACCGCAGTCGCGACGGGCGGGAAGAAGGAGCGGGTTCGAGGTGACCTTAGGCGGAGACAGGCTTTGACCTAACACTCCGCGGTTACATTAACAAACTCTTATTTTGTTATCTCCATCGTTTTCTTTTCGCACGGATGCACAACCACGTTGGGGTCGCTCACGGAGGAAATGCGTAAACAAAAAGAAGTGTCTTTCCCTCCATCGTTTTACTTTGTCACCGACGTCCTCCAACTGTAAGGTCCGCGGCCACGTCATTCGGGTAGGATGAGTGTTCGCGGATCGCAGAGTCCGCGCTGGGGTATTTGAAGGGGTGGGCGATGACTCGGTGTTTTTTCTGAAATCGATATTGGCCCAAAAAATGGGGTGGGCGATGGCTCGGAGATGGGCGATGACCCGGGATATTACGGTAGAAATTTCAAGCTTATTTGGTATGGTGGGGTTTATAATAATAAAATGTAGGGCTGGGCAGTTGATGGATTAACGTACCGATTAATGCTTTAATTGTGATTAATATTTTTAAAAGCTTAATCGGTAAAAATTTGCGTAATCGAAAGGAAGTAAAACTTCAACGCTTTCACCACGCAGATCTTGACGAGTACATTTTTATGAAGGGCAAACTTTAGGTGAATTTTATCCTAAAGTAAACCGTTGGAACGAAATTTGCAACTCCAACCAATTGCAAAAGGTTACACGTGGCTCGGCCAGTTCAACGCCGTTCGAGTGTCTGTTTGGTGCAGCACAGGCTCTTGTGAACAATTAAGGGAGGTTGCCCTTGCCAGAGAATATCAACGAACCTCGTGCAGCTGAAGTAATAATCTTTGAGTGTGAGTGTCTTGGAACTGTTCTCAACTGCATATTGAGGTTGATTCGAAATCAAATTTTATATGCGCCGTTTCCATCTTGCTAGGAAACTTTGCTACGAAAGCCAAAGCATTGCTTCTCAAAGAAAGGTTGCAGGGGCATCGGTAGGCCTCGCATTGCCTGATCAGTATACAGTATGTACCAGCCCGACTTAATGCGACGAAGAAATCAACCCATTAATATTTCTGCATTTCAACAGTGAGGCAAGCGAGACCTCCTATTCTTAGCTCCAGTTTTGGCTCTCCTTGCTAGTCTTGCCCTCCAAGACATTTTACTTCCCAGTCTAATGTACAAAGCTTAGAGATCCTGCATCTGCTGCACTTTGCTTTCATTCCACTATCCGCCAAATTTGCTAAATTTTACCTGCAACTGCTGTTTTTTTTTTTTTTTATTCAGTGAGTGACTACACTTGCTTTACTAGTCATATTTGATGGCGCATGTAATGTGCTTCTACACTTGCATCTTATTTTTAGCATTGTGCATGTGCAGTCTATTAGTAGCGGCATCTTTTTATTTATAACCAACCAGTTTCTCTTACGTCTTTTTTTTTTATTTACAAGTAGTGTATAAACGTGAACTGCGCAAATTTGCCTCGGAGTTAAATTTTTTGTTTAATTTGTTTGCGAGAATATTGTAACTGGTTCCTGCTAGTGCATATATTGCACTCACATTATATATAGGTAGGCTTGTCAGTGCAGTTCTGCCGTGCCTGCCGTAAAAATATACAAGGGCGAATAGCATACAGAGCTGCAACTTGCATGCCCTTCATGAGTTTACATTTAGACCAGAAAATGTGGTAATCCTGATATTCGAAGGTGCCATGTTCGAAAACTAAGTCTTACTCTTTCTTAAATAAAAATGGCTGCAGAATCCACTATTGTTGGTTGTCTATTAATAGCGATAGCATTTCTCTAGGACAACCTGAAGGACGACGTCTGAGATGATGGCGTCTAGAACAACCTCTAGGGCGATCTTAAGGAAGACCTCGAGGATGACGTCCTAGAGGACAACGTCCAGAACGACTTCTTCGACAATCTTAAGGACTTAAAAGTCGTCGGGTCCTTTGAAGAGGTTGCGAATGTGCAGGATACCAGAAAGGCCAAAATCGGGAGGCCAGAGAGTCCAAAAAAAGTGGGGGGTAAGCGGGTAGCTGAAGAATGTTGTCGCGTTAAAGGAAGTCCTTGTCATATAGAACACCTGGCCTTGCCAAGCTGAAGAGCCAGCTTTCTCCGAACTGATTGGCAGTTTCAAAATCCTGCGGCATTCTGAGGTGGCATTGCAGATTGGTTCTCACTTTCAGGAGGCGCTGTCTCCCACGCCTGGATGCCCTGGTCTGGGACTGATCCCTGTGCCATCTCTCACACCGGAGACACCCACCTGGCCTGTCGGACGCAGGTATCTGTCCGACTCCCTTGAGTTCACACCATTGGAGGACACCCGGCAGATCACATTCGTGGACATCTCCATTACGCCGGAGGCTGGCAATCCTTCATTGCCAGATTCCAGGTTTGCATCTTTGTATACCACTTGCTCCTCGCCTTGGGTTTGTTTTCACACTGCCTTGTTTTGCTTTTTTCAGTGGCTTAACATTGTCTGATCTTCCTTTCTGTATCCTCACCTAGTTGTAGTGGCTTCCTTTTTTTCCCCTCTATGATGCTATTTTGTTTGTAATTTTACTTCAGCATACTGTCTCTTTCTTTGTTTCTGCAATTTTAGCTTCAGCATATTGTTTCTTTATTAAGTTTTAATTTTAGCTTCTGCACAATGTTTCTTTATTACTTTCAAGAGGCAAACACTCGGAGCTTGTAGTAACTGTTTTATTCACATTTCCTGCTTAATTGGTTGGCTCAGATTGTTGCCTTGGGATATACTATACTACATGCAAATGTGAGGAAGTAGTAGCAGAATCTCAAGTCTTCAATGTTTTCAAACATGCGAGGAAAAAAAAAGCACCAGATCTTCCAAGATGAAAGCATTGGTCCTCTGCTTTCTTTTTTCCCCCCGCAGCCTGGCCACTTGCACAGGTGTCGGGACAACACCGGTGCAACTGCTGACGTTTTCTCCTGGGAGCGAGGGTAAGCAATTCACGACTTTCTCCATTCTTGTGCCCTGCACCCTTTTGCTCGGGTGCCTGGCAGAATCTTGAGATCGAGCAACATTGGCTGTTGTTCTGTTGACACTTAGTGTGGAGAAGGTGTTATGTAACGGAGCTTTTGGGTGTGCAAAAGATCCCTGCATGGTCTATATTAAGGGGAGATGCGTGTCAAAGACTGGCAATATTTTGCAAAAAATTTAATTTTGGGTTTTATGGTGTTTTATTATTTTTGAATCTTGATATTTAATGTATAAATATAGTTAGTAACAGTTATGATGGAAAATTACTAGTCAAATACGCATTTGAGGACCTCCAGGCAACCCACAACGGCATGAATTTGGGCCATATTTTTCTGCGTGGTTCTTCAAGTTGTGATATCTCCACTGTCACATTTACGTTGACAAGTCGGCCTTACCGTCGCCTTTCTATTGCAGTTTTCTGTAGCTTGTTTCTCATGGATATTTATTAACAAAATATTCCGCACCACGAAAGAGTATTGCTACACATCATTGGTAACATTCAAATGCGTTTTTCTTTTGTGTATTTTTCAGGGATCTTCACAGTTTGTGCAGAAGAATTTCTGTTCTTAATATAGCCCTATCATAACCAGATTTGGCACACACATACTTTATGATATGTAGAATGCGACTATCGAAGTTCGGTTGGAATGTATATTTTTTTTATATTTATTAAAAAAATCTAGAATTGTTTGTTAGACTCTTTAAATGGCATTTTTACTATTAATTATTTTAAAATTGAAGAAGTGTTGCACTCATTATTTTTGTTAATTGCACTCGGTTGTTTTTACTAGGCTTTTTTAAGCATGTTGCCATGCCTCGCGTGTGCTCAAGTACACAATTTTTTCTGCATGTACATTCTGTCGAGAACCTAAAAAACAAGCCACTGTCGAGACCGGTTATAATGAAGTCAACGGGAATCGGAAATCACTTCATTACATTCGCTATTTCGTTATAACAGACTTCACTCAACGAAGTGCAAAAGGTAATGGGAAATCGTGATCGCTTCGCTGTAGCCGCTATTTCATTATAACAGAGTTCGTTATAACCAGTCTCAACAGTATATCAAATATAACACCAGAGTTATAAGAGATTAAGCATCATTAACTGTGAAAATTTATTCCAATATTGTAAATAACAAAATGTTTCCCCTGGCACATGTCTCCTGAAGGGGGAACACTGGTCTTGGAGCTTTTTTCTTGTTTTATGACCAAACCCAATGAAACTGCACAAGCTTGTTCAGCTTTTTGTGCCAGATTTCATATATCTGGTGATTTTCTCAGTCAGTAGAATTGTCCTCAAGATAAAATTCGCCTGCCTTTGTTTGAAAGAACAATAAAAAAAATTGATCAACGAAATATTTTTTTTTTTTAAGATGCGGCTAGATATTACGAAGTGTAGAAGATAGAATGTTCAAAGTACTTTTGAGATTAAGCCATTATGAGTGATTTTACCACACATTGAAGTTCAGTGCTCAATGTGGGGCTAAGAAGTAATAAAACAAAAGATAAAATGGAAAAAGTTTTAAACCTATATTACAAAATCTTCTCTTAACATTGTATGCTTCACATATTGAGTAACACAATTCAGGAAAGGTTATATTTCTATCTGGCCTAGATCCCTCCTGCAAATTTTCGAGTTCAAAAATAGTATTTTGTGAAAACAATGTTTTAGAGTCAACTTCAGTGCACATTCAGCCCACATAAGCATTATAAATTGATTTATAGCTCAAATTTTCGTCCACAAAATTAGAAACCTTGTAGAGTCAGAAGAACAGTTGTAGAGGTCAACTTTGCCATTCAAAAGAGTAAAGTTTTGTAAAGTTTTTGGCTCCAAAGACCCATGTCCCCCTTGTTGGTTTGGCACGTAAAACCTCCCGAATTCGACTTGAGCATTCTGGCCCAGTTGACTGCCTATGCGTTCCCTTGTGTAGCTTCGGCGTCTCCCGCCTGCCGCGACCTGCTGGGGGACACCTTCTGGGTCAATGGGTCTTGTGGTGATGCCCAGAAGGGCGCCAACATCCAGACGCCTGCTGCGGTGCCGGCTACAAGGGATGCAAACTGCACTTTCTCGCTGTGCTCGTTTGTCAAGAAAGACGGCAGTACACCCACCGACAACGTCAAGCAGGTGTGAATCACAATCTCATCTCTCTCGTGTTGGTAGTGTTCCCTCTGAGAGCAATGGAGTGGAATGGATTCCTGCTTGTCTTGTTCAACCCCTATTTCTGAAAACTGAGTTTTCTTTTCGTTGCCTACCCTACAGGTAGGGTTTTGTATTTTCAAAGTTTGTTCCTCGTGGAATTCACAAAGTATTGGAGCAGATAAAATGAAGTCTGCAGACACAAACATACCCTAAATTTATCGGAACTCGCCCTTTTCATTGGCAGTGCTATCGCGCAACAACTATTTAAAAGGATTGTTGCTTTAGTGACACTTTATACCTTAAAATGACTAAACTTCAGGATATAGTCACTGGGAAGCCTGGAGGCTTCAGCTGTCCTCCATTGAAATCTATGGATTTGTAGCTTTCACCGTTATAGTAAAAACACTAGGCCCCCTTCCTCTAAGGAGCACGAATGTATGGTCAAAAGTGACAGCCTAAGCAATGGCTTTTGTCATGACCTAAAGGTACCGTAACCAGACCCATTGTCCAGAACGATCCTTGAGGAGCTAAATATAGAGCCCCTTTTGTCTGTAGTCTGAGATTTCAAAGGAAACTGAAGTGGCCTCTCCTCAGAACCACTGATACTGTGCTCTCATAAAATTTATTTGCAAGTCAGTTTTTTCTTTTTGTTTTGCCATCATGACCTTCAAATTCAGACGTTTTTGGATCAATTAAAATTGACTGAAAATTTACCGGTGCATGTTTTACGGATTTTTTTTATTTATCTGAAACCGGAGTCCCACTTTTACAAGAACTACTTTGCTGGGGACGAGATCGAACAAAAAGGGTCCATATACATACTGTAAACGACTCAATTTTTATGAGGACCTTTTTTCGTGGATCGCCTCTGATTCACGGAAAATAGGTCCCACGAGCAATTGGAGCAAAATTTTACACTTCGGAAGATACATTAAAGGGATACTTCAACGAAATTTCAAATTCCCGTCGTGTTCAAAAATAAATTCAATATGATCCACAATATCCGTAAATGACAATCGCACGTTTGTATTTTGAGCCTGGTGGCTATATTTTTCGTTATAAACGGCCCACTCTGGCAAGCGCTCGGAGAAGGCCCAGCGGAGACCACGTGACATCCAACGCAATCGTGACGTAGGTCGTCTCGGGACGAGCAAAGCTATGACGAGGCTGACGTCGAGAGGATGGCCCAGTCGTTCCAGCCACCGAAGCAACTGCTTTTGTACGAATTTTGAGTGATGGGTTAATCTTCTATAATCTTGTAGGGGGACAATAGCGACTTCTGCGACACACAAAAGGCATTCTCGGGAAGAGGAGAGTTCCTCCTTCCCCTCTTCCTTCGTCAGGGCCGGAGGCGAGGCAATCTCAGTCACTAGCTGTCAAGGTTCCTAGACAAGCATTACAAACGAGGCGTTAGCGACATCCACCAGGTGCTCTTTGCTAATCGTTTAATTCGTTTTAAAATTCCTTTTTGAGACTTTTTTTAACAAGATACTATTGGTATGTTCGGTGTGATACTGCTCTTTGAACACATATAGACAAAAAAAAAAATTAGCGCCGAAATTTCGTTGTAGTAGTATCCCTTTAAGAGGCTGTGGTTCCTTGTTCCAGTGAGAAAACTCGTGCAAAGGTTCTCACGTGATCATTATCTATGTTCTATTAATAGCATAGGTATTTAAAATACTCTGAAGAAAATAATGCAAGAGGCCATTATTGTCTCCTCTATTCACGCTCACCGCAAGTTCTAATTTTCAATTTGCGAAAATTAGACCGTCAAAATTGAGTCGCTTTGAGTACTGTAATATCCAGAGTCATCCCCCACACCACTTTTTGGGCAAAATATTAATTTCTGAAGGAACGGAGTCTTCGTCAATCCCTTCAACTACATACTTTGTGGACCTCGCAATCTGTGAACATTCATCATCTAGAATGTCAAGATCGGGGATTGTAAGGTCTGAGGTTGTCCGTGCAAAAAAGAAAACCTATGGAGATTGTAGCGTTAACGCTTGCGCCGTGCGCAGGGGCAGCCGTGAGAATGACACACTGGAACACCGATCGCTTGGGAAAGTGGAAAAAGCCCCCTTTAGTCTTCAGGAGGCGGTATATATAACGCACACAGTATCACGTGACTCGCTTTCTAGAAAAATCGGGATGAGTCAGATGCACTGTCGCTACAGAGGTAGCAGAATACAGCTTTTGTTTTGCTGGAGAACTTAAGCAAGTTCGTTTTTACAAAGGAAGGGAGAGATCGCTAACACAAGCAGTAACCCACTCCTAGATCGGGAGGGTGGCAATCTCTCAGTTTCCAGGATTGGGACTGCAGAGCGTAAGGTCAGAGGAGGTTGATCAAATGGTTCAGAGGACATTTAACCGACAATCTCCTCAAACCCTTTAACTAACATGCATCATACCTGTTTAGATATTTGTGTACTCTAAAAAAAAAAAAAAGAAAACTAACTTTTTGTCCGGAACCATTGGTGCTTTCAGCCGTCCCTTGCCCCAGATGACCCATCTTGGATGTGCAGCGACATTTCACCGGGAATCTCTAGCAGAGGCAATGATGCTGCCACAGTTCCAACCCAAGTCGACAAGTCTTCCCACGTGGACACGTCGGACTTCTCCTTTCCAAGCTCTCTGAACTGTACGGTGCTGCAGTGCCTGAACCCTGCAACGAAAGAGCCGATCGACGTTGCTCTGCCACTGGAGGTTTGTGTCCCAGATTATTTCACCATAACCACTGAACGGTGTAATGGAGTGGAGTCGTAACTATGGTCGGTGACGACTTAAGAGTTCGAGGAGAAGCTCTTCCCACCTCTTCCTACTTTAGAAGAGCGAACGTTGAAGAGAAGGTCGCGTCCTCTCCAGCATTCGCTCTGGCGGCAGGAAGCGCCCCCCGAATTCGGGAGAGTTTTATTAGGGTTTATTTTTTACCCATCGCTCCAATGTGAATTTTCGTTATGGGACAAAAATATCGCTGTTTATTGAGGCTTATTTTTAAGGGAATAGAACACGGGAATGGGGTTCCCTAACCTGGAAGTAATGCGACAGTGACCTAAACACTTGAAGAATGTCCCTTTCACATACTCCGGGTAAATGCATTTATTTAAGGGGGGACACGACCCAAAAGGGTTGACTTTTGAACCATTGGCTTAATATGAATAAAGTTTATAGTATATACAGTCGAACCCGGATATATCAAATTCAAAAGACATCGTAAAATAGTTCGATATATCAATAATTTGATATACAAAAATATGTTAACTTAAAGGGGCACTGACAAATCAAAATAATTTTTTTTTATTATGCGAAACGATTGAAAACGATGCCTGGGCATTACCCTAAAAATGCAAAGCTTGAGAATTCAGTGTTTGTGAAGTAAAAAAACAAGTTCCAAGTGCCGAATTTGAAGTTCCTGCGCGATGCGCGCCAGTGGAGTCACGTGCAATATTGAGGGGTCCTGCGAGTAGAGTTTCTTTCGCACCTCCGGATCGAAACGTGTCTCCGCGACCCGAAGCGAGGAGGTGAGGAGCGGGAGAGAAGGGCACCGGCGCACTGGGAAACCGGTTTCGTGCATGCGATGCTGCCTATTGCTTCGAGCAGACGACGCTGCCCCGGCGGTGTCACAACCGAAACTACGATACAGACACCAAACACAGTTTTTTTTTACCGTTTGACGATTTCCTTTTCGATGTCTGAGAGCTCGTCGGGCACCTAAAAGAGACAGCTTTGTCAGATTCTTCGATTCGCCGATCACCCTCTGCTACATGCGTCGAGTGCTGCCATGTTTTCCTAGGGAGGATGAAAATCCAGAAGGTGACATCACAAGGGACTCCGATTTCGGTATTTCAAAAAGAAGGGCCATAGTGCATTTGCAATTGCGTCAAAAAACATGTTTTACGATTGCCGCTTCTAAATGTTATAGAAATGCCACCTGCAAAGCTTCCAAATTTCATAATTTTTAACGTCGGAAATTAAAAAGAGAAGAGCGAGAGAGTAGTGGCAAAAATAAAAAGGTGTGCGCGCATGAACACTTCTTTTTTTTTCGCGATGCGGTATTTTTTTGCATGTTATGGAGGGGGGACTACAATTTGCATCGTTTTAGACAATAAAAAAAATGCGACCTTTGGGGTGTCGGTGCCCCTTTAAGCTCCAGTTGAAATTTCCGCACGTCTCTGCTAATACCGAAGGATGCGACAAACAGGACCTTAACAAAAAAGAGCATCTATGAGCCGCTAAATACAGTAGAGCTTAGATCACAAACACCGCCGAGTTTACCCGACTGTGTTTGTGATTGTTTACACCTGGCCACGACCTCCACACAGCACCGGTTCCATGTCCGTAGCTCCTTTGTTTTCCTGTCAAAGGCTAATGTGGTCCACATGTCGACGCTGAAGTCTTCGTCCTTTGCCCTTGTCTGGAATGATTGAATTCCCATCGGCTTCACAATTGCTGCTGGAAGCCAGGTCGAACTTTCGCTGAAATTCCTCACACAGATGGGTTGTCTAATAGAGTAATCTGCCGTTGCTCCATCGTTGGGAACTTCTGGGTCTTCGTTCAAAGGTCATAGCTTCATTAGATCGAGGAATGTGGATATTTGTCGGCCGAAAATGGCTTCAATTTGTGTTTTCCCTGTGGAAGATGAAACCGTCATGTGCTGCCGGGACAAGAACCTGGTGATTCTGCACTGAGCTGTTCCTTCTGTACGCTTCGAGAGGGCTTTCTTCGTTTTGCCCCCCATCCGTTCGGCTTGCCTGTTGGCTGCCGGATGACATGTAGCACTGGTCTGGTGCTTGATGCCATTTTTAATGCGACAGCATGAACTGTTTCACAAAGCGAACCGACGTCATCAGCTTTGAAACCGCATCAAATGGCACCTTCCCCTGTCTCGATGTCGTCTGTAGGAGAAATCTGATGGATAAGCTCCCATTGGCTGGCGTGAGTCATCAAGGAATGAGGCTTCCATTGGCTCTCGAGTGGCATAGTTCCAAGGGACGCTACCAGAGTGGCTTTCTGGTGGCGTCTCTTGGAACCTCTAAAGGCGTCCCGCACCTCCACACCTAAGAGGTGTGGCAGTGCGGGCCTGGCCGCAGAGCCCACTCGGGCAAGCTCCGGAGAGAATGCACAGCCGAGCTCAGTGCGGCGCGGCCACTTCACGAGAGCGCGCACTCGGCCATGCGCCGGCGAAACGTGGCCGTCGACGCCACTACGCCACAGACGAACTAAGGGAGCAGAAGAACGACATTCATGCGTTCACATTCGCAACTCATAAGAAGTGCTTAGGTGTCCTCAAACTTTTACAGCGAAGCTGTTAAGGGCTAGTTCCCCCAATATCATGTCAGCGGACAAGCGGCGTGTCGACTGAACTGAAGCCAGTTTTCACCGTCTCCTTCACTCGCATACGACGAGGAGATTCACCCATTGTGTTTTGTACAGTCTCTCTCCCAATGCTGTCGGCAATGGAGGCTTTACCTTCTGTGTCAGCAGCCACCTGCGTTCGTGTCGTGCCATCAAGCACGTACCGTGATTGGCGCGGCTCTACTAGAGTAAAACGTCGTCATCTCGCCTACCAATCGTGCGTGTCCTGCGACATTGAGATTGCACTAGCGCTCTTATCAGTTGCCCTTTGAACTCGCGATGGGTTGGCCGCATGCCGTTCGTTCGGAGGAAGAGCGGAAGGAGCGGCGACGTGCACAGCAGCGCGAATGGTCTCCCAAACGCTGCAAAGCCGCTTTCGCCTCGAGTTCCACTGCGTCGAGTGGTTCCGAATCTCTTGCAAAAGAAGAGCAGGTCGCTCGCCTGGAACACCGCCAAGAACAGAAGCGGCGATGTGACCGGCGCCGGCGGGCCAATGCCACTGACAATGGTCATGCCACGGAAGCCAAGCGCAAGCACGAGGCTTGGCAACGACGGGACGCCATGCCGGCTGCGCAGCTTTTGTAAATGCTTCAATCCCACCATAGTACAACTTAAAAAAAGCCAAAAAACCACCGCGAGCCCTAATGCTCTGTGCGTACCTGTCTTGCACGCGGCCTCTTGGTATACCAGGAGGCCGCGTGCAAGACTGGTACACACATAGTACAACTTCTCTGGTCTTCTATCTTCACCAGAGTGGAAAGGCTGAAAGTTTCTTTTGTCAAAAACTTGTTCATTTTTCTCGTCGCAAGATTCGGCGCATAGTCACAGAAAAGTATTCTCAGTACGCCAAAAATCGCAAAAACAGCGTAGAACGTCAACGAGGGCGTGGGTGCCATGGCACGCATCCGCTTCCCTTCCAATTACTTGGAGTATGCCTCGACAATGATCAGATACGATACCCCATTAATTGGTCCTGCGAAATTTATGTGGATTATCTCCCAGGGTCGGGTGGTAGGTGACCAGTCAGGTGTAGGTATACTGCTGTTTTTGCCTGATGATGTTACTGGCATGTCTTGCACACAGCTGCGGTGTCGTCAATGTCTGCATTTAGTCTTGGCCATCAAAAAAACTTTGGGCAGTGCCCTTCATCACCACAATGCCTGGATGGTTTGCGTTCACACACCTTCAGGGCTTGCTTGCGCATTGCTTGTACAATAATATGATAATACATGCTCCCCGAGTACTGCGGCCATTTCAAGTTGCCAACTCAAGTTCCCGACGCTTGTACGGCGTTAACTCGTCTCGTGTCCACTTGGAGGTTAAATTGTGCCATCTTGCAGTCCTTTGTACACTCGCGACAACACCAGTGATCTCGAGTGAGACTTGCTGCGTGCTGAGCAGTGAGGGGTGAAATCTCCATGACTTCCAGCAAGATTACATATCCTGGTGGTGCCGGTTCATCCCTGGTGCCTGGCAGAAATAGCCGGCTGAACATTGTGGTTCTCCTTTGGGCCACTGCCTTTGGGAGTACCACGTTCGCGACGAGACGCTGGACCGCGAAACGGGTTCGTACTCGCGTGGCATGCTGCTCTTTGAGCACAAACAGACACCAGTCACGTTGGTAACTGTGATAAACTCTGTTTATTTACAATGAAACAAAAAGAAGAAAACGCCGGCTATAAGCTGGTGAATGCCGTCGGTGTGGAGATCACCCACGGCCGAACGTTCGTTCACAAAGGTACAAAGGACGGGGTAAACGCTCACCGGTGCGCCGGACGGTTCCCCGTTGTTGCCGCCGCCGAATCCCAGGAAGAAGAGACCGAGATACTGCTGTTCGCTGGTTTTAAGATAACGGCGGGGGCGAAGTGGCCAATCAAGGAGCGACACGTCGATCTCCTCTCTGCCGGGGGTTCGTTACGAAAATCGCCCCAAAGGGGGAGAGGAGGAAGCCACTCACAGTTGTATGCAGCGCCACCTCTCACTACGTCAGCGCGGCCGCCACAACGTGCCAAAACGCTGACGCGACAGAATGTTAAGGGATCACAATCCCCACAACATGTCCAGCATGAGGCATTATCACGTCATGCGCGGTGAGATCATGAGTGAAATCTGGCGTCAACAATGATCCACAATGTGTCCCCTTGAGTGATGCTGTTCTCAGCAAAGAGGTCTCCATCCGTCTCTTCTTGCATAGCTTTTAACTGATGGGTGTGACTTGGCGAGCGTTCCTGCGCCTTGCATTGAACTTTGCGCTTAAAACACACTTTTTTGAGGTGTCCCTTCTTGTGGAAAAATTGGCACATAGCTTTCGCATGCTTACATTCATCAGGTGTATGCATACCTGTGCAAAGGAAACAGGGTTTCTTCTATGGTTTCGCCTTCTTGTGGTTGCAGTAGAACCGTGCATTTTCCCCTCTTTTCGCACCTAGAGTTGCTGGCTGGTGGCAGACTCTGTTGCCAATGCAAGAGCGTAGGTGTTGCTGAAGGTGCTGTTCCGTTCCTCTAACAAACATAGTGTAAGGTGTGAAATCTTGACGCCACAAACGAGTCGGTCCCTCGGCATCACTTGGAGTGGTAGCACGGTTAAGAATGCTCTTGCCAGGGCTTGAGGGACCTGTCTCTTTTGTGATGAACTGGCATCCGACTCAGGTGCGGCTGTCATGGCCTTTGCCAGAGTGGGTGCGGTCATCACTGGGCCAATGTTAGTCAGCAGCAATCTTTCGCAGTGTGACCACATGCTCGAAGATGGACTCGGTCGGTGTTTTGTTCCTTTGGTAGAATTTGAACCGACTGAGTAGTTCTGCCGGCTTGGGGTCATAGTGTTCTTTGAGGCTCTTGATTGTGTCCTCAAACTTGACCTTTGAAGGCTTCTTGGCTGCGAGCATGGCTCGTGCGGTGTTGTAGGTTGATTCACCGCAGGACGTCGGAAGATGGGTCGCTTTTTTGCGGAGCTTGTGATATTCTTAACCTCGAAGTAGAGTTCGAGGCATTCCAACCAAGAACTCCAGTTTCCGCCGGGAAAAAACTTTGGAATTTGGAATCCGTCCGTGATGAGCGGAGCTGTCCAGTCTTCGAGAAACTTCCTTGCTGCCAGTTTCAATACTTCGGGTAAATGCGTTTATTAAATACGTAACGAAACGGTGCAGCGAGGTGCACGCTGCTTCGTAGGTTAAGTCTGAAGACCGTGGTAACTGCCGCTCTTCGTGAATGAAACCTGATGCATGCGAGTGGGGCTGCGGGGGCCTCGGTGGTCAGCGTTGTGACTTCGTACGAGGATCCTTGCACGCGTAGTCGCAATATGCAACATATAGCTGGGCATGCTGCCGGATACTAACAATATATTTAAGTACTAGTACCGATTAGTGACAGAAACGAGGTAAGGGATGTGATTACAAAGGAAGCATGCTTCACGGACAGTGCTAGCTCTCTTCCAGTTTGACACAAATTAATACCGTAGATAGTCTGCCGGAAAGCCTCTTGCAGACACCTAGCATTTTATGAGATGGCATTCTCTCATTCAACGTTTGTCAGAGCTTCACTCAAAGCCAGCGTTGGTGTTGTTGCAGGAGCTGCCAGCAGTGCCTTCCAGCATCCCCCTTGGACTTCCCTTGAAGACTTTGGCGGAAGCAACTTTCTCCAAACCAGACAATGGAGGCGAGGCTCTGTGCGACTCTGGGAATCTGGACGTTGCAGTTGCTTTGGATGGGACATTTTCGGTGTCCTTTACAACTTCTGAAGTCGCACCACAGCTTCCTGCCATGGAGGCGTGCGAAAATTCTGCCATCGAGGATGTTGGTGTGCCAGCGGAATCTGGTGCCACTTTCATGGCATCTCCTGCTCCCGCAGTAGACCGACCGAAGCTGGAACAGACGAGGGCGGTATGTTTCGGGGTTTACGAACGATTCAAATCCATTTTCTTCTTTCTGTGGGCGTCTTAGATTGGAAACGAGTTTTTGGAAAGCTACAAAAATTGTACATGGCGGGTGATCTCGAACTCTTTGGTCTCGAGGAATCCCTATCTGCCATTACTGACGGCCCAAGAACCCCTAATGGTTTTGGCACTGATGCAACAAAACGGTGCAGAAGCTTGCAGACCTTTCAATCATTAAGGGGGGACTACACAGAAAAAACAAGTTTTTGCAAGAGGTTATTTTGAAAATTACCATATTTATATCCACCAACATCTATAGTCTTCCCAGAAAGGTGCACTTGTTTACAGAGCATAGTTTTTAATAAATTATTTTCGGTTCACCGATGCTAAAGAAAAGATAAAGGTTCGTGCACTTAGAGCGCATTTTTCTCCATTCCACCTTTTGGCATAAACTTCACTTTAGGAAAACTATCGTTTGGTAACAGGACAAAATGAAAGGCTCGCTCGTTGTTTTTCCTAATTGTTTCATTCAATTGTTCAGGTAAAAAAGCTGTATTTTAACATGTCAGTATGCACAAAAAAGATGTTTAAGCCGTGTTGGCTCCTTGTAGACGACTCGTGACGCAGGTTAGAGGTGGGTGAGAATTTGTTGTCAGAGTGGCTAAGAATGAAACACTGCTTTCTTCTGGATTGACTAGAGTTTGTTATTACCCAATGGTTTATAGGGGTTCTAAATGGTTGAACCATACAATTGGGGTTGTGTGGATATTTATACAGCGTGTAGTTGGTCACCCATTTCAAAGTTGCAACGAGTCACTAGCTGTAGATGAGCAATTTAGCCAGTGCAGTACAAGCACTAGCTTGGGGACTTTAGCGTGCACCACGCAGTAGTGATACACGACCGCACGCCGGTACGATGCTCATCCAAATCAAAACTGGCAGGGGTGGGGTTTGAACCTAGGATCCCTGGGTTCTGAAGCGCGAGCTTTCACTCCTCGTGCTCAGAGCTGGTGTGCGCTAGCCCACTCTGCCACCGATCCCTCCCAACCATACTCAGCGATAGGGCGGATTAGTGTTTTATATGTCAGAAGTTGAGTATCTCACAAGGCAGCCCATTAAGATACCGGCTGCTGCTGTTTTGGTTGTTTTCGTGCACCAAAAGCTTTCTGAAACATGGAGCGGCGCGACTCTACGGCGACGAATAAATACGGCAGTTTTGATTTCGGTAGCTGGCATTGCAGCGAGGTGGTGTAGGCGTAAGCCGCATCCTCGTTTCTAGGCCGACCCCCGAGTTATGGTGGCTGTAGGGGTAGGTGTACCGAGCACTCCGCATTTATGGGTAGTTCCACTTGCTGCCGCTTTATGACGAAAAAGTGGTGCTGTAGCCAGGATACCGGTGCATTTCTGCCGGAAGGGGCATGGCGTAAAGCGTCACGGGGCACGAGAGTCTCTCATGCTCTGCGTGCTCATGCAGGACACACTTCTACGCTTGGTGCCATTATGCGCCACCCGATGGTACCGGCATCATGAATAATCTATTTTCTGTTCGGCACACCTCCCCTTATAGCCATTATACCCGAGTTAAGTTTTACTTTTTTTATAGAAACTATCTGCCTAGATTTCAGTTAATATGGTAGCTGTCCCACGCTTTCACATTCCAACTTGTTACCAGTCTTGAGTGTTTTTTTCACACACTCCTGTAGAAATCGTTGCAGCTATGGAAATCGTGCTTGCCAGCTTGGTAAGTATGCTCGCAAAAGAAAATTCGACGTGCGCATGGCAGTTGGCAACTTTTTATCTTCGAGTTGCGGGCACGCTTTCTCCTCCATGAGAAACTTCTCGAACCCATCCAATATGCCTTGCTCGCTCTGCAAACTGGTGGACAGTGTCGAACAGTCGATGCCAGAATTGTGAATTATTTGGTGATTTCGAACTTGAGTCGGCCGTTTACTCAGTTTTCCCAGTTTGCCGTTTGCCTCAGTGGAGAAGGGGGAGGGAACGCAAGGGTCCCCATGCATGTCCTTGAAGGCTTCCATGCTTTCGGCACCGCGGCCTTCGTAATAAGCGTGGTCGGCCGCCGATACACTTAGAATAATCCGGTTAAAAATGTGTGCATTTTGGTCAGGACCACATAAAAGCGACAATTCTAAAAAAGCGACCTTGTTTCTAACAAGGGATTACTGTAGCTTAACAGACGCTAAGAGTCATCCAAGCTATTTTACAGTTTGGACATACTCGTGTGGAGCACTGGTTCACATGGTATGCGTGGAGTGCTGTATTGGTTAACGCAACTCGTGGCATCCGCTGCGGTACACCGTAAGGTGAAACATAGTATGGCAACCTTCTACCCTTGTTTTGAATTCGTACCAACCACTGGCAACATATACGACCGAAAGCATCTCTGTGGTCTGCTTGCCACCGCTTTCCACAGTTGGCCAAGCTCCTGGCACGTCTTTAGTGGGCTGAATTCTGCTTTTATTGGACGGTGTTGGTTTAAGAATGCAATCGCTTAAAGTTTCCACTGTGCTTTTTATGCAAACCATCGAACTTGTCGTTTGCAGCTGATCGTAAGCAGGCTACCTCACAACCCGCGATGTCACGGCGAGGCAAATCCTTGTCGTGATGTTGCGGACGGAAACCATAAGACTGCGCCACCGAAACAATCTCGGCGCTAATGGTTGGCGACTGCTCAAGAAACGTGGTGTTCGGCGAGTCTCAAGCATACCTTCTCGCAGCCAATAAGGTTGCAGCATCAGCAAAGTGCCGAAAAAGGAATCTCGGAGTGAAAAGCGCGATCATAATAGACCTCATCCTTAACCCAGTAACGACTAACCGTCGGTGTGGTTCCAGATGGCGCCGGCACATTTTCTAAACTCCTCCTTAACGGTGTCCCACAATATTGTGGAAGAGGCGTCGGGATCGTCCCATCCGAATGAGGCTGCTTGCAAGGGGGGCGGCACAGAGGACGAAGCCGGCTGTCCGGCAGCGAGGGAGTGCCAAGATGGCTTCACCGAGGAGGCTGACCTAGAGGCAGAGCGTCGCATCTCCTTCACGGTGCCTTCAGCATCTGCGACAGAAGAGCTGGAAAAAGGCGGACCGGCGGGGGTGAGTTGTGGCTGCACAATCCGGTCGGTTCACACGGGCTATTATATCATAGTTTATGCGGTGTTTGCACAAAGATACCCCCGGACGGAGGTGGCGAGACGTCGGCCGGCGAGGAATCTCCCATTGCAGCTCTGCGAAAAATGTCTGTACCGTCCGAGCATTTCCTTCGCGCCTCCGAAACGGAGTCTGCACAACTTGACGTCGCCGTGCTGCCTCAGAAAGGCGTGGCGTCGGCATCACGTGACGCGCATTCCACTGGGTGAAGTCGGATTTCTCCCTCATGTGAATACCGCATTAGGCGTAAGCTCTGCTGTAGCTTGTTTATAAGCTAAAGATATTAGTACATGGATGACTGTATATTGGTGGGTTTAATGTTTCGTGAATTTGCTCTAGTGCCACTCTTTGAAATGTGCAGGAACAAATTTTTGTGATTGAGAGCTATAGCAATACTGTAGGTTCCAAACTGGGGGTACAGTCAAACGAATTTATAACGAACGCCTTTACTACGAAAATGCCCATTTAATGAAATAAAATAGTCCCGGCCAATCTGTTTCTCCGATTATAATGAATTCTTGTTTAACAAATACAGTAGAACCCCGATTATACGACTTGCGGGACTGCGCAAAATTGTCGTACAGTCGAATCTCATTAATTCGAACTCGAGGGGGACCGAACATTTGTTTGAATAAATCAGTTTGAGTAACCGGGAGTTTCCTCCCTTAGAGACGCATAGCATGGGACCTGCATGTTAGTTTGATTTAAGAGTTTAAATTAATGAGATTCGACTGTATGATCCGTGAGTCGTATCACCCGAAGAAACAATTACGGATGCAGTGATCGGTCTCGCATGAAAAAGACAAGCGGACGTTTAATATGATGTCCAAGTTAATAATCTGTTGTACCTTGACAAAGCAAAAACCGTCCAAACGAATTGAAACAAAACCATAAAATTGTGCCGGCGTGCACAATCGCGACGATCAGATCCTTGTCGCTTTTTATGCTTTCCAAATGCGGGAACCAGTGGAAGCATGCTCATTCCTGGGAGAAGCAACGAGTTGGAGAAAGTGGCGTGCAGAAGAGAGCGAGAGTAGACGAGAGAACGATGGGATGGGTGGAGCAAGGATGCACTGCGAAAACGCCGAGGCATTTGACAACCCGGGGAGAAAGGAATGCGCCGTCTTCTGCTCCCTCCCGGCGCTGCGGCTGTCTTTGGTTGCCAGTGGCATGTTCTGGGACCCTTCAAAACGGCTCGCAGAACTCTTCCGCGTTGCCCTGCCGCCGCCCCTCTCCTCATGCAGCCGTCGAATTTGTTGGGCGTTTTCTGCCGAAACGTTGTACGATGCGGGACGCACAAGATCTCGCATCGTGTAAACCTAACCTTTAATACATTATTTCTATAGGAAGTTCGTCGGGACCGGGGAAATTTGTCGTAAAATGCAGGATGTCGTAGGAACCGGGGACGCATGATCGAGGTTCCACTGTATTTTGGTTTAACAAACTGCTGCACCGGTGACAGTTGAAGCCTCAACTGCGCCCATCCCTCGCTGTTGCCACGCCACACATGCCTGGTTTTTGGTGCAAACAATTCGTTAGTGTGCAACCTTGTGTCTACAGTCAAACCCACTTATAACGAACGTGATAGTTCCGCGAAAAGTGGTCGTTTTATCAGTAGTTCGTTATATCTGGACTTCCCTTTAAAACGTTATAAATAAGGAAAATGAAGCTGGTATAGGTAGTTTCACTCTGCCAGCTCTTTATTTAAAGAAACTGTTTGCACTATATTAACGGGCCCCCAATTCTAACGCGATTGCAGATTTAGCTTTCAGATAAATAAAAAGTAAATTGCTGCCGATTCTACTGCACAAGTAAAATAAGGAACATTGACCACATACCTCATACAACAGATTTTATGAAACGCTCTACACCACAAAAATAAATGCCGAGCACTAGCCCGACGATGGTTCTTCGCTGTCTACAGAAATAATTAATACTTGCTTTGGTCTAAAACGTTTTAAGTGCCGTGCTTCTTGCGCATGTACGAGTGCGCGGCTGTGGCCTCTGGCAGGGTCGTCTTTCAAACAACACTTCGCGAGCTCGTCGGGTGGCTGGGATTGCGAGCCAAGCGCGCAGTGCTGCTCCGTTGTCATCTTTTTTCCGCCAGCGTGATGCCCTTTCGTATAAACAAAACCTTTTGGTGGATATTTTTTTTTTCCATCTTAAAACGACAGACACGAGTCCGTAGACGCGAGAGAATGTGCATGATACCAAAATGGCGAACGTAAACAAGCTGTAACAATGGAGATGGGGCTAGCCAACTTGTACCAAGCATTGAGCTCTTCTTGAGCTGCATACAGTTCGCATAGAACGAACCCAAACAAACGAACACAGCACGGCAGGAGAGTTGACCCCCGTCCTCTTCTCCTTCCCGCGTGCGCACAATGAGCAGACTACGCGACCCGACAGGACGTTTTCGTTTTTGTAGTTTTGTTTTCTCCCCTGCCACGATGCTGTGAAAATGACCTTGAGCGTCTCGCGGACCGCCGCGCCTGGCATATCTTTTAATCTTCGTTTTGTTCTTTTTTTCCTCTTTTTCTTTTTCTTCTTTCCTTCTTGCTTTTTTTTTTTCTTTTTTTTAAAGCAGATTTTGTGTTTGTTGTAACGGTATGATGCTTTAAAAAACGGTCGTTTTATCTGGACCAATTTTAATGGGTAGGGCCTTGAACTCGTATATTTTCTGAAAGTTGGTCGTTATAACCGATAGGTCGTTATATGTGGGATCGTTATAAGTGGGTTTGACTGTAAATGGTGCTATAGTAATTATGTTACTACGTAGAAAGCCTGTACGCAGCAGTAGTCATGTCTGATTAAGGAAGTTGGACTGACAAAGAAGCCACAGGGGTGAGACTTGAGAGAGGAATACCTTTGTTCACCTCTGGCAGATGGCTCCACTAAAACTGAATATAATACAATTTTGTGCATGTTGTGAGGCTTTTGACAAATTTACTTCTGTTGAAACAATATTTACAAAAAGATAGCCTGAGATTGAGTGCATAATGGCACATCTTGCCAACTTAGTAAAAGGCACCCAGATTAGCATCACACCTTAGTTCCCATGGCCGCCACTCGTGGCTGCAAATCGCGAAATATATAATTATATAATAAGGCAGTTTCTCCATCCCTTTTGGTAAGATACACAATGTAAAAATAAAAATTGCAAATTCTTTTGAAGTTAAAATTGTTGCATCGCCCGTTTAATGGTTGAGGTTTGTCATCTGTGCCAGAGGCACTTTAATCTTTTAGATATAAGATTACATTAGCTCATGCTCTTTACTAAGATATAAGTACATTGTACTAGGACAGCGCAAAGTCATAAAATCTTCACATATTTGTAAAATTAATCCAGATTGTCAAGCTTAATCGCTACAAAGCTATCCTCTTTGGCAGACCTTTTCTTTTTAATTTCTGGAACTGTGGTTTAATTTTGCACCTGGCAGCGCAATGTAAGCACTTTCTGATGCCACCATACCCCCATACCTACTGCGACACTGCAAGTAGCTCTTGAGAAGGATCGTAGGCATCTGTCAGCAGCTATCCTCTTTGGCAGACCTTTTCTTTTTAATTTCTGGAACTGTGGTTTAATTTTGCACCTGGCAGTGCAATGTAAGCACTTTCTGATGCCACCATTCCCCCATACCTACTGCGACACTGCAAGTAGCTCTTGAGAAGGATCGTAGGCATCTGTCAGCAGCTATCCTCTTTGGCAGACCTTTTCTTTTTAATTTCTGGAACTGTGGTTTAATTTTGCACCTGGCAGTGAAATGTAAGCACTTTCTGATGCCACCATTCCCCCATACCTACTGCGACACTGCAAGTAGCTCTTGAGAAGGATCGTAGGCATCTGTCAGCAGAGGCGGTACATTAAACTGGAGATCTCTGAAGGGATGCGTGCCATTTGATCTGTCGTTTCACGTAAAAGCTCTCTCCCTATTCTATCGTGGGAATAGGCTGCACCAAGGAAGACAAGGTCTTATTCTTTTGTCTAGGAGGACGTCGGCGCGGCACTTGTTGGAGCCGGCAGAGTGTGCGGAACGGCAATCTCGGATGCCACATTCATTGAGTCTCTTGAGACCCGGGGAACTGTGGCAAGCCGTCTTGTTGCTGACGTGAGGGCCTCTGCCTCGCCTCTCGGTCCCCAACAGTCTCGGCCGACTGCGGTGAGTGCTTTCTACGCTACACAGAAATGTGAGGGATCTGCACCAACCTACGTATGTTTTCCTTTCTTAATGCCGAGTCGTAGCTCACTGCTGAATTGTTACGATGGGCTTGTGTGAAGTGTGAATTTAAAAAGAAGAAATAATTTTGATTATTGCTTAGTGTGCTGCGATGTTCAGTTTGATTTTTGTCTCCAACCTGAAGGTACTCTGAAGTTCTCTCTGAATCTAGTCTGTTCGAACATTGGGGAGTTCATTTATCTGCATTGAATATGCTTTTAACGGTGCAATAGTGCAGAGAAATGATGCCTAACGTGGGGCATGCACCATTGGTCGTGACAGTTCTTTCCACAATTCACTATCGAAGGGGGCCTACTTTCGTATAGTATCAGTATAGACCTTTCCAGCGGCAGTCTCGAACGAAGCGATTTACAGCGTGCATCCCTGGTTTTGAGAGTGTACGTCGGTGTTGCTCGACTGCGCTGAGCCGTGGAGTTTCTCGTCAGTGGGCTGTGGCAGCCTGCGTAGGTGGTGGCGGCTGAATTGCCACTTTTTCTTTTTTATTCTGTGTTCTGTGGCGAACATAATTTATAGAGGTCTCATCAATTGAACGCCATATATTGTACGTACCCCACGGTGCCGCGTTATCCGAACAGGATTTGAGAAAGGTCTCGCATAACTCAGCATATCCTATATACAGTGTCGACGATAGTCACTTCACGACGATCGGACGGAATCCGGCGTGTTTTAGGGAACATGTAGAAGAGAGCTCCTTTTTTTGCACAGCTTTAAAGCAAATGAATGAACTTGTTTATTCTGTCCCCACACCCCGGACCCGACCCTATCAGCTATTTTTCGCGAAGACCCGGAACACAGCTGGGAAGGCTTTTTGGAGATTATCTCAACGGAAATAATCCTCCAGGTGGGGAGTCACGCTGACCGGGTTTCCACAGCTCAGGCGGGTGCCAGAAATTTCTGGACGATAGGGGTTGCTTGATTCGCAAAATGGCGGCGGCCAGAGCGCTCTTTTTGCAAAGGTCTATAGTAAAGAGGATTTCTAAATAAACTTTATAAGCTGTAACTAGGTGCAATGTGTAGCGCAAGTTCATTTGCTTCTTGCGCAGGGGTTGCGATGACCCGAGAATGCAAAGCTCCGATTGGCTTTGATTGGAAGGACGGTGGGTAGACCTCGAGGCAGCTAGCATTGAGGTCTATCCGCTAACCTTCCAATCGGAGCCAATCTGAGCTCGGCGTTCTGACATTGCAGCGACCTCTGCGCAAGAGGCGGACGAACCTGCGTTTCGGCTAAACGAAAGTGTCCATATTAACGAGACCTCAGTGTAGTAGGCTGCACCAAGAAATGCACTGTCTCATTCTTTTACCCAGGAAGACAATGGTACGGTGCCCGTCGTAGCGGACGAGGTGGGCGATGCCGTTGTCTCGGATGCCACATTCACTGAGCCTTCGAAGGTTTCGGGAATCGTGGCCGGCCGTCCCGTTGCCGGTGCCAAGGCGGATGCCGCTTCTGGAGTGCCCGCCCCGCCGCTCGGTTCCCAGCGGTCTTTGCCGGCGCCTCGACTGAGGACGAAGCTGCAGCCTGGAAAGGGTCAGCCGGCCGGGGTGAGTGCGCGGTCAGTCTTGCCGGAAGTTTCAACTCTCAACTTAACGTCGTGCCGATTCGAAAGGACCTTCCTTCAGAAGGGCGGGGAATGTTTTGCCAAAGATCGGATGACGTTTGAATGGTTCTGGAGGCATTCAATCGTCCCATCCGTCCAAAAGGAAATAGCCTACAAACTTCAGCCACTAAACCGAGCGTGGCGACATGCGCACACAGCGGGACTGGCCCCATTCCCACGGTAGTGGGAAGTTGTGGAGGCGATCCGTATCTCAATCTCGGCGCTTCGAAAACTTCAGAGAACTGGCAAGCTGGCACCATCTATATGGAGGCCCTGGAACTACAACTGAAGTGAAGATTTTGTAGCGTATTTGCGAGTTCAAATGCACATTTCTTCGAGAAATGGTTGTTTATAACATTGTTGGAAGATGCGGAAATCGGGGGTGTCTACAGCCAACCAGATAGGTGGCATCAGCGTCCTATCTCATCGCAAGCAACCACAAGGCTGCAGGATGCGCTCGGTTTCAACCAAATGCAAGAATGTGAGCCAGCCTTTGGTTGCACATAGGTGTAGCTACGAAAAAAAACTAGATTTTTGCATTACGGATGACTGTCGCAACTTCACAAATCGGGTTCGTTGGGGTTAAGAGATTCCTGGAACGAATTCGTGATTTCTTATATCGCCCCTACCTTGATTAAAGTGTCATTGTTTTTTAGTTTGCACACAATGTAAGCGTAGCCAATAAATGAATTACCAAACCTTGCTCCTTCTTTCTTTGTAATGTCTTTATTGTTGTTGACAAAACCAAATAAAGCTGCTAAACCATTTTCTTGAAACTAAGTTGCGAAGGGGCAGTGTGCTGCTTGGGGGCACTCAAGGTTGCTTGTTTGGAAAACTGCTTTAGATAAACCCCTGAAAACGGGTGCTTGCTGCAATATTTGGCAGCGACTAATTTGGGGTTTTCTGGGATGCTTGGGATAAAGGGGCACGTCGCAATGTTTGCTCGCGTTTAAACGGGGGAAAAGGCTGCGCACAATTGTAATTTTTGGTTTTGTCGGGCGCATAGGTCGGGTTTATGCTATAAAAATGATCTCAGAATCCACTTTAGTACCCCTTTAAGTTCCAAGCTGTAGATGAGGGTGCAAGCAAACAATTGAATAAGCTCAGTTCTGTGCTTTTGGGTTTTCTGTGGAAACTGCTCTGACTTTCCTCATTCTGCTCCAATTGCTGACACTCGGCACTGTGGTTCCAGGTTGTCCCAGCAAAAAGGGGCACAGGTATCTCTGGCAGACAGTCTTTACTGCCTACCGGTGGGGCTGCCAAGACTGCTGGCAGGGGTGAGTTCTACGTCCTGCAAAAGTTTCAGTTTGGGGGTCGTGCAGGTTATAATTACAATGCCATCATTTCATATTTCAGTGTAGTTGTGGGAAAAAAGACGAGCATACTTTGTCAAAGCTACTACATTTAAGATGTGTGAGAGGGGGGGCATAAGCCTAAATTAAACTAACCTAAAAGTGCCATATTTTTTTTATTTTGAATTGTTATTCTTCTAGTATTACACATAAAATTTGAAAAGTTCATTACGCAAAAATCAGCGGAGGTGAAAAAATATTTCCCAACTAAAACGAGTGCTGCCATCTATGATCAGCGCTGCAAAACTAATCAGACGAGCCTAGCTCGTCTGATTAGTTTGAGGGCTGCCAAAAAACCACTGGACGGGCTGAGCTCGTCCACGGCATTCTTAGCCAAAATGTGGCCGACAAGCACAGCTCGTCCAAGGCGCTTAAGGGGTTAAAATATTTTTAAATTTAATTTTTTAATTTTGAGGTTTTCGGTTTTATAAACTAATTATACACCCTTATACTATATTTGATAACCATATGCCAAATAGCTATACACTGATAAAATTTTCAACACATTGTGCAGCAGTAACAGGGTAAAAGTTCAATGTTTGAATGCATTTTTCTCAGTTCCACTTTTTGCTGGAACTTTCATACGAAGGAATCTTTTGTTCGAAGGTAAAAGCATTTTGATACTACAATCACAATGCTTCTGAACTGAAATTCACTGGGGAATTGGGCTATCTACTTTGTTGTTTTAAAAAGTCCTTATTGAGAAAACAAAACTCTATTACAACATCTGATGTCACATTTCCAGTGTTGCCGATAGAGCCTCTCAAACCAAATTTTAAGATTCGATAGCTGCAAAAAAAAACTTATTGTGACTTGTAATTTGGGTACCAGTTCAGATGTGTTTATTAATATGTTGAACCAATTTTGAGGTAAATCTGTGTTTATAAAAATTTTGCCGGAGCTCTTTTTTAACTGCATTAAGAGGGCAACTTGGGCCAGTTAAGTCATTATCGCCTTAGAGGAGCGCCAAAAAATGCACAAGGGCGAAAGAAAGTTTAATGCTCCGTTGTCATGATCATTGTTTGCTTTTTTTTTTTTTTTTTTTTTTTTTTTTTTTTTATTGGTAGGAATGACTCGAAAAAGTCTCGTATTCAACCCGCTGGGGTCATCTGTCGGGTATCTCCGGATAATAAAATGTTCCCGTTGTGGACAAGTGTTTGGGCTCCCCCAACAGGCCCATTTCCCCTTTGCGGTCAGGTGTCAGGCGCCTCTCGACAATTTCAACTTGCGTTATCTCTTATCGGGTATGTAAATTATGCATACTTAGTTTAGTTAGAGGTGTGACACATTTTTGTTTTGCTAGATGCGCGGACGGGCATTTCGCACACGCTTTTGGGTCTTCAAGATGGCAGTCTTTGCTCTGTCAGCATTGTACGGACTGTGCAGCCTGGAGATTGTACAGTCTACAGGGACAGGAAAGTCGGAAGACAAAGACATGACTTAAAATCTGCACTCGACATCCTGGCTCGCACTCCGGCACTTGCCTTGAAAAGTATTGTATGCTGCACAAATACCGCAAATATATAGTTCAATAATTCAACTAAAAACATTCAGAACAATGCAGAGTTGGTTCAAATTGAACATATTGATTGTAGTATATTAAAGAGTTCAAATTTGAGGTCACTCGTTAATTTCATCTTTTTTGGCCTATATTCTGGTTAGAGGGGCCTACAAGTGGATAACTCTCATGACCCCAAAAGGAGTCTCGGTCTGGGCAGACGTCTCAGAAGTGTGTGGTGCCCTCCATATGGTCGTGCGATGGTCCCTCCTTTCAGGGTTGCAGAGGAAGTCTCTGGCAGTCCCCTCCCAGCGCCCCTTGCGTCCCCTGCAGCAGACGTTGCCGTCCAGGCAGAGACAGGCCCCCTCTGCCGACGGTAAGAGTGGCCGAACTGGCGTGTGTGACGTGCGGCCGTGCTCCGCTCTCACCTGTGCATGGCCCTATAGAAGTCAATGCCTAGCGGTTAGAACAGAAGGCTGACGAGTCGAGCGAATCGGATATTCATAGCACCTATTCTCACGGCTTCTAAAGACGAAGCCGTGAGAGTCGGTTCGTAAACATGCGAGGAAAATTCTCAATAGATGCATATAGTTGTGGTAGGTTAAAGGAACACTGACACCCCCAAAATAGTTTTTTTAATTTTTCGCCAAGATATTTATTATGGTGTTAGAATACTACCCAAATATTTTGCTACAGAGTCACGCATTTTTTTAATGAAGCCAAAAAACGCAACTGCTTGAAACCAAAACCCCCGCACCACACGGAGAAGTGGAGAGGAGAGAAAAAATAACAAAAGTATGCGATTTTTTTTTTTTCTTGCACGCGGCAGACAAAATGCGTTGCGGGATCCGTTTGTCGTGCGATTCCTTTGTAGTTATATTTGTTCCGCTCACTGTTCTGTACATCAAGATTAGTTTTGTACTTTTAAGTGTTGCCAATTAGTAGTGAGGTGCCCGTGGTGAATTCCCATGATTGGCTCCGAAAAGAATACTCCCAAGATGTTGCGTGAAGAGCTGCCTCACATGTCCTGCATCTGAAAGTGGCAATGTGCGGCAGAGTACACAAGTTTCCGAAAGATCAACGGGTCGGGATCAATGGCTGGCTGCAATTCCTGTAGAACAGTTATGGGAACCTCAAAAAAGCAGACGCTACTCCATTCACATGCTCCTTGCATTTTGTGGAAAGTGACTACATTCAGTTCGCAGGTGTAAAAAAAATGGAATCCCATACCATTTAGTTCAGCGACATATCGTCGACAAGAATTGTTTTTTTCAGTGATAATTGTAAAAAAAAAAAAAAAAAAAAACTCTTAACATTGCAAAATGACTTACAAAAAAAAAATGGTACGCCCACATTCGGGATTGAACCCGTGTCCGCTGCTTGTGAAGCAGACGTCTTTCCACTGAGCTACTGAAGGAACTCTTTTGTTTGTAGTAATGCAGCCGATAGACTGTGTCGGAAAGTTTGCTGCAGATTTCCCTCCGGTACATGCACTCCCGGAAGTCGGGCAGCACCACGCATTGGCCACATTCGCACCTAGTAAAAGAAACTGTAAGCGTGCGCATTCAGCTCGAAGTACGCACTTCATGCTTGACGTTTTAAGCCGGTTTGAGCGAGCGATGTTTCAGCCACAAAAAGGGATGACGGCTCGGCGACGTCTTTGTGGAATCGGCTTGCCGATCGGGCGTGTCGTACAGTGAATATCAATTCTTTTGATTGGTCCAAAATTTCTCTTTCGAAGGAAGACAGTATTTGCTGGTACCGTGAATGACAGTTCTGAAGTAGAGGTCCCACGCTCGTCGTCCGCTGCCGTCCGCTAGTCCCACGGTATGCGAAACGACGCCATGTTGAGAATTATGCAGTGACCTCGCAGAATGCTTCCGGTTGTCTGTGCAACCTTTTTTTTTTTTCAGTCAACGTATTTGCAGCTCTTTGGAAGCCACAAAAAATGGGTTTCATATTTTTTCTATTTTTAGTATTAACTGTGTGCCTTCAATGACCCACGACTTTGATTAAATTTGGTGGTCCTTAGAAAACGGCCCGTGATCACGGAAAAGCGTGAGCGCGACTCAAACCAGCCTGTTCTCGATCAGCGGTTTTAGAGCAGAAAGAAACCCAATTTTAAGCCTCAAATTCTGTTCTCGGTGGTTTTACTCTCATGTCACGTACAACTAAAAACCTTTACGAGCATAAATACCCTTTCAGTGTCCCTTTTAAGTGCCCAGAAGATGCTCAGTCTTGAGCGCGAGCTTGCTGCCTTTGCTGGCACTTGGCCCAAAGTGCTATCAAAGCCAATGCCCAGTGGAAGGCAACAAGCGTGTGAATATATTGGGTTCTAATTGTTTCTGAATGCCGCCAAAATTCAAATCTGGCAGGCAGGAAGCATTGTACCAACTCGTGGACAACCAAACAAAACTACAGCCTTGATTTTGTTTTGCACTTCCTCCTAAGCTGGCAAGGTGTCGGAAACTTATCTACGTATTTGTTCGAATATAAGTCGACCACGAATATAGGCTCAGCGTGCGGCGTCTCACAACGCCGCACGCTGAGCGTTGTGAGACGCCGCTTCAATGCGTTTCTCCACACTGCCACCGCCACCGCCGCACAAGTTCGTCTGCTTTGGGGCACCGCCACCGTCATCTGACCGGCGCACAGGTCTATCACGTGTGCTTGCGCTTTTTCAGGAGTTTCCTTTGGGCTCTAAAAGTTACTAATTAATCTTAGATTTTGGTTATACTTCAAACAAAGATGAGTAAGATACTTTTAGAGGCCATAGGAAGCTTCCAAAAGAGCGCAACCACCACGAGACAAATACTAACCAGTCACGTGACAGTAAAGACCACCTTTCCGCAGGCACCAACTAAGAATTCGTATCGCACCGTAAATATAGCTCTAAACTTCTTTTTCGTTGTAAATTTGTTTTAAGACTTCCTTTTCCCAACCAGGACGTCAAAAAATGTTTTTTTCCTTTGCATGTGTTTTTTAAGCGCTAGTTTCCCCAGTTTCGTGTCCATCACCAAATAAATCTCAACACAAAATTCTGGACAGATACTGCCATCTATTAAGGGCTAGTTTCCCCAGTTTCGTGTCCATCACCAAATAAATCTCAATACAAAATTTTGGACAGATACTGCCATCTATGAGTGACGGCGGAAACCAGACAACTGGCTTGCCGGTTGTCTGGTTGCCGTCGTCACTTTTGGATGGCGGTAACCTTTCCAGCCTTTCCACTCTTGTTTTCACAAGAGTAGAAAGGCTGAATTTCTCTAGGAGTGTCCTTGAGGTTGTCCTAGACGCCGTCCTTGAGGTTGTCCTAGACGCCCTCCTTGAGGTCGTCTTAGACGCCCTCCTTGAGGTCGTCTTAATCGCCGTCCTTGAGGTCGTCTTAGACGCCGTCCTTGAGGTCGTCTTAGACGCCGTCCTTGAGGTCGTCTTAGACGCCGTCCTTGAGGTCGTCTTAGACGCCGTCCTTGAGGTCGTCTTAGACGCCGTCCTTGAGGTCGTCTTAGACGCCGTCCTTGAGGTCGTCTTAGACGCCGTCCTTGAGGTCGTCTTAGACGCCGTCCTTGAGGTCGTCTTAGACGCCGTCCTTGAGGTCGTCTTAGATGCCGTCCTTGAGGTCGTCTTAGATGCCGTCCTTGAGGTTGTCCTAGACGCCGTCCTTGAGGTTGTCCTAGACGCCGTCCTTGAGGTTGTCCTAGACGCCGTCCTTGAGGTTGTCCTAGACGCCGTCCTTGAGGTTGTCCTAGACGCCGTCCTTGAGGTTGTCCTTGAGGTTGTCCTAGGCGCCGTCCTTGAGGTTGTCCTAGACGCCGTCCTTGAGGTTGTCCTAGACGCCGTCCTTGAGGTTGTCCTAGACGCGTCCTTGAGGTTGTCCTAGACGCCCTAGTTCCAAAAAATGCCGACAGACAAGCTTTCTCCATGGCGGTGCAGTGCATGCAGCTGCCCGGCCCCCATTGCTGCAGGGCCCGCCCGAGCAAACTCCGGAGAGGCTGCACGGCCGAGCTCAGCGCGGCGCGGCCACTTCACGAGAGCGCACGCTGGGCTGTTGGCCGCAGCCTCCGCAGTACCAAAAAGTGGCCGTCCACGTCACTACGCCGCAGACGAACAAAGGGAGCGGAAAAATGGCAAATTCATGCTTTCGCATTCACAAATCTTAAGAAGTTCTTAGGCGTCCTCAAACTTTTTTGATGTCCAGCCACAAAAATTGAAACACTACTTGCACCTACATGGAGTACACTCGCACTAACATGTGACAGGGTTATGCGAGAGTTGGGCGGTTGGTTGTATGGGATGTGGCTGTAACATTGCTCTAGTTTCCATTCGGTAGGGGTTACATGAGCAAAGTGAAGTGAAGTGAAGTGAAGTCTAGGCAGGTGAGGCCGTGGCGGCGAGGTTCGGAGGAGCAGACGACGGACCGCGATCAGCTCATCCGTCGTACATCTGTCTTGCTCCCGGACGTCGTACATCCGGAGCGGACTAAGAACTGGAGTGCGATGTGTCAGCTGTGCACGCTGAAGTACTGCGCTCGCCGAGTCTCGTAGGCTTAACGAGAGCAGCACGAAGGCAAAACTGGTGATATGTGAGAGACACTGATGGGCAGACGGTAAGCCACGACGAGAGAACAAACCGAGCCGCTGAGAAGTTTGAGTAACTGAAAGTGTGTGGTGTTGCTGGGACCAAGATGGGGCTTTGCAGTGTGAACGGCTGCAGAAACCTTCAGCAGAGAGTTTTGTAATTCACAATAATGCAAGCATACTATATAAGCGGTTGTCTTAGATTTCAGAGAGCCACAGACCTGCTCAAACAATAGATTTCGGCCCTTTGTTGCAGCAGTGAGTGGACTTCATTGAAGTGGAGTTTCAGTCTCTTAAAGTCTATGGCTTCGATAGTCATGCCAGGTCTGCCCCTGTCAAATCAAATTGAGTTGATCCAGCATTGATCACAATACAAACTCATAAAACCCACTAGTCAAACTCGACTAGCTGCAAGCTTAAATGTTAGTTGTGATGCATGCCAAGAACAGTTGGAGTGTTAGGCGACTGTGAACACTCCACAAAACATTTCACACAAAATAGCCGAATTTGTAAGTATTTAAATTTCTTTCAATGCAGAACACATTTTTCAAGCTGAACGCACATTAGAAAGCTGGTATCCACTGGCACTATGGTAACGGAGAGTAAAAAAATGACATGTTTACACTTCTTTGTATTGCCTAATTAGAGCACAGCTCTTGAGGAGGAGAGGGTATGCCTCTCCGTACCTTTTCCCCCTTCTCACCTTCTGCCCTCCCATTCGGTGGAAAATTTTCACTAAATTTCTTGCTAAATTTAGCAGGGAAATAGTCCCGCTAAATTTAGTGGGAAATTTAGCGAAAATTATCACGCTACTTTTAGCAAGGAAAATGTTCCAGCTAAATGTAGCGGGGAAATTTAGCAAAACATTTTTCCACTAAATTTAGTGGTGAAACTGATTTGGTGTTAAGGTCACATGACATCAGTTTTCCCGCTCAATTTGGCGGGAAAATGTTTCTGCTAAATTTAGCGGCTTAAGTTTCCCCGCTAAATTAAATGGCAAACTTTTTCCGCTCAATTTAGCAGGCGGTTTTTTTGCTCAACTTAGTGGGCAAGTTTTTCTGCTAAATTTAGTGGAAAAATTTTCCATAACGCAACTCGCGCGGTTACGCCGTCGCCGTTCAACCCAGAAACGGGCGCCTAAGAGCTGCGCTCTAAGATTTCTAGAATTTCTTACTCTACCAAATAAAAGGCAGCAGGCGCACTCAGCTGCCTCAATCATGAACAGAACCATGGTAGAACCTGGTGCCACTCAGTTTGTAGATGCAACCATGTACCTCTACAGGACCTTAAAATTTGGTCTAATTATTAGAACATTTAAATGCATAGAGCAGGGAATGTGGCCAGTGGCAAACGGTTTATTGCCTCCAGTCGCCAAGATTTAATTGCGGTTTGCGTGACTCCCTTTCTAGCACCTGCAGCCGGAGCGACGTCGGCTTCGTCCACTGCCACGCATGCAGTTCCGGCCACCCACGTACAGCAGAGGGTGCTGGCGCGGCCGACTGCGACGCAACGGCTGGCTTTTCGGCCCGCCATCCAGCCGCCTGGGAGCCTTCTGCCAAGGGTGGCTGCCGCACCGACGCAGTCGCGGCTGGTCCCCGTCAGGGCAACGGGTGGGCTGCCGAAATTGTTTACCGCAGAATGCGTTAAAGGAGCTGTGCAACGATTTTAACGTTGAAAGAATTAGCATCTTCTACTTTTGACATTGTTCATCTTGTCACAAAGGACAGAAAACACCTCCTTCCTTTGAAATGTTGCAATTCCGCCGCGTAATCGCGAGGCAAAACTTGGAATATTCCCCGGCCTGCAGCCGCGATCGGCGGCCATGAGAAACGCGCGGCATGACGGGGGTCTTGTAGAAAGCAAGTTGTGCGTATACCTGCTCAATAAAAGGTAACTTTTCTATAAATTTTATCGTTCCAACATAAATATAAATGCGTCAAAACCCTGGTATCATCGACAAAACTTCTATTATACGGAGTTTTAGTGGCGCCATCTATCCTAGGTGCACAAAACCGTCGGCTGTCTGCTACCGCGAACAGCCGCTAGAAACCGGAGGGGGACAGAGCCGAACGGTGATGGCCGTACCCAGATGAGACTTTCTTCCTTGCACCATATTGTTCGCGCTGCGCCCGCCAGCACGTGGTCACGCGGTCGCGAGCGGATGAGTTCTCACTGATGACTCTGGAGAGAGAGTTTTCGGCACCTCTCAACTACTTCACCATGTTCAGTCACGTGCACTGTGACATCAGTGGGGGTCGCTCGGGGTTCCGGAGAAGCTCTCTCTAGAGCCATCAATGAGCAGCGAGAACTCGTCCGCTTGTGACCATGTGCTAGCGCAGCGCAAACAATACGGTGAAAGGAGGAAAGTCTCATCCGGGTTTGGCCATACCCGTCCCACTCCGGCTTCTGGCGGCTGTTCGCAGTAGCAGATAGAGCTGATAATTTTGTGGACCTAGGATAGATGGCACCACTAAAAGTCCCTATAATAAAAGTTTTGTCGATGATACCAGGTTTTCGACGCATTTATATTTATGTTGGAACAACAGGATTTATAGAAAAGTTGCCTCTTACCGAGCAGGTATTCGCAAAACTTATCTTTCTACTAGACCCCCATTGACGTCATGCCGCGTGGTTCTCATGGCCGCAGCGGGTCAGGGAATATTCCAATTTTTGCCTCGCAATTACGCGGCGGACTCGCAACATTTCGAACGAAGGAGATGTGTTTTCTGTCCTTTGTGACTAGATAAACAAAGACAAAAGTAGAAGATGCAAATTCTTTCAACATTAAAATCATTGCACAACTCCTTTAGGTGCTTCCAGTTTCGCACTTCCGAAATCACAGACCGTTGCACGAGTGATGTGTCGGCATTTGACTAACCTGATTCTTCGCCGATCGGACATGAATCCCAGCCAACCGCTGCACCAAAACTGGTTTCCAATTCGTGCCCCGCAACGGGCTCCAGTGGGTTCCCTATACAAAGTTCAGCTCTACGGCTTTGTTGCAGCTCTTTTGCATATCGCCGTTTGTCTATAGTAAAGCTGGCTGTTTGCTCCAAACCTCCGATTAGATGCAAGCCACTCCCTGGATTGCATCACGCGATCAAACAGAGCGATGCTCTATTCCTAGCAAAATCTAAACAAGCGAGCTGCCCGGACAATAGAGTGGTGTCGCTGTGGTAGTGTTTTAATACACGAGCCTGAAAAAATGGAAATCAACACTATGTTTCATTGAGCAGGCTATTACTTCCCTAAAAACCACGAAAGGCTTTTTGTCTACCTCCAAGAACTGCCAGAGAACTTTTCATCCTACCCTCATTCACAGGGGTGTTGGAGGGCTCTGCTTGTCGTGTCGCAAAAGGCTGAAAAATAGGCTTGCCACTTTCCGAGCTGCCTTGTGGTGTTGGGGCATGGTGGTATACTTTGGCGCCACTCGATTAAGTCAACTGATACGTACTGATTTTTAAACTGAATGTGTTATATGGTTGGTTCCTAACTGTTTCTAGTTCTCCCTCTTGAGACTGATCCAGAAGACCCGTGTGCCCGGCAAACGCCGGCTCAGCGCTCGTCTCCTTGCCTATTTACCGACGAGTGCCAGCTGCGGCCATTTTGCCAGCACGTGGGGGGATCTGCGTTTTCAGTTCCCACCTCTTGCGTAATAGAATATCACTGCCTGTGGCCCCAAAAGTGTTGCACGGTGCTGAGGCAAGGCGACTTCGATTGGAAACTCCGCTTGTCTGCTTTGCGTAATCTGTAAAGAAATGCTTCTGTCTCCTCGTACGCTGCGACTCTGCATTAAGATGTTCTTGGAGATGTTCTTGGGTTCCTTTAAAGGTGGAATGCTGCTTACGAGATGACTCTTTCCAGGTGCTGCAACGACCCGCCGGTCCATGGTGCCCCCCCCATCTCGTGGCCAGAGGGTGCTTGGCGGGCTCCCGCCGGCCGCTGCTCCCACTCCCCCTCCTTCGGTGGTGAGGGCATCAACACCACTGGGGTAGGCTTTCCTGCCGTGCCCTTCTGTGGGCCAACTCTGCTATCAAATACCGCATTTTCCAATGTATAAGTCACTTCTTTTTTTTTTTTACATTTTTATTGTTGTTGCAGGGTGGTGCGACTTGTGTCTATTTTGATATAAAAGCGTAAACTTTAACCGGGGAAATTTACCGTGGGGGTTCTAGTAATGCAAAATGTGTTTTATCGGTCGATTTCTATGGAGTTCTGTATCGGCCGGCTCTGTCGTCGACACCGAAATACCTTGGAGAACCGTGTAGACTTCAGTCCCTCAGCAGGATTTGAACCTTCAGATTGTGAGCCGAGTGCTTTGCCAACTAAGCTATGCAGGATTTCTTTTTTTTTTTTTTATTTATTTATTACATGGGATTTGGTCAGAAAACACAAGGCACTTGAAATCACGGTACACCAAGGTTGGCGTTAGGTGTCATGTACAGGCGTCGACATACATTTCGTTTATTTTATTTATTTTTTTATTTTTTTTCCCCCTTGGAGCGCGTGTGTCTGTGTGTGTGGTTTATTTTATTTCTTTTATTAATTTTTTTTATTGACTTTGTTTCTATTCTTCTGTTCTGATTGATACTTACCCTGAATGTACCCCCCCTCATGTAATGCCCTTAATTGGGCCTTAGTTCCCCTCATAGGTTCGAGTGCGGTTTCACAACTCGACAAAGTATTCTGTATTGAATAACACGTCTAAAAATCCGGAAGATGAATGCATCGATTTAAGAGAGCATACCAGTCTGGGCGTTCACCGAGATGGTCAAATACATTTCGTACATGTGATACAGTTTCTATAAAATTCGACTTTGTTGTCCGGGGAGCATCAGCATTTCTGTCAATCATTCTCGTTTTCCAGAGACTATGCAAACCCATCAGTGTAAACAGATCGTAAGGGAAGCTGTCATTCGGTTTTAAAGGTAGAAAACGGATTGTGTAGGCACTTATATTTAAATCTTTTTTCACAGTTCTTTGTAACACATCCCAGAAGAGGTAAGCATCAGTGCAGAAAATAAAACAATGTTCTATAGTTTCCGGTTGGTTATAAAGGCGGCAGTTGACTGACCACGGAACGAAAATGCCTTTTTCTTGAAGCCAAGGCTTGACAGGTAGCGTGGTAGTGTGAAGTTTAAAAAAAAGGTTTTTGCAGAAGGTGACACTCGCATTTTTTTCACACGTTTAAAAACATCCTGTTCCGAACCGTTACCAAATATGCTTCGATACAAAGGTACAGGAAAAACAATGTATCAGATCAGCATAAATTGTTTTTCGGAGAACTTTAAATAAATACTCCAGAGAAAACCGGGTTTTCAAAAACTCAATCGCGCTAACTACCTCTCCAAGGAAACCGAAAGGACTCAATGTGCCTACAGGCACAGATGAGACTACCAAGTATGGTAAAGCTTCTGAAAGTTCTGTCTGCACGTAAGTGCGCAGAAAATGATGGGATACAGTTCGGAAGAACATAAAACGAACAACCACCTGTTTTAAAAATAGGTGAATCAGCCCAAGACCCCCTGTATCAATGGAGCGAAAAAGGTTGTCTCACATGGAGCACGTACCAGAGTTTCGCTACAAGGAAAATGTTACAGGCTTTTGCGCGGCCACACAAGAGCGAGCTCATTAGCCTGGCGCATGAATGGGCTTGCACACTTTCGGCCTTTCCAGTCGCGTAGTGCCACCTTGCAGCGTGCCAGAACCGTGCCGTGCCAGAACTAACAACCTGCTGCATGCAGCCCCAAATGCTGTGTTTGTACACATGTCTGTGCCAAAAGGGAACTCATCCCAGGTGTGGTTCAGTTTCTCCGTTTTGATAAACTACCATTTAACTGCACCTTGCTACATCCAAAGCAAATTACGCCAAATCGAACAAATCTGCGAACGAATTGATTTTTGGAAGAGTTTTCGTTTTCGTCTGGCCACTGTGGAAACCTGGTGGGGTTTGGCCATCACAATCCAAACAAGATTTTCGGCTCCGCATCATTGTTTCGCAGGTTTCACACCAATTACCGACATTCCCAATGCAGTGCAGTCTTAAGTTGTAATTGCATTTTGAAGCGCACTACTCAAGATTCGCAAGCACAATTATGCTCGGTCACGACTGCTGGGTTACGAATTGTTGCCTTCCTTCACGTCAAATGGTATGAATCCTTAATCATACTACTCGTTAAAATGGCTATACATTAGGGAAAGCCAGAGATATTTTTATCGATTATTTGTTTGTTTCACGTGAGAAGACATTTTATAGTGCCAATTTACCTCTATCTAGAGCAGGGTTCTTGAGCAGGGTTGCAGGGTTTCTCACATGAAAGCTCGAAATTGTCTGCTCCAATAGTGGGAATCTCTGTTCCAAAATCTGTTTTTCCCTGCTACAAGAGCTGCTCCAAATCACCTCTTGTCTGTTCCAGCACTGAGACACCCTTCTCTTCCCTGGGAGTTCCTACTGCACATACTGTACTTAGCAGTCCTTGTCGGCATGGTCAAGCTTGTGTAATTTTTCTTGTTCAATTATAGTCGACGAGAATATTGAAACTTGCTCTTGCTTGTGCATATACTACTGCGATCGTAATATGAATATGCGGGCGTTTCAATGCAGTAACGCCACACCGACTGTACAGACATGAAGGTGTCACTCATATGCCAACCTTCTGAAAACAGCCGTTAAAGGGGGGTTTAACTTATAGACTTGAAAATATGGTAGTTCACTTGTCTGCATGAAATGATCCATGCCCTCCAAGAGATCTTGTAGTGTTAGTTGCAAAATCCTTCTCTTTGCTTTACTGTTCGCTGTTCACTGTTCAGATGTAATCGCTGATGTTTGTAATGTACGAGACATGCATTTGTTCTAAGCTGCACTCGCTAAACATTGAAAAAACTGCAGGAAAAATTAGGTGCCATTAACCTTGTCAATTTGTGGCGAAACCACGCTTTCTGGTGCTTGTCTGCCAGTACGCACCACCAGTATTTGTCGCATTCATGCATTCAATGGTCAAAGCATATCTGGGGCTTCCGACATTGTTAGAGTTCATTCATTTTCCCTCTCCCCACTAATTGGCCCCGAATCCGTACATGCATGTTTTCCCATGCACCAATGAGCACTGTGCAAGGCAACCACTCAATACCACCTAGAAGACCAGTCCTGCACATAAAGCCATCGTTAGTGGATACCATACCTGCCCTAAGCGGCAAACACGCCAAAGTTCGACGAGAGTCGCCGCAAAGTGGCAGACACGTCAGTCTTGATGGCGCCACGTGCTATACCTCGTTTCAGCTTAAGTTCAGACGTAGCCGTCATACAAGCTAATGGGACTGATCGAGCAGCGTCAAAAGTGCAAGTCACTGGGCTTCTCCTGTCTACGATTGGTTCAGTGATAATAGACAATGTACAGAAATGACATGCCAAAAGTGCACCATGCTGGTCTGGTGCGCTTTTGGTGCTGTAATTGATTTCAAAAGCTTGTAGCGTCAGCCGCGTCTGAACTTGGTTAGTGTGATTCTGAACCAATAGATGGCGATGGGATATCCTTTGAGACCTCTGCATGAATGCAATAAATCGTGTGGTGGCACTCCAACAGTACATCTAATCGTGTGTGGTGGCGCTTGGCAGTATATCTAATCTTAAATGCATCGACATATGTCTTAGTTCTCCACATAAAGGGGAAATTAGTAATGCTCCACAAGGAGCCACACTCTTTTTTAGTACAATTATTGAGGTGAAAACGACTATGGAAATAAAACAATAGGTATTCCAAAGGACGTCTTGTGAAGAAAAATTTAATGAAATCTTTTCATAGGTGGAAGCTCTTATATGTTGCTATTTGTTTTGAGCTTGTGAAACTTAGAACAATTTTCAGAGTGCATATAAGGCTGACATGGATGGTGAATATTTTCTGATGGATGTTCTTTTTTCTGAACAGGCTGCGTCGTCCTCCAAGTCCCAGCGATGTCAATCTCCCGACACCCATAACAAAGATGTGATCCATGGATTCCATTTTCTGCTTTTAAATCTTAATGTATTAATAAATGTTCTTTTTTAGTCCCGCATACCATTTCGAGGATTTAGCGATATGCACTTGACTGGGCTCCACCGATTATATCTATTTTCAATTTTACCGTCCTCAATTTCATCAGGACATGCAAGTTTTATTTTAGATCTGTACATATTTTTTATGTTATTAAATTTGTGCTAGAGAAGTTTTTCCACTTTGTCTTGTGGTTTTATTTCGATCTATACGGTCTGTACAATAGATCCTGCGCCGTAAAACGAGCCGGGAACGTCTGTGCCCGCACATTAAAATATCATACTTTCATTGAATGTGCACTGAGGCAATCGGGTCTACCTCGTAAAATTTCAAGGCATAACTATCTTCCTGTAAGAAATGAGGCCAACAAACTTGCCAAAGTCAACAGCAAACATGTTTCAGACTCTTGAATTAGTGACGAATGAACTTCTGCCACCATCGCCCGATAGGTGCAGCGAGCAGTCTGCAGAGGATCGTCTGCTTGCCACACCTATCGGGAAACTGCGTCAGAAGTTACATTTTGTAGGAAATTTAGTCGTCTGCAAACACGTCTGCCATAGACTTTGGCAAGTTTATTGGTCCCATTTCTTGCAGGATGAGAACTATGCCTTGAAATTTTACAAGGTAAACCCGACCTGCTTTCGGCATAAGATTCATTGTGTGTACCCTATACGTGGTTTTAGGCAGTGGCGAATCTAAGAGGGGGCGTGATACAAGAAACTCCCCCTGTTGGCCCTAGTCGGTGACATGTTAAAAGTGGAAGTTTCTCCTACATCAGCACAGCAAATGCTGGAGGGGAGCTCTGCTAAGGTGGGAGGAGCTTCCACTTCACTCTTGACCTGTCGCCGACTGTAGTGCTGCTCACCCCTACGGGCCGCTGCTGCCGCTAAAAAAGCCTCTTCCACAAACCCAAGGCAGCATCCACTTTTACAGCACGCTGCTAGATTACAAGAACAATAAATAAGAAGATACAAAATTGGTTGTGTTTGGCGTCTCTTAAGGCAATCTCGGGCATAGTCTTAGTAAGGTCTCTTTGAGCTCCTTTCGCAGGCCTATTGCGAGGGTTTGTGAATGTATACACCAGCAAAACTCTGGCACAATGCTGCTGCTGTCGGAACTGCGTCGCAGGACAGCACGACGCCTTCATGTTGCACAACATCGTACAAGACTTGAATACCATCTGTGTAGAGCACCTCCTCGCGATGTACACTAGTGTTGCGTGACGCTGCGATGTCGTCGAAGCTACATCCGTGTAAACAAAATCCCCAAGACTGGCCCCATGAATGCTGCATATCTTGTTGAAAGGACAAACGAAAAGAATTTGCTTCGGGAAAATTAATCAATCCGTTTTGGAGTTTTCGTCGAAAGATTTTTAAACGATGCAGAAAGCACACCGGAAGTCTCTCCCACAGACTCTTAGAAGAACGATGTAGTAATTTTGGTGGGGTCATCGCTATCTCAGCAGTGTGCTCTTGGTGGGTGCACTGACCGAAAGCGACAATGACAAAAGCCCAGACATGAGTATGTCGCTCCTTTACGCATGGTTTTGGCTCTTTTGTTGCGAAGTATCAAAATCTGGGGAAAGGAAACACAAATACTCATCCATGAATATCATGAAGCATTGCTTAAATGGGCTTCGCCTTTATCACAACCGGCGTCAATACCGCAATTGCAACACGAATCTAGATGTTCACAAGCAAATTATGACTTGTCGCAACAACTGCCCCCCATATTACGTCCCCCTGGTAACTCTCATCAATGCCGCTTTTGCACCTTTTAAGGCTAAAAGCCACAATTTGTATATTATTGCACTGTCCCCCTATCTAACTCCCTATTTGGGCCTTTAAAGGGATACTTGAACGAAATTTGAAATATTCCCGTCGTGTTCAAAAATATGTTGAATATAATCCACAATATCCGTAAATGACAATCGCACATTTGTATTTTGAGCCTGGTGGCTGTATTTTTTGTTATAAATGGCCCACTCTGGGCAAGCGCTCGGAGAAGGCCCAGCGGAGACCACGTGACATCCAACGCAATCGTGACGTAGGTCATCTCAGGACGAGCAAAGCTACAACGAGGCTGACGTCGAGAGGATGGCCTAGTCGTTCCAGCCACCGAAGCGGCTGCTTTTGTATGAATTTTGAGTGACGGGTTAATCTTCTATAATCTTGTAGAGGGACAATAGCGACTTCTGCGACACACAAAAGGCATTCTCGGGAAGAGGGGAGTTCCTCCTGCCCGTTCTCTCGTCGTGGCCGGAGGCGAGACACTCATTGTCACTAGCTGTCAAGGTTCCTAGACTGGTATTACAAGCGAGGCGTTAGCGACATCCACCAGGTGCTCTTTGCGAATCGTTTAATTTGTTTTAAAATTCCTTTTCGTGACTTCTTTAACAATATATTGGTATGTTCGATGTGATGCTGCTTCTTTGAACACATATAGACCATAAAATAAGCGCCGAAATTTCGTTGTAGTATCCCTTTAAGGTGGAAATAAATAAAGTTAACATTTTCATAAGCCAGTTTAGTGCATCTTTAGAGGCGCGCTGAAAATGTTTTAACGCAGAATGTGTGTAGAGGCCCAAATCCCCTAGGAAAGTGTGACGGAACACCATAGGCACCTGTACGAAATATGTAACGTCTACTTCAAAGAACAATCAACAAAAAAATAAAAAAAACACCTAATTGAGAAGAAAAACAAAATTTTAACAAGACCCAACCGAATCTAACTTGCGACCCCATGATTATACCAGTCTGACATTGCCGCTCAGCTTAAGGGAAAACTTCTGAAGAGGAAACAACTGGTCTACTCTCTGCTCAAGCACTAATACCGGTCTTTGTGTTTTGAACAGCGAGTGGTGACAAAATAGCTAACTTTGCATCTACTCATTAATCATTCCAACCAGAGCTTAGTGCTCATCTCCCCTCCCTTCATTTTTATCCATATAAAAAAAAATAACTGAATTTTGCTACGAGTTTTAAAGAACGCTGTCGAAACCCATTCTGTGTACGACTTGTATTCCTAGGATCAGGGTCATTTTTTTTTTTGTCTTCAACTTTTATCTTGCTCACATGCCATGTGGATTCTAAAGATCCACTAAAATGTGTCCCACTTCCTCTAGAGTGACTCTAGCTTTGTCTATAAAAATTCCGTTACGGGGGCGGAGAAGGAAAGAAACGCGAAGGGATGGGTTGATGCCGAGCAAAATCAATCGTGGCGGCGCTCGACGTACCCACTTCAAATCAATGATGAGCAGCACTGCCTTAAGCTACATCGTGCTCCCTCTGTTCTCTGGGCAACTTGTTCGATGCTGACCAAGACCTAAAAGCATGTGCCAACCACACCAAGGAAAGGATATCTGTTCACTTGGTCACTAATCAGTTTTTCCAGCCTTCTTTTTTTTCGTGGATGACGAATGTCTCGTGGTCCTTTTTACCCACAAGGGATCCACTGTCCATTTGTTTTTGTAAATGCGGATAACTGACAGACTTTTAGCCATGATCAGGTTGAAGCTATAAAAAGGGACCTTGCCTCTCCATATAATTTCACCTCACATTACAACCGACCTATACCTCCATCGCAGTCCAGTTTTGAGAATTGTGAAGGACATTCCTCCCTTCCTAGCAGCATCACAAAAAATTGCCTAGCTTAGACATTTCATTGAATGCAATGAAGGGGTGACAAAATGGCATGCGATGCGACACGTGGCAAAGGAATTGTGAATGTAGAAAAAACTTTCTTTCTTCTTCATCCATGCAACTACCTTATTAGATTCTACTAATAATGCTGTTTGCACCCTACTCCACACAATGTCATTAGTCGCAAACGCAGCGACTTCAAACAAACGACTGTGCTCCATTGTCGACCAGGACAAAGACGTACATATAGGGCTAAATTTCAAGAGATTGACACATCATATGCCGTATGCCATAGTGAGACAGATGCTAGAACATTTGGTTTCAAAGTGCAAGGGGTAACAGATCTGATGGGGATGCTGGGTTTTTGGTGGCGAAGATGGAATAATAGAGGAAAGGACTACTAGTCACAGAAAGGAGGTTAGAAGATTGGCGGAAATTATCGGTGGAAACTTGATTGAAGTAAACCTAACTAGCACAGCTGGGGACAAAGGAAAATTGGGACTCCCTCCCACACGGCTCCGGTCCAAAGTCTCAACTCTGTCCCCCAGTGGGTCTGGTGTTGAGGAGATGCTGACAAGGTTTGACCGGAGAAAAATTAGCAACTCCGCTGGGGGGGAAAAGAGGCAGGAAGTTGTGTTTTTAGTTTTTTCGCCCAATCCCCCGGTCTTCCTGGCGACGGCCATGGGGGTGATGCTTCGAACGAGGGTGCAAGATCCACAACAAAAAGCAGAAAATATGTTTATTTTGAAAATGCCCCAAAGGTCGAGCTGAACCATTGGGTGTGCAATGCCGAAACAGCTCGATGATCACCGCCCATCCTAGAATAACAGCAGCTGAATGTTCGACAGTTTTACTCTGAAAAGTAATTAATCAAATAAAGATCAGCACAAAAAAAAAAGTTAAAATGTAATTAAACGGATAGTACTGTAAAATACCGGGCAAGCGCCCACTCAAAATTTGGAGATTAATCGCAAAAAAATGGGGGATGGCACTTGTCCAGTCACCAATTTTACAAATGTACTGTGCGTATTTCCTGATACCTTACAAATTTGGGAATGGGTGGGTGCACAGTGTATTACGGTAGTTAGGTTTTATTTTAGTTGTAAAGTTTTAATACCCAAGGCACCAACGAGAAATTACTGCGCTTTGTCCTTTTCTTCACTTGGCTAACTTTAAATCGTAACAGAATGATTGGAAGAAAACAAGAAAAAAAAAATTTAATTGTAAAAATTATGTGCTGTTACAAAAACCAGGACTACATGAACAAACTGCAACAAATGAGAATCCTACTTTTTGACTTCCTAGGTCCATCAACATACATTACCGTACAGATCGCCTAACCATCTGCTCCGAGCAGAATTCAAGGCACAGTCCGAGTGCTTAGGACTTTCACAACCATAAGTGCTGTTGAAATGCAAAGGTAAGTTTCTATGCATGTATTAAGTCTTTGGTTTATGAACCAATCCAAAACAGCACTGCAGATATGTTCACGAAGCAACACCTTTTAAGACCAAAAGAAATTTGCATACATCCATTTATGGGCTCCTGAAAATTTGAGACTCGGAATAAACTGCCCTTTGTTCGACAAAGGCTGTACTTTTACTTGATTTGGGAGGTTCACTCGCCGGTATTTTCCTGACATAGGCTTAACGAGCATTGAGAATAAGCGGCATGAGTTTCCCAATTAATAGGAGCAGAATGGCAGTATCTTTGGTTTCTATCTTGAGACAAACAACGAAGAGCTGCTCCAAAAACCACCATTCAAAATGCTTCTTGTAGCGATAGAAAGAACTGTCAAGAACAACAACACGCCATTCTGAGGATCGGTTCAAGAGGTAAAAAGACTCCTCTATGTCCAAGTTATAAAAACTTGTTGAGTATGACGTACATACTTTTTTCCCTTGTAGCACAAGGAATTATAGCATCTGTTATAATTACATAACTAAACTGTGTTTTTTTTTTTCCCTCAGGATCGCTCATGTTCTCCAGTCCTGAAAGCTTGCATATATTGAAAACAAACACTCTTTAAATTCGAAGTAAAGCTCCACTCTCCGCACATCTGCCTATAAGATAGACCAACTGTTAGGTACTTATTACTTCCACAAAACTTCACCAATCTCCCAAATAAAAAATTGTAAACATCTCCAAATACAAAAATCACAATATTTCGAATAGAACACAGTAAACTCAAAACTAAGGTAATAAAACTAAAAAGAAATTAACAAACAACATCACGGATCCATCCTTTTTGCCGCTCGGAGGGGTCTGAAATGCTTCACATAAAATTCTCGGTATGCTCGCTAATTCTTGGCACATTTTACGAGCTCACATGCAATACATTTGAATTGCAACGATCAACTGTTTGCGCTTTTCATGGGAAAATATGTTCGCCACAATTCCAGTTGGTTCCAGAGAAGGTCACGGTTAATGTTTCTGGGGCCTCTTGTTCTGAGCAATCGAGTCTGCTGAGGAATCCGGTTCCCCGAGAGAATGGGTTCATTGAAGAATCGGGTTCGACAAAGAGTCAGATTCACTGAGGGATCAGGTTTGCTGAAGAACAGGTTCGTTGTCATCAGGAGGCTTCGAAGTTGAAGTAGTCCGGAGGGGTGGCTTCGGAAGGTGGCTCCTGGCGGGGGCCGGCGTTGGAGGCGCTGCTGGCGCACAGGGTGGAGGGGGTGCTGTGCGGCTGGGGGTCCCTCTTCCAGGAGGGCAGCAGGGGCACCAGGCCCTTCCTGCCGGGCATGCCCACACCCTCGCGCTGCACCACAGACACCACGCTGCCGCTGGGAATGCGACAGCGGTCCCTGCAAGGCCGGCGAGTCGGGTTACGAGCATCGTTCCCACCTAGTTCTCGGCAACGGGGCAGGGTTCCCAGCGAGGGCTACGACTCCAGTTGCGTTTCGGGTTTCGGGAGTTTATTTTCAGTGAAACGCGTCCACCAGGCTGCTTCGGCACATGCACCTGTCGGGGCTGCGGACCCGCGCCTCGAGACTCAGTACCCCTTGGGACTGGGAGGCGACCAAAACTTAATTCTCACTTCTTGCATCCAATTAATTAAAGACTAAACGGTTTTTAAACAAATGCAAACTGAAAAGGAAAAAAAAAAAAGAAGGCTTAAAGGGGCGACGCAACAATTTTTGTACTTTGCGCAAATACCGCTTAGAATGGATCCCCGACGTTAATGACCTATGAAACACAAGTTCGTTTTTCACCCCATGACATAGAAGTCCCCCCCAAAAAATTAAAGAAAAACGAGCAGCGTTCACCCCCTCAACTGGCAGCCAGAACAAGCGGCCACGCAATCTGGAGCCAATTATATACCGGCAATGTTGATCATAGCCACGCGCTGTGGTTGGCAAGGCACAGGACACGCGCTGAGTTCCAGACATTGTTATGGCTCGGCTATTGTCGTCGTTGTAGCGATTGGACACGGGCCACTACCCGAATGCTTCTCGAGCTAGTAATTAACACGAGCCCAAATCAACTGCGCATGCAATGCTTGGGTCCAATCTATGAACCGCATACTGCGACCCCCAGTTATGTCATCAAGTTTTGCAAAGGAGAGATTGACTGAAAATGATTGCTTTTGTCGTTGATACTACACCGCAACAAAGGAGTTTCTTGGCCAGTGGCATTGCGTGCGAGTATCCTTGAGTCCCACTAGTGCCAGTAAGCTCGTGTAAAGTGAAAAACCTCCCGATTGATCATTGTTGCACCACCCTTTTAAGAGATTGGAGGTTATTTACATGTGACAAACGGTGACTGCAATCTTTAGGTTATAAACATGATCAAACAAGAATGAAAAACATCATACATGTTTGTAACCTTGTGAAGGTTACAAACAAACATTAAGGTTACTAATGTCGGCCGTGGCACAATTTGAGTCGCCATGTTCCTACCCACGGCCATTGGATGACAAGAACATTGACTACTTTACTTGTGTTTGCGTTCAATAATTTCATAGCACTTCTGGACAGCCGGTGAATGACTATGGTTAAACCTAATAAACGAGCAACACTCCGTTCCCCAAATGTCTCGTGGGCGCCACCATTTCAATGACTGGGACAGAGCATGCGCCATTGGCAATAAAATGCAACTTCCTGTGCTTTGGATAGCTCAGGGGATATTGTTTTGTTCTCTCACGAACTGTGTTATCATCTCTGGAGGATCAAAAACACTTTCCTGTGATTTCAGATAACTGGCAACAATGACTTTAATACCTTCCACCGTAAATTCCCGAGTCATTGTCCACCCCTTCAAATACCCCAACACTGACTCCGCGAACATTCGTCCTACCTGAATGACGTGGTCACAGATCTTACAGTTGGAAGACGTTCGTGACAAAGTAAAACAAAGGAGAGAAAGACACTTCTCTTTATTTACGCATTTCCTCTGCGAGCGACCTCCAGGTCATAATGTATCCATGCAAAAAGAAAACGATGGAAAAAACAAAATAAAACTTTTAAATTAAAAAAAATCGTCCCAACAAAAAAAAAAAAGTCTGAAAGATAACAAAGAAGATACCTATTCAGGAATCGCGAAGTAAGCGAACACCCCATGTCCTCGAATGTAACTGTGGAGTGTAAGGTCAGAGTCTGTCTCCACAGAAGTAAGGTCGCTGCGAACCCGCTTCTTTTCCTGGCACGTTGCGAGGGTGTTTAAGACAAAGCCGAAGGGGTAAATAAAGCTTTGCTGGAATGCCGCGCACAGATGTTTGTAGAGCATCCCATTTCAAGCTCCGTGTTCGTGGTGCCGTCCACGCCACGCAGCAACACTGCCTTAACCCGCGTTGATAGCCCGCTGTGCACAAATGCACACACACATGTATGCACCAAAGAAGAAAGTTGCACAAGAGCTTGCGATTGACAAGGTGCCCGACGCCAAAGTATTTGCCAACATGATCACTGGCTTTCCCACTTTCCCAGCATCGCTCTTCGTCGCTTCTTTGGTCCGCTCGCTCCCTCGTTGCACTTGGTTGGTTTTTCTATTTTCTTGTGGACATTTTTTTTTAAACTAACGAGGAGAACATAGCAGTATAACGTGCTTTTACGGAGCAATTGTTCGCGCTGTATGCCTTTTTTAAGGATCTGGCAACATCGACGACCGACGCCCTAAATCGCTAAATACAACATCAGCAACGACAACTACTGCAACATCAACCACGGACGTCATTTCCAGGGGTGGGACGAGCCCCTAACAGCCAAGATGGCAGAAGTGTTATTACTCAGAAGCGAAGGTCATTCAATGGTTACAAGTAGAGGCATTGGATCCTGGGAAAGTAGCGACAAACTCCTCGTATGGTCGCCATTTCGGTCCCTGGAATGAGCGGTTCCTTTTTGACCTCCCCATTCTTGGTGAGCCAAATTAAATTCGCCGCTGACAGGTTGCTTTATGAAGGCACTTCTTGTATACCCAGATGTTGTTATCTACACACCGGCGAAACAAGCGCACATCTTTGCACCACCACTCAGTGTGGCGTCAGTGCTTGGAGGCATTGAAAAATAATTTCCCTGTCTTGAAATATGTCAGAAGAACGATACTATCGTAAGAGATATGTGGAGATAAGCACAATTGATAAGTTAACTGTATGCACACTGCCAAAGGCGCTTATGTTGGCGAGAGATGCGTTCCGTACTATGACGCTCCATAGCTGGCTTGGAACGAGCCTTTCGAAGCTTCAAAGATCTGACAGGACCGAAATGGTCATTTTTGTGGCAACGGAGACCTATCAGCCAATTGCCTTGCAAGGTTTTGGTCGTTTGTACATTAGTATCTGCTTGTGACCAGCTAGCAGGCAGGGAAGGCGATGACGCTACTTTCCCAGGATCTAGCGACTTTGACTATGAGCAGAGACACTCACTTGTAGGCAGTGACAACCACGTTGCGGTAGGGCTCCTGGTCGTAGCTCTGGGTCTCGCAGCCAAAGAACTCGGCCAGTTCGTGCACTGCCCGCCGCTGGTCCCGGTTCATCGAGGGGAAGCTGTGGCTACGGAACTTCTGCTTGGACTGCGAGGGAAAGCCAACACCGCGGCTGGGTAAGGAGCATGGCACAGCTGGCCCCAAACTGCAATCTCTAATGTTTCCCCGTCTTCTTTCTTAAGGATGTGAGGCCGCCATAAGCTACTGGCACGTCAAAGTGCACCGATGCAGGCCGCCAACTCGAGTGGCAAGATTTAGTGATCAACACGTCTGTCTCGGGGGTTCCCAAACCGGGTTCCTAAAAATCCAGGGATCCCCCAGAGTAACTTTAAAGAATCCCCAGGCTCTCAAATCCCTTCGGCTGTCCCTGCGCTAATAAAAGTGTTTTCATTTTTCTCAGTTTAGCCAGTATTTAAGCAGATTTAAGCCACTCACTGATGCATAACCCCATGTCAAATGCTCCCTCTAGTGTGTGCATCATTGCTTCAAAGATTCATAGGCTTCTCAGCATACATTTGAATGTTTTCTTACACATGTTCTCATACACATTATCTCTGTCATTCATTGCACTGAATAGTTTAAAAGAACAGAATTAGCCCATTTTACTAGGCTCTTTTAAGTGTGGTGCCATGCCCCAAGGGCACGCAAGAACGTTTTTTGTTTTACAACAAAGCTATTTATGGCTAGGGATCAGTGGAGTTTTCAAGTGCAAAAGCTTATACGTCTCATCACATGGATATGCATTTTCAGTAGATTAGTTATCAATAGCCATCATCTTCAAGATCAGTAGACTTTTAGGTAGATATTAAAGGTTTCTCAAAGATTTGCTGCTGTGCGATCCGCGTTGGCCATGTCTACGCTAGCACCGCCCTCTCTTTGTCATCATTCCAAGTGCTTGCATGCCTAGTTTCCTTTCCGTCTGCTCTTCCGGGGTGGCGGTCCCGTTGCATATCTCTACTTTCCGCCGAGTGGCAGTCCCGGTGTGCCTGTCTAGTTTCCTCTGGCTCCTCGGGGCAGGTCTGTGTCGTCTGCTAAACAGCTTCACACTGGTCATACACCTTCAGAGTGGAATGGCTCATGATTTTTAATGCGAAAGCATTAACTGTCTCATGGAGCGAGCTGACGTCATCAGTTTGAGGCGCAAAAACGGCTCCAAGTTTCTGCGATCGCCTTCGGTTCCACCGGCTGGTGCACGTCAGTGGGGACTCCCATTGGCCACTGTGCCATGGCCTCTGAAGTGCGCGTATGCGCTAGTATGCAGCAGACGACAAAGGGAGCGGATAGCGGCTTGCATGCTTTCGCACTCAAAACTATTAAGAAATGCTTAGGTGTACCTCGAGCTTTTTTTTTTTTCTGCATGTGCATTGCATTTAGAACAAAAGATAAACAGCAAGCAATATCAAAACTAACAGCAGATTTACAAAAAGCAGATCAAGCACTATAAACTGTAAAAATTGCATTCAGTTATCGCTAATATTTAAAAAAAATGGGCCGAAATCACTGCTGCAGCCATGCTGATTCTAGAAGAAAGGCGTTAGAATATTGTGCAGTGGTTATATGTAAGAATGCATGATTTTGCATTTTTGCAGGATGATAGTTCCCGAAATCCCTCTTCTCCCTTGTGAAGCAGATCAGGTCCCTTAGCTTGTGCACAAAGGACCTGCGCATGCTGTGTGGAAAACGAGAGCCATTTTGTTGCTGTGCATACATGTTGTGCATAGAGGGCGACAACACCGTGCGCTTACGGCTTGGTGACATAGTAAGACGACTGCGCGTTAAGAACGGCGTGGCAGGCCGAAGAACGAGACCGCAGCCTGTGTGCATACACAGGTCTCCAAAGCCGGCAGCAGAAGCTTCCGAGGGCGTCGAAAGCGTGCACCCGCGTGCCAGCCATATGACGTAGCATCTAGCGACCGAGGTGCAGTGGGGGACAGCGGGACTATGGTGTACTTGGGCCGCCGGCGGGGCGCTGCGAGGCGGCATGTACAGGTGGCCCAAGGTGGATTAATATTTTGTAATCAGCCAACAGCACACTGTCGCGGCGTGAACAGGGGGTCTGGGTGGTCCGAGGTGGGTTGACACACGCCCCAGTGATAGACCCGCCGTCCCCCACTGCGCCGGCAAACTTCAGTTGCTAGGGCCGTGGCACCATCCCGTGACGACATTGCTACAACCACGTCCAAGGTCAGCTAGCACATGTACCAAGGCACTAATGCTAACGCATTAAAATATCTTTCCCCTAGCGCATGTCCGGGCATAAACACGTCAATTGAAAGTGACGAAACACCATTAAATAAGGCTTCCATTTAGGTGACAGGCAAGAACTGGGAGTGCCCACTGACATGAAACCGTTGGCCTGAGGAAGCAAGAAGGCAAACAAAAGCTTGAGGTTGATAATAAGCTTGAGCGTGACTTTGACTATGAGCAGAGACATTTAAAACATTTAAAAGTTTAAAAGACTATTGATTTGCTAACACGTGTACCTCTCACCTGCCTGGCGGTCTGCACTAGCTCGGTGAGCTTTTGGTGCAGGGAGGAGAGGAAGGCCGGGTTGCGGCGAGCCTCCTCCCGCAGAAACTCCGAGTAGGAAGGGGGCCCTGCCCGCCCAGACACATCCGCGTTGGGAATCTGCAGGGCTGCCGCCAGGCGCCGGTTGCGCTCCAGCACCGCACACTCCTCACTGCACTCCAGCCTAGAGGCGGAAAGGAAATGTCTCAAACTCAGGCTCAAGAAAATAAAGGCTTCCTCCTGCAAACACACAGCATCCAATCTTCAATATTTGGAGATGAGGCCCAGGAATCATTTCCAGTCGTATTAAAAATAAATTAAAAAAAAAAAAAAAGCACACTGATTTTATGTGTAGTCAAGTCTCGTAAAAGAGGCACGGAAACGAAAATTTAAATATTCAAATTTCGTTCGGAAGCGAGCCAAGCATGACGGATAATAACCGTAAATGATAATCGCACATTTGTATTTTGAACGACTGGTTTCATTTTTCGTTCCAAACGGTGCACTCGAGCAAGAGCTCGAAGAGAAGCGAACGGAGAGCGCGATGCGTCATGAGCTTTGCCATTGGTGGAGTTATCAGCATTGTGGTAGCGTCAATAGCGTCAACGCGTTACAACCGAGCCGTTCGAAGTACCCGTAGAATGACGAGCATAAGGCTGGCCCATGGAGCACGTAGCTTCCAGAGCACTGTCAGCTTAGGGGTGATTGGGGTGGGGAAAGAAACTTTTGTCCGAGTTTTGGGCAACTGGCTAATCTTCTAGGGGGAGAACGGCTGTGTCCAGGGTCTGAGCAAGAGGGGAGTCCCTCCTTTCTGTCTTCTTGAACTGTTTGGTACAGTGCGCGATTTGCGAGTTGACGAGGAAAGCTAAGAAGGAAAATGCTGAATTCCAAAGAGCGGCGCTGCTCTGATGGAACTTGCTACGTCATGACTACGTAGCAAGTTCCCCAACGCTGCTAGATTACCTCCCAAATAGGCTCCAGATGTATCCACTAGGTGCACATTGAAAGATTGTTTAATTAGCTTTAAAATTAGTTTTCTTGTGCTTTTCAATGAAAACTAGTATTTTTGAGGTTATACTAGAACATGCAACACATTAAAGCCAGAAAATGAGTGCTGGAATTTCGTTTCCGCACCCTTTTAATATGAGCCCTGTTAATATGGTTACCCTGCTATACAGAAAAGCATTTTGGGGACAAACTGGATAAACGCGTGCACTTTCATCAATCAATCATGGCTGAGGCTACATTCACGCGCAGGGTATTTTATCAATGAATCTTCGGTAACCGAAACTCGAAACACGTCAGAAGTGTGACCGTGCTAATACACAAAGGGCCAAACTCTTTCACCAAGAAAACAAGAAAAAAAAAAACACTTCAGAGAAAATCAATTTTGCTCGCGGAAAACCAGCCGGGAACAGCAGTCTGGGCAGGGCAGGAAAGCAAGCAGCAATGGCCGCCAAGCACATGGCAAAAAAATGGGAGGCAAGACCAGAAGTTGATTCCTGCGTGGACGGAAAAAAGACGGGAGGAGAACTGGCACCGTCCACGCAGGAAGTGACGTCGTGCGTGGATGGAGCCTTATCTCCTGCCGGCTTGGCTACGTCCCCACGCGGGGATCTAGACACTCCCATCAGTCATTCGTCCTTTATTTTTGGCCTTGAAGCAATTGGTTCCCCATACAAAAAGCTGCCAAAGGCAGCTTGACAGGGTATTGGGCCCATTTGGAGTTTAGCAGCAGGTAAAGTTTTCAATATATGTATGAAGAAAAACAAGCTAATAAAATAAATCATATTTACCAAAATCCCCCCCCTCTCCCCAAAAAAAGCCACAAGCAAACACGCAAGCAAGCTAACACCAAAAAAAAAATATGTGCACAGGTTCTGTTCGTAATACATATTCTACAAAATACGAGTTTCTAAACAAGAAAAACTATGGTTAACAAAAAAAATCACATACAACCAGATATATGCTTCACAATAAAACGCCTTCATGAAAAAAAAAAAAGAAGAAAATAATAATATTGTTTTGTCATGATGGACAACTCAAATTAGGACACTTTTTAGGGAGGATGAAGGTGTCCATATTAACAATATGACTATAAAATCCAAATCACCCAGAATGCGGACTGGGGGACTGTTATGAGCCGATACACAAAATTTTCGTGATAAATTTAGCGGACGGCAGTCACATGATGTCGTCGGCACAACGTGGTCGCCTGACACTGAACTTGGGACCACGTTGCGTGATGTTGCATGACACGACGCCATGTGACACTATGATGTAAACATCAACCCTTGTGACGTGGTGTCATGTCACCACACCTTGTGGTGCCCCAACACAACAGTGACATCATGTGAGCTGACATCACTTCATGTGGAAGCGTGACCGTGGATCCCATAGGGATTGTCATACCCTTGTGTAATCATGTTATATTGCAACATTTTGGGACAGTGGGACTTAGAAACTGATCCATAAAAGCATTCTTCTTTAAAGGACACATGCAAAGGAAAAAAACATTTTTTTTAAAACAGCTTAGATGGAAAAAGGATGTCATAAAAGAATTTTACAACGAAGAAAAAAAATTTTTAGAGCTATATTTATGGCGCTATATAAATTTGTAGTTGGCACCCGCGGGCGCCGCGGAAAAGTGGCCCTTATTTATCACGTGACTGGCCATTATTTGTCACGTGGTGCTTGCGCTCTTTCGGAAGCTTCCTTTGGCCTCTAAAATTAACTTATTCATCTTTGTTTGAAGTATAATAAAAAAACTAAGGTTAATAAGTAACTTTAAGAGCCCAAAGGAAACTCCTGAAAAAGCACAAGCAGACGTGATAGACCTGTGCGCCGGTCAGATGACAACGGCGGCGCCCTGAAGCAAACGAACTTGTGCGGTGGCGGTGACGGCGGCGTGGAGAAATGCAATGAAGCGGTGTCGCACAACGCTCTGCGTGCGGCGACGGCGTGACTTTGCGGCGGTGGCGATGCAGCGCGGCGGCGCACAGGCCCATCACGTGACCAGCGGCGGCTCCCGCAGGTGCCAACTACAAATTCGTTTAGCGCCGTAAATATAGTGCTAAATTTTTTCTTTCTTCGTTGTAAATTTGTTTTATAAAATTCTTTTTACATCTAGCCTGATTAAAAAAAGTTATTTTTCCTTTGCATGTGTCCTTTAAAACTACAGATTTTGGGCTAGTCAGAGGCCCCTCTGAAGGGTGCCGTAAGTTTGTGCTCGCGATTTTCTCCCATCTGCTAACAAAACAGGTCTGAGAAAGATGATACTGGCTCGTCGGCCAATGTGGCGGTCTAGTCTCTGATAATATGAGGGTCAAAACTGACTTTGCTTCTGGCATTAACTGCTGCCTTCCAGCAAGAGTGAGCCAACTTACAGCCTATACTCAGTGTCAACTTTATTTCCTGCAACATTGTCGAGGCTAGCATAGCTTCTGCAGTGCTTCAATGATCTCAAACCTAAACAAGCATGTGGTTTCATTTGGCACCTTTTTCAGAATAGAATGTGTGCAAACGAGATGCAAGACGAAGCCGCAAACTCTCGCAGCAATGCGAGGCTACAGCAAAAGAGAACAGAAAAAACTTCAGCCTTTCCACTCTCGGGAAGAAGGAAGACCAGCGAAGCTGTGCTATGGTGGAAATGAAGTATTTATAAATGTAAGGATTAAGTTGTGATGGGGTAATTGGTTATGTGACAACCATACTCTCTCCGGTTGTTATTATACCACGTCAACCGCCGAAAGCTCATGAGCGGGAGTCGAGGCGCCACTAGTCGTTCCTCCACTACGTTCAACCTCGGTAGGTGCTCCGGTTTGGGTGGGTACTTGTAGCCATTCATGGTTACGAACCGCGGCACTGTGCCCTTGAGCAGGGAATCTCGGCACTTTCTGCACACCGATTCTTTGTAGACGTCCGCCGACTCAATACACTGCTGCAACGTGCACGCGCCCGTTTCCCACTTCTTGTCCGGAACGCCGCCAATCGTGGATACGTCTCCGGCGAACCAGAGTCAGTCGCACACGGCGCACGTGACGCTAAATGGTTTTTCCGCGAACTCCCTCCGGAACACTGGGCCTCGCGCTTGCGCTTCGCCTTCGTGGAACGATCCTTGTCCATGGCGTTGGCCCGCCGGCGCCGTTTACATCGCTGGTTCTGTTCTCAACGGCGGCTTTTCAGGCAAGCAATGTGTTCTTTTTCTGCAAGGGAGTCTGAAGCAGCGGACGCAGTGGAAGTTGAGGCGACAGCTGCTTTGCGTCGATTGCGGACCCATTTGCGTTACTGTGTACGTCGCCGCTCCTTCCGCACCCAGTCTTCTTTCACCGAAAGGGCTTGCAGCCGACCCATCCTGAGCCCAAACCGAAACTGATAAGAGCGTAGGAAACAGCGCGCAAAACAGATGAGGAAGAAGAAACACACGTGACGAGCGCTGCGCTCGTCATGTGAGTTTCTTCTTCGTCCTCGTCTCTTTTTTGCGCTGTTTCCTATGATGAATTCCCACCAACACGCCCAAGTATCCATTCTTCTATGATAGCTCGAAAGGTTGCCGCCATCTACGAGCAACGGCGGCAACTTGACTAGTTGAGTGCTTGCCGCCGTCGTTTATAGATGGCGGTAGCTGTCCAGAGGTTTGTGCCGGTATGATTTTGGGACCGGACATGATCCTGGGGAACCTAGCCCTTAACAGCTCCGCTGTAAAACTCCAACCATTTGAAATTTGAAAACCCAACGTATCGAGGCCACCTTGGCCCCCCTTAATCACGGGCGACTGTTTATGTCCTTGCGGTTGTCTTCCAAAGTGCCCGGTGTCATCGTTTTCTAAGGGCCTGGTGTCTTTAAAACGATTATTGCATTTCAAATTTCAGGGTTTCAGGCTATGGCACTACGGAAGTTATGCTAGCCTTGACAACATAGCACGAAATTCATAATAAAATGGCGACATTAGGAGGTGGTGTTTTCCGCGCCGCCTCAGCTTGCTTTTGTTGAGGGCCTCTTTTTTCCTCCAGGTCACGAACAGGCTTCAGTGACAGCCCGACTGCATAATGAACTGCGCCGTGCTCTCTTCATACATGCTCTCACTCTTCATACACGCTCAATCCACTTCCCAAGCCTCGTAGAATTCGCCTATGCAAGTAGCTGGATATGCAGTTAAATTTCTCCCCAATCGCATAAAGTGAGTGCCCTTGCCAGCACACTGCGTTGCATTCCAGAGTGATAATTTCACACCAGCTGCGCTCCCTTCTTTCTGCTGCAACCCTTTCCATCGCCATTGCCTAGGCAACCTGTTCCGTCACAACGACCAGCATGCACCACGGTTGGCTGGCATTGCTACGGTGACCGAAATGCGTCTTCAACCGATGTGTTTAGCGTCCTATCCTGCCCACGCATCCAAAGAGGTCCCAAAGTGGCAACAGATGTTGCAGAAGCCGGAGCACCGTGTTGTCTTATGTCGCGGTCCTGGTAGTCGGTGCTGGAAGTCCCCATAGAAAGTACGAGCAAATGCGAATGTCGCCGTTGTTGTGGGGTCCTGACCCCCGGTTGCAGAAGCTTCAGTGGACCGTCACGCTGGAGAGCGACCCGCAGCAGAACGGGCGTCTGCCAACATCCACCACCGTTGCCGCGACACCGCTAAGATCGCGGCCAGCAACGACGGGACCTCTACAACATCGTCGGGCGGAAATAAAGGGACCACGTTTTCGGACGCGGTGGACGCACCGGTTGGAGACACGTTCTGGGCAGCGTGGCGTTATGGCCGAAAACAAGAGACGACTGGGGAACCCACCTGGACGGCCTGGCCCTGGCCAGCGCCAGCATCTGTCCGATGTCGACAGACTCCCCCAGCTGGATCTCCTGGATCTTGGAGGCCAGCAGGGAGGCCGACAGCTGGTGGAAGCCCTGTGGGGCCTGGGAGGGCGCCGGCTCCTGGGAGTAGCCCCCGCAAGGCAGCTTCTCCGACCGATGGCCGCAGTCGCACGAGATGCTCACCTGCAGCCGGGCGGCAGATGATTATCCGACGCATGGCGACGCCACAGGAGGGGGGCGGGGTACCCGTCGTTGCAAGCAAGTTTTTTCGAAAGAAAATGTGAAAAAAAGTAGAGGGAGATTTTAGCCAAAGAGACAGACAATTCTTTGCTCAGAATTTGTGCCACGCAGTAGTTTTAAGTTTGCATTGCTTCCATTTTCGTATTCACGCACCAGGGTCTTGCAGCTGGTGGCGGGGCACTCCCTGCCCGGGTGGCAGGGCTCCCCGCAAGGGTGTCCGCACCCAGCCCGCGGGGTGGTGCAGCGCTGACCGCAGCCCTTCCTCTCTCCTCCCTCCTGCTGGGCCGGGGTGCAGGGCCCCAGGTGGCAAGTCTGCTGGCAACGGTGCTGGCCGCACGGGAGCTCTCGCTGGCAGGACAGCCCGCACGACAGGCCCTCCAGGAAACAGGGTACCGCCTTGCGCTTCTGCACGCGGGGCGTGGGTGCAGGGGGAAGAAAGTCCGTTATAAAGAACTTCTTCCAATTTTGACCAGGAAATCAAGTTTGGTATACTCTGTTGCAGGTTAAGAAAAGAATGACAAGCTCCTCACGCAAAGGCCTACTACTACCACTACTACTACTACTACTACTTAAGAAGAGTGAAAGCCACAGAAAAGCGAGAAACATGGGAGAAGAGGCGAGTTCACTCACCTCCTCTCCCATGTTTGCTCTGCTAAAGTAGAAAAAGTAAAAGTGAAGGGCTTTGCAAGATGAGCCTGTCCTGCTTTCTTAGCCTCGGGAGTCGCATAAGCAGATTTTGTGCTTAAGCGACACCTGAGGTTGGTTGGCCCTATAAAAAGCTGTAACTTTAATTTACCCCTTGGCATGGTGGTAGGGTGACGAACTCAAAATCTTAAAATCCCGGGTTTGACTCTTGCTGGGGGATGTTAGAAATTTTGCTCTTTCTTCCCATATAGCTAGTTCTTCTAAAAATTATTTTGTTCTTTTGTTTCCTCTCAAAATTTGTGTTGAGCATTTTGCGGCAATTTTTCGTACCATTCCATCGCACTTTCCTCAAGGATCCTAACCCTTACACACATTCTGCATTAAAAAATCTGCAGATTTTCACCAGTGTGCAGAGAAATGACGACGACAGCTGTTATTGTATGTAGTTACACCCACTTCTATGCATATCCACTTTTTATTCACTCAATCCCATGCAAACACAGCCTTAGTATGTAGGAGAGGGAACATGCACACATGTGCCGACGTCCCTGCCCAAGACTGGTACACGAGTGGAGGGTTGCTTTACATATAAAAGTACACGCAAGCCAAGTTCTACGGTGAAAAATGTGTAGCAGCGTCCTTCGCCAACCCTGAGAGTAAAAGACACTGCCACCTGACAAGATCCAAGTGCAAGCACTTTGCTGGCGGCGTGGGGTGGCGCACGTGGAAGTGCACAAAAAAAAAACAGAGTTTTAATTGCACTGTAAATTTTTATGTCCAGCTTAGAGAATTTTGTGCCTGTGGCATGTAGCCTCAATGACGTCACAGTGTCACGTGACATCATGCAGGGACACCTGCACATGCAGGCGTGGCACATCAGCACCTCCTCCCTACCTCGTGTCTCCCAAAGCACCACTTCTCGGTGAGGGCGGCGCATGGGGGACAGGTGGGGTCGCTGTGGCAGGTGTGGGTCACGGGGTGTCCGCACGGGTGGGGGCGGGAGCAGGGCTGCCCGCACTCGGGGGGCCGCGTGCCACAGGGCACGGGCGGACTCAGGCTGGCACTGCCGCAGTTGCACGTCAGGTCCTCAAAGCCTGCAAAGAGATCGCCTCGGTCACGGAAAAGGCTGAAAAAGCAAAGAAGAGATGACCTTCGTCCGAGTCAAGCAAATGGGCACCCACACGCAACATCTCCTGGATGTTGAGACTGTATAAAATAATAATAGTCATAACTTCTTAATATAAACGCCTCAGTTATCTAGAAAAATCGTTCATAGTGGAGTCGTTTATAATAACGAATCAGGCTCCAAACACACATATTAACCAGTGTAGCAACAAGATATACATGGTTTGTTTTCTAAAAAAGGACAAGATGCGGGTTTTGTACCGACACTTTCGAGCCTACTTTTGTGTCCAGAAAGTGCAACCCGTCCGCTACTTGAAGTGTGCATTCTCCCTGCCCTTTCTGTTCAAGGCAGGAGAAGACGGCTGTTTCCGACCCATGGCGAACTGTACGTCGACTCTCTCGTCTTCATCAGCTACTGCCGTCTATGCAAAGTTTTCTTCCAGTTTCTTTTTTTTTTTCTTCCTTCACCGCTCATTTTTTCAGTTGAGCAGAACGCTTTGTTCAATTACGTTTGACACTTGCCATTAACTCTGACCGCCTCTTGCATGACATTATCTACTCTGCCTTCCAAGTGACCAAGATAGAGGCATCCGGCCTTGCCTTTTATGCCAATGCCAGGCTTGTGATCTAAGGGGGCTTTCGCTGTGAACCACTCCAAGGACAAGAATTCGCTCATCTCCCATCATAGCTTTATCTAGGAGATATCAACTTTGTGGGTCCACAGCTTCTCTCCCGTACCCCAAGCAGTGACGAGGTCTACAGTGAAGTGGCCTAGCTGCTTTGGGGTTAATTCTTCTGTGTTCCCAGTTGTAAGTCATACAGTCAAACCCGTTAATAACGAACAGCAGGAAATGCTACGATCAGTTCGATATAGCAACTAGTTCGATATAGCAAAAATCATTTACAACGAATTTCCACGATACGTTCGTTGTAAGGCGAGAGCTTCCTTCTTTCTCATTTCTTCGCTTCCGCCTTGTAACAAAGCGCTGGAAAGATTTCTTTTTCTGCATGCATGCTCAGCTTTTTGAGTTTTTTTTTTTAGCTTGTCTACCTTTCTGAATCGCTTCTCTTCGTGGGCAACCACTTTGGGATGAAAAGTCTATTTTTTTTGTGCATGCGTGCGTGCCGAGTGTTTTTTTTTTAGCTTTCTCCCCTTCTGAATCGCTTCTCTTCGCTCAATTTCGTTCCCGGCTTGAGCTTTTGGAATTTTCTTTCTCTTCAACATTTTTTTTTTTGGGGTAAGGGACACGCTAGAAGACGAGTGCTTGCGCGTTTCTGGAAGCCTTCTTGGGGGGAAAAAGTTCGATATAGCCAATATGCTGTTCGTTATAAAAAGTACTTTTTACATGCATTTTTATTTAAATTTTTCGTGAGTTCGATATTGACAATATTTCGCTGTACGTGGGTTCGTTCTAAACGGGTTTCACAGTACACGATCACAGGCAACAATAGACTGCAAGAGGTAATAACCCATTTTATGGGAAAGAAAGCAAAGTCCATCTGTTCACAATCTGGAGTGTGGGTTCCCATATTAATGGGGAAAAATTGCAGGGTCAAAGATCGGTCTTCGAACATTTTTTTCTTAATGCGGGGTGTCCATCTTAACGAGACTGTGATGACATTCATACTGAATGGACAAAATAGTAGATGGCGCAAGAAGCACGAGGAGACTGGCACGAGATTCCACGAGGGGCAGCCAGCAACCGACAGCCAGGCCAGGGCGCTCGGATAAATGGCACGAACCAGGACTGGGTTGCAAGTCGCCGGCAACCAGGAACCCGCCGGACCAAGCCAGAGTCTCCAAGGCAGTGGAACAGAAAGACTTTCTTCGTATGCGGAAAGCCAGAGTCACCAACACAGTCGCCCGTCAATTCGAGCTCCCTTCGAACTGAACTCCCAGGACACCTGACATTGCACTATGAGTCTCCAACCTTCATCCTCTCTCTGGCGAACAGAAACACAAAGGCTGATGTGTAAACAGGAACACCTCCACCGGAACCGCCGGAAACAACCAAACTCAACACCGCCACCTCTGCTGTAAATATACAGTGTAGACCGCACATAATGTATGTCGCGGGAGTCGCGAAAATCTGCACTATAAGCGGTACCGCGCTATAACCAAAACATCAATTTTTCAGGCCAAAATACATGCCATCAGACAACTTACCTTAGTAAAAGAATTTATTTTATGTTAGATGAAAAATAAAGCTTAGTTTGAGGAAAGTCTTTATTTCACCAGACTAGTACACTTCTCTCTCAAGTGTGTCGCACGTTTTGAAAGAAATGAGCGACTTTTGCCTGGCGCAGCCTTTTAACGGCGTCGCGGGTTGCGGGCGGACGTTGCGAGTGTTCAGGATTGCAAACCCTAATCACCTTTCTCTGGTGATGAAAACGCGTGAAAATTCGCTTCCCTTATACGGTACGCGCCAGTAATACCTTCAACTTGAGCACAGGCATGAAATGCTCCAAATAAGAAATCCGGGCGATGTTCGAAAACACAAATGCTTAGAAAGCACCACAGTAGTCGAAGTAAACAAACACGACTACACGGGCGTTTCTGCTGTCTTAAGTGTGCCTCCACAACATCGCAGCACGAGTCGGTGGATTTTCCCTTCTAGTACGTGCTGGGTTATCATAGCGACACACAACGAAAATTCACAGTCAAGGTTAGCGCTTTTACGCGGAACGATGAGCTTCCACCACGCCGTTTGCGGATAGAAGCAGCCGGCCCGCGACCGGCATGCAACGCGCGCGAACACTTTTCCTCGACCTGCGATTGGTCTGTCGTTGCGGCTGTTTCCAACGCAGCGGAGGGACGCACGCACGTGAACGACACGTGCATGCGTCCCTCCGTCGCTATGGCAACTGAAGCCTCTCTCTTCGCTTCTCCCCGCTTCTTCGAGCAACCTCCTTGCCCCGCGAGTGCCGCTTGCGGCTAGCGCCGTTATCTAGTGTCGCACAGGGAAGCGTGCTTGCTGCGCCGGTCAGTCGGCGCGGTCGGCGGGCTGTTCCAGAAACCGCACTAGAACCAGTATTTCCCTTCGCGCGCCTGCATTTTAAGCGGTATGTAATTACATAGAGTTCAATGGGAGGCGAACCGGTGGTTTAAAAAAGCCGCGTTATATCCGGTCCTGCACTATAAGCGGTTACGTTGTAAGTGGTCTATACTGTATTTGTTTTTATGCGAAAGCATTAAATGTCCCATGGAGCGAACCTACGTCATCAGCTTTGAAGCCGGGCCAAACGGCTCCTTCCCTTGTCTCTATGTCGTCTGTGACCGAAAACTGAGGCATAGGCTCCCATTGGCTGGGACGCGTCATCAAGGAACGAGGCTCCCATGTGCGGCGGTGCGGCAGTGCAGGCCGGGGCCAGGCGTCGAGTGCGTCAGACACCCGCCAGACGGCTACGACTTTCCGGAAAACTTTCCCCTCCTCCCGCTAGATGCGCCCGCTCTGCCCGCCGATGGTGGGTTCTTGGAGCATCTGGGCATACCCCCCCCCCCCCCTTTTCCCTACAAAAAGGAAGGTGATGGCAAGCGATAAAGAGGAGCAAAAGAATGACATTCATGCTTTCTTTCGCAATTCTATTTATCTCATATTTTTGTTTTTATTTATCTTATTTTATGTCCTATGATTAGCTTCTTTACTATGATAACAAATTGCAGAAATTCGATTTGGTCTCGTCTTTGATTATTTTACCATCTTAAATTAACACAAACTAACGAACCTCGTGTCAGAGACATGACTGCGTAATGATGCTCTATCATTTCGCATTTCGGGGTAACCGAACTCTCGGTACAAGGCACATTTGTAATTATGCAACGTCCACGACACGCAGGTTGAAAAAGAATACAGTTATTCGAGTTCACATTTAAAATATACATTATTTGTAGAGGCATCTAAAGATGTGCCTGGTGAAATGGCACAAAAGGACGCTCGCACATGGGTGATCAGACACGCTTTTTTCCGAGAACCAGGATAAAACAGACGGAAGTGTCCGCTGGAACGTAGAGGCACATAAAAGTGAACCATAGTGCTGTAAGCCAGCGTGGGGCACAAACCGAACATGCATGCAGTGTTGGCGTCCGGCCGCGACTTGTGCCCTCGGTGATTTAGCACGAGACTGCCAAACGCTGACACAGCACTTGCGTCCAATCCAAGACCCGTGCTGGCCTCCAGTAGGGGACCTAAAGAATATCCAGCACTACGGCCTCGCTGTCTGAGACGTTGCATCTTTCACAGTTGCTGGTAGTCCCTTCCTTTCCTGCTACTTTCTGCTGCTTTCGTGTTTGCCCAGCCAAAGGTAACAGTTCTCTCCTACGCGAAGTTGTCTTTCGTCGTGCTTTCCACGTTCTTTCCAAAGGTGTCGATCGACTGGACGGCTCCCTCGCTTGGCGTGAGTCGACGGATAAGTGATGTGTAATGGTAAAACAAACGGCTTGGTCAGATCGGATTCATTCGGGAGCTGGATCGAGTAAACTGACTGGGCAAAATCCAAAAAAGCTTTGGCCAAGCGGCAGACCTCCCATGCACTGAAAGGAGGGGGAGGCCAGGATACACCACGACCTGACGCCCAACGTCACTCAATCTAATAGCGCAGTTGGTGCCGCAACATCCCGCGACCCCAAGCCACGTGATAGTGCGACGTGACATTGAGTGGCGTGACTCGATGCACATCACGTGGACGTGTGACCTGTGACGGCACTGGCCAAATGACCATGAGACCTGTAGTGGCATCTTGCTAAACTTAGCCGATGAGGGCAGAGTATGGCAAAGGCAATGCAACAAAAATTCCAACTCTGCTGTCGTTAAAATCCATTCTGCATTAAAGAACATTACACGGGCTCAATCGTGCCGACAAAGACCAGGGAGCACAGAACGGGTCCCGCACAAACCTCCGTGTGTGGTTTGTGCTAGATTTCTCATCTTTAATGCAAAAGCATTAACTGTTTCATGCAGCGAACCACATC